ATTAGAAATGAGTAAAGTCGAGAACTGGGAAGACGTACAAAATCATTGAAAAACATCTTCTACTTCTTGTGAACGCATATTCTCGTTTTTCTCCTTTAGTATATGATTATAAACGAAATCGTTTTGATCCGCATACTATTTCCACACTTATTTCATTACAATCATTATTTAAAGATGAATAAAATTTTGTTGTTTTATATATTTTTTCAATTTTAATAAAGAAAATTCCTACTCGTAAAATTCTTTCAAATTCCAAAGGAGAGACTACACGAACGAAAATTATCAGAAAAAAAGAAGAGAAATATAATGGCAGAGCAGAGAAAAAAGGATACAAAAACGTTGATTCGCAGTTGTTTGGCGCAAAACGTTGATATTAACGTTGTTCTGGCGTTATGTATTTAAAAAAAGTTGTTCGCGAATAATTGTTGATATTCGCCGCGAATCAACGAAAACGTTGATTTGTCGTTCACTAATTTAAACCCATTTTCTTCTTAATTGAGTTAGTTCGTTTTTGATTATCCCTTTCTTGGAAATATTTGGGCGGAAGTTTGGCCCATCTTGACGGAATGGGCCAAATTAAAGGAAGACGTAGTTTGATCCGTCCTGGCTAAAATGAGCCAAATTTGGCGAACAAGTAAAAAAGGAGGAAAAAAGTTTAATATTTTTAAGTAATTGACTAATCGGGCCCATTTTTTGGTGAAGCGAGCTAGTTTGATAAAGAAGGCTCGTTTGATAAAGAAAATGGGCTCGAACTAATTATGTCCGAGGGAAGTCCGAGATTTAACTAAAGTCGACGTGCACAAGATTAACAATTTATCTGTAGAGAAATAACAATGTGTAGGCGAAGGGATTGAGCTGGAAATTGAGCTGTCCAGAAGCATGTCACCTACACTTTTCCATGTGTTTCGTGACAACTATATTCAATGCAATTCACTCACAATTTTTAACTTGCAATTTTTTTGGACTTACATCCTTCTGAATGCCAAATAATACTTTTACAATTTTTTCAATCGGCTAAATTCCGCGCACTTCGGGACCATTAGGCATCTCAGCCTCAATTTAGGCATTCAGCCTTCAATTTAGACCACTGTCCTTTTCTGGTCACTAACTAATAGGTCCAGTACGCAATAACAATTTAATTTTCACTCATACCGATCAATAATTTACGACGTCTGTCCACTCACAATTTAAAACAATCACTTCCAATAATTGCCTCAATCAATTTACTACACTTCGCCTCACTACTTAATAATTACTCGTCCGCACTGTAACGAGGGTTGTCCGAGATTTACCTAAAGTCGACTACCCTGATGGGCCCGAACTACCACTTTGTTTTCTCCTCTCTTCTCCATTTCATCTCGTAAGTCCGCTTCCATTAAACTATCGACAGGAAGATTTTCTTCCAGAAGTCTCCGTGTCGAAAATTTCTGACGAAACTTTCGTCGAAGGATAAAATTATTAAATTAATAAATTTCATTTTTGTATGACATCATTTTTGATCGTTATCGCCTATTTTTGCTCTTTTTCCGTTTTTCCATAAATGGATGAAATTATCCATTTTTATCTAAAATTCCAATCTTTTTAATAATTTCATCCATTTTCACTTCCGCCCAACCTTTTAACCGCAAACATATAATTTTTTAATGTCTTTTATTTTTTCCATTGCCCACATTCCATACCACACACATAGATTGTGGCCTATTTAAACCTAATCATTTTTCCCACTCTTTATGTTTTTACATACCCATAATGTTTCGACATACACAGTTCTGACTTACACATAAATGTTTGGACATATTCATTTTCATACCCCATAATGTTTTGACATAATCAGTTTTGACTTAACCATTCAACCAACCAAATCCCTTTTCCAAACACATACACACAAATAATTGTAAAATTGTATTGAATTAAATAAATATTATTAAAATATTCTTATTCTTTTGTTTGGTATTTTTTGAGAATATTCGCCTAACTTTCGTCTACGTCTAAACTTGGCCGTCTAAAACCCTTTGCCTCCTCGTTTGGTTTGCCCTGTCTTAATCTTTGGGATTAAGACATTCACCTCATCAACACCCTTAACCCCAACTTCTTATTTTAGCGGTCAAGCTTCTTTGATCCCTCGTCAGTGGATTCCCGACCTGAGAAGTTTTGCCGTTAAAATTGGTGCCACGACCCGGGACTGCCGTCGACATTCATCAGTCAACACAAATTCAAACAACAATTCGACTATATTTCGTCTGCGCCGAAAGGATCAGCCGTCGACAAAGACCAACATTCCCAGCAGAACAAACGACTATAGTTGAACCAGTACAGCGACCTCAAGCCGTCCAACTGTACACCTTGAATTTATTTTATTGGCAGCCCTTTCGTCTAATCAACTCGTCTAAATTCTAAATTCGTATATTGGTTAATTCCGTCAACGTATTAACAACACTTAACCTTTCAACATGTCACGAATACTTCGTCAAGAGCTCAGTGTAGCGGTGACGTCACTCGTAGAACGTCTAAAGAATGCCGATTCGTATATCGACAAAATCAAATCGACACCCACGGAAGAGGAGGAACGGGAACTCCTAATCGAAGTTGAGATGGAACTCGTACATCTATCTCAGAGGACCGAGAAGCTCCAATCAGTTATTCGTCACTATCATCAGTATATGGAAGGTTTAAGCGAAGCGAAGCAAGATGAGGAAGAGAATTTTTTAGTCAACTACTTGACTGACGACGAGAAATCAGACCGAAATGAAATCCAACATCATTGGCCAATCACCAGTTTGGTCAACCGGGCAAATGAGGCAATCAACCATCTAAAGGCTTATCGAGTCATGCGTCAAATGACAGATAGCAACAGTAATAATTCACCAAGTGCGCAAGGATCTATCAACCTCAACGAATCGCAACGTACACATATTATTTGGCCAAACCAGGAAAGATGTCAGTTATATTCGGATGAAAAAGAAGAAAGAGAATGGACACGACTGCGACGAAACGTACGACAAAACGACAGAGATGCTTACGAGCCAGAATTAAGAATTCGTCAGGAACCGTCACAAACGACCATTTCATCATTGAATGCTCTTAAAGTCGACAGTGTGCGTCTACCTACGTTCGGCGGCGATATTAGAGAGTGGCGTACATTTTGGGCAGCATTCGAACATGCCGTCGATCGACAACCATACCCTCTCTTCCAGAAACACCTCTTGCTCTTGCAAAATCTTAGAGAAGGATCGGCAGCTCGTGAAGCTATCATTGGATACCCACCATCAGATACCAATTACCCAATCATCAAAGAAATTTTGAAGGATAAATATGGTAACGACGATCAACTCAGCGACCAATTAGAAGCACAACTCTTAAAATTACAGCCAATTCGAAACAACCTTCGAGAATTGTCCCAATTTCAAAAGGAAGTCGAACGAATTTGTTTGCAGCTTGAACGTTTAGGAGGTCCAAAACAACGATTCATCTGCAACATCATCAAATCAAAACTTCCTCAAGAAGTCTTGCAACAGCTCATCACAGAGGAGCTGCGTTCGAGAAGAAGGTGGGATGATACGGATCTTCGGAACGCCTTAGCGGATATCGTCAAAATACGACAAGCGACGGAAGAATGTATAGCATCGTTTCAACATGAACCACGAAGAGAACAACATCGAGATCAAAATAATTATGAAGCTTATGGAAGGGAAAGATTTGAAGTACGACAAGAAACACGACCAACACCACGTCCAATGGAACAACCGATAGCAGTTCCTGGAGGCAACGAAAACGACAATTATCGTGAAAACAATGAACCGTTCTGTTCGCTATGTTGTAACCCTGGTCACAAACCGAGCCAATGTTCAACATATTCAACACCTCAACAACGTGAAGTTCGTCTATTGGAACAAGGCCGATGTTTGAAGTGCTTGCAGCAAAATCACACAACCGAGCAATGCCAACGTTTAAGTAATTGCCGAAAGTGTGGAAGTGGTCAACATCATTTCCTTATTTGCGCACCACCGCCGAATCCAATCGACTATTCAACAACTCAAGTTTGTTACCCTGCACCACGTCTAGATGTGCAATCGTTTGGGGTTCAGTCTTCAACATTACCGCCAACGTCGAATTCAAATGTGTCCCAACGCCAAACATCACCACGTCGAAATGAGGAACCAAACCCGGATGGAACAGTTGGAAATGCAACGATGTTCAACAGTCAACGAGATACGACCGCAATGTGTTCGCTTCATGAGTCAATGGTTTCTGTTAAAGAAGTCAAAGAAGAGACTGCCCCAGTCATGGAAACTCAGGACACAATGGAACCTGAAGCAGTGAAAGAAGAATCAAAACCGACTCTCGATTCATCAACTTACGACGACAAAGAGAAGTTAATATCCAAACACATCGAAGTTTCATGCAAAGTAATTCGTAGTGAATGTGTTTTGACTATTGTTCGCCTTGTGTCAAGAAGTCAGATCAGTTATACCGTCAAAGAACCAGTTGTTCAAGAAAAGCCATCAAAAGCATCACAAGAGGTTTTAGACAACATACCTTTGCAGAAAGAAGAATTAACTGATTGTGTTCAACCGTCAAAACAGCCCGAAGACATTCGTATACATACTTTGGCAAAATGTAATGAAGTGACAACAAGCGAAATGACAATCAAAAACGACAATGACAACACCTCAGTAAATCCTGATAGATCGTCTAAAGAATCGTCACAACCAATACTTCAGAATCCAACGACATTACCGCCGATCAAAATTCAGTTAAACCGGAAGAACGTCAAATGGAAAACCTGTCATGATTCAATAACCGACCAATACCACCCGTCAGGAAAAGATAATATCGACAACGCCAAAATCGACAAAACAATATTCGAACTAGATCCGTCAACCAATCCAGGATGGTTTTGCTTAATCCTTATTCTTCGAGTTGTAATTGGGATTATCCAATGCCTACGACCACGTCAACTACATGTATTCAAAACGTCTAAAGCTTATATCAAACAACCTATGCACGATTCTTATAGCAAACAAGACGACAAAACAGTATGTATCTGGAGTATACGACATGATCAATATTCCTTGTTGGAAAACTGTGCAACATACCCAACCAACAACGTTGATACATCACACCATGCACTAATCAGCAGCGATGGACTTTTATATTTAAAACCCCGCGCTAATTTCTGTAATGGACCTGAAACAATCATGAAATGTCATCACTCAGGCAGATATGGCATATGGATGATCGGCAAAACGTCAACTGGATTTGTATACATTTTCTTGCAACTACCACCAACATTTCGAATTTATCGACAAGTGGAATCAAAACAGCAACCGACAAAACCAACCCAATCTCGTCTACGTCTATATCACCAGAATATACGTTTGGATGTAATTTATTTGGAATCGCGGATGCGTCGACTAATACGCCTGAACCCTTTCGACCATTTCGACAACAAAACGACTGCGCCTATTTTTACCATTCAATTCAACGACTTCCATTCAATTTACTTTCTGCGTGGCCGGCCGGATGTTCCTTCCAGAAAAAGGAAAGATTTGCGTCAAATGGACAGATTTTCGACAAATAGATATCTACATTTGATCCACCACCCACAGATGAAACCAATGAGGTCAATGGAATTGGAATGGAGGAAACCGTAAAGAAATTTTTTGTAAATTTTATCTTTCTATTTATCCTTTTCCCTCATTCATATATTTGTATCTGCCCCTCTCAAATTCTTAATCATTTTTTTGTAATTTTTTCAAACGTTTGGAATGGATGAACATCAACTCAAATTTCATCAATAATGGGTCCTCATCAAATGTCACAGCATTTCGTCTAAACGTCTAACCTTAACGTCTAAACATTAACGCCTAAACTTTAACGTCTAAACCTTAACGCCCAAACCTTAACCGTCTAAACCTTAACGTCAAAACTCAACAAAAGAAAATCACAACAAAATCGTCAAGTTTAAATTTAAAAAGTAATCATCAAAAGCATCTTCAAATTAATGTTATTGGCGAAGCCAAACAAACTAAATTAAATAAGAACGTGGTGAAACATCATAATCTTAAATTTCAACCTCATCAAATAAAAAGCAAACCTTCAAACCAAATCTTTACAACAAAACTTATAAAACGCAAAATCGACAAATGGAATATCGACTAAAACTTTAAATCGACTAATCAACATAATCTTAACAACTAAGGACCCACTGATGTGCCTGCCCGCGGCAATGTCGAAAATTTCTGACGAAACTTTCGTCGAAGGATAAAATTATTAAATTAATAAATTTCATTTTTGTATGACATCATTTTTGATCGTTATCGCCTATTTTTGCTCTTTTTCCGTTTTTCCATAAATGGATGAAATTATCCATTTTTATCTAAAATTCCAATCTTTTTAATAATTTCATCCATTTTCACTTCCGCCCAACCTTTTAACCGCAAACATATAATTTTTTAATGTCTTTTATTTTTTCCATTGCCCACATTCCATACCACACACATAGATTGTGGCCTATTTAAACCTAATCATTTTTCCCACTCTTTATGTTTTTACATACCCATAATGTTTCGACATACACAGTTCTGACTTACACATAAATGTTTGGACATATTCATTTTCATACCCCATAATGTTTTGACATAATCAGTTTTGACTTAACCATTCAACCAACCAAATCCCTTTTCCAAACACATACACACAAATAATTGTAAAATTGTATTGAATTAAATAAATATTATTAAAATATTCTTATTCTTTTGTTTGGTATTTTTTGAGAATATTCGCCTAACTTTCGTCTACGTCTAAACTTGGCCGTCTAAAACCCTTTGCCTCCTCGTTTGGTTTGCCCTGTCTTAATCTTTGGGATTAAGACATTCACCTCATCAACACCCTTAACCCCAACTTCTTATTTTAGCGGTCAAGCTTCTTTGATCCCTCGTCAGTGGATTCCCGACCTGAGAAGTTTTGCCGTTACTCCGATTGGCAGCGTTCTCAGTTGTAGCTCCTTGAGAGTAATCAGAAGCAGAATGATTGCAGCAGTCTTCGTATCGATAGTCCACGTCGGAGTCTGTTCAGTGCGTTCCAAAAAGGGTTATCTGCTTCCGAGTGAAGTAAGACGAGCGAGCTAGCACGTGGGAACCTCGCTCTCGAGTTCAAAATGAGGTTTTTAACTCACTCTTTCTTCATTGCCTCATATCAATCGTCGTTCCGGGGTTTTAAGCAAATTTATAAAAAATTATCTTAATGAAAAAATAGAATTAAAAAAATATTTATAAAGACCTAAATAACTTAAAATAAACTAAACTAAGATAAATAAAAATAAATGAAGCAAATTTATAAAAAATTATCTTAATGAAAAAATAGAATTAAAAAAATATTTATAAAGACCTAAATAACTTAAAATAAACTAAACTAAGATAAATAAAAATAAATGAAGCAAATTTATAAAAAATTATCTTAATGAAAAAATAGAATTAAAAAAATATTTATAAAGACCTAAATAACTTAAAATAAACTAAACTAAGATAAATAAAAATAAATGAAGCAAATTTATAAAAAATTATCTTAATGAAAAAATAGAATTAAAAAAATATTTATAAAGACCTAAATAACTTAAAATAAACTAAACTAAGATAAATAAAAATAAATGAAGCAAATTTATAGAAAATTATCTTAATGAAAAAATAGAATTAAAAAAATATTTATAAAGACCTAAATAACTTAAAATAAACTAAACTAAGATAAATAAAAATAAATGAAGCAAATTTATAAAAAATTATCTTAATGAAAAAATAGAATTAAAAAAATATTTATAAAGACCTAAATAACTTAAAATAAACTAAACTAAGATAAATAAAAATAAATGAAGCAAATTTATAAAAAATTATCTTAATGAAAAAATAGAATTAAAAAAATATTTATAAAGACCTAAATAACTTAAAATAAACTAAACTAAGATAAATAAAAATAAATGAAGCAAATTTATAAAAAATTATCTTAATGAAAAAATAGAATTAAAAAAATATTTATAAAGACCTAAATAACTTAAAATAAACTAAACTAAGATAAATAAAAATAAATGAAGCAAATTTATAAAAAATTATCTTAATGAAAAAATAGAATTAAAAAAATATTTATAAAGACCTAAATAACTTAAAATAAACTAAACTAAGATAAATAAAAATAAATGAAGCAAATTTATAAAAAATTATCTTAATGAAAAAATAGAATTAAAAAAATATTTATAACAACTGGCGCGAATTTTCTAAACAATACTTTTTTTTCTTTAACGTGACTCGCATCAGAACGTATTGTTTTTTGATGATTTTAGGATTTTAGTCCTTAAGCGACAAACAAAATTTTTTGAGAGAAGTTTTCTAAACAAATTTTTTTATATTTGTTTATTAGAAAGGTGGACCTCACTTATATGTAGGTGTAAATCCTTTGGTGGTAAACTACCTAGTGACCAACTGAATTTTAAATCACAAATGAGGCTTAAATGACTTTAATTTTACAAGACATTCCCATAAAAGGATTTTCTATTTATTCTAATAAAAATGAATGGTTTGCTGATTAGGTATATTTTATTATTAAAATGATTAGCTGGGAAAAAATAAATGTAAGAAGAAATCAAAAAATTTTGGAAGAAAAAAACTTAAACTGAATTTTGAATCACAAATTAATGGATATTTAAGAAATATTTCAAAGTAGATTATTTATTGTTATTAATTTGTTGATTACGAGATCGTTTCATTATAAAAATGTTTATTGACATTTCCTCTCCTCTTCATTCACTAAAAATTTTATTCATTTTAAATTTTGTTTTTTAAAATTTTAAACCTTTCACTTTCCGTGTAAATATCAGTTTCAGCATCTAATAAATCAAATTCTCCATACTAAAAAATAATTTTTAATTTTATAGAAAGGACTTTTTTGGGTATAAAAAGAATTTTTTGGAATCGATAATTTCAACATAATTTTTTGTAAATAAAGGATTTAACCCCCTCTCCATAAATTAATTATTTTAACAAATTTATTTTACATTAAATTGTTTCAACAAATCATTTAATTTATTAAAAAATTCAAGAGTAAATTGTTGCTTTCCTTCAATAATTAATGTTTTATTTAATTGTTTTGATTCAAGAGAAATTAATTTATTTTCAAAAGAATCAATTAATTCCTTCAAATTTATTTTTTTTTAATTTAAATTTATTTTAAACCTTATTAAAATTATTTTCCTCCTCTTCTTCTTTTTCATCATTAATATAAATTATTAAAAAATGTGTACGTCGGAGATAGCTTCTTTAAAAATTAAATTTAAAAAAATAAAATTAAGAATAACTATTTTTATTTCCTCTCCCCCAATTCTCCTTTTATGACTTTTTTACAATTTTCGGAGTTAGGTATATTCCAATTTTTTTTTATTTTATAAAAATATTGAATAAATTAATTTATTTAGAAATGGAAGGAAATTGGGGATAAAAACAAAAATTCGACAAAATGGAGTCCTAAATTTTTTTAAATATTATAGAATGGATTAAACATTTTTGAACGGGATTTTATTTTGATTCTCTCTTATATAATTAAAGCAAAAACCTTTCCCTTTTTTCATATTTTAATTCATCCAACCAATCCACAAATTCAGAAAATCGAGTAATAATTGAAGAAGAATTTTGATTAAAAACATTTTTGTTTAAAATATAAATATGTAAAGATTTGGAATTTTTGACTTTTTCTAATTCTAAAGCACTCAATTTGGCAACAAAAGGATCAAAATGTAAATTTTCTGTTAATTTATAGGCTATCTAAAATTAAACATAAATTAAAAAGAAAAATGTTTAGAAAACAAGGAATCCTCCATTGTTTAAGTTTTCCACTCATTCATTGCCCCTGATAAATTCCTTAAAAGATCCTTAAAAGGGAGGATAACCAATTTAATTTTCCGTTAAAAATGCCAATTAATTCTTTGATTTAAATTTGGTTAATTTCTAAAGAAATTTAATTACTTCTTTAGTTTCTGGACAATCTCCACAATAAAATATTGTTGTACTTCTATTAAATTCATTTTTACTTTTTTTCTTATTTTTTCGAGCATTCTAAATTAAATAAAAATTATTTTTTATTTAAATACTCTTCCCCTCCTCAACTTTATATCGATTATGTACATAACGATAGAAAAAATACATAATTCCAGGCATTATAATACCTTTAAAAAAAATATTTTTTATTTTTAATTCTTCAAAAATAACCAAAAGCAGCAGTCAAATAAAGAAGAAAATCATCTTTTAATTTAATTTTTTAATTAAAAATTATTTAAAGAAAACCTTTTTCTGCATATCTAACAACTTTTTGTAAAGTAGATAATGTTTGTTGGTGTTGGGCATTTGCTTCTCTTTTAAAACCTTGATTTGGTTGGTGGGGGATCATTTAAAAGTATTTTTTCTAATACAAAATATTTTTTAAAATAAGTTTCTATTTACCAAAAAAAGGGGGGGGGAGAGGGGACATAAAAGCCCAAAACCATAACTTGCTGAAAAATTTTCTGGCCCTTATAAATTTAGGTACCAATTTCTTTATTTTGATTAGGGAATCGTTTAATTGGGAAGATTCGGAAAATTTGAAGCAAGTTATGGATTTGCGGCTTTATGTGTGTGCGTGCTTTGTGTCTGTGTGTGCTTTTTGTGTGCTTTTTCTTTTGCTTTTCCTTTCCTTTTGTGCGTGCCCATAAAAATCCTTTAAAAATGTTAAAAAGGAAGGTTAAAAATAAAATAAAAAATAAATATTTTGAATAAGAAAAAATAACAAAAATTTAATAAATTTGTTTAAAAAAACTTTAAAAAAACTTAATTTTTATTTAATTTCTCAACAAATCATAATCTTTTAATTTAAAATTAATTATCCTTTTTTCACAATCCTTTTTACAAAAAATAATTACCACCTCGAATAATTGTCAATTCGGTAATTTTGAACTTCGTACCCCCCCCCCTCTTTTTTTGTTTTAAAAGTATTAAAAATGGTCAGTCTTAAGATGAATATAGAACATAACGAGCTGTGTCGAACGACACTAAAATCAAAAAAATCCGGCTTGATTTGACCGAGATACAGACCCTGAAAATTGAACAACCATAGGGGCAAAAAACCAAAAGGACGAAAAAGTATACAAATGATAGCTCATTCGAAAGAGCTCGTCGAGCTGAGTCGAATGACACCAAAATCGACGTGATTGGATAAGATTGGACAAAGTTACGACATAAAGTTGCAGATTCCGGTATGTCTAAACAATGTCATAACTTTGTCAAAACTCGTCCCACTACGTTGATTTTGGTGTCATTCGACTCAGCTCGACGAGCTCTTTCGAATGAGCTATCATTTGTATACTTTTTCGTCCTTTTGGTTTTTTGCCCCTATGGTTGTTCAATTTTCAGGGGTCTGTATCTCGGTCAAATCAAGTCGGATTTTTTTGATTTTGGTGTCGTTCGACACAGCTCGTTATGTTCTATATTCATCTTAAGACTGACCATTTTTAATACTTTTAAAACAAAAAAAAGAAGGGGGGGTACGAAGTTCAAAATTACCGTCAATTCTTTTATTTTTATTTTAATTAAATTATCTCATTTCTCTATATTTACAGCATTTAATTAATTTTAATCGGTTTTTTTAATTTTGTTTTTCCATTAATTAAATAAAAGTAAATAGGTAAACGTGACTGTGTCTACTAAATATTTTTTTTAAATATTTATTAATTGATTATATTTTTATTTACTTTTTTTATCAGTAAAAAGTATAGAATGATTTTTAATTAAAAAATGTTATTTAAAATTAATAATTATTTATTACAAACAAAATTAAAAAAAAATACAAATTTATTTATTCAACAAATAGCTAAAATGAATACTTATTTAATTAATTCTGATAAATATTTGTTTTTAAAAGAATTGGGAATTTCTGAATTAAATTTTGGTGTTTTTGATGGAAATAAATGGATATCTAATGGAAAAGTTATTGTTTCTAAATAATTTATTTAAAAAATTATATTTATTTACTAAATATTTCCCCTATGCTCTCCCCCATTTTTCTACTTTTTATTGAAACTTTATTAAAATGAATAATTAAAAGACCGATAAGGGGATCTCAGAAAAACAAGTAAAAACTTGAATGAGACTGATAATCTTCTGAGCTAGCAAGGGGTCTATATATTTTACTCAATAGTCAACTTTTATTCTTTATTTTAGCTTAATCAACTATTTTAGGAAGGTTAATTTAACGACCTTACAAATTTTCAATAACATATTTATTGAACTTTTTGTTTGTTGTTAAAAGACTTATTTTCTGAAACTACTTCCCTTAATAAAATCTCAATTTATTTGAGTTTTAAAATTATAACTTTAAAAACCTTAAATTCATTTAAAATTAAAAATAGATTATTGACATTTTATGTCCTTCAACAAACACACCAATTGCTAAAGTACAATTAGCCTCTGAAGAAGTATTAAAAAATAAATAGTTTTTAATTAAAAGAATTTTTACTAAAGGATTATCAACGTACTTTAAAATATTCTCGAGAATCTATCAAAATTTGGCAAAATCTACCAGCCCCCGCCAGAGGGGAAATTGTCAGACAAATTGGGGATTCTTTGAGAAAACAATGTGAAAACCTTGGAAAATTGGTGTTTTTGTAAAAAAATTGTTTTTTGAAATTTCTTTTTATCCAAAGATTTCATTGGAAATGGGAAAAATTTTGTCAGAAGGAAAGGGGGAAATACAGGAAATTATTGATATTGCTGATTTTGCTACAGGATTGTCTAGAATGTTTAGTGGAAGTATTATACCTTCAGAAAGAAAAGAACATGTTTTGTTGGAACAGTGGAATCCTCTCGGAATTGTTTTTAAAAAAGAAACTTTAAAATTAAAAAATAATATTTTTTAAAGGTTGGGGTAATTACTGCTTTTAATTTCCCTGCAGCTGTTTATGGTAATTTATTTTAATTGTTGGGGGGACTGTTCACCGAAAAGACGGGGGGGGGGGGGGGTTGATGCTTGTTTTTTCTTTAAAAATAATTTTTTCTCCTTGTTTTTTATACAGAATTTTGAAAGGAAGAACTGAACTTAAATTTAGACTTTAGTTTAAAATACACATCCAACACTCCCCTCAATTTCTGACAGTTAATAAATTTCCCTAAACAAAAGGTTGGAATGCTGCTTTAGCTTTGACTTGTGGCAATTGTTTAATTTGGAAACCAGCCCCAACAACTTCTTTAACCGCAATTGCTGTTACTCGTTTAATTGAAAATGTATTAAAGGACAACAATCTTCCACCATCTATTTGTTCTTTAATTTGTGGAGGGAGTGATGTTGGATTGTATGTTTTAGTTTAGTTAGTTAATGTTCAGATGGTTTATTGCCCCCTCTTTCTCGTAGTTCTCCAACGATGACAACAAAGGGGAAATTGCTACAAAAGAACATTCCAAAAAAGAAGCAAGGATTTTATTTTATCTCTCAAACATTACATTGCTGTTACTCGTTTAATTGAAAATGTATTAAACAAGATAGTGACAGTTAACAAACAAACAAAAATATATATTTAGAAGGGGATACAATAGCAAAACAACAATATATTTATTTAGAATACATATTTATTTATTTATCATCTCCTACATATTCCTATCTTCATCTTTCTGCCTTCTTTTGTTTATGGCTTCTTCGACGATGGGCCAGCACAGTACGCAGACACATTGCAGATACTTCCAATCAAGAGAAAGCTTAAAAAAAGAATCTTTTATTTAAACATTTAAAACTCCTCACGTTCCCAACACGGCTCCAAACCCAACAAATCCAGAGATGGCATAGTGCTTCGTTTGGAACTCGCAGTCATCGGCAGAGACAAGTTGAAGAAGAAGAAGAATAGTGAACACAACAATTAGGGAGGACACAAACTTTCCTTGCACCATTGTAGAGCAGTTTCCCTTTTGTTGTCGTTGATCGAACAGATGAATAATAGAGCAGCAATTTGTATATATTCTTGAGGATTCTGAGGGAGATTATAATTTAATGTGCTCTTTTATAGTAAATATCAGTAACCGAACCGGATCCGGCCGGATTTTTCCGGAGTCCGGGTCCCAAATCCGGGTTTTCCGGCTGGATCCAGTCCGGCATGAATGTGAAATCCATTGTCGGTCACTAGTAAATATTTACAAAAATTGTTTAGTAAAAGAAGAGAAAATGTGAAAATAAAAATATTTTTGTAGATTATTAACAAAAGATCCAAAAGTGGATTTAGTTTCGTTTACGGGCTCTACAGAAGTTGGCCGTATTGTTGGTCAACAAGTACAAGCACGCTTTGGAAAAGTTTTTTTTAATTAAATTAGAATAATTATTTTTTGTGTTTTAAAATAGTTACTTCTTGAACTTGGAGGGAATAATGGAGTTATTGTGATGGAAGATGCTAATTTAGATTTGGTTGTGCCTGCAGTTACTTTTTCTTGTATTGGGACTACAGGCAAATGAATATATTTGATTAGTAGATATTTATGGGGAGAAAAGAAGGAAGGAAGGAAATTCTTTTAAAAAAATAAATTTGAAAAAGCCATAAAGTGTTCGATGAAAAGACAAAAAATTTTAAATATCTAAAATTAAAAACACACTAATTTTAAAGGTCAAAGATGTACAACAACTAGACGTTTAATTGTACATAAACAAGTTTATGATGTTCTTATTGAAAGGTTGACAAATGCTTTTAAACAAATTGAGTCGAGAATTGGAGATCCGGTTAAAATTTTTTAGAAAATTTTTTTGTTCACTTAATTCCTCTCTCACGGTATAACATCAATTTGTTTGTCCCGAGTGAGCGATAAAGGATCCCGCAAGGGGGAATTATTATTTGTCAGTCATTATTTGTCCCAAAATTAAATGAGAGAGGGAAGGAGTTTTTGCTTTGTTAATTTTACTTTTCAATTAGTTAAACGAAAATACTTTGGTTGGCCCATTACATACAAAAACTTCTGTTCTTGCTTATAAATCGGCAATTGCTGAGGCTATTGCTAATGTTTGAGAATTTAAAAAATTATGTAAAAAAAATTAATTTATTTTTAAAAAGGGAGGTAAAGTAGAATGTGGAGGTAAAATATTGGAGGAATTAAAAGGAAATTATGTATTACCTACTTTAATTAGTGGATTGAAACATAATTCTGATTTGGTTTTGAAAGAAACTTTTGCACCTATTTGCTATATTTTAAAGTAAATTTTTTAAATTAATTTTGTAAAATAACCAAATATTTCGAAGAAAAAGGGTTTTTTCTGAAACAATCAAAACTTATACTTTAAAATACTCGGAGATTAATAATGAAGGGTATCTTAATTATCGAGTATCGCTTAAACAATTTTTCCACCCATTAGCTAACTAAATTTAAGAAAATATTTTAGGTTAAAGTGTACTATATCTACATATATTACAGTGCTAGAAAAGGAAAGAGGAAAATTCCCCCCAATTTACCCCTTTTTTTCTTCTAATGACCAAAATTATTATAATTTTTCAGAGTAGATAGCTTTGAAGAAGCAATTTCAGTTAATAATGAAACTAGACAAGGGCTTTCTTCTTCATTATTTACACAAAATGTTGAACGTTTATTTAAATGGATTGGGTAGATTTAGAGGGAATAAATAGAAATTTTAAATAAATTTAAAAGACCATTTGGAAGTGATTGTGGAATTGTAAATGTAAATATTGGTACAAGTGGTGCGGAAATTGGGGGTGCTTTTGGTGGAGAAAAAGAAACTGGGGGAGGGTAGGGATGAGTAAATTTTAATTTTTAAATTTTAAAATTTTTAGAAGAGAAAGTGGTTCTGATGCTTGGAAAGTAAAAAATAAATAAATTATTTTTTAAAATTAAAATTATTTTTTTAAGAATTATATGCGTAGATCTACTTGCACAATTAATTTTGGAAAGGATTTACCTTTAGCTCAGGTTAAAATTTAAAAATAATTTAAAAAATTTTTTTTTAATTTTTAGGGTGTGAAATTTGAATAATTTGTGATGGAAAAAATTGATTAGTTTAAAAATATCATATTTTAATTAGTAACAAAAAAGTGCCAAATTTTATAAATAATTTAATTTTTAATTAAAATAAAATAAAAAAATAAATTTAAAATAAAAATAATTAAAAAAGAATATTTTAAATTAATTGAATTATTTGTATTTAATATTTCTCCTTTTTTATTTTCTTCTTCATACTCTTTTGAATTTTCCCCATCATCGTCATCTTCTTCTTCACTTTTACTATTTTGTTCTTCCAATTCCTGTCCATCTGGCCAGATTTTGAAATTACAAAAATCGGAAGAATAACAAGAACAGACCTTTTTAGTTAATTTAAATTTTAATTTCTTCAAAAAAATATTAGAGGGGGGTTTTAGTAAATTTTTACTACTAACCAATATTTTACTAAGAATTCCCCCTAAATATACATACGAAATTCTTTTCGCTTTTCCTACACTCGCTAAATTATTTGCCAAAAATCCCAAAAATATGTTTAGCAAAAGTTTAACCACCGGGCAGGATTCGAACCTGTACCTTTCTGACAGTTATTGCTAGGCGCTTTCGCTCACCGCTTATAGGAGCTCTACCACTGACAAATGAGCTACGTGCCAACGACTAATGCTTTTTCTTTTATCCTTTTAGATCGTCTAACCCCCACCTAAGCGTTTTAAATGTTCTAGGTGAATCATCCTTACAATAAATATTAGATAATCGAGATAGATTTTCTCTTGTCTTTTTTTCAAAAATTATTTTAAATTAATAAATATTCTCATTCTTTTAAATAATTTACTTTAACATTAGCTCCTGTTTTTGATTTTTTCTCCACACATTCCCCTTCACCTAAATTAGCATTTGTTGAGCAAGCATAATGAAGTCCAGATTTTGGGTGATCTTTTTTTAAGAAGAAAAATAGTAATAAATTATTTTTAATTAAAAAATATTTCTTACCAAGCATTAGACAAGAGGAGATTTTTGTTGGCACTTCGCAAACGCCGTGCTTTAAATTTAAATTAAGATGTGAGGAATACAAAATAATCATTTTTCGTGTTGCAAAATTTGTGGTGCAGTCTTGGTAATCCTGCAGAATCTGGGATCCACTTTTAAAAACCTTAAAAATCATTGTTTTTTTTCTGAAAATCATTTTATTTAGGTAATCGATCATGCTGAGTCCGAATCTGAGCTTAGAATTTGTTTATTTTGAACCCCGGACCTGAATTCGACCAAGTCGAATAGAGGGGTAAAATTTCGAAATTAAAAATTTAGGGCTAATCTGACTCAACCTTTCGAGCTGAGTCGAATGCCACCGAAATCATCGCGATCCGACTCCATAGGGCCGAGTTATAGACCCCCGAACTTAGAAAATTTTTGGGGTCAAAAAATTCGAATATACAAATGATAGCTCATTCGAAAGGGCTCGACGAGCTGAGTTGAATGACACCAAAATCAGCTTGATTGGGTGATTCTGAACTAAGTTATGACCAACGGAATCTTCGCTGGAAAAACTGTGGGCAAATACTAAAGCGACCTAAAATCAAGCATATAATAAAAAATCATAGATAAAATGTCATATTTGACAAAATCTGATATCAGATTCGGACTCAGCATGATCGATTACCTAAATAAAATGATTTTCAGAAAAAAACAATGATTTTTAAGGTTTTTAAAAGTGGATCCCAGATTCTGCAGGATTACCGCAGTCTTTACCTTCCCGTTTATTAATTAGGGTTTCCAAAACTGATTTTTGATATAAAATAAGGATTTTTAGTCCAAAATTAAATTGCGGATGTTTAAAACTTCGAGGTACGAGCTTTGGTTTAAATCTCTTGTGCCAAATACAATAGAAACTCTCCCTAACCCCTTCTGGATCCAACTTAACAGATTATGAGGGAAAAGCGACGTGCTTTCCCCTTCCTTGTCTTTCCCTCCCGCTTAAATAAAAAAAACTTTCCAGAGAATTTTCTTTTTTTAACAATTAAAATAAAAATACCTGACAAGGGACTTTCTGAAAATAAAAGAAAAAAATTATTAAATTTTAAATTTAAAAATTTACCGGTGAACTTTGTGTACATTTACATTTGAGGGAATTTGAGTAATTTAAAAAAGAAATTAAAATTGTGAAAATAAATTTTGAAGAAATTGAAATTAACATTTTCTTTAAATTTAATTTTTACATTTTCATTATTTCTTTAAAAAACGTACAAAAATAATTGAAAAAAATGGAAGAAATTATTTTTTAAAAGGACCACACAGAAATATTAAATAAATAAATATTTAGTAGTACTTTTTTTCTTTAAATTTTTTTGTCCGAAAGGTTTGGTTGATCGTTGAAGAAGGAAAAAAACAATTAAATTTTTAGTAAAAATTTTTAAATTATTTTTAAAAGATAATATGTATTCCCGGTCATTTTTATGTCAAATCTCATTCTCAGTTTCTTAAGATTACTTTTTAAAAATGAGACAATAATTAATTAAGTAGGGAGACAACACAAAAATAGATTCTTAAAAGTGTGATCTGTTAAAAATTTCCCTCAAAACAAAATAATTTTGTAGAAAACTAAATTACTAATTAAAAATATTTGCCTAGTTTAACAATAAATAAAAAGCAAATAAAAGAAAAAAAATTAAATTAGACAAAAATAAATACAATTTTTTTTATTTTTTTTTCTAGTCAATTGAAATTTTTAAAAAATTAAAAAGAAAATTTGCTTTTTTTCAAAATTTTTGGTTGTCCTTGGATCTATTTTGTATATACATTTCCTTCAATTTCGTTTTTATTAACACTAAAACCACAAACACTTAAATAGAGAAAAGAAGAATTGAATGGATAGATGGATTAAATAAAAAGACTTTACTGCCTTTCCTTTCCCTCCCTCCTTCTACCAAAATATATTTATTTATATTTACGCCAATTCCTTCCCCTACCAACTCGCGCAGTATAGCATTAATTTAATAATAAGAGTAAATGAAAGGAAAATAGAAGGAAGGAGGAGGAAATAAGGGCAAGCATTGGGGAATTAAATGAAAAAAAAGAAAATATATATAAAAGCTTGAGAGGTGTTATAAGCTGATAAAAGGGGATATATTTGGGCGCAAAAAAAGAAGGAGACAAGATTATATTTAGTTCAGAATTCTAACTTTTCTTCAACAATTGGAATAATTTAAGTCCAAAAGTTTTTTTATGGAGCAGCCTTGTCACTCAAACAATGTTATAGACATTTCTGACTGAGTTAATATTAGAATCATGCCAATGTAAAGCCTATATTAGCTATTTAATTCCTAAGGCTGTGCAGTAGGCGGCGTGGTGTAATGGATAAGACATCAATCCGGCAGCCGAATACCTTTTGTACTAGCTGAAGGAGAGAAATAGTTATATAGCCCATATGCTTTACTCCAAAATTCTCTAGATTCCTTAACAGATTCGGGAAATAAAAACTCTTAAAAGATATCAATCAAAAGAGGAATAACCTTTTTTTATAAATCAATTAAATTAGGAAGGATCTCTCATTTATTTAAAAAATAATAAATTACATGCAAAAAATTTGAATGATTAAATAAATGTAACTTTTCTAACGCCAAACAGCTTAACGTCTAAACTTCTTTTTTAATTTTTAGAGGTGTTTGCGCGACTTGTTTATAATAAATTATTTTATGTTAGAAGAAAAAACATACATATTATTTTAGTAGAAAAGGTAAAAGTTATTATAACGGTTTGGAAAAGCGTAAAAAGAGAGAGAGAGAAAAAGATTTTTTCTTTAAAAAGTTTTTTTAATCCTTAAAATCCTTTAAAAATTAGTAGATTGACGTTATGTCGCCCCCATAAAATAATCATAAGATATTTACTTTGAGAAATGAAATTCTGCTAAAAATATTTAGAGGAAATTAAAGTTAAAAATACTCCAAAAAATTAAAATTAAATTTTCTAAAATTCTGTAATTTTCGAAGGTAAAAAAGAATTCTTGTTAGATAATACTTTTTGGGGATATTCAATTTAAGTATTTTTAAAAATAAGAGAATTAACTGTTATTTTTAAAATTGTTAAAAAAGACAAAAAATGGCTTAAAAATACTTTTAAAAACCATAAAGTGCCAACAATTTTTGCCTTTTTTGGACACTTTGTTTGCAAAAATAACTAAAAGAATGACCCAAAAACGCCCATGGGAATAAAAATAGAAAGTCCAAAACATAAAAATATTGAAGAGAAAATTGGAAATTTTTGTTTAAAAAGAGAGGAAAAGAGGAGAGGGGATTTGTGGAGAAGAGAGAAGAGAAGCTCTACATACAGATTTGTGTTAATCCTTCCCTAAATTATTTCCCTGACGATTATTTATTCAATACAAAATGATGATACGCGCAAAAAAAAGTCTAAAAAATATTTAAAAAATTTGAAATTAAAGAATTTAGGTTCTATGTGGATAACTGTTTTTAAATAATGTTAAAAATTAAATTTATTTGAATTTGGCTAAAAAAATAAATTTAAATATTTTTTTAAATTATTTTATATGAGGAAAAAAAATTTTTTTAAAGTTATTGGACAAACAAAGTTTTTTCCAAAATTATCGGAGGAAATCAAACAGAAACTTTTTGATTATTCAAAAAGAATATTTTTATATAAACAAAAAAGCTTATTTAAATAATCAAAACATTCAGAGAAATATATTTATTGACGGAAAATTTAAAAAATTTCAACAATTTATTTTTTAAAATCCAAAAAAACAAAAATTATTTTTTAAATAATCTAAGAAAAACCGCCATCATTTCCAGACGAATGTGAACGTATTTTCTGTTCCAAACATTTTGCAAGATATTCAGTAGCATCTGCCATTCGATTAACACAATTAACCATACAATTTTCTAACTAAAAAATTAAAAGTTGAGAGGGAATAAAGCGAAAAGAAATTTAAAAAAATAAAAAAAATATTTTTAGCAAATAATCAAGGAGAGTAGAGATAATTTATTTATCATAATCAATTAAGCAAAAAAAGATAAAGGCTTCATTAAATAGCAATTCGTGGTAAGCGACTTTGAAATTTAAATAAATTTAAAAAGAAATTCATGCTATACAAAATTTAATGGATGGAAAACTAATAGAACCATCATAAAATAAGCCCAAACCGAATCCTAACCTTTACCCTTTATATTCTCCAAACCTTTTGCAAAAATTAATAAGGGCCACTCAAGTATTTTCAAAATTATTATAAAGTCACCAAACCTTTGCATCCATTCTATTTGGTGGTCTAGCATCTGGAGCGCAAATATCAAAACATTTTGAACAAATCGTCATAACCTTTTAGGGGGAAAATTTTTTAAAAACATTTTAAATAAATATAACTTGTTCGTGAAATTTTTGTCTTTCACCTTCCTGCCGAAGTTCTTGAATAAATCGAGCAGTTTGTGGATCTAGAGATTCCATCTAATTTTTAAATCAAAAAATTTAAATTTAAAAAAATGAGAAAAATTTAAAAGAAAATAAAAGGGAAAAACATTTTAAAAATTAATAAAAAAAATTTTATTTAAAAAATTTTGATAACCAAAAAAAGAAAAACAACATTTTCTCTTCAATAATCACTTGTAAACCCTCATTCTTTTCTTCAAAACATTAATTCAAAAAATAGTCAAATCCAAAATATCTAGCTCCATAAACAACTAAAAATTAAATAAAATTAAATTTTATATTTTTAAAAATAAAAACTTACAAATTTCCACAATAACTCCAAAACTTAAAAATTTTGTAAAATCTTCCAAAGCCATCTTTCTTGCTTGAACAGAAACTCTTCCATCTGACATTGTCGGGGGCATTCCAGGCTCAAAAAACATTTTTAAATTTGTTAATTAAACTAAAAACTTGGAAAAATAAATAGATAATCTAATCTTAATTTTGTTTATCTAAATTTACAAAAATCTTTTTAAGAAAAAAATATGAAAAGTTGAATTGATAATATGAAATTTCTCTAAGTAAAACAATCATTTCAACAAAAAGACATTTTGCCACAAAGTACAAAATTGTTCATTTTGTCACATATCAATTGAAGTTTACTAAAGATTTTTATTTTTAATTTTTTTACAAAATATTCTTCAATTTTTAATTTAATTATGGGTAATCAACAAAGCAGCACACAATTAAGATCACAAAAACATGAAGAATCAACAACAAATACAGAAATTTCAAATTCTTTTAAATTAATTTCTGATAATGGAGAAGTTATTAATTTAAATCAATTTAAAGTATTTTTTAATTTAAAAAATTATTTTAAAAATATTTTTTTAGGAAAAATTTGGTGAAAGACTTGGTTCTTCTCTTTGGAATTTTTTTCAACAAAATTCTGACATAATGGATAAACAAAAATTTGAGAATATTGCAAATAAATTGAATAAAATTAGCTCTTTTGGACTTGTTAAAATTTTAATTTCTCCAAAAAATTTGGTTTTTTTAATTAATATTTTTAAAAAATTTAAATTTTAGTTTGAAGTTTGTGTTGAATTAGCAAATATAAAAATAAACAAAAATGATGAATTTTTTGTAAATTCTTTTTGTAAACAAATGGTTGGGAATTATGGTTGAAATTGTTTTAAAAATTATTTTTAGACATCAAAAGGTGATGATATAAATTCAACTAATTTGTGGATAGAAGAAAATTGTCCGAGACTTGTTGAGCCTGTTTTTGACAAAATTAATAAAATTTTCTTTGGAAAACAAAATGTTTGTGGGGGTTATTTTTAAAGAAAAATAATTTTTGTTTTTTTTCTAGATAATTTTAAATAATTTACAATCAGAAATTCTGTCTCCAATTCAATTTTTTGTTTTACGACAAAGTTTACCAACAACTATTTTTTGGCCTAAACCTATATCAATTGATTCTCGGGAGGATTGGACTTTGCTATATTCTAGTACAAAAAATGGACTTTCTGTAAACAGGTTAGTTTTTAAAAGAATTTTTTATATTTTAGGGGTATTTTATTCTAAATTCGAATTTAGTTTTTTGTTTAAATCTTTAAAACCTCGTTTACTTAAATTAGTCTTTCGACTAAAAATAATTTAGGAGAAAAGATTCTCTCAAAAAGCGACTTATATAGACAAAAAGTAACGCCTTTTTATTTATATTTGTCTTTTAAATTTTCCCCTACTTTTTTTAAAAATTATTTTTTACTTCCTTAAATTCTTTTATTTTTAGGTTTGAAGCAAATGTTTTTGACTATCGAGGACCGACTGTAGCTATTTTTAACTTAACTGATAACCAACTTTATGGAATTGCTGCAGATGAAGAATGGAGGTTTTTTTCAATTTTTATTTAAGAAAAAATATATTTTTTAGGCACAGCTGCAAGTCTTTTGGGGGCCCTCAATGTGTACTTTTTAAATTTTCTCCAGAATTTAGAAGGATTGATTTACCTTCCCCTGCCTTATATTGCAAGTTTTTTTTTGAAATTTTTGTTATTTAAATTGTTTTTTTGGAGTCTTTGGGAATAGGGAATGAAAGTTTTCTGATTTTTGTTTTTGAATATTTTTGTATAATTTAGTGGGGTGGTTTTACTAAAAATCTAGGTTAAATTGAACTTCGTACCCGCTCCCTTTTTTTTGCTCAAGAAAGTTTATAAATTATTTTTTAGGTAATTTCAAACACCGAACATCCAAACTCGGTTTATATTTTGGCAATTTTTCTCAATTTTCAATTGATGGGGATTTCAATAATGTCCAACAAATTGAGGTTTGGGGATGTGCGGGAATTGAAGCTTTATCTGACCAAAACAAAACAAAATGTCGACAAAAAATGCAAACAGAGAGAAATGCTAAAGTGCCTTTACCAGGAAATTGGGAAGAAAATGCTGACAAAGCTATTTTGGAAATGGGTATTTAATTAAATATTTGATAAACTTTATTATAAGATACGCTTTTTGGGCTAAAAATTTTTTATTGATTGTGAGAGGTAAATCTAATTCTATATTTACTTACTGTTAGAAGTTGCTTTTTTGTGATAGATGTTACTATTCAAAAGAAGGATAGATAAACTGGGCGCAATTTTTCTTTCCTCTTTTTCTAATATTTTTTATATCGCAAGCGCGTGTGATTTTTATTTAAACGAGGCTTTAGGTAGCTCACAACAAATGGTCAACTACTAAATTTAAATTAGGGACAAATTGTGTGTGTTAAATTAAATATAGATAGATAGACCTTTTTAATTTTTACCGAAAATTGAGAGGAATATAAACTCTGATAACTAAAATTTTTACACTTGATTTCTTTAAAACTTAAAAATATTTTTATTTTTAAGGAGGCATTAAATTCTCAAATGAACGTAGAGACTATAAAATTCAATAAAGAATCAAATTGATTTGCCAGATTTTTTAATATTTTTTCTGTGATAAAAAGACTAACACAAATTCGCATATATTTTTAAAAAATATTTTTCTCAATTTTATACAATGTATATTTAATTAAATAAAATTAATTTTCTTTTAAAAATTTATTTTTTTAAATTAACACCTCTTTTATTGACTTTTAAATGTAAAATGAGTAGAGGAGGATTGAACAAAATAAATATATTTTTGATAAATAGAAAAGAAGTTTTTTTTTGTTAATTTTAAGTGGCTTTTTTTAAAAGAAAGGTGCGCGAAATTTTTTTGTTTTCCCTCATTCATTTTAAAAAAATTTAAAGAAAAGCGAATATAAGTAGATATGTATGTTTCTTCTTTTCTCTTTTATTTTTTACATTTATCGCTTTAACTGCGTTTGTTTGTTAGCTGCTGTTTTGGTTTAGCTTACAAAAGAAAAGTCCTTTGAATTTTCTCTTATTTTTCCTTTTTTTGTCTAATAATTTTTCCTATTTGACATTAGCGACTTTTTTTGTTAGAAAATGATGGTAGAAAGGGGTAATTCGAAGAATGATAACTGACAGGGGCAATTTTGGAATAAAAAGAGTGGAAATTGTTTTTGAGGGAGTGAATTTACGCCTGAAAATTTAAAATATTTAATTTTCCTTCTTCGAAACAATAATCGACTAGTTTCGAATAAATTTCTTTATTCTTTATATCCCAATTTCGAATTGTTTATGTTCTCCCTTAATTCTTTTTTAAGTATTCCAGTCTTTTTCGAATTGTCTTTTCTGCGAGTTGCCCTAACACGTGAAACAGTGGCAGCTGCAAAAGCTTTTCCCCTTACTTTTCCTTTATTATATCGAGCAAATATGGTCAGAGTTAGTGTTTCTCTCTTTCTCGACTTCAAAAAAGGGGAAAGCAAAAGCAAAAATATCCTTCTTCTCTTAAATGGCGGGGGAGGGCGAAAATAAGGCAAAAATGTTTTTTTTATTATTATTTCTTTCCTTTTTAGACTTTTTCTCCCTTTTTTTTGCCATGCCAAAACCATTTTCTCCTTTTTTTCCGCTAAATATTTACTTAAATTTCCCACGGAATTTCTCACTAATTTTGTGTAAATTATACACAAATATAAATGCCTTTTTAAAAAATAAATTGTTTAAAATAAAATATTTAATAAAAAAATTTGTGAGAAAATTGTGAGATAATTAAATTATTTAAAACTTCTCTTTTTTCACAAATTATTTAAAGAAATTTTGACAGCTTCGAAATGTTTAAATAAATAAATAAAATTAAATTAAAAATTAGCTACACAAAATATGTATTTATTTAATTTATGGGCAATCGGAATTCCATTCGTCATCAGGGATTGTTATGTCCATCAGAAACCGATTTAACAGGTTCTCCTTTTGTTTAATTTCCCCCTTAAACCTTTTAATAATTATTTAAAATCTTCTTTTTTTTAGACTTCCAAATTTCCAAATTTATTGGCATTGGAACTTTTGGAAAGGTTAGAAATTATGCTATAGTTGAACCTCACTTATAGCTACTAAGGTTGGGGATAGTTGGAAATCTTCGGATATCCGGGTCCGAAAATCTTATTTTCAAAATTTCCGCCTGCGGTGCTGAAAAGTTGGCCCCATGGAAGGATATAGAGGGATTAGGATCAATTATGAATTGATTTGGTGATTAACAGAGTTATCTAGGTGTAATAAATGTGAGGAAACTTTTGTAGTTTATCTGGTTATTTGTGATAATTCAGTGGACTTGGAGGAAGTAGTAGATCGGGTATTCTTTACATTTAAGTTTGGTGAATTAAAAGCTTGAAATTAAGAGAATATCGAGGAATTTTGGTAATTAGGAGAGATCTCCTACCTTTTATCAGTGTGGTCCAATAAATTAAATAATTTATTTTAACTTCTTTTTAAAAAAAGGTTTATGTTGTTTATCACAAAGGATTAAAAAAAGAATATGCTCTAAAAATAATGCAAAAACGAAGAATTTGTAAATATAAATTTGTTGAAAATATCCTCAAGTTTTTTAAAATTATTTTTAAAAAATTTAAATAATTTTAAGTGAATTAAATTTACTTCAAGGATTAACTCATCCTTTTATTTGTTCACTTTGGTATGCATTTCAGGTAAAAAATTAATTTTTCATTTAAAAATGACGGGGATTCTCTTAAGACAAATTCTCTGCTTAGAAGCACATAGAGTTGTCTAAAACCAAAAATTTTCCAAATTCGGAACCAATACTGGACCCCAAGACTAAGGATTTTGGACATTTCTAGAATCATGTATTGAGAAATGAAACATCGGTTTCAAGAAAATACTAACTACTTTAGAAAATCTTTGTTTTTCGGAATTAATATAAGATTTTTTAGAATCATTTAAAAAATTTTAAATTAAATATTTTGACAGGACTCCGACCAAATTTATATGATTAGTGATTTACTGCCTGGAGGGGATTTGGCCTATCATTTAAAAAATCAGGGCCGTTTCTCCGAATCTAGAGCTAAATTGTTTGTTTTTTTTAAATTAAATTTTGAAAAAGAAAATAAATTAAAGATTATTTTGTGAATTGGCATTAGCACTTGATTATTTACATAGACAAAGGTTAACATTTATTTTATTAAAGGAAGGAATTCTAAATCTAAAATGTAATCATGTCTCAAATTTATATACTAGTAAATTTATGAACACAGCGCTTTTAGATTTTTTAAAATTTGTTTGGCCATTAGATTGGGGAGCTGTCTAAGAGATGCTTTTATTTAATTTACACCTTATTTTTAAACCCCAGGGGGGAACTTCGAGACTAATCTGTATTTCAGTAAAAGTTCTCTCTCTCTCATACAGTAATTTGTGTATGTACCAGAGAGAATTGTTTATGGGACCTTAAACTTTTACTTAAAAAATATTCTTAGGGTTGTGTAGCAATAAAATCTTTTATAATTAAAAAAATATTTTTTAGAATTGGCCATTTTGATGTAAAGCCAGCAATTATTTTATTAGACGAGAAAGGACATTCACATTTAAGTGATTTTAGGTTTAGAACAAATTTTTAATTTTAAATATTTTTTTTCTAAATTTTCAGTTTAGCCAAAAGACTTTTAAAAGGAGAATTAGCGAATACACTTTCTGGTAAATTAATTTTTTAATCAATTAAAATTATTTTTTAGGCACCCATCTTTATATGGCACCAGAAATATACCTCACTTTTACTGGCAATATTAGAGGGTATGATTGGAGAGTGGATTGGTGGGCGCTTGGTAATAAAAAATATTTTTTAAACAAAAAAAAAGCTTTTAAAAAATCATTAAAGGTGTTTGTTTTTATGAAATGCTTCGTGGACGTACTCCATATGAATATCCCTCAACTTTTTCTTCACTTCAGGTTCTTACTTTAGGATTTTTTATACCCAAAAAACTTAAATTTTGGGGTAATTCCTTTCCTCATATTTTAAATTAAAAATTATTTTGAGAAGGATTGTCTTTAATTCTTAACAGTCTTCTAAAATAGTGGGGGGAGCTACAACAGCTGTACTTTAATACAAATCTTAACAACAAATTTTCTTTTCAATTTTTTAGGCATTAAATATAATATATACTCGTAGTGTTACAATGCCTAGTAGATGGCCATCTGATCTCATTTCCTTCCTTAGAGCAATTATTAATCCTGATCAAACTATGCGGGTAGAAAATTTTGAAAATGTTCAAAATCATGTTTATATGGAAAGAATTAATTGGAAAAATGTTTTTGATAGAAAAATGATTCCAATTTTTGTTCCTCCAAAAGAACGTTTAGAATCTTTTGGACGACGTAATTACCGTGCAACAATTTCTGTGCCTTTCTCAAGATCACAGCAACATAATAAATTAAAATATTTACCTTCAAAAGAGAAGGAGAGGGCGTCAAATGAAGCTGTCGGTAAATAAAATATTTTTGTTCAAATAATTAAAAAAAAATTTTATTTTTAAAGAATTGACTCAATCAAATGAACTTTTAAATGAAATAGCTAATTTAACTATTAAATTTAAAATGTTTAATAGATTTCGGTGTGAAACACAAATTGCTGAACCTAGACAATCTTTGGATATTGTGGCTAATAAAGAAGTTTGTTTTATCTAAGATAATCTTTACCTTTTAAGGATAAGAATAAAGGAATATCCAAAAAATAAGGACCAACCCCATCCCTAAGAAATAGGAGAACCGAGCAAAATAAAATTCAGAAATGCTGTGCTTATCTAGGAACTAGCTCCTGAGCCGGAGCCAAGATTCTTAAATACCTGGAACCCAATTTTTTCAATTCAACACAGCTCCAACTATGTCCTCTAATAACAGTGGCTCTGGTTTAGTGGACGATAAATTGGCCAGAGCCATAATAGTGATATAAGCGAATGGTAGGCGTGAGAAAAAAGTGGAGAAATAATTAGAAAATTATATTATCTCCCTAATGACTAACCTAATTTATAAATTATTATATGTACTAGTAAATAATTTAAATATATTTTTAGAGAAAACTACTTTCTAGAAAACCAACGCAACTATCAATAATTAATAAAGAAAAACAACAAAAACCGTTAACGGGTCGTCCGTTAACACAAGCGGACAAATTAAGAAAGGCCTTCCAAACGGCTAATCAAGACGTTAATTATTCAATTTAAAATTTTTAAATTTAAAGCAATATTTGTCTTTTTTAACCTTTGAAATATGTAAATTATTTTTAAATACAAAATATTTTGTTCAATACCGGAGTAAAAAGACTATTCAGACCGAAAAACTTTTCGAGCCAAAAAATAGAGACAGGATTTATGGTGGACCTCTTTTTTCCTTAAAACCTTCCTTAAACCTAAAAAGGTGTTCTACCCTTAATAAAATTATCCTTGCATTAAAAATCTTTTTATTAAAAAACAAACTATATACTAAGTAGTTACTATTATATAAAATTCTAAAAACAAATACATACATAATATGTATAATTATTTAAAAGAAACTTAACAACCTAGGTATTACTTGAAAAGGAATAAGCGGTGTATTTACTTCTAAACTTGAAGCCGTTTCAAAACATTCTAATGCCTCATTACTCCTTCCAAGTTCAGATAAAACACATCCAAGTTGGTGCCAATTCCGAGCATCATAAGGTTCAATTGAAGTTGCATCTCTTTAAAAAATTAAAAAAAAAATAAAAAAGAAGATAAAATAAACCTAAACATTTTCTCAGCCATTTTTAAATATCCTTCAAAATGATAAATTCTTCCCAAACAAGCTATTGAAAGTACATGTTCCGTACATATAGAAATTGCTCCAAGAACAAAATTCTTTGCCTCTGCCATTAATTTTTTGCTTAAATTTAGATCAGTTTGGGCACATTTCTCTGCTCTTTTAAAATAAAGATGCCCCTAAAAATTAAATTTTAAATATTTTAGCTTTCAAATAAAAAAAACCTTTAAATAAAGCGCCTGATAAGAGTTTGGATAAATCATACAAGCTTCTTCAACACAAGCTTGAACATCATTCATCCGTTCAATTTCTATAAAAAATTCTGCCAATTCCACCCAAATATCAGCCTTAAAAAATAAAGAATTAAAAAATAACTTAATTTCAACCTGCAACCGAAAAACAGAAAAATTAATCCAAGACTTGCTAGAAGAAGATAATACACTCAAAGAGTCTGTTGATGCTGGTCCACCTCCGTCAGAAGTATTTGTTGGAGGACCGATTGTTGAGAGATTATCTAGTAAAAAACATTGAAGATTGACTAACTTTTTGGCGTTTTCGAATTTTTTGTCAGTCAAAAGTATTTTCAAAATTAACGGGAAGGAATATAGTTTTATATTAAATTTTTAAATTCCTTAAAATAAGAATTTAAAAAACCTATAGATGGATATGGTGTCCCTTCAACATTCGAAGCAATTAAATGTGTAGAAGGTCCCGGTGTTGCTGTAATACCTAATGGAGCGATTAAAAGAGGTGTTAACGGAACTATTGCTTCTTTGCTTGCCGTCTAAAAATTTTTTTAAATTTATCAATTCTTTTCTTCTCTTTTCTTACCATTTTATTAATATCTCCATTTAATCTACTATTTTGTTCATCATCACAAGGATCAGTTGCTGATCTATTTTTTCTCCAAAAACAAATTAAATTATGTGAAGTTTGTAAAGCTTCTTCTACTCGCCCATATCTTGCTTCTAATTTTAACCTATTTAAATAAAAATAATTTAGGCAAAGTTAAAAGTAATCAACAAGAAAATTCGGGTGGAGGTTTTATAAATCAAAAATCATTTCACATCCACAGTTAAATTCCTAATTTAAATTATATATGAGATGCTATTTAAAAGGTTCAGCTACCTAACATAAAAAATTCCAGGAAACTTAATTTCTCTGTTACCCCGACAACTTAACAAACCCCCCTTTTCCTCACAAAAAATATCTTATTTAAAAATCTAATTCAGATAAAAATTAAAAAAGAACCTCAAAACTAAAAGGCCATAATGCGAAGGGAAATCATTTAGAGCATTTATTCTACAAATAAAAATATTTTTTCTTTTACAGAAAATAAAAATACACAAGTTCCAATGCTCCTTTGTAATCTTTTCTTGCAGTAAAAATTAATGCCAGTAACATTATTGCAAAAGGATTTTCTGTATTAAGACTCAAGGCTGTTTGACAATATTCTTTTGCTCTTTCAAAATCTCTGGCTGATGTGAGAATTAAATTGAAAAAAATTAATAAATAAATTTCAAAAGATCTCATGGATCAATGAAATGAATAGAATTGAGAAATTTGGTAATATTTAAATTAATATTAGGGATGTGGAGAAGGTTATCTATGTAAGAGCCCTCCTCAAAAAATTAAGCAAAAATTTACATACGGCACGACAAATATTTAATCTTTATTACTAAAGTTAAGAACGTCTAAAATTTCAAAAGCAAAAATATTCTTACTTACAATTAGCATATTCTAAAGCACAATAAAGATGTGCTGTATCATCATGTGGATCTAATTCAATAGCTTTTTCATAATATTTAATACTTTCAGCAATTAATTCTTTTTTTGAACATAAACTATTTCCATATTGAGCTTTTAATCTTTAAAAAATTAAATTAAAAAAAATACATTTATTTAAATAAACCCAAAAATCATAGCCAATAATAAATGACAACGTCCAGAAAGCCAAGTCCCAGAAGATAAATTTATTGCTTTTAAAGTTACTGATTCGGCTTAAAATAATGTAAAAATTATATAAAATTTTAAAGAAGTAAACCAACAATTTTTAAATTAAAATTTAATTAATTAAAGGAAAGTAAACAAAAAACAGAGGTAAAGCTAAAATGGTACTATTGACTTATAGGGGACTTTTTTTGGCTGGACCGATTTCGACAAATGATATGTCTTTCGAAAGAGCTCGTCGAGCTGAGTCGAATGAGGGGTGAATGGTGTCGATCCGACAATCAGGGGCCGAGTTACAGACCCCTGAAGTTTAAAAAAGAGAAGGGGAGTAAGCTCATTTTGGTCAAAAAATTCAAAAATGTAAATTATAGCTCATTCGAAAGAACTCCTCGAACTGAGTCGAATGACACCAAAATCAGCTCGATTGAACAAGTTTGGACAAAGTTATGTGTCGTTTTTAGCTCCTTACCTATGGTCTGCGCGGTTTTTGCTGCTACAAGGCCCCGGGTACGTCCAAAGCAAGAGAAATAGGAATAGGTTTATGTTACGAGCCCAGGCCCAGCGCCCGTAGACTCCCCGCGAGGCGCGTGCCGCAAAACTCCGCGCGAAGCGCGGAGTTTTGCACAAGCGCCTTGCCGATGCCCCATAGGTTTACGTTGTTTGTTTTTTGTTTCATAACTTTGTCCAAACTTGTTCAATCGAGCTGATTTTGGTGTCATTCGACTCAGTTCGAGGAGTTCTTTCGAATGAGCTATAATTTACATTTTTGAATTTTTTGACCAAAATGAGCTTACTCCCCCCTTCTCTTTTTTAAAATTCAGGGGTCTGTAACTCGGTCCCTGATTGTCGGATCGACACCATTCACCCCTCATTCGACTCAGCTCGACGAGCTCTTTCGAATGACATATCATTTGTCGAAATCGGTCCAGCCAAAAAAAGTCCCCTATAAGTCAAGATTTCCGCTAAAATAAATAATTGTGTGAATAAAAATGTGATAAATCTTACAGCATATCTAATCCGAGCAAAATATTTTTTCAATTTATGAGGATACGTTAAACCACGTTAATGAAGGAAAAATTAGGAAATAAGACAAAATACCTATTTTTTATTTTTTAAAGTCAACCAATCAATATACAAAAACTTCAAAAAAATCAAAATCAACTTAAAATAAACCTAATTCCAAATCTCCAAGTTGTTCAATTTGTAAACGGGCCAAATGTAAATATTCAGTAATTAAACTTTCATCAAATTTATTTTGGTTGTTTTCCTCTTCCTCTTTTTGCAAAATACATTTTTGTAACATTTTTGTTGCTCTAGAATATCGATTATCACAAATTAAAGACAATGAAAGTTGTTGACCAAAAAAATTATCATCTTTTTTCGAAACACGTAAAGCTTTGTCATATAAACCAGAAAGTAAACGATATTGTCGAATATTTGTTAAAATACTAATAATCTAGTTACAAAAAAAATTTTTTATGAAAAAATTCTCAAAAAAACCTGAAACTTTTCCCAACCTAAATTATCATCTTCATCACTCAATTCAACAAAAGATTTTACAAAATTAGAATCCAATACTTGACTAGTTTTAATATCATCACTTCTTCCATTAAATTGACTTTCTTTGTTGCCCATAAATAAATACTTAAAAATAAAAAATATTTATCTAAAATTTTCGAGGAAACAGCACTTATGTGAGAGAAACAATTTGTAGGGAAATTTTAATGATATTTTTATTTTTAAGTCAGGGCGGCGCAAAAGGCAGTGGCGCATATGTCGCCTGCGCGAAAGTCGCTGCGCAAATGTCGGCGCACCGATAGAAGAAAGTGCTAGACAAAATGGTACGCGATAAAATGGTACGACGGGTATAGTTGGACAAAATGGTTCCAAAAAAGGTGGCTACCGAAATTCCAGTTTCTAGTTCAATTCAGTTTTTCATCGTTCATGTTTTATTTAGGACTATTATTAGATACTATAAAAGCCTTCGGGTATGGAATATCATCTTGTATTCAACGTTAACACTGCCAAATTATGGCGCCTGCCACCTGTATTACAACTGCGGAGGATGAACTCATTAATGCTCCTTTCTATCACGGATTTCAAACTGCAGCAGAGGCTGAACCATTATTGACGAAGGACAATGGCCGTTTCCTAGTTCGCCTGATAGAAGAAAATGGTCATTTTGTAAGTAGTTTCCTTTTATAATTAACGTAAATATAAACTTGTAGATCTACATTGTAAGCGTATATTGGAAAGGCAAAAAGCATCACTATCGGATTTTTCAAACAAGACACGGCAATTTTTTTCATTTGAATGGGATTCCAAAGCGAGTAAGAATTCTCTTTTATTTCTTATAAATTTATCCTTCACTTAAAGACAGTTGCGGCCCTTATACGATACCACCGATTTTCACAGAAGCCTGTCAACGACGAATCTGGTGCCTGCCTTCGTAGTTACGTGGAGAGGAGTCACTATGCGTAAGTTACTTGTTTTCTACGTTAATAAAATAAAAATACTGAACATTGTAGCATATACCGTGAACAGCTAACCATTCTTAGTGTGATAGGTCATGGAGAGTTTGGCGAAGTGCGCAAAGGGAAACTTAGAGTTGGAATGCAGAGCATTGATGTAGCTGTCAAGACAATGATTACTGACAAGAAAGGCATTGATCCAAATGAGAGGTGAGAGAATTAAGGAAATTATTGTCTCTTCAATGATTACTTATTTTTAGGATTCGATTTCTGCGCGAGGCAAATATGTGAGTAATTTTAAATTAAAAAATATTTTGAAAAGGTTCTACATAAAATTTAATAGACACATGCGCCTGCAACATCGAAACATTATTCGCCTTTTTGGCGTAGTCGTGTATAATGATCCAATATTGATTGTGACGGAATACGCACCCGGTTTGTCATCTCCAAGTATGAAAGTATTTTTTATTTTCAGGTGGTTGTCTACACGATCGTTTGGTAGAAAAAAGGCCGACTGATAAAGAAAGACTGAACTTTTGTCGTGATATATGCTTTGGAATGGCTTACTTAGAGAGTAAGGAGGTAATAAAGATGATTTTTTTCATTGGAATCTTTCTGATTTTTAGGTAATTCATCGGGATTTGACAGTCAGAAATTGTTTGCTTTCGAAATGGAACGTGGTAAAAATTACCGATTTTGGCCTTTCGCTTCAAGGAATAACAAAAGTACTCTTGCCCAGAGCTCGTGCCCCGATAAGGTGTTTACTTTAATTTTAAATTTTTACATAATTGATTTAATCTTTACAAGGTATGTACCACCCGAAACACTGAAAACTGCACTTTTCTCACACAAATCTGATGTTTGGGGTTATGGTATTGCGCTCTTTGAAATTTGGTCAAAACCACATGAGGAGCCATACAAAGAAATTCAAAATAATCGGCAACTAAGAAAGAGAATACTTGAAGGGTAACTGAGAAAATAAAAATATTTTTTAAAATTTTCCTTTAGATATCGACTAACACCACCAAAAGGAATGCCAAAAAAGATGCAAGAACTAATGCTGAAGACTCAGAGTGCTTCACCAGATAATCGGCCAACATTCAAGACGATAAAAAAGATATATTTTGGAGAAGAAAAGAGTACATTCAGAGAATATGTTAGTCGAATCTTTCGAATTTCTTGACTCAGGAAACCTTTATAAGAAAGTTCTAATTGTAATTATTCCTTATTTGTTAGTGCAATGTATTAAGAAATTCTTAATTCACATTTTTTGTAAAAAATATTAAAAATTCTAGTCTTAATACTGTAGAACCTCATCCCATTTATTCGCAATATTGTGCTTTAATTTGTTAATAAACATTTTTTTAGAATTTGTTTTTTAATAAAATTTTGTTAGATCTTGTTTATTTATAGATTTCCCATCTAGCAATTGTACTTGGACTTTCACAAAATTTTTACTTTTGCATTTTTCAGACTTCTAAATTACTCTAATTATGGACGAAAATGAGTTTATGGAACAGGAAGATGACATTGAATATGTTGAAGAGCCAATGGCAGCTGATTTTGATTTTACAAATGTTAATGATCCTCTCACTTTAGATGACCCAGTTTCTCAAGGTTTTTTTTGAACATTTGATGAATAATTATTTGAAAAAGCTTTTTAGATGATGTACAGCTGCCTTCTACTGTTAATGTTGTTAGCGTCGAACTTGAGACTTTTTCGAAGGAATATACAGATTATGCATTGATGAATAGGTTTTTAATATATTTTAAAGCTTTTTTTTGGGAAAAATAAACGAATCTTTATTTCGTAATTTCTGCGTACCCATATAGTACATTGTAAAAATTTTTTGTTTTTCGATTCAAAACCCAAAAAATTTTAACCACTTTTTGATAACTGATTTTGACTGTTGTCTAATTTTCTATTTTCAGACTTCTTTTTATTGCCGATGTTTGCCCTCCTTTGAGGGCTGATGCATTAAAAATGCTTATTAACTATGTTATTAAGGTTTATATTTTTCAAATAAATTTATTTAAATTAAACTTTAAGAAAACTCAAAATATTCCAATGCTCAATGCTGCCTATCAACGGGTTGAATCTGCAAAAGCTTTTGGTAATATTTCTGGAATTGAAAGTGTGCCTGATATTGATAAAAGTTGGATTGAGATTACCACAGTTAAAGCAAATAATCGATTGGAATCTCTTCTAGCTGAGTTTAAACGGCAGAAAGATGAAGCTGTTAAGGTTTGTAATTAAACTGCCCGTTATAACAATCCTCTATTGTTTTTTCTAGGAATCTATTAGACGTTCATTAGAGGATGTTTTCCATCAATATGTGCAAATGGGAAATCTCCCAGATGCTCTTAAACTTTATACTCGAGGAATGCGTGAATATTGTACTTCTCCAAATCAAATAATACAGGTTTATTTATGCGAGACGGGCAAAAAATATTTGCAAAAAATTTCCTTTAGATGCTCATAAGTTGGATTAATGTTACTGTTTATGCTGAACAATGGCAAAAACTTTCTGTTTTGCTTCCACAAGCTGATCGCGCAATAAATGAGATTATTGAACGTGAAAATGTTTCTTCAATACCCAGCAATACTTTTAGCACAACTCAATATTCTTCTCTTCAATCTCTGCAGATTCCAGCGCGTACATCTAAAATTCAAAAAGATTTGATTCTTAGTTCAAAGTCGAAAATTTTGGCTGTCTATGGACTTGCTTTTTTGCAGAATAAAAATTACAAAGCAGCGGCCGAGAAATTTATGACGGTGAGTCTGTGTGTTTCTTGGATGAAGCCCATATAGTATTAGAGTCCATATATTCTAGATAATTTAATCCAATTTTACTTTTTAGATCGATTTGGATGTTCTCAATTACCCACAACTTATTTCCCCTAGTGATGTTGCAATTTATGCACTTATCTGCGCTCTTGCGACATTCAGTCGGACCGAATTAAAAGAAAAAGTACTTGGTTCTCCTCTTTTTCGAAAGTCTCTGGAATCTGAACCAAAACTTATTGAATTATTACAAAGATTTTGTCAAAGTCAGTTTGGTATTTGTCTTGATATTCTTAATGATCTGCGTGATCAAGTATGTTTTAACATTATTTTATATACAGGGTGCGGCAAATTAAGCGCGCGTTTTGTTTTGGCCATATCTTTCTTTAAAATTAACAAAAATTGATAATTCTTTTTTTATTTTATCCAAAACTCTCTGAGAAAATTTTTGGTTCCAAAAATGAGAAATTTCGTCTACGGATAGTAAAGATAATCCCGTTAGAACATCTAAAAGCGTCAAAAATATTTTTATGCCAAATTTTAATTACTCATAACTTCGTTCAAAATAATTCAATCCGAGAGATTTTGGTACCAAACAACTCCTCTCGCTTAGGAGCATCGAAATAGCTATTAAACTCATTTTTGAAAATTTTACCTAAAAAATTTATATTAGCAAAATTTATTTTATTTTATCAATCAGAGAGTCATATCTCGGTCCATTTACGTGATATACATCTGATTTTGATGTCATTCGAATCGGATTGAGCAGCGGATTCGAATGATATATAAAGTTCCCAAATCAAGCTTATAGCCTTTAATCTACTTCCACTTTTTCATAAAAATTCTTACTCGAAATTTGAAAAAAGATTAATCAAAGTGAATCGTAAAATATAAAGGAGATTTTGGTATAGAAAATTTTCTCAGAGAGTTGTGAATAAAATAAAAAAAGAATTGTCAATTTTTGTTGATTTTAAGGGAAGATATGGCCAAAACAAAACGCGCGCTTAATTTGCCGCACCCTGTATTTTGTTGTAATACTTGTAATGAATTTAATTTTATTTTCTTGGAAATTTTTCGGTTAAAGGGTTTTTGGATACTTTTAGTGTTAGATTTTAATTTAAGAATTAATATGAGAGCTACATTTAATTATTATAGTTATTATTGAACATCTACTTAGCGCCACATATTTCTTTTCTATATTCTCTAATCAGACAGAGTGCATTAATTCAATATTTTGACACTTATTTAAGCTCTGAAATTGGTCAAATGGCTATTGAATTTCGTACTTCCGTAGATGAGGTTTTTATAATTTTTTGAAAAAATATTTTGTTTATTTTAAGCTTGAATCCGAGTTGATTTCTTTAATTGAAAAGGGCTTGCTCAAAGCAAAGATCGATTCGTACAAGAAAGTTCTTTACGCAAAATTTTCTGACAATCGAACAGAAATATATGAACGGTATTTATTTTATTTTTTAATCAAAATTTAAAAATTTTTAAAGGGTTTTAAATTTGCGGAAACGAATCAGCCAACATGCCAATGCTGTTTTACTTCGAGCTGCCTTACTTAATCATCGGATTCATGAACAGAAATAATTTTTGTTTTATAGAACAAGTTTTTTTAATTATGATTTTTCTGATCTATACAAGGAGTTCGAATTTGTTTTATAAAAAATATAAATTTATTTTTTAAAGTTTTATATAATCGAATCTTGTATTAACATTAACCTAGTTTAATTTAGCTCATTTTATCACAATTTCATTTAAATGAGGATATCCATCTGACCCCTCCTTTATTTTAAGAGGTGATTTTTCTGGGTTAATGTTAATTGGAGATTTAACAAATTTTTTCTAATTGTCTACATACAATAATTATTTTTATATTTAATTGGTTTAATACAATTTATTCTTAAAACAGGTGTTAGTAAATTAATTGTCTACAAAAAATATATAATGGTTGAAGTTATCAATGCTTCTAGCTACATTCAGGTAATTAAATTTAAAAATATTAAACGAATTTTTTTTAATTTAGTGGCAAATCATTCGTAAGAACAGCGCGTTTTTGAAACGTCAGCGAGGTATTCCCAAGCATTTCAGCACTGAACCTTTCAATATGGCTCGTATAAATAGTATTCGCCATAATGGGCTGATAAATGCAAAAGCTGTGGATGTTCGTCTGCCAAAGGATGGAAAGGGTGTTCAATTGACTATTAAAAAGAAGCGTGCTGTCAATAAACCGGTTAAGGCAAAGTCGACTACTATTTTTACTAAGGTTGTTATATTTTTTAATTTTTTTTCTTTAATTCTTGCCCCATTTTAATATTTTACTTTAAATAATTCAAAATTGTTTTTAGGACAGTCGTAAAGTTCTCAAATCTGTCGGAAGTTTCATTCGCACCTATAAACCATCACACGCCAAATTAGCTCAGCGACGTGCATCCCAACTTTTGCGAACCCAGAAGAAGATAAAATCGAAAGGTGCGAAAAAGACCAAGGCTGAATAAATTATGGAGGAATAAATGAAAAGAAGTTTTTTGGAATTGTTTTTTCGGTGTTATTTTGTTAATTTCTTTGCTGACATTTGTTTGGTCTTTGAAAAAATTGTTAAAAAATAAAATTAAAAATAATTTTAATTTGTATAGTTTGTGTTTTAAATAAACAAAAATTACTTGAAAATAATATATATTTAAAAAACAATATTTTGGCATTTAAATTCGATAATTAATTTGTTCTCTTGATGGATATAAAATACAAGGTAATTATTTAATAATTGTTATTTGTATTTTTTAAATTTCAAGTTTGTTGATTTAATTGGTTCTTCATACAGAAATGGACCTGTTCGATTTTTACCAGATAATTTTTCGTTACTTTGTGCAAATGGAAATAGATTAAAATATTTTGATTTGAAAAGGTTTTTTGTTAATTTTAATTATTTCAAAATTTCTGTTTTTTTAAAGAAATACTTCCTTTACATCAGAAATCCAATTAAAATGTAACATTATTGCTTTTGATATAAACTCAACTGGAACACATGCAATTGTTGGGGATGAACGTTAGTTTTGTTAAAATTATTTTTTATTTTGAAATTAAAAATTAATTCTTCAAAATTAAATAGCCGTCTTTTCCTTTCCAAAATAGAATGGCATTTTCAGGAAAAAGAGTTTCTGGAGAGGGTTAATGATAAAATTTGTTTTTTTTTGATAGGAAAGAATTGTCCAGTGTAAGGAGTCAAAATTCCTTCCTTTTTGAAAAGTTTAAGGAGAGTGTATATTCCCCGAATAATCTCTTGCCAACTATACACTTTTTAAGAATTTAAAACTGTTTATTTACATTATTTTAATTTTTATATAATTTAGGTGGAAATTGTACTTTAATACATTTGGGTAGCGATGTAATTCTCTATAGAAGGAATTTTCGACAAAAAATCAGAGCTTTGAGTTTTTCTAATGATTCAAAGTTTATATTTTTTATTTAAATTATTTTTTTATTTTCAAAGTTTTGTTGCTGTTGGTACACAAGGAAAAGTTTTTATTTTTTCTGTGGCTGATATATCTGCAAATCAATTTGTACCTTTGGCTTTGTTAAATAGATTTATTCATTCTGAAAATAAGATTAATGCAATTGGATGGTCTTTTGATGGAAGGTTTTTTTTAACTTTAAAGATAATAATTATTTCCCCCAAACTTGTACCGACTTAACTGATCCTTGAAAGGTGCGTGTGGTTCTCTCATTTTTCTCTTTAGAGAGAGAAATAATAAGAAAAGTCAAGGCGACTCAACCGCTCCAAAAGTCTAAAACTTTGAAGCCCTATAACTTTTCGAAATGGGGGTCAGGGGAAGAAAAGCCGGGTACTACAATACGTTTTCGACCACGCTCTACACGATGGTATAATTTTTATTTAAAAATTTTTGGTCACAGTTCGAAATGTTCCCTTGTGAATTCTAAAATTATTTTTCAGTTAATTTTTCGAGAAAATAAATATTTTTTGAATTTTTTTAAATTATAATTTTGTTAAAATTTTCTAGTTTAATCGCCGTTGCTGGAAATAGAATTGTTAAAATATTCAAAACAGTACCTGATTCTTCTAAAAATCCTGGAGGTTTTACTTTTGGAGAAAGAGCTTCAGTTGTCGGTGTTTGGTTTTTTAATGAAAATAATGAAGTAAATTTAATTAGAAAAAATTTATTTTTTAATTTTTAGTTTCTTTCTGTTGATAAAAGTGGAATGTGTAGCATTTTTGAGTTGGAAGATAATTCTGAAAAATTGATATTTGAAAGAAAAATTAGGTTAATTTTGAATTAATCAAAATTTAAAACAAAAATTTTTTAAAGCAAATGTTTAACTTCTTTAATTGGTGTTACTACACATTTGGGGCTCTTATCCGCTTCCGTTAACAAACAAAAAAAGTTATTGGCTACTGGATTTTCAAATGGAACTTTTTGTATTTTTGACATTCCTGGACTTTCTTTACTACAAAATTTTAGGTTTGTTTAAATACTAATTAAACTTTAAAAATTCATAATACGCAAATAATCCACAGATTTTATCTGAAACATTGAATTGAATGTTGTTGTTTAAATAGGTTGTTAGACTTTTTCAGAAACATTAAAGCCGCCTCTAAATTTTTTGAACTTATTTTTAATAAAAAAAATCGTTAATTTATTTTTCTTTTCAAGTATTGGTGATAAACAAATAAATTCAATTAATTTCAATTCTCGAGGGGATTGGTTAGCTATAGGATGTGGAAGGGGAATGGATGCACAATTACTTGTTTGGGAATGGCAAAGTGAATCTCATATACTTAAACAACAATCACACAGTCAAACAATTACTGCTATAGCGTATTCTCCTGATGGTTCAATTTTGGCAACTGGGGCAGAGGATGGAAAAGTAAGATAACATTTTTGTAAACAACGTTTAAAACCCATCCTAATTTGGGGTTCTGATTGTTATGATTTTCACTCGAATTTAAACAAGGATTAGACACAAAAGATAAAACAAACACTCAAACAATTATTTATTTACAAACAATATTTACAAAACATCACACTGGAAAATAGGGACAATAAGAATCACACAAGGAAATATGGGGAGATTACATTATAGATATACAATTATGAGGGAGAAATGTTTTTCCTATTATTATCGCATTTTGGCGTCATCATCTTCCATCAACCGCTTACATGTTGTACTCGATTGGAAGGTTCTTGCGGCGCACCATACCGTCACCCTGGAACCACTCGCGGCGGAATTGCTTGGCTGCTCCTTCCGGTGTGTTGGTCCATTCGACGGTGACACGATCGTTGTTGGTCGCTTCCGCAGCCGGATCGAAGGCGTCGCAAGAGATGGCGATGTTGATGGCCTCCTTCGGGTCGAGCACACCGTTGGGCGGGTCCATGTTCAGACGGCGAGGGTTGGTCGTCTTGAAGGCGAAGCCGATACGATGCCCACCAGAGTTGATGATCTGTAAAAGTGAAAAAAATGTTTATTAGCAGTTAGAGTATTAAAAAGCTGAAAACTTCACCTTCATGTAGTAGGTGTGCTTGTCATCGAACGGCGCGTTGAAGATGACCTTCACTGCAGGAAGAGTCGTGATGTCGCCGGGTGGAACAGACGCCATTGTTGTTGAGAACGAAGTGTTGTAGCTGGAATTGAAGTTGAAGAGAAAGCAAGTTGGGGAAATTGGAGCATTATTACGGTTTTTATAGTTTCGATCACAAGCATACTGATTTTGAGCATAAGAGTATAAAAGAAGCAGCAAAACACCAGTTTCCCCAACTTGCTTTCTCTTCAACTTCAATTCCAGCTACAACACTTCGTTCTCAACAACAATGGCGTCTGTTCCACCCGGCGACATCACGACTCTTCCTGCAGTGAAGGTCATCTTCAACGCGCCGTTCGATGACAAGCACACCTACTACATGAAGGTGAAGTTTTCAGCTTTTTAATACTCTAACTGCTAATAAACATTTTTTTCACTTTTACAGATCATCAACTCTGGTGGGCATCGTATCGGCTTCGCCTTCAAGACGACCAACCCTCGCCGTCTGAACATGGACCCGCCCAACGGTGTGCTCGACCCGAAGGAGGCCATCAACATCGCCATCTCTTGCGACGCCTTCGATCCGGCTGCGGAAGCGACCAACAACGATCGTGTCACCGTCGAATGGACCAACACACCGGAAGGAGCAGCCAAGCAATTCCGCCGCGAGTGGTTCCAGGGTGACGGTATGGTGCGCCGCAAGAACCTTCCAATCGAGTACAACATGTAAGCGGTTGATGGAAGATGATGACGCCAAAATGCGATAATAATAGGAAAAACATTTCTCCCTCATAATTGTATATCTATAATGTAATCTCCCCATATTTCCTTGTGTGATTCTTATTGTCCCTATTTTCCAGTGTGATGTTTTGTAAATATTGTTTGTAAATAAATAATTGTTTGAGTGTTTGGTTTATCTTTTGTTCTTAGGTGTATATATAAATTTTTATTTAATTTAATGAAACTTACTGTTATAGTTCTATAGCTTTTCGTTTGGAAGCTGACAAATTAAAGTTGCCCTTGAGTTCCACCGCCCATCTATTCTCTTTATTTTTTCTCATCAATCAAATAAATCTAGCTAGCCATAGTTCCCATTGTGATTACAATTTCCAATTGTATGAACGTCTCTCTCTCCCCTTTAACTCGTTTTACCTTCTTTCTGTTATTCTTTTAAACTTAGGTGAAACTTTGGAATTGCGCAACTTCGTTTTGTACTGTTACTTTTACTGAACACGAAACTGGAGTTACAGATATTTGTTTTACTCAAAATGGAAAAGCTGTATTGTCTTCTTCTCTTGAAGGTTCTATCAGGGCACATGATTTGAAAAGGTGAATTTAAAATAAAAAAATCCTTAATTATCTTATTTAAAAAGGTATCGTAATTTTCGAACATTAGTAGCACCTAAACAGACACAATTACATTTACTTTGTGCCGATTTTTCTGGTGATATTGTTGCAGCTGCATCGAGAGATTTATTTGAAATTTATGTTTGGGTGAATAATTTATTTAAAATTATTTTTGAAAAAATTTTTTCTTCCAAAAATTGAGGGTATTTAATCTAAAATAAAGAATTTATGTTTGGAGATACATAGAGGGGGATTATTTAAAAAAAGTTATTTTAGTCTTTTGAAACAAGTGAAGTTTTGGATGTATTGACAGGCCATTCTAATTTAATTAACGGATTAACTTATTATGAAAATACTTTATGTACTGTTTCTTTGGATAAAACAATGAAAATATGGAATATTGTGGACGGTGGAAATTGTTTAGAGACTGTTAATTTATTAAATGAGGGGTTGGATGTTAAATATAGGTAAATTAATTTTAATTAATTTAAATATTTTGTTTATTTATTTTTAGTCCAAATGGATCTCTTTTAGCTGTTTTATGTTATGATTCTAATATAAATTTATTTAATACTTTAAATACTAGTCAAATTGGAATAATTGAAACAAAATTAGATATTGATGCAGGAAGGCAGAGAATTGATAAAGTTAAAAAGACTACTTCAGAAAAGAATAAGTAAAGTTTAAATTTATTTTTTTTTGATTGGTGAGTCTGATAGACGGAAAGTGAGATATTTTTGGAAATTTTTGAAGAATTGGGATTTGTTTAAGAATTAAATTCTTTTTTTTTAGAACATTTACTTGTATTGCATTTTCACCAAACGGTCAATTATTACTAGCTGGTGGACAATCAAATATCTTTTGTCTTTACAGTGTGGCTGATAGAATTAAAGTTCGATCATTTAAATTAAGCAGTAATTACAGTTTGGATGGAGTTAATGTAAGAGAGAATTTTATAAAAAATATTTAAATTCCCCCTCTCTTTTTCAGTTAGATATTAATTATCGAAAAATGACAGAATTTGGAAATTTGGATTTATTTGATTTAACAGATTCTGATGAAGAAGAAACAAATCCAAAAAAGAAAATTAGATTGCCTGGAACAAAACACACCGATCTCTCTGAACGTGCTGTTAGACCAACAATTTCAATGTCTAAAAATGCTTTTTCTCCGAATGGTAAAACTCATTATGAAATAATTTTCTACTAATTTCCAAATATTACTCTTAATTACTCTTAATTAGGGTTGTGGGAATTTTAAATACTTTCATCTTTAATCTCGTCAGATTTACTAATCTTTGTTGACGAGAATATTCACTATTTTGTGTGAATCCAAAAGACAACCTTACTGTAGATATAATAATCCCAATAAAAATTTTTAGGTTTGGATTTTGCTGTAGCATGTACTGAAGGTGTTTGTATTTATTCTTTAACAAAACCCCGAAGATTTGATCCTTTACAACTTGAATCAAATGTTACACCTAAAGAAATACTTAATTCAACAATTAATGGAGAACATGTAAATGCCCTTTCTCTAGCTTTGAGATTAAATGATAGAGAAATTGTTGAAAGAACAATTGAAGCAATACCTGTTGAACAATGTAAAATTTTTTTTCAAATTTAGGTGTAAGAATGGAATCCTTAAAAGAAGATAATAGAAATCTACAATATTTGAGGGAAGGAGTTTTTCGTTGTACGAAATATATTTTCTTGAGAACATAATCTAACTTTAATTTGATTATATTTTGTAGGATAAGCTTAAAATTATTTTTTTAAGTACGTGTTGTTATTGACAATTTGGGTATTTCTGCAGCAGAATTATTACTTTATTGGCTAGCAGCAAACAAAACTGGAGGGCCAATTCCTTCAAAACATTTTCATTTTTATTTAATTTTAATTAAAGAATTGTTATATAAATATAGTAAAGAATTTAAATTATTAATTGATTTAAATAATCCATCACTAACTGCTATTCTGGAATTATTAACAAGTCAAAGCAATTTATTACTTGGAATGTTTGTTTTTTTTTTGAAAAATATTTTTTTTGAAACAAGGGGAGGAAGGACTTAACTAGAATATTGATTAATATGTTAAGATAACTTAGAAATTATGGGTTAGTCTTTTTGGTACCCAAATCCTGAATGTTTAGGCAAGCGCCTCGAAACTGACCCAAAAATTCTTAAATTTTTGGGGAAATATTTTAAAGCACAACTAAGATTTTTCTGAATTTTTGACTTAAACTGATAAAAACTTTAATAACTTTTCGATTGCCGGTTTGACCTAAAATTAGATTCCTTCACTTTTTAATTGTTAATATAATAAAATTATTTTAAAAATTCCTCTTTAATTTTAAGGTCAACACAAAATTTGCATTCACTTGAATATTTAATAATGACTAGAAATATGGAAAATATTTAAATTGATTTTTTTCTTTTTTGTTGATTTATTTGTTAAAATTTTAAAATAAATAAATAAAAATAAAAGGAATACAAATTAAAAATAAAATAAATAAACAAAATAAACGAAATATTAATTCTGGTTCTAAATTCTTTTTAAATTTTGTAGTAAATAAATTATTTGTTTCTGAAATAATTAAAAGTTTTTGGAGAAAAGAAGAATATTTGATTGCTTTTTGAACTAAACATTTTGTGAATATTTGAATAATTAAAGATATTAATGTTGTTATTAATAGAAATTGAGCAAATGTTACTAAAAAAGTAATTAGAAAAGAAAAAGTAATTTTTAGAGGGGGAGAGAAAAGTATTTATGTTTTTTGAAAGAACGGTAGTTATGGTAAATTTGAAAAAATAAAAGATGGCTCTATGGTGGATTGGTGTAATATAAACTTGGAATTTAGAGAGGACTTGGCAGAAAATTGGGTTAAATTCGTTTTCTCTTTCTGGAATTACTAAAAGGTGTGGACGCGGATTTTGCTATCCGTGTTCGGATGTATCCGTGAGATTGATATCTGCATCCGACATATCCGCTGATAAAATGTCCGAATCATTTTTTGGGTCCGGAAACGCTAACTCTAATTAATATTAAAAAATAGATTTCCTTCTTTTTAAACAAATGATAGGAAGGGGATTAAAATAATTAATTTTAAAAAACTCCAACCAATTTTTGGATTTTCCCCCGCTGCTGGAGGCAAAGTTTGAAGAGCATCACGTAACAAAACCGATTCTAATACAAAATTAGCCAATAAAAGTCCAATAGATAATTCAATTTTTGTTGACAAAAAAGAAAGTAAAATAATAATTAAACAAACAAAACAGGGCAATCCAATCCCCAACCAATATTGTGGAGAATTTCGACGAAATTTTAAATTTAAAATAATTAATGTCCTTTGAATAAATATTTTTAATCTCCTTTCTTTTAAATTAAAAATTACCAGGTACTCTGTGCCTCATAAGCACTATTTGGCCTTTCATTAGAATATTTTCTGTGGCTTTTATAAAAACTTAAATTAGCATTAACTGACAATAATTCCCATTCTTGTATATTTTTTTTGATTGATTGATTCCCCCAACCAAGCATTACTGAAGGTTCCAAATTATAATAACTTTTGAAAAATTAATTAATTTAAAAAAATAACAAAAGAAAACATTGCTAATTCAACTTCACTCATAACATTTGTTGTGTATAGACGGGCTAAAAATTCGAATTTTTTAAAATTTTAATTTCTTAAAGGTAAAATAAAATATAAATATTTAAACTGTGCGCAAAAATATAATTTGTGGGGAGTTAAAACGACAGAAATTTAAATAGACGTTTTTAAGCATACTTGCGCACATTTTAAAATTTTTAAAAAATTTTCTAAATTTATTTAAAATTTACCAGCACAATTTTGTTCATCATTTGGATAATCTCTTTAATTTAAATTAAAAAAATTAATTAATTTTAAAAAACCTAAAATTAAAATTACATCCAACACGAACAGAAAATGTTGGGTAACTTTCTACCTAAAAATAATTAAATTTAATTATTTTCTTTTTAACTTACTTTTGTTTTATTTGGAGTTATTGATGTTAATGTTGCGTGTGATCGACGAGATATCTTTTTTATTTAAAAATATTTTTTTTTATTTATTTTTAACCTCAAAATATTGATTAACACCGGAAACACTAAAAAATAAAAATTTTACTTTTATTTCATTTAATAAATGTTTTTCTTTGTAATTAATTGAGACACAAGGGATTAAAAATATAACGAGAAATAATAATTACAATTTTTGGGAAAGATTAAAAAATTTTTGTAATAATCCCTTCAGATTTATTTATTTATTTAAACTACCTATTAGCTATTCGCAATTCTGGATGCCAAATTTCCCTTTTAAAAAAAGAATTGTTTTATTTTAATTAATTATTTGAAACAACCAAGTTTTAACCATAGTTGTTCTAACATTATTAAATAAAGAAGGGTCCCAAGTAGCTTTATCATCACTCCAAGTCATACTTTATAATAATAAAAAAATTATTTTAAAATTTTAAATTTACTAAATGTGTCCATTCAAAAACATTGTTTGTTGAAGTTGATCAACAGAAAAATGCCTAAAATATTTTTTGAGTTTAGTGATTGGTTATTAAGGGAGTGAGGGAGAGAGGGAAAATGATTAATGATGGTTAAGCTCTCCAATTTTATATATTTTTTAATCCCTAAAGACTAATCAAACACGACTACATTAAACAATTTTGACATTTTTGTTTCATCACAAATACGTAAAATATCTTAGTAAGGTAGTCTTCACCTACCTACTACCTCTACATAGAGATGTTGTCTCATTAAAATAGTTTTTATGATAAATAGTTAGAGGGTTGATGTTCGAAGTATATTCTCTTTACTGATTTTTATCGAAAAAAGGTCATTCTAAATAATTCTCGAATTATTTTTGGCCCCTAAAATGTAATAAGGTTGTAAAAAATCTATTTAAATTTACATTAAATAAGCGTGGAAGAGGACAGTAGTGGGTATTGACTGATTCTGTACAGGCCTAGTTTTTCTGTCATATTTTTTAAAAATATATTTTTGTAAATTTGTTTGTTCCTGTACAAATGTTCTGTTTGATATTTCTTTTAAATAAAAATAAAAATTAAATTTAAAAATTAATTAAATTAAAAAACCCTCAGGCAATTCATTTTGAAAATTTGAAAATTCAGAAGTTTGAATTTGAGAATTTATTGGGGAATAAATAAATAAAATAATTAAGGGAAAATAATTAAAGAAGATTAAATAATAATTAGTAAACATTTTTTAAACCCTAAAAATGAATTTTTTATAAATTCGAAAAAATTTCTAAATTATCATTAATGCTAATAAAAATTTAGGAACTACAGTTTCCGGATCAGGCTCAGAATTGGACGATTTATATGTCATTCGAAAGAGCTCATCGAGCTGAGTCGAATGGCACCAAAATTTTTCCGCGGAAAAATTCGGAGCCGAGATATAGGGCTCGAAATGGTCAAAAACCATAGGGGGGAGTAAGCTCATTTTTGGGGTGAAAAATTCAATTTTACAAATAATAGCTCATTCGAAAGAGCTCGTCGAGCTGAGTCGAATGACACCAAAATCAGCTCGATTAGATGATTATGAACAAAATTATGACCAACAGAATCTTCGCTGGAAAAACTGTTTTTGTGCTGCTACGGAGGGTAGGCCGGGCATGGTCTTCGCTACACGATGGCCGTGCTTCGCTGCGGTCGTGCTCGCTGCGCTCGCGGCGACCGTAGCGAAGCGGCGGCCGTCGTTCCGCTCGACATGCCCGGCTTCCTCCGCAGCGGCAAAAACTTTTTTCCGCGAAACCCTTGTGGAAGGGGCTAAAACAAACGGTCATAACTTTGTCAAATGACGTCTGATTTTGTTGATTTTGGTGTCATTCGACTCAGCTCGACGAGCTCTTTCGAATGACATATAAATCGTCCAATTCTGAGCCTGATCCGGAAACTGTAGTTTAGCCAAAATTTATATTTATTGGAAAGAAAATATTTTAATTTATCATCCAAGAAAAAAGGATAAACTTATAATTCAAAGACGAGTTATACTTTATTTAAAAATTTTACCCAGAGTGCATAAACTTTTGTAGTGTGTTAGAATTAGTAGAATGCCCAAGATCGAAAATTTTCCAAGACTCGAGACCAAGACCCCCCCCCCCCTCCAAAAAACCAAAGACTAACAAACCCGTGAAAAATCTTGAGTCTCTCGGACAGCTCTAAAAATTAAGTTATTAGACAACTTTTATTTAAAAATTTTTTCTGAGTCCTTGAAAGAAAAATAATTTTATATATTCTGATTATTTGGGAATTATACTAAAAATTAAAAAAAAAATTTAATTTTCAAAAACAATTTAATAAAATAATTTTTCAATAATATTTTATTTAAAAAAGTGAATATAAAAATCTAAAAGTTTTATTAAATATGTAATTTAATATACACATTTGCAAAAAATTAAATAAACAAAATAAATATTTATTTTGCTCTTTTAAACAATCAAAAATGTCCAAAAAATAATACAAAAACTAGGCTTTAATTTAGTTTTTATGATCTCAATAAAATTTAAATATAAAGAAAAATTATTTAAATTTATTTTTAACAAAAAATTTCTAAAAAATTTTAAAATAAACAAAACAAAATATAAATAAATATTCTGTTTTTAAATTAACAATTTTTGTCCATATTTAAGTTTTTGTCCAGCTTCTATACAAAAATTAATATTTTTTGGGGCTTCAAAAATCTTTTTTAAAAAATTTATTTAAAATTCTTTAATTTATTTATTAATTTACCAAAACAATTGCTGACCCCATTCTAAATTCTCCGATCTTTTCTCCAGGATTTACAGACAATCCTTTTATTGCAAATTTTGTATTTTCTTTTAATTTTCTATTCTTTTCTTGTTCCTAAAAAATTATTTTAAATTTTTTTGTTTTGTTATACTCCAATCTCGTTAAAGGAGTAGTATACCCCCCCCCTCACTCTTTAATTTAGTTAACCATTGAAATTAGTTTGCAAAAGCTTTACATGCAGAGGTCGAAAATGAAGAAGGTGCCGGAAATCGGAAATAATAATTTCAATCAACCTCTGCCTCTCTCATTAATATGTGTAGTAGAATTAATTTATTTGTTAGTGTAAGATTTAGCCTCTAGTTTAATTCACTCCCCATTTAATTTACTCCTTATTTTAATCTACACTCGCCCACATATTTATAATCATTTTAGTTCTACTTTTTTACCCCCTAAGCTTACACTTAGACTATAACGAGATAAGAGGAATAATCTCTCTCTCTAAATTTACATCAAAAATAACAATATTCCCAACAAACATTGCCGCTACAGGAGTCATCTATTTTTAATTTAAAAAATTTTTTTAAATTTTTTTCCAATAAATTTACCGAAAAATACCCAAATTTCCATTTTCCAGTCAAAACAATCCTTTCATTTTGACAAAATAATTTTGGATTTTTTAATAAATTTGTTGGCCTAACAGATTGGTAAAAACCGGGAAAATGAGTTTTTTCAAAAATTTTCCTTTAAAAAAATTTTAGAAAATTAAAAAAGAAATTATTTTACTGACTGACCATTTTGTTGGGGAATGAAAAGCTTAAAAAATTTTAAAAAAATTTTTCAAAAAAATTAAATTACCGTGATAATCACCGGGGGCCAAATAAATAATTAATTGATATAGGGAATTATTCTCCTTAAAAAATTAATTTATTTATTTTAAAAGATATTTACTTTAATTTATTTACTTTTATTTTATTTATATTAAATGGACCAAGAAATTCATTTATTTCATAATCCTGCCCTTTTACACATTCAATACGTCCATCAATGACTTGGCCAAAATGCAAAACTTTTTATAAAAAAGAGAGAATTAATTTATTTTTAAAATTTAAATATAGTATATTTACAGTCAAACCATTACTTTTAAAAAATACCCATAAAATTAGAAATAACTTTTAATTTAAGATTACGTCTTTTTTATTAGATAGATATTGGGTAAATAAATGATATCCTCAAAATATTGAATAAACTTAATTTAAAATACAAATTCTTCAATGAGTGAGGTTTGATAGTTAATGTTTAAATATTCAAAAAACCCCCCCAAAAAATCAAAACTTTTATAAAATTAATTTTAAATTATTTTTACCAGTTCCATCTGCTGGGGAAACCTTTAAAAAAACAAATTTAAAAAAAATTAATTTTTTCTTTCAAAAATAATTAACCAAATCAGAATATAAATTAATTGGTCTAATCCCCTCTTTTAATTCTCTATTAAAAAATTCAGAAAATGTTGAATAATTTAATAAAGAAGGTTCTTTAGCTTCTTCCATATTACAATTATATAACCAAACATATAAACCATAAATATATTCACGCAAAAATGTTGAAACTTTTAAATTACAAAGAATTCCTGCTCTATAATTATTTCTTTAATTTTTAAATCCTTTTTGTTCTTGTGGTTCTAAATGCCAAAAACTTGAAAACATTGGGAACGAAAACCTTTCGACATTTATATGTATCAAAGGTGTTCCAGTTTCGCCTTTCGCGGATTTTCGTGTTTTTGGACTTTCGCCTTTCGCTTTTTAAAATCTGCTTCGGCACACCCAAGTTTTATACTTATTTATTAACTAGTTAGTCCCTTTATTTAATAAAAAAATTAATTTTTACTTTGGAGAAAGAAATGAAACTAAAGGTGAACATTGAATTCTAATCTGGAATATGAATTGTATTAATTAATTAATGTAGGGAATTGGGAATATTGGGGATTCCTGAGACTAGAATTATGGTGGTATAGATTGATATGTTAATTAATAAGACTTTTTGGAGTTTGTTTTAAATTTAAAAGAATTTATTTTTTGTTAAAAATTTCTCAAAAAAATAATTATTTTTCGGTGAATTGTCTATTCAGTAAAATATCCCCACCAAAAATACAAACTTACCGACAAATTAGAGTAATAATGTTTTGGATCTCTAAATTGTCTCCATTCAGGTAATATATTTAAAGAATATAATAAAGTTAATGCCCCAACAGCCCCAGAAACTTTTTTAATTGTTGGTAATTTAATTAATGAAGTTTTATTTGGAATTTTTGTTGTTAAAAATCTCTTTAAAAGATTAAAATTAAATAAAAATTAATTTAAATTTACTAAAGAAATTGGAGACTGTTGACGATGAAATAAATTTGAAAGTATTATTGTTGTTGTTTTTTTCATTTTTTTTGAAAAATAAATTTAAAAATAAATCTAAAATTTGTGAATAATTAAAGTGATATAATTGTCATTGTTTATTTATGTATGTATAATTTCAAACACAGAGCTACATATGTACCAGGGATCGCGCCGACCCGATTCCCGAAATTCCCGAAAATCGTGAATTCCCGACGATTTTTGGCTCGTGAATTCCCGATTCACGAAAATTTGATTTTCTGTCGGCGCGTTCCCTGATATGTACCATAGGTATTTATCATAATAGACCACTTCTTAGCTGATTTTATATCGGAGACAAATATAGAACCATTTTGGGAGAGATGAAAATGAGTCACACAAACGACAATTTTACCCAAAAATTTCCCAATCAGTCAGAAATTTTGAAAAAAATTCTGTGAGTCAGTCAGAAAATATTAGAAAATTTTTCCTTACTTTCCTTGGATAAAAAAATTAGAAACAGAAAAAATAATGTAAATTAAAAAATAAATAAAAGATTTAACAACTCTTTTTACTTTTTTAAACAAAGATAAACAAAGAAAATCATTTATTTATTACTAAAATATAAATTTAAAAAATAAAAAAATAAATTTAATAACAAAAATTAAATTAAACAATTTAATTTATATTTCAAAGCAGTAAGGCAAATAGGTATTGCTTCTTCTGTTCTAATTATTCTACTTCCTTGATCTGGTAAACTTTAAAAAAATATTTAAATTTAACATTTAGAAAATAAAAAAAACCAGTTAATATAATTTTCAAAATAATCTTTTGGATTATTTAAATTAATATTTGGATCTGATTCTATTGCAGATTCTAAACCATTTAATCCACCAAAAACTATCAGAATTTTGCTAAAATTTTAAAAATATATAAAATTATAATTACAATCAGACTTCACTTGAAAATACACCCTTAGAATTGAAAAATTGTATTTAACCTTAAATTAGGTTTAGCTTAAACTGGTGATAATGCTTACATTTAAAGGCTTTTCTCCAACTAGAAGTCAACAATATTAAGAAAATCTTAAATTGAGGCTAAACGATATTGGGTGTATTTCAGAAGTGTGCCAGTTTCGCGTTTTTTGGATTTTTGTCTCTCGCTTTTGGATTTTTGGATTTTTGTCAACCGCTTTCGGCACACCCCTGGTTGAGATTTGACTGTAAAATTTAAAAAAATATTTCAAATTTTATTTTTTCAAAGTAAACTCTTTTTCTCCAACAAACAAACTAACCATCCTTCCTTTTTTGGAATATTAATTTCTTCAATTGGAGTTCCTCTTTCAGATGTTCCAATAACAAAATCATAAGAAGAATTGATAACTTCAGACAAACATTTTGCTATTCTTAATTTAAAAAAAAATAAATTAAAAAATTAATTAATTAGTAATTACCTAACAGAATATCCCCAATAAATTCCAGCTTCTTCTCGAATTTGTTTTGGACTAGTCAAATAACCTTTAAGCTTTTTAGACCCTTCCGGCTCTTCTATTTTTAAAGTAACTCTTGTATTTGGAGGTATTAGATTTTGTTCACAATTTATTAAAGTAACATCCTTAATTGATTTAAAAAAAGTTTTATAATACTCCACCAAGTTTAATCTTCCCATTTTCTCATTAAAATTCAATTAAAAAATAACAAAGACGAAAATACAGTAACGGCTAAAATAAGTAACGTACACTACACTCCTCATTAACGTATTTTAAAGTTGAGTGAACATTAGAGCGTTGCCCTCAATTTTATGTACATCCCAGTTTTACGTCCCCAATGGTGTATGTACAATCAAAATCATCCTACCCCCCCCCCTCCCCCTTCTAATTTACCCTTTCAAATCCAACAAAACATTTTTGTCCTTTTTTTGAACTCTTTTCCAAAACAATTCCTTCTCTATAAGGTAAATCAATATCTGTTGCTCTTAAATGATGCATTGAATCTAGTGGATTTAAAAGACCTTTTTAAAAATAAAAATTAGAAAAAGATATTTTAATTAAATTTACCAGCAAATTGTAAAGAATTGTGAATCGGAAAAAAATTTTTTCTCAAATATTGTGGGCATTCCAAATATTCAAAAACTTTTGCCATAAATAAATTACCTAAAATATAACAAAAATTATATTTCTTTTTCTATTAAAAAATAAAATTTTTGAGAAAACGGGGGTTGCTTTTCTATTAAGTCGTTTTTATGTTGTGCTAAAAAGAACGAGATTTTTTCACCAAATTTGTTTTATGGTTAACCCTCGAAAAGATATCCTAACTAAATAAAATATCTTTTCTATCACTCCTCCATAAATTCAGAAAAGGGTAAGAGACTCCAGAATTGGAGTAATTTATTCAAAAATTTACTCAATTAAAACAACTTACATTCACAATTATTTGAATTAATAGGGTCTTGTCCACTCCAATTTCCTTCTTTATATTCATCAATTTGTTTTTGTTTTATTTTTGCAGTCTCGTCAAATATAATTATTTCATCAACACAAAAAATAGCAAAACTACGGGCTAACTATTTTTAAAAATTAAATTTTAAATTAAAAACAAAATAAACCTCTCCAGTAATATAAGCCCTTAATTCTTTTGTTTGGACATTATTTAAAATTGAACCAGGCAAAGCTACATTTAATGAATACCAAGTCTCTAAAAATTTAATTTTCAGTTAATTTATCTCTCACAAAATTAATTAATTTAAATAACTTAATACTTTGATTTGCTCTTCTACAATTAGGTTGTTGTTCTTTTATTTGTATTTTTTGTTCAAGTTCTTCAATTGTTTTCTCTTGCTTTTCTTGTTGTTTCTTTTTATGTACTAAAATGAAAAAAAACTTTTTAGTTGAATTATCGATAAAATTAACAAAACATTTTTAGTTAATAATCAATAATTTTTATCAGTTATTAATTAAAGAATTTTCTCGTTCAAACATTTCTAATTTCATCATAATAATTTTTATAAAAAATTAAAAAAAATAATTTCATACAAAAACGCCAATTAACATATCCTCCTTGTTGATGTCCATTTCTTTTGTTTTTAAGTTTTTTGGTTATTTGAAGACGATCTTTTCTGTTAAACATTTTCTGTAATTTTTTTCTTTAAAATATTTAAAATATAAATAAATATATAAAAAATAAATATTAATTTCTTTAAAAAATATTTTTAAAAGCCAAATTTTATCTTCAAAAATACCCGAAAAATAAACAAAAATAATTAAAAAATCAACTAAAATTTTTTTCTATTTTTTAATTTTTCTTTTTTTATCATCAGCAATTAAATAATTAATTGAAGACATTCCTCTATTATTAACAAAATTTTGTATAATTAAAAGAATATATTCAAACAGTAATTTTACCTAAAAATTAATTAAAATATTTTAAAAAGAAAATACTTTTGATTGATTTAAAAAAGCCAAAGTTAAAAACAAAATTAAAGCTAAACCAAAATAATTTGCTTTAACATCAGAGTCAGTTTTACGATGTTCCGATTGTGGTAAAATTCTAAATTAAAATTTTAGATTTTTTATAAAACTTGTTAATAATTTTAAAGTTTGGATTAAAACAAAAGTTAAGCCACATTAAGCCAAAAGTAAAAAGCCACACCCAGTCAAGAATTTCTAATCCTATTCAGATGTTCTACTGACTGACGTGGATTAACTAATTAACGGAATGATGATTTTACTTCTCTTATATAAATAACTGCTTAAATAAATAAATATTGTGTGAGGATTGTTCAATAAAAATTTAAGACTCCACAAAAATTGTGTAGCCGACGAAAATAGAATCAATAAAAAGGACAAAAACCTAGATTACCTAATTTTTCCTATTCGGTATTTAAAAATATTTTTACCTAACATAATTAAATTGAGAATTTGCAAAGAAATTGACTGAAACAGAATCCATTTTTGATTGTTTTGAATCAATTAAATCAACAATAATTGAATATTCCTTTAAAAAAGTTTTAAAAAATTAAATTAAAAAAAATACCCGTTTATAATTAGGAAGATTAAAAACAAACAAAGAAGAATGACTTTTAATTAATTGTTCATTAATTGCATTATTATCTTCCAATAAAACAACTCTAAATCCATTAGAATTTTTTGTTTGCTCAATTTCAATTTCTCCAATAACTATTGGAGATGGACGGTCAGAAGGTAAAATTGAAAAATTTATATCATTTTTATTTTCTGTTCCAACCTAAATTTTTTGAAAAAATAAATTTTTTTAATAAAAATTTAAAAAAATTACAATAAAATTAAAAAAAGAAGGAAAGGCAGGAATACTATCACCTCCTTCAGAATTTTTTAAAGAAATTTGATAGTTGCATTGAGGTTTAAGTCCTTTAATTCGAAAATCACCAGAACGTTGATCTATTAAATCTTCCTCCTTAGAAAAGAAAAAAATAAAATTAAAAAAATTGATTGACATTCAGAAACAATAAAAGAAACAGATTAACTCATTGTAAGATTATTGTTAGGCAGCCCGCCTCAAATGAATAAAAATAATATTTCGACTTTTAGCTATATTCTAGGGAAAAATCAATCAAATTAAAAAAACCTGATGATTCTCACATTCAACAGAAATAGCCTCAACACGGATTGGAAATTTAAAATTTCTACTTCCAATTGTTGAAACTTTTCCAAAAGCACTATAATAAGAGTAATTAAAATTTATTTAAATTTAAAAAAACCTGTAAGCAATTCTTTTTGCTTCCAAAATTAATTCTTTTTCTTCTCCTTCATTTATTTGAAAAGAAAAAGAACTCGAATTAAATTTATATTCTTGTAAAATTGGACGAATAAAATAAGATCCAGGCATCTTTAAAAAAATTATTTTTTTTTTTCAAAATTAACTTTAAAAAATCCCAACCAATCCAATAAATTTCAAAAGCCCAGTTTCGTTTGTAATATTATTTGAACGAAAATTTGAACCTCCACTAATCGAAACTAAAATATCAGAAAGAGGTTTATTTGTCTTTTCTTCCAAAAATTGTATTCGAAGTTGTGTTAATTTAATTGAAGTAAAACTGTTGGGATAATCAGCCATTTTAACAAAAATAAATCCTTCCTTGATTATTTCAATAGAAAAATCTTCTTCTTTCCAAACAGGTCCAATACTGAAATTTTTTAACGTAATTAATGAAAAGAGGAGAAATATTGGTACTTGAAAAATGACCTAAAAACATGGAGTTAAACAATAAAAACTTAAAATTATTTCTCAAAAATATATAGTTATCACAACAAAATAAATTTAAAAATTAAAATAAATCCAACCTAAACAATCCTTTATTGTCTGTATTAGTTGTCAATACATCACTCTCATCCGTTTTATGTATTGCTTTCACAAAAGCATTTTCAACTAAAGGTTCCACCTTTCCTTTAATAAATTTCCCAATTTGGCTATTAAATGAAGCTACTACACCCTCACATTCGCCATTAAATTCAAAATCCACCAATTTTGGCATAAACAAAAGTTTATTAGATTTTGGCATAAATTGATATTTATTTCCAATTTTAGAATTATTTAATGAAAAGAGAAACATTTTGCCTTTATTTGTTGAATAAACTTTTTGAAGAGTTTGTTCTTCATTGGTTGGTTTCTCTCTGAAAAAAATTTAAATTTAAGATTAAGTCAGAACCCTCACATTCCCCATTAAACAGAACATTAAGTAAAAATAAAACCCAGAAACATGAGAAAGACAATATTTTTCTATTTATGTTCGAGAAGAGGTACTTGTATAAAAATCTAAAAACCTCAATTCCATTTCAAGAGTATTATCTTCAACATCAGTTTGGACAAAAGCAGTAACAGAAGAACTTACAGCAGTTAATATTAAAGGAATATTTGAAGGAATATTAAAATATTTTTGTTGTTCATCAATCCCTTCAACTTTAAATTCATGACAAGATTCAATTGAAAAATAATATTTATTTTCTTCTTCAAAATAAATTTTATTTTCCCCTTCTTTTAATTGTAATTCTTCCGTTTTCCGGTTCTCTTTTGTATCAGACCAATATTTCTTTATATAAATTTATTTTTAAAACAAAATTATCAAAACAAACCAAAAGTGCTGACTTTGATGATTTAATTTCCAAGAAATAACCTTTTTGAATAAAGTCTAAATCTTTAATATCATCACCTTCAACAATTATATTCTTTTCACTTTCAACCCACAAAAAGTTTTGTTCGTCAAAGATTTTTACTAAAAATTGGGATAATTTTAAAAAATATTAATTTGTATTCTATTTTTGGAATGATGAAACAAGGAAGCGTGGGAGATGTTTCAAAATTGGAGAGTTAAAATATAGAACTCCAAAGTGTTTCCAAAATCTTCGAAATGTGAAGAAAAATAACGCAAGGATAGAAATTTCGAAACAGCGTTTCGCGGAGATATAAAATTAAAGATCACCCAAATACAAAATTGAACTGTTTGAGCACAAAGCCTAACTAATATAAAATTTAAAAACCTATATATTTTGATGGTAGCACGTCATTAAAATAGTAATCTCCTTTTGTATTAACAAATTCATCCACAATTTCTCCATGTTCATCAAAAAGTTTTATTGAAATTTTTCCACATTTTTTAAGGCATTTGATTGTTCCACTAATTTTTGATTTGTGTTGAGTAAATTTTAAATCGAGAATTGGCTCTTCTTTTAAATCAATTTCCACTTTACTTGGTGAAAGAAGCAATTTAGAAATTGGCTGGAAAATTTTTAATATTAATTTTTTAAAGAAAATTTAAATAAAAACCGTAATTAAATATTTTCCTGGTGTAAGCATCTTACAGAATCTCCCTTCAAAATTTGTTACAACACCATCAATAAAAACATTTTCATCTAGTGAATAAACTTTAAAAGAAATTTTTTCTAGTTCATCGGCAGACAAAATTTGTCCACAAACTGCTATTCTGAATTACAAATTTTTTAAAAATTATTCTTTAAAAATAAACCTGTTTGGAAAGAATTTAATTAATTTTTTTGTTTTTGAAGAAACATCAAAATTTAATTCATTAAATTCAAAATGTTCTTTTTCTACAGCCAAGACGTGCATTCCAGGAGAAACATTCGCCAAAACAAATTTTCCTTTTTCGTCCGACATTGTATTAAATTCCCCATCCAATTTAATTGTTACATTTTGCAAAGGTGCTTGTTTGGCAGTAAATACAATACCATTAAGGTTAAAAGATTTAACTGATATTGTGACCTAAATTAATTTAATTCTCTCCATCTAATATAAAATATAAAAGAAAATCGAAAGAAAAATAAGACGCCACAAAAATCGAATACATTTTTAATTTAATTAAGTATAGGGCTATTCAGAGATAACAGAATTTACATCTATCTAATAAATATTAAAATATAAATTCTAATGTTTGTTGCATCAAAAATTATATTTTAATGAAATAAACTAATTGGTAATCCTTAAGATCATTGGTCCCTAAAAAAATTGGGAAAAAAGTGCTGTTTTGATAATTTTGAGGTCTGCCAGTAGGTAATCGAGTGTGCTGAGTCCGAATCTGAGCTTAGAATTGGTTTATTTCGAACCCCAAACCCAAATTCGACAAAGTCGAGTTCGGGGTAAAAATTCAAAATTTCAAATTTTTTGTTTAATCGGACTCGTCTCTTCGAACTGAGTCGAAAGGCATCAAAATTATTACGTTTGGACAACTTTAGACGAAGTTATGGTGTCTGATTTGTATACGGAAGTCTCAGCAAGCGTGTATTTGATTAATCATAACTTCGTCCAAAGTTGTCGAAACATCATAATTTTGATACCATTCGACTCAGTCAGCTCGAATAGTCGTGTCAGATTAGCTCTAAAATTTTAATTTCGAAGTGTTTCCCCCGAATTCGACTTTGTCGAATTCGGGTCCGGGGTTTGAAATAAACCAATTCTAAGCTCAGATTTGGACTCAGCACACTCGATTGCCTACTGGCAGACCTCAAAATTATCAAAACAGCACTTTTTCCCAATTTTTTTAGGGACCAATGATCTTAAGGATTACCAACTAATTTACAAAATTAAAATACCTTCGTCGTTTTAGAATTCATTTCAACAGATTCTTCTTGGAAATTAGCTTCACCAAAATTTAAGACTCCTTGTCCAGCATTAATAATGTATTTTCCTGGAGGCAAACAATTAATTAAAGTAGAGCCGGAAGAATTGGTATTAAATTTATAGAACCATTTTTGGCCTTCATTGATGGTAATCGGTTGTTCAGCACTCAAAGGAAGATTTTCAAACTAAAAAGTAAAAAAATTTTTTTAAATATTTTTTATAAAAATAAAACAGAAACCTTAATTTGTTTATCTGATTGTAAGACAACATTTGTCGATAAAAATGGAGCTCCTTTTTCGTCCACAACATTAACTTCTAAACTATAACCCTCAATTCGCAAGTCCGGCTTTATTACCATTGGCGTTGTTCCAACCTCAATTTTAATGCTGCCTTGGCTTAAACATTTAGTAGAACCACTAAAGGGTGAAATAACATATTTTCCTTAAAAATTCGAGTATACAAGCTTATTATGAAGTAAAAATAGAAATCCACTTCTCTGAAACTCAAGGGAAATATGTAGATTTTTTACCCGTCCGTGCGTCTATGAAAAATATTTTTTAAGAGGGATTATAGATCGAATAATTCTTAATTTAAGAAAATTTTAGTCCAAGGCAGATTTGACCCTAAAAACTGAAGCTAATTTTATATTTAAATAATACCTGGCCAAGTAACAAAATTATAATTTCCATCTTTATCAACAATAGTCTTCCCAACTAATTCTCCATCTTCTTGTTTAAAAAGACCCAAAACCAAAGAAGAATCTTCCCCATTTAAAATTCTACCAGAAATTTGAAGTCCAGCCAAATTAAAATTTAATTCCTCAGAACATCCACCATTGTTGCCAATCTCAATCTCATAAAGTTTAGGTTCTTTAGAAAATAAAAGTTCAAAAAAAAATGAATTAAAAATAATACCAAAAACATATCCATCAGGGGCAATAATTTTAACCAAATATTTTCCTTTATTGTAAATTGGAATTAGAAAATATCCATTTTGTGGATTACATTCTGCCTCATATTTTAAATTTCCTTGAGAAGTAAACAGTTTTACCTTAAAATTTTATTAAAGAATTTAAAAAAATAAACCTTTATATCAGATAAATTAATTTGAAAAGTAGATTTCACAAAACCCTCACAACCAATTACGTCGGCTGAGCAATGGTAAACAAAAAATGGGAGAAGAAATAAATAAAGTTTTAAAAGATAAAACATCTACCTAAATATGTCTAAAAAAAATTAGCAGAATAATTGAAAAAATATATGTATGTATAGCTTAAGTTTAATACCGTATTTATTCTAATAGAATGGCCCCTCCATTAGAATGGCCCCTCCAATAGAATGGCCCCTTTTTGGGGGTATCGAAAAATAGAGTGGCCACCTCTATTTGAATGGCCCCTCCAATAGAATGGCCCTTTTAACTACAAAACATATACCTAATACATTTCTTTATTTTCTTATTACCTGTTAAATAGTACTCTTTAGTTAGGGTAATCATAATATTTTTGAGCAAATCTGGAGTAATAGAAGGGAGATTAAGGGGGATATTAGGGGATTTGAGAGGATTAGAAGTGATATTACGAAATTACAACGATTTACTGAAGATAAATACTACATATCAAGGAATTAAGAGAATTAATGTTAGATATTCATGGATTGGATAGATTAGATTTATCAGAGAACATGCTGGGATACATAGGATTTATAGGAATATCGTTCAAATTCATCAATAACCCTCAGAATCTCTTCCGATTCCAATATATTAACGTCCAAATTCCAAGATCCCACAAAATTTTGGGAGCCAACTGTACCGGAAATTTTGATTATATGGCACCGAAGTACATAAAAAATTGCCTTTTTGCCCAGCAGGCAAAAGACATTTATGTTTTATAGTGTTACGAAAAGAAAGATTCACTAACCAAAGTCGAAAATATAGAATTTTACAAGAAAAATCGATTAAATTTCGAAGTCGAAAAATATTCGATCGAAGCTTTGATTCATCCTATCTCTGATTTTTACCTATGAAAAATAGAATGGCCACCTCCATTAGAATGGCCCCTCCAATAGAATGGCCCCCGTATCCCCTCAAAATCTCTATTCATTAAAATCTCTACTGGGCTAAAATGCCTTATAATCTCTACACAGCTAAAATGCATTAAAATCTCTACTCGGCTAAAAATGATTAAAATAACTATTCCTTAAAATCTCTATTCCTCATAATCTCTACAGGGTAAAATGCCTTAAAATCTCTACACGGCCAAAAATAGGATAAAATGTCTATTTTTTCATTCGGAAGCCTTTTGAGTGCCAACGTTCAGTGCGGAAACGTTGTTCTGATTTCTGGCTTATCTTTTGATATTATTTTGCTTGTATTGTTTTTGCCGCTGCGGATGAACCCAGGCATGTCCAGCGGAACGACAGCAGCCGCTTCGATACGATCACCGCAAGCAAAATGAACACGACCGCAGCGAAGCAGTCGTGTATTATGTATATCTTCGATATTTACAGCGGATACAAGCAGATATCCGCAGCCATTTTTAAATCAATTATATCCGTATCCATTACCAAGTCTGGGTTTTCCAATGAATAGTTCATATTTTACACTTTTGTTGAGACTCTACCGTCCATTTGCACGGTGTAGAGATTTTAATTATTTTTACCCCAGTAGAGATTTTAAGGAATAGTTATTTTAAGGAATAGAGATTTTAAGCATTCTTACCCTAGTAGAGATTTTAAGGAATAGCGATTTTAAGGAATAGAGATTTTGTATGGGAGCCATGGCCCCTATTTGGGGGTATCGAAAAATAGAGTGGCGGCCATTCTATTAGAATAAATACGGTAATTTAAATTAAAAAATCAATAAAAAATTGGATAATCCCCAATAAAATTTTAAAAACTCTTATTTTTCAAAATAAAATTTTATAAAAGCTGAAGAAAATTAAATTATTGTTGAAAAAAAACAATCGATGTTTTAACCACTTTTAGCCTAGTCGATGTTTTGACATGTCTGATAATCTTTTAACGATTTTTTAAGGATTCGACATTTTGACTCATGCTTGCCGCGTCGATGTTTAGTCAATTTCTTGTATGTCGACATTTTGACCTGTTTTACCCGCATCGATCTTTAAGAATTTTTTTACCAATACGCCGCTTTTTAAATAGTTCTTTGCTTCATTATTTATTCGTGTCCTGTCTTTATTAGTGAACGACATATCTACGTTTTCGTCGATTCGCGGCGAATAACTACTTTTATTCGCGAACGACTTTTTTTTAAACACACAACGCCAGAACTACGTTAATATCGATGTTTTGCGCCAAACGATTGCGAATCGACTTTTTTGTGTCTCTTTTTCTCTAATTTCACATTATATTTCCTTTCTCTTTTTCTATTAATTTTCTATGTCGTTGTCTCTCCATTGGACTTTCCTCTTAACATTTCTCGTGAAATGCTCCAACAATCCAAAATTCTTAAAGTGATCCGAAAGAATTTGGTCAAGAAGTGTATCGAACTTTTTGATGAAATTGCTGAAGACAAGGACAACTTTAAGAAATTTTATGAACAATTCAGCAAGAATCTTAAGGTTTTTTTAAATGTTTTTTTGAAAATTATTTGTTCTTTAGTTGGGTATTCACAAAGATTCTGTCAACCGTAAAAAGCTTGCCGAATATCTCCGTTACAACACTTCCTCTTCCGGCGATGAACTTGTTAGCTTGAAGGATTATGTTGGACGAATGAAGGAGAATCAGACTTGCATTTATTATATTACTGGCGAGTCTAAAGAAGTTGTTCAAAACTCAGCTTTTGTTGAACGTGTTAAGAAGCGAGGTTTTGAAGTTATTTATATGGTTGATCCAATTGATGAATATTGCATTCAACAATTGAAAGAATTTGATGGAAAGAAGTTGGTTAGCGTGACTAAAGAAGGTTTGGAGTTGCCAGAAAGTGAAGAGGAAAAGAAGAAGTTTGAAGAAGATAAAGTTAAATTTGAGAAACTTTGCAAAGTTATTAAGGTATTTAAGATTTTGCTTAAAGAATTTTGGAATATTTGTTTTATTTTTAGTGTTAGGATATTTTGGACAAAAAAGTTCAGAAAGTGTCTGTTTCAAATCGATCGACTCCGACCAAGATGACAAAAGATCCACAACAACTTCAATCTCTTGAAGATTGAAGCTTCAATCTCTTGGATCTTCAATCTCTCGAAGATCCACAACAACACGCTTCACGTATTTACCGAATGGTAAAACTAGGATTGGATATTACTGAAGAGGACTTGGAAGGAGGAGAGCAACAACCCTGCACTTCTGGGGAACCTGTCGAAAAGATTGCCGGTGCAGAGGAGGACGCTTCGCGTATGGAGGAAGTTGATTAAATTAATGTAAAAGGTTTTGATGGATTGATCTCCTCGTTGACTTTGTTTTTCTTTAGATTTATTTTGTTTTGTCGTCCTTATAATTATTTACTTTGTTTTTGAATCACGGATACATAAATTAATTTCACAAAAAAGTTTGTCTTGATTTTTAATTTGAGATGTGTTTTAGGGGAGGTGGGGAAACAAACGGCAGGATCAAGCCTGTTAAAGGCTTTCAATCCACTTTTGGCTAAAGCTGCTCTGACTAAATCATCTCCTCTTACTTCTCCTCTCCATATAGTAAGAATATATGTGGAAAAATCCCTAAAAATTACAGAAAAGGGACTGAACATTTATAAAAATGGAAAATTGCAAATTCCAAAGGAGAGACTACACGAACGAAAATTAATAGAAAAAGAGAAAGGAAATATAATGTGAAATTAGAGAAAAAGAGACACAAAAAAGTCGTTTCGCAATCGTTTGGCGCAAAACATCGATATTTACGTAGTTCTGGCGTTGTGTGTTTAAAAAAAAGTCGTTCGCGAATAATTGTAGATTTTTTTAAAACGACTTTTTTTCCTTAAGAAAAAGTCGATATGTCGTTCACTAGTCTTTATGCATTTTCGCTTTCATTTTTTATGCTTTTTAAATTTCAGAGGGCTCTGAAATTTGAAAAAAAATTTTTGGTTTTTTTGAATTTTTTTGGGCCTTGAAATTTGAAAAACATGAAATATTTAAGATTATCAAAGTTTGAATTTAAATTTTATTTTATATTTTATGAATGAATACTCCTTGGTATGTTTCTATAATTTATATATTTATTTCTTTTTAAATTACTAGGATAGAAAAATATCGTCCAAAAACTCTTGATGATGTTGTTGGTAATCCAGAAATTATTAAACGTTTAAAAGAATTTTCAAAAACTGGGAATATACCCAATTTAATTATTTCGGTTTGTTTTTAATTTAAATTAGTATATTTTTAAATTTATTTTTTAGGGACCTCCAGGTTGTGGGAAAACTACAAGTATTTGGGCGTTGGCTAGAGATATGCTTGGAGATAAAGTAAAGGATGCTTGTCTTGAATTAAATGCTAGTGATGAACGGTAAAAAAAATTTTTAAAGAATTTTTTGAGTATTTTTCTTATTGCGATAAATTAATGGTAGCGTAATCTTTCTTTCTTCGTAATCTTTCTCAATTTATTTTTCGACTCTGATTATTTTTAGTAGTTTATTTTTTTAAATAAATATAAATTAAAATTTTTGGGGGTTTTATTTTTTAGTTAAATTGTCCAAAGAAGATTATGAAATTATTGAAAATTTACTGGAATCAGGAGAATATACCACATATTGTTTTTAAATCCTTATCCAAATTTAGATGAATGAAATTTTTAAAATTTCCTGTCATTTATTTTTCAATACTCACACTAAATTATTTACACCAATTTTTTAATTTTTAAAGTTTTTTTCTTTTTTAGAGGTATTGATGTAGTTAGAGAACGAATAAAACGTTTTGCTTCAACAAAAGTAACTTTGCCTGATAATATTCAAAAAATTGTTATTTTGGATGAAGCTGATAGTATGACTGAAGGAGCACAACAAGCATTACGTAGAATTATGGAGGTTTTTAATTTGATTTTTTTGTAAACTTTTTTTAAAGATTTTCAGTTCAACCACAAGATTTGCATTTGCCTGTAATCAATCAGACAAAATAATTGGTATTTAATTTGACTTTATTTATTTTCCTATGATGGTTGTTGATCTAAAAACTTCCTTAAAAAATTTCGGAGCCTACAAAATAGAAAAATAAAGTTCTTGAACAAGAAATACAACAATTTTTCTCATTAACAAACTACAGAAACAATATTAAAATAAAAACTTTACGTTGGAGTTATTAAATCATAATTTAATCTTTTCTTTTATTTTGGTATGATGTTATAATGCCAAAAGCTTGTAATGCCAAGGCTTGTAATGCCAAAAGCTTGTAATGCCAAACCCCCAAAATATGTTGAAATGCCAAACAGTGGAAAAAAGCTTGAAATGCCAAATAAATACAAAACTAAAAAAATTTTTTGTTATTTCTGATAGAATTTGTTGTTAAAATTTTTTGTTTGTTCCAACAACAAGAATGTTGTTGTTCCAATTGAATGTTTGCTGGAAAAAGTCTAGGCCGGGCATGCGGGGAGGGGCCGGCACTACGGGGAATGTCGTTCAAATTGTGGGGAAAATTGTTCAAACGGCTGGGATGTTGTTCAAATGACGGGGACGGTTGTTCCAGTGATGGGGGAAGTGTGATGTTGATCCCCCGTTGACGGATCAACATCCCCCGTCATTGTAACAACTTCCCCCGTCATTGGAACAACTTCCCCCATCGTCGGAACAACATCCCCTGTCATTGGAACAACTTCCCCCATCGTCGGAACAACATCCCCTGTCATTGGAACAACTTCCCCCATCGTCGGAACAACATCCCCTGTCATTGGAACAACTTCCCCCGTTGTGTTGGAATAACATTTGGCATTTCAACATCTTTTGGGTGTTTGGCATTACAAGCTTTTTTCCACGGTTTGGCATTTCAACAGCTTTTGGGAGTTTGGCATTACAAGCTTTTGGCAATATAAAACGCTCCGTTTATTTTAGTTCTTTCTAGACAAAAGATTTATTGAAATAAAAATTTTTTAAAACAACTTTCAGAACCTCTACAATCTCGTTGTGCAATTGTAAGATTTACAAAATTAAGTGATGAACAACTTTTGGAAAGAATTCATTATATTTGTAAACAAGAAAATGTTAAATTTGTAGAACAAGGTATTCAGGCAATTATTCATACATCACAAGGAGATATGAGACAGGTTATTTTTAAATATATTTTTAATATGTAGAAGGGACTTGTTGAGAATTTAGATTATATTTTTGACTTGTTTATTAATTATGGTTTTGTGTATCCCGACCGTAAATTCGGGGAATTTTAGATTTATGGTGCTGGTTCTGTAATATCTCCTAGGCTCTTATCCAGTCTGGAAACAATTTTAGTTTATATCCACATACTTATCCATATACCTTTTGTTTGTAATTTGATTGAAATTTATTACGATAGAATTTAGGGAATTTGTAATATTTCAGAAATTTGCTTTAAATTTACACTTTTCTAACCCAACAGTTTTTAAACTTTCCAATTAAATTTTCTGTTTTTATAAATATTTCTAAAAAAATTTTAGGCTTTAAATAATTTACAATGTACAGCAACAAGTTATGGAAAAATTACAAAAGAATTTGTTTACAAAGTTTGTGACGAACCAAATCCAAGCAGTATAAAAGAAATATTTCAACATTGTGTTGATGGAGAAACAAAGGAAGCTTTTGACATTATTGAAGAAATTTACAATTCTGGATATTCTATTGAAGATTTGGTTGGAATTTTGTTTAGAAATGTGGTTTGTTTGTTTTTTAAAATTTTTTGGTTGAAGGTGGGATTAGAGACCTGACCGAGACGAGATGTCGATTCTCATATGACTCTCCAAGTCCGATCCCTAGTTGGGATTCTCTTTAGTAAATAGTGAAAGAGAATCTATTAGTCGGTTATGAGAGGGGAGTTTTATAAGGAAATTTTCCTTTTTTAGCAACATTATAAATACCCTTATAATTCCGACTTTACTTTATTTGATTAAAAAAATTTTTTTAAAGAAAATTGCTGACATTCCAGAAGCATTACGTATTGAATTTATTATGGTAAATTTTAAAATTTTTAATTGAATATTTTAATTTATTAAACAAATAATTGTAATTCTTTTGATTTTTTGTTATTTATTGTTAGTCTTTTTTTGGAATTTTCTGTTTCAATCCTAAAAAGTCTAATCAATAGGATCGTCGGTTTAACCGAATTCTTCGGCTATTTTGGTTTAGTTAAGGTGAAACCAACAACCTTACTAAAATCAAAATTTAAAAGAATTACTAAAAAAATTTTTAAATAAAACAAAACATTTCAAAGGAAATTGGAAAATGTCATTCAATAGTAGCTCAGGGTTTATCAACAAAACTTCAAATGGCTGGGTTAATTGCAAGACTTTCGAGTATTCAAGAAAAGTTGTCTTCAAATTAAATAATTATTTAATATTAAAAACATCAATTTTTGAATTTTGTATGTGTATCCACGGTTGAAATAAAAAATTAAAAAAAAATTAATTTTTAAAACAAAAAAAATTAATTTACTAAATTTTCCACATTTTTGACTTTCCATTAATTGAACACAATGATGGCCATCCCAATTAAAAGTTCCTTTAATGAAAATTTTAATTGAAAATAAAATTATTAGAAACCAAGTTTTATGTTACATCCTGGGCAGTTTATCTTAAAAAATAAAATTAAAAAACAATTTTTTTAAACAAATTTTTAGTTTTGCTTAACCTCTAAATTCCTATTTTCTTGTTAAAAATTAACCAGTTTTTTTTTCAAAATTCAAAACTAGGAAACATGTCCAGATAAATAATTGTCTCCTCGTTTTCCTCTATTCCGACTATGGACGGGCCGGGATATCCGAAATCCGATCTGACAAATTTTCGAAACCCCGATCCAAATTGACTCTGGTCTCTAAACCTCCCCTCACTAAATAATTGAATAAATACTTGACTACGATTCTGAAAAATCTAATTTTGGATATTCGACTATAAAAATTCAAAATCTTATAACGAGAAAAATTTTTTTAAGTGATTCCTTACTTAAAAATTTTTCAATCTTATACGCTTTGTTACAAATATTCCTTTTAAAAATCCCCAAATATTTTATAATTAAAAATAATAATTCAAAAAAAACCTTTCCCTTTAATTCATCCAACTCCATCCAAACCATCGGAGTAATTAAATATCCAAATTCACAAAAAATATTTTTATTATCCGAAAAATGTTTTAAAACATTAAAATCAAAAAAGAGAATTTTTCTACATTTTTTACAAGAAAATTTTTTTGAAGACAATAAATAAGATTCTTCCAAATTATATTTTGATGTATTATCTAAATTTAAAATTAAAATTAAAAATTATTTTTCTTCAAAAAAACCATTTAATTCAAATAAATATCCATTAGAAGCAACAAAATCTCTAAATATTTCTGATTTTTTTAAATTAATTGGGTCTGTAGTAAATCCAATTTTCTCAAATAATTCAAGTTGTTTAATAAATGAATTGTTTGGGCTTTAATTTAAAAAAGAAATTTTTTTTGAAGATGAAGAGCTCTAAAACAATTAGTGTTCGAGGCAAATAGTAGATTTTTTTAATATCAAAAATACCAAAAAAATATCAAGTCGGCATTTTGTAAAAAAAAACCCTTGCCGAACACTAAAAAACAATCAACAGATTTTATAAAAATCACAATCTAAAAATTGTATGGATTTTGCAGTCTTTCTGTTCCTTGTTAAAAAACAAAGTTAGAATTTCCAATAAAAATTCCCCTCACACAAAATATATTTTTAATTAAAAATTAACGAAAAATAACCCCGCAATTGAATGTTTTTCCTTCAAAAAATTAAAAGAATTTAGATAACTCCAATTATTTTTTTTCATCAAAAAAGCAATAATAATTGTGACTGATCTACTTATTCCACTTTCACTTTAAATAAATTTTAATGAAATTTCTTTAAAAAAAATTAACCAATGTACAAGTATTGACTGTTTATTTTCCCAACATTTTTGTAATAAATTAAATGTTTTTTGTAAAATATTTGAACTAAAAATATTTTGATTTTCGACGTCTAACATATAAATAAATTGGTAATCAACACCAATTATTCTTTTTTCTAAAGCCAAAGGTTGAGATGAAAGGGTTAAAACTGTTTGGATCTAAATAAATATATTAGAAATTCTTTAAAAGAAAAACCTTAAATTCCTCAATATTTATTTCATCGTTAGAGAATATATCCCCTTTTCCAAAATAAACAGTTTAAAGTAAATTTTTAACTCAAATTTATTTTCTAACACTTAATTTCCTCTTAATTACTCTCAATTTTCTTCAATCAATTTTAAACAATCACAAACAATTTTATTTCACAGGAAAGCGTATAAAATATATTTTATTGCGAAGTAGATTTTATTTAGAAGAATTTTATTAGAATGAAAAGTAAAAAGCCTTTAAACTGGGAAAGACAATGAATAATGAATGAATGAATGAACACTTTTTAACTATCCGCTGATAGATTTTATAGGAAATATGTTGGGAAATTTTACAACGAAAGAATTTTAATAATAAACAAGTTTTTGTAAGCTTGGGAAAAATGAAATCGCATTTCAAAAATGCGACACTCCGGCCACAAGGTTAAAGTGAAGGGAATACATTAAGTCCATTAATTTGATGATGAGGTAGAAAAACAACAGAAAAGAAATTTTGATTAATAACAGGAAACAAAGAGATGGAAGGCAAATGAGAGATAACTCCAGTACAAGATTGAGAATAGGTAGAATGTGAACGTATAAGCGGGATATAATAGAATTTTATGTCGTTTAACGGTATCGGTTTTGTCACAATTTTGGTTTTTTCATTCATTGAATTTCTGGGAAATTTGGTCGACTCAACCCATTTTTTTCCACATTTCTTTTTCACTGTTATTCGATGCGTTCTGGCCTTATGGTTCGGGATTGTTTGAGCTTGTTCTTTCGGCGGGACAGATTCTTTTGGGGGTGAGGTAGTAAGTGGGATATCCTTCACGTCTATTTCGGGTGGTTGTTGTTGTTGGTTGACAGTAGGTGATTGAGCGAGTGGATCAGAGTAGTCGATTTTTGTTGCAGTGGGAGAAGGGGACTTGACTGATGGCACATCACCTGGGGGGCCTGAAGATTCATTCTGTAGTGTCCAAGTTGGCGTATTATCTGTGGGAACTGAAGTTTCTGGTTTTACCCTATTAATTTTCATAGCTTTCATTGCATTTGTTGGCGTGTGTATGGAATTAATTTCATTATTATTTTTTAATTTTGTATTTGCGGTAGTCGGTGAGTTACAGGAATTTGTTCTGGAATCGGGAGAGGGTAATTGGGTTTGATTGTTATCTAGCTGTGTACAATTTTTGATTGAATTATGGATTAATAATGGCTTGTCTGGTATTGGAAGGGACTTTATTCCAGGGTTAATCTCATTTAAAGTAACTAGTTCGGTCTTGGTTTCCATTGAATTATTGTGGGAGGTGGGACTGTTGAAATCTTCTGGAAATTTTATCAGGGATAAAGGGATAGGCCTTATAGAGGGAGTTGCATCAGATATCATCTGAGAACAGAAATTAGTTACATGCTGCGGGGGAGGTTCTTGTAGGGAATTGAATGGATTTGGACAAAGTGCACGGGGATGGAGATTTCGACAATTAGTGCACGTAATTGGGTTTTGACAGGATCTAGCGAGATGGTCAGGCTTATAACAAGTAAAGCAGAGTTTCTTTTCTCGTAGCCGGGATTTTCGTGTTTGAAGGGTATTATAATTCGAACAGAGGTGGGAGAGGTGATTAGGATGATTACAAAAAACACAGGGGAATTTATACATCCCTGGTCTGTTATTCGGCCTAGAGGTAGAAAATGTCAGAGAGGATTGAGGCATATTTGGGGAACGAAAATTTCCAACTTGCCTGAACTGTTTGGGAGAATTAGAGGGCCTGTCCTGTGTATTGAGTTCCTTCTTCTGGTCCCTAAGGGCTTTGACTCCTTCCTTTCTTTTCAATATTGACTTCAGTGTATTGCGGAGTTGGTCTGTGTTCCAGTCTTGCCCATGAATTTCTTTGTCTCTGAACACTTCTTCAAGTATTTGAGGGGGTAATTTCGATTCGAGTTCCATTTGAACGGGCAGAGTATTTACATCAAAGTGTTGTTCAAGCATTTGCAAATAAAGCGATTCGAATTGGTCGACGAAAGATCGTAATTCAGTACATAAAATTTCAGGACCGTTCACAGAGTGAACGACGGGTAATTTTCGGATTGCGTGGTGGAGAGTACGGTTAATTTCGTCTACATTTCCAAAGTTTTCATGTATTAGGCGAATTGCTTCATGGTAAGAAGCTTCTGTGAGGGGGAGTGACTTTACTAGTAGAAGAGGGGGCCCTTCCAAGCATTCCTTCAAATAATTAAATTTTACGGAGTCTGAAATGTTGGTGAGGTCGTGGACTCCGACGCGGAAGGCATTCCAAAAAGAGGTGAACTCCACGCATTTACCGCTAAATTTAGGAAGGGACAGTTTTGGGAGGTGGAAAAGAGTGTCGGTGGTTTGGGAGGGGTCGGGCAAATTTGCTGATAATGTCCCTCTTTCAGAGTGGAGTTTTCTGTTATATTTCATTAATTTACGTAATGTGGTGGGATAAGGCACGTCTGTGACAAATTCATCATAAATTGGATTGTCCGCCAGTCTTTCAGCTCCAGTCATAGACGTTCTAGTGGCCATCCATCTGTCATTTTCATTGGTAATGTTGTCAAATAATTCAGTCACGATTTGGGATTCTGAGTTAAGGGAAGTGATAAGGGAGCGTATTTGTGCGTGAAATTGGGATATACTTCCAGTCTGCACTGGGAGAACAAAGGACTTGGGGTCTTCCAATAATTCCTCCGCTTCTTGAACGAGAAGCCGGATTTGGTTACGAAAGGGTGCCGACATTCTCACCGGCTGAGCTTTTCCAAAATAAACAGTTTAAAGTAAATTTTTAACTCAAATTTATTTTCTAACACTTAATTTCCTCTTAATTACTCTCAATTTTCTTCAATCAATTTTAAACAATCACAAACAATTTTATTTCACAGGAAAGCGTATAAAATATATTTTATTGCGAAGTAGATTTTATTTAGAAGAATTTTATTAGAATGAAAAGTAAAAAGCCTTTAAACTGGGAAAGACAATGAATAATGAATGAATGAATGAACACTTTTTAACTATCCGCTGATAGATTTTATAGGAAATATGTTGGGAAATTTTACAACGAAAGAATTTTAATAATAAACAAGTTTTTGTAAGCTTGGGAAAAATGAAATCGCATTTCAAAAATGCGACACCCCAATAAAAATACAATCCAAAATTTTGGTTATCATTTTTATAAAGAATTTGAATAAAAATATATTTTAAAATATTCAATTATAAATATGTATATAAATTTAATTTTAAATTAAAATAGAATAGCACGTTTATTAAATTATAAAATATGAAATTTGTGTAAAAAGAAGGCAATTTTGGTCATTATTATTTTTAATCTTCCAAATCAGATCAGACTTTAGAAGAAAAAAACGTTTTTCCAATTCGTGTTGGGGACATTTGAACGTGGACGGTTATCTATGTATAGTGCAGCTTTTGTAGTTTTGATCAGGGGTGGGCGCAAGAGGCAATCGTGAAAAACGCAAAACGCAACGCAAGGCCAAAAATCAACGCAAAACGCAAAAAACGCAAAACGCAAGAACGCAAAATTCTGAAAAAAAATTTTAAATCGAGTATTAACCATTTTTCAGTTAAAATAGAAGTATTACTATAAGTCAGCGAGTCATAGTTGATCTTGTGATACAATTAAGTTGGATGGGTAATGATTTGAAGGGGATACAATGGGATTATGAAGGATATTAGAGGATTTAGAGCGATTATGAAGGAGGGATCGAGGAAAATTGGAGGGATCAAGGAAATTTAAAAAGATACCATGCTATTCTGATGAATGTCGGATGGGTTGGGGAGTTAGCGGAGGATAAATGCCTATCTGTAATTCTCAATTGATACCGCGGATATCAGGGGATTTGGAGGGATAAAGGGAGATCGGAGCTCAAGATATTGAACTGATATTTTTCTGAGCAGTTCCATGATCTACTTTTAGCGCCGCAGGCGAAAATTTTGAAAAATTTGGGACCAAGAAGCCAAATTTCTTCCTTTTTTAAGCGCCGCAGGCGAAAATTTTGAGAATTTTGGAAAGTCATAAGCCTGATTTCCTTCAGATTTTGCCCTCAGATTGTGTATATTTCTTGCGGTTTTTTGCGTTAATTTTGGCCAAATTTACGCAAAACGCAAAACGCAACGCAAGGCCAAAAATCAACGCAAAACGCAAAAAAACGCAAAACGCAAAACGCAATGCGCCCACCCCTGGTTTTGATGGTGACTTTTGCCTGTAAATGTGGGGGGCTTGGTATAATAAGAGGAAATGATTATTAAATAGAGGATTAATTACTATCTTAATTACAATCGAATGAAAAAGATTTTAACTTGTAAATAATAAAAATTAAAAAGAAATTTTAAAAATAATTAATTTATATAAAATTTAAAATAAAAAATATATTAAATAAAATTAAAAAATTAAAAATTTTAATTTTATTTATTCTTTCCACACCATTATTTTCATTATTATTCTCACAAATTTCTTCAAAATTCTTTTTTTCTTCTTTTATTTGCTCTGTCCACCAATCCTCTATTTTTTCTAATGACATATTTTGAGTTAATTTTGGTGTCTAAAAAATTAATTTTTTTAGTAAAAAGAGAAATATAGTTTGAACTTAAATTAAGACAAACACTAGTATTTCACCGGAACCGAAATTTTGACCGGGACCGGATCCAATTTGAATTCCGAATCCCGTAACCTGAACTTCCAGTGAAACTCTAATAAACACCTTGAAAATATTATAACTGGGGGATATATCTTTTGAATAGAGGGTACATCTTAGGCATCTCTTCCCTTCACTAATAGTCAAACAGATTTTAAAAGACTTGATTTTATTTAATTTTGAGTGTGTTCAGAGGTCCAACTATATTTTTATTTAATTATTTACATTATTTCTTCTACAATCCAAATTACAAACAGAGCAAAATTTAATAGAACAAGCCAATCTAATATAATCCAAATCTTGTAGTCTAACTGTTAGTCTTCCCAAAGAATATGCTGAATGATTGAAATGTTTGTATATTGGGGTAGATATCTGGTAATTTTTAATTAAAATATTTCGGGTTTTTTGAGTTGAATGGGAGATACATATGTATGCATATTAGAAATTATTTAAAAAAATTTTTTTTGAAATTAAATCCTCTTTCTTTTCCATAAAAAATACGAGAAAAAATGGAGATAATAAATTGTAAAGAGGAATATTTGGAGTTAATAAAACCAAATAATTTAAAAAATTAACCAAAGATTGTTCTCTAGTATATCCATTATTGTCAATTAATTTTATAGGACTTGTTTCACTACCTGCCCAACAATCAAATATTTTCATAATTAATTTATCTGTTGTTCTAATACATCTCCACAAAAAACAAATTTGTTCCTTTTTTTGATTAGAAATTTTTTTAAATAATTTTTTTGTGTAGATTAATAATTTTAATTAATTACCTGCCAACTTATTTTATCATTTTGTTTAATTTTTGGTCCTCTACAGTCTCCTCTATGTAAAACTAAAACACATATTGGTTTATTATTTGAATAATTCTTTAAACTTTCATCCTTTTTAAATAAAATAATAATTAATTTAAAATAAAAAGAGGAAAAATAAATTTTTTGAGAAGAAATGTGTACTTTTCTTTTTAAAAAATGTTTGAGAGAATTTAGAGTTGAACCTGGACGGCACTGTACTACATACAGTATTTTTTGATATACAGTACCGAATACGGTACAAAATTCTGGGCTATTTTTCAGAGCAAACCCTTGGAGATTTTAAAAATCCAAAAAACTCTTCTTTTCTTTTTTTTTTAATAAATTAGTATTTATTTACCTCAATAAAAACTTTAACAGAATCAACAATAATTTTAACCTTTTCAATTACAATATTAGAAAAATGAGAAGAAGAAGAACATTTTGTTAATGACAAATAAATCTTTTTATTTAAATTTATTTTTAAAAAAATAAATAAATAAACTTACCAATATTAAAAGATTAAAAAATGTTAAAAACATAAAAAATAAGTAAATATTTTTTTAGAAAAATAAAAGAAAATATTTTTAACAAACAAAAATAAACTTTTTTTGTTTTTAAAGCTCATATGGTGCCGAAAAGTACCTTGGGGAATTTTTGAGAAATATTGAGGGAAAGGAAGTAAAAAAGAAGGGGAATTTGTACATAGTTTTTTACTCTTCCAATTATAAACAAAAATAAACAATTTTTGAAGAAAAATGACTGGAAATTATTATTTAGAAGAGAAGAAAATTTAAAAACAATTTTAAATGATTTATTTTCTTTTTTGTTATTTTTTTAAACTTTTTTTTCTCTTTTTTTTTAAATAAAAATACATATATTTAAATTTAATTTAGTAAAATATTATTTTGAGAAAATTAGGAAATAATTTTTGTTAAAATATTTTATTTATAATTGAATTTAGAAATGTGTTCAGTAAATAATATTTTTTCCAAATATTCAGAACCCCACTTTCTCTAAACTTTTCGGATCTACATAGGACCGAAAAATCCTTTATTCTTCGGTTTAAACAACAACTGTACTTAAGGGCGAGAAATAAATTTTGTATCATCAAAATACATATACCTTTCTTTACATCATTCGAAAGCTTTTAGTATCTAACACATTTTAGCATTTTCAAAAATTAAAGTTACTAAGATATTATTGGCTAAAGTGGATTAATCTGGATATACAAAATTTGGTCAAATACTTAAAATTTTCTAGATAATCATTGAAAACTTGAAATTCTGAGACACAAAAATCCTCCTAAATTTTATTATTATTTTTATTAATTTAAAGCAAAAATTTTTTCCTTTTTCAATTAAAACAGACAAATTATTTAAAATTTTTTTATTAACCTAATCCATCTTTTTCTTTTAAATTTTTGTTGAAATTTAAGAATCTAATATTAAATTAAGTTATAAATATTTTTATTTTATTTTTTTTTTTAATTTTATCCAACAAATTCTTTCCTTCCCTTCCCCTTCCTTCAACAAACTTGTCATCAATTCTTTTTTTAAACTTTTTTTTATTTTTTAAAAATAAAGTCGGTAAAAAGAAAAAGTAAAGAAGAAGAAGAATCTAAAAATTTTCGGCGTGCTTTTTTTACTTTTTGGGGGTATTTTTGGCTTTAAATCCAAGCCATCATGGCCAACATGTGGGGAGGGAGAGGGAAACCTTCTGTTGCTCTTTTTCTGGATTTATGGCCAATGGCCAGTTTACTGCCCTCTGAACCTCCTAAAGGGGGTTATCTATCTATCAGTTTTCTGACGCCCTTCTCGAGAGTTGAATAAAAAGAAGAAGAAGAAAATAAAGGAGAAGAGAAGGATTGAAAAAGACTAATGGGAGGGGGAGGGGGGAGGGATATAAAAATTAATGGAGAGAGAAAAGAGAAGGGGTTTTTATTATTTTTAGGAGTGAACAGAAGTACAAATCTGAAAAGTAAGGATTTAATTTAGAAAAGAGATATTTCTCTGTTGGAGGTTTTAGGGAATAATCTCAGCAAGTTATGATGAGGGCCAAAAAAGAAGAAGAAATGTTTTTTCTAGGGCCAGAAAAAATATTTTCGGGCACCCATTTTTTAAATAAATTTTCTATTTTATTTATTTAAAATTATTAAAAACTCTGAGCAACATTCGATTATTTTAGTTCCAGGTAAAAGTTTGTAGGTTTAAAGGTTCTAAAACTGAATCTGATGTTTCTATAAAAGAATAGACTTCAGGGAATGTTTAGTATGTTATTCAGCCAAACTTGGGGCTTAATATTTTTCTGCATCCCAGGATTTCTTTTTTTAAAAAGAGAGAGATTTATGTTTTTAAAAGTGAGAAGAAGATTTACAGGGCCCACCAAGAAAAAGGAGAGAGAAGAGGTGATCACTCATAATTCTTTTTGTGTGTTCCTCCTCCTATGCAACACACAATCCAACTAATCTATCTAATATATCACCTTTCCATACTCTTTCCACTCATCAACAACAAAAACTTTTTATTCTTTGTCCAATTTCCGCCCTTAAAATCGTCAACTCATCCTCTAAAAACAAAAATATATTTTTAGATAGATTGCCCCTTTTCTTAAACCCTGTGGCGCGTCACTTTATTACTTGCTAGATCGATTTCAGGAAGGATTTTTAAATCAAAACTTTTTTATTTTCTTTGCTTATTGATATTTTTATCCAAAATTATTAGTTTTTGATCAAAAAATAAATTGTATTTTGATTTGTATATTCTTAAAGTTCCCTATTATTAGACAATAAAACTCCCCCAGATTTCAATAACTTGCAACTGTATTCTATTATTATAGAATCGAGTAGAGAACAGACAGAACAAATTTTAGAGAGAAATCACACCTTACTTTTATATATCCGAGAATGAGGAATTATAATTTATATCTCTCATCCTCTTTTAAGAGGATATCTTTTAAGGGATAATTTATATGTACATTAAATAAGGGTAGTAGGCGGCAGGGCTGGATCCGCTTCCGCCTTCCGTCTGCTGTCTGCCGCTTTTTTATTCAAAATTCTCCAGACCTGGTAGGCAGCTCTCATTATTTTAAATTAAAATACTTTCTATTAGACACCTAACTCTAATAATTTCTAAATTAAAAGCCGCTAAAATTTATTTTTTTTTGTTTTCAGAATTTCTACAAAAATTGGGCAAAGTTATTATTTAATTAAAGGCAAAATGCGTAAACGTTCTAATCGTTTACCTGTTTTGTTAATTGTTTTGGCTGCTTTTATTTTTATTTGTATTGCCTGTTTATTTATTTGGTTAAAAAATAATAATAATTCTGAAAATAAATTTTTGAAAGAAAAACAAGAGGGGGGAAATTTAAAGAAAATATATCCAACAACAAGTCAAATAAAAGAAACAACAAAAACTACAACAGAAGAAAGTATTGAATTAACAGGTAATTTTTAGAGGATGAAAGTGATCGTTTAATTGAAAATGTTCTTGAGATATAGTATATGCATATCAGGGTGGCCTTTTCCAAATCACCAAAAGGGGACATGGGCTCGCAAAAAGCGGGAAAATGCCTCCCAAATGTGGCAAAAGGGCTGCCCTGATATATATTTATCTTTGGGCTGGTACCAGATCTCTAGTTTCTCTAGTATCTCTACCTCGAAGCTGACCGATCTCTAGTTATCTATAAAATTATTTGAAATTTATGATGCGTTGAGGGAAATCTTTTTCTGAATTGTTGATTTTCTTCTTTTTATCTCTAAAAGGATTAGCATTCTTGCAGATAGGGTAGTTTTTGTTGCAGAGCTTTTAAAATAATTGTGGCCTGTAAATTTTATTTGTTATTTACAACTGATGAGGATATTATGGAGGGATTTGAATCTTTTCCATTTTTCCCAAAAATTAATTTATTCAAGATTCTTCAACATATTCTACAACAATAACAGATTTATTAAAAACAGAAGAATTCCAACAACAACAAACAACAGACACTACATCCCCTTCTTCTTTTATGGAAGAAATTGTCGAAAAACCTCAATTAAAACATATACCTATATGTCCTGAACCACCACTTGAAGAAATTAATGAAATAAATGAATGCGAAGGAGGAGGGGAAAGGTAAGGGAGGAAAAGAATTTATTTTTGTTTAAAAATAACAATTTTATTAAAAACAATCGAGAATAACAAACAAAACTAAAAATCGAAATAAAATTTTTAATTGAAATTTGAAGGAGGGAGGGTTCTTTGTTAGGGAGTTCTTCGATTTCTCTTTACTTTTTAGTTCCTCCTTTTTAATTATTTTTTAGTTTTACTGTCACATATATTTAAAAAACATGAAAAAATGCTAATAAGAATAATTCTGAAAAATAAATTAAATTATTTACAAACAAATTACATCTCATTTCTAATTAATTTTTTTAATTTTTCACAGTAACCCACAACAAAATGATTATTTAAATCAAAATGATATTCTTCAACCTTTTGAATATTTTTTAAATATTTCTTTGCCAAATAATAACGAGAATTTAAATTTCCAATTAAATTTACTAGCTGAATTACAACAAAAAAGCAATATTTTATTTTTAAATTATGGAAAAGAAATGGGGATAATTAATGAAAATGAAGTTGGTGTGGTTGTTTTTTAATTAAAATTCTGACAGTAATTTCTTTTTCCGTTAATTTTTGAAGGGACAATTTACCGTCAGATTTTTCACCAAAAATCCTTTAATTAACGGAGTCAAATTAATTCGAAAATATAAGAAAGTTTTATAAAATTTGTTAAAGAAGAGACTTCCACTAATTTAAAGAATAACAATCAATTCTAACATTCCACCCCAAAACAACCCTCCAAATTCTCCAGATTTTCCTCCAAAAATAATCCCTTTTTTCTTCCCTCCAAAAATTAATTTAAATTTAGGTGCGTATTTGGAATTGCCAAAAATCTCGTTTTGTCTGTATTAATTCAATAATTAGACAACTAGACAATCAAAAATTAATTTTTAATTTAAAAGAATATTTAGAATCCAAAACAATTCTTCGATTTTATTTTTTTAATTTAAAAATTCCCCTTTCTTCCCCAAAACTTTTAGTCCAAATTCCCTCACCTTGGGAAAGAGAAAGAGCTTGGATGTTGGGAAATAAATTATTTTCTGATAAAAACAATATTTCTTCTTATTTATTTCCGTCAATTGAAGATTCAGAAAATATTCGAATTGTTTTTCATTTGTGTTTATTTCATTCACAAGATGTTTTTGTTAGGTAAGTGAGTATGTTTTAATTGAAATTTATTGTAGTGGTTTTGGTGTAGTGGTAAGGTGTTAGGCTGTAGGGGTTGCGGGTTCGATCCCTTTGGGCAGATTTTTATTTTTTAAAGTTATTTTTTGTTCTTTTTAATATTTAAATAATTAAAATATTTTAAAAAACAATTTTTTAAATATTTTTTTCAGAAGCAATACAATAGTAGAAAATATTGGCTCATCAGCAAAAGGAATATTAAAACAACAAAAGACTTGTTTTAAAGAAACCCCTCCAATACCTCAATCTAAATTTACTTTTCTTTTATTTCGAAATCTTCAATCAGTCCCTCCTCCAGAAAATGTTAAAAATGGAAAATTTAACAAAACTTTTATTGAATTATTTATTGGTGCTCATTTAAAGGTAAATAACCGTTTTTAAGGTCTTTTTACATAAACCCTCCTAGAGATGAAACAAAATTGGTAGATCCCTTTTCAAGTTTTTATCCCCTCCATGCAAGTTAAAAATTCTTTAAAGAGTACTTAGGTATACTTCTTATCCCCCTTTCTATTTCCCTCAGATTTTTGGAGAGTTCTCTCTTTTCTCCTTTAACACAATTTAATTTTTTAAAATTAGCCAACAGACTATACATGGGCTATTGAAGAAAGTCAAAGAACAATGAAACGAATGACTGAATTAACAAACACAGAATATCCATTACCCAGGCTAACGGTTAAAGATAAATCTAAATTTAACTAAATTTTTCTAAATTTTTTTAGATTGTTTCTTCTCCATTGGGTGCTGGAAATGATGGAATGGGAGGGGTGGGACTTGTACAAATTAGAGATAGTTGGGTAAGGAAATTTATTATATTTTTGGTTAATTAAAAAGGAATAAGTTAAATTTACTTTAAATTTAATTTTTGAATAAAGGAAATTTTGACGGGAAATTTAAAGAAAGATACTCCCTACTTATAATTATAGAGTATTAAAGTTGTTGGCGACTAACTATTAACCTGTACATCTGATTTTCGGTTCGGTTAACCGAATGTTATCAACCCTACTTTCCTAATTATCAAGTTGGACTATTATTCAATCCCTGCCCGATACTTTATTATTCAAGAATTTTTTTAAATAATTTATTTAAAAACAGATGGAATACCCCAAATTTGTATATACACATAATTTATTAGTCGGCCAAATAGTTCAACAATGGACTACCAATTTATTATCTATTTGTAATCAATGTACTCAAAAAGGAATTTCTTTGTTTTTGGAGTGGATATTGGCCTCGGAATTGTCAGAAAATGAAAACGAAGTATTTTCTAGACGTGTGGATGAAACAAGAAGACGATTATTTGGAGGAGGAGGAGAAACAAATTTGGGAATTGTTGGGGTAAGGAAAGGCTAATTTTGACATTTTTTTGCAATTTCACCTGAGTTTGTGAATTTAGCTGGGACTAGGAAAAAACAGGAAATACTCTCGAGAGTTAAAATCTGAAATTTAGAAACTTCCAAAAAATTTTTTTCTTTTTCTTAGCCAGCCCCTTTACATAACAATTAAATTATTTACATTCCCATTACTTTTCTTTATAAAATAATTTTTTTAATTTTAAAAAATTAAATTTAAAGTCAACAAATCCAGCAATTAATCAACAACAATGTATTGAAAGATCAGCATTTTCTCTTTATACTTTGGACAGTACTTTTGGCAGAGAAATTATTACAAAATTTTTAAATTTACTTTTTTCTAAATATTCTTGGGTATTTAAATGTACAACAAATTCTGATCTTTCCAAATTATTTTTTGAAGCAAGTGGAGGAAATAAACAAATGCGTGGGCAATTTAATTAATTAATTTTGTCCCCTCTTTTTCTTAAAAATTTTAATGGGAAACGGGAAACGACAACATGAGAGGTTAAAAAAATGGGGGGAGAGGGAAGGCAAATCTGCTATATGGAGATGAAGAAATTCTGTTGGTGTATGTAAGCCCTTTAACAGTTTAGTTAGAAGCTTTTATCACCCTTTATGTTAATTATAGACCGGATCGAAACGAGATATCGAACAAAAATCTCGATTAAAATCATCTTTTGAGACTTCTCAGTCTTGTCTCAACTGTTAATAGTATTTTATTTTACCCTTCTTTCTCTTTCTGCATGACTTCGGACATGATAAATTAAAGTATTTTTGAAATTAATTTAGGTATCTGTAGAGATCTATTAATACCCTCCAAAAGAGTTTTGGGGGGAATATTTAATCTTCCAAAAAATTATTTTAATTAATTTTCTTATTTTTTCAGAAAATATTTTTGATTCCCTATTTAATTCTAAAATCTATTTAACACCATTAATTCGAATTAAAGTTTTGCCTCTTTCTTCAATTTTAAATATTGAATTAAATAATAATTTAACAACAAAAAATATTCAAATCCCAATTGAAGTAATTGATGATACTGGGAAAATAAATAAATTAATTTTAAATTCTTCACAATTAATTACAAAACTTCCAATTATTGTTTCTGCTTTTTTGGTTGCTAAACCTAGCAGTTTTGCTAGGTTTTTATATAATGTTTGTTTTGGATTTTAAATAAAAAATGAAGCAAATTTTTCTAGTCATTGTAGGGGGAATTACTTGGGCGATACTCCCTCAACAAGGAATTTTTCAGCCCCAAAGGTGTAATGTTCAATTATATATTTGAATACATTCTCGAGGAAATTTCTGATTTTAAGTAAAATTTTTGGATTAGAAAAGTAAAATTCTTTAGAAAGAACAAAAAAGAAAAATGAGGAAATAATTAATGAAATAAAAATAACCAAGTATTTTTCAAGTCAGAAAATGTTTCGTTTTTTAATTTTTTTATTCTTTCGATTTTTAAAAGCGGCAAGGCTTATTTATCCCTATTAGATATTGTTGAAATAAACGTTTAAAAAATTCTTTTAATATTTGTTATAATTTTCTTAAATTTAGGTAGAGAATTATATTCATTTAATTGAATGTCTTGAACCAACAAAATGCCCTTCAATTAAGCAAATTTCAGTAAAAGATGCATTTGAGGATCTCTGTTGGTAAGAAAATATTTTTATGTCGCATGACGTAAAAAATCAAAGCAATTTTATTGTAGGGGATTCTTTGGGAGGGTTTAAATTTTAAATTGTTTCGATTTATACCTTTTTACTATTCTTTTTAAAAATTTCTCCAATTTATAGGGCACTTCTTCAGCAAAAATTAAATCCTTTAGAAGAAGAAATTCCTAAATGGAAAGAATTATTCAAAACTTTAAACAGTAAAGGGGCTGTACATAATGATTGTGCTTGTTGTATGCAAACAGAAACTGAGGCACTTAAAAGTCATTGTAGATGGACTTGGTTAGATAAATGTAAAAAAATAAAAATGTTAAATTAAAATAATTAAATTAAAAAATATTTTTTTGAATTTTCTCAATTTTTATTTCATTATTTCCTCATGTTTCTTTTATTTTTCTAAAGAATTATTTGTTACTTTTCTAATTATGTATAAAAATAATACTCTAGAGAGTAGATCTACATTTATATTTTTTAAATACAGCATAATTTAATGAATATTAAAACTTGAAACACATGGAGCTAAACTTTTAAATATTCCAACGACGAGGGATGTTGTTCCAAGAACGGAGGAATTTGACAATGATAGTAAATATCCAGCTGCGGCCTGCATGTACACAAAAACCCTCATATATGGCTCATTTCATAATTTTCATATAAAAAAGCAAAATATACCCATACCTATTTATACAAACAATTAAATAGTACACTATTAAAAAACATTCGAACAAATAAAATTAAGTGAAATAACCGGGAAATATTAAAAATTAGCATTATTATAGTTATAGTGAGAGAGAGATCTTTTTTGTTTAGGTGATTCGTTAGATATATAAATAGAAAATATTCACATTAAGGAAAAAAGAAAAGGGAAATCCTAATATTTTTATTTTACACATCTCTCCTTATCCAATTTTGGAATTATAAGAGGCGTAGTTTGACAAAGAAGGGCGACGTCGCTTCGTATTACCTTTAGAAGTAGAAGACGGGGAGAACCACTCTAACAAAGCACATTGATAAATGTTCTGAAAATCAAGGAAAGATTAGCTCAAACAATCTAGTACAATCGAAACTCAATTTTGGATTCCACTTTGGGTCCGAAAAGTAGAAAATTATGAGTGGTGCATTAAATTATAAGTTTGCTTAGGCAGCCCTTACCACCCAGAGACCAACTAAATTTCAAAAAATCGTAATACTAGTAAAATGATATAACTAGTAAAATGATAATAGCCCATATTGGACAATTTATAAGCGAGATCTGACTGTAATAGCAAATCACCCCCAAGCCTTACTTTTAAATGTCTTCTTAAGCTAATTAACTTACCGGTCGATGTTTAGGGTCAAAAGTCATCATTTTGTCAATGGCAGATTTGCATTCAAAACTAAGACCCAATTTGGACGAATATCGATAGCGTCGATGCCGTTGAGCATCAACAATATCCATGTTGTCAACATCCTCACGGAATGGCATTGTATTGGTAAGCATTATGTAGCCAATAACACCCAAAGACCTACAAATAAAATAAGAAACTGGAAAAACGCCAAAAATTTCTAAAACCAAATATCAGCCTTGAACGTGTCATAAGTGACACCACGAAGAATTTCCGGTGCTGAATAAGATTTTGAGCCACAGAATGTGGAAGCTAGATCGATACTTTGTTTGCAAAATCCATAGTCAGCAATTTTCAGAATGCCTCCCTCAAAGAGAAGAATGTTTTCCAGTTTGAGATCTCGATGAGCAATCTCTTTTTGGTGGATGTAGACAAGAGCATCAATAAGCTGGAGCATCCATCCACGGCTTGAAACTTCAGAAACTGGCCCTTTGCTTTGGACATACGAAAGCTAAAATGAAAGAAAATATTCCAAAACAACCCAAAAAGTAACCATATCCCCATCTGTGGCTAACTCCATAATAGAGAACTGATAACCAGCCCTTTCAAAATCCTTGTAGAGGTACACGTGGTTCTTGTGATCCAGTTGCTTCCAAACACTCAACTCGCGTGGCAAAAACTTGTGCCTAAACTCGGCTGATATTTGCTCTAGATCAATGACTTTAATTGCAAGAAAGCGTTCCCCGTCCCTATAGTAACCTTTGTAGACTTTGCTGTAGCGGCCACTGCCCAATTTGTAATTACCAGAGAACTCGAAGCCGATTCGTGCCAAAATGTGTTTTGGAGAAGAGCGAGACTTATGCTCCATACTGTAAATGAGAAGGAGTTAAGAATGGAAAAATATAAAGAAACGATACCTGAGAATTGACGAGCAAAAATAAGAAAAAAGTTAGCAGTTTTGTAATAAAAATGTGTTTAAATTAAGAAGAGTGAAGCTTAAATACTCTCGAGCTTTTCTAAAAATGTATAAGCCAAAATTAGAGCTAGGAATTTTGAAAAAACCGGGACCGGGTCCGGGTAACGGGTTCTGAGAAATGGACCGGCCGGGTTCCGGGTCCGGGAAACCGGGAAAACCCGTTCCCGGTTTCAACCCGGTCTAGAAATGGGCGGGTCCCGGCCGGGAAACCGGGTTTTTTTTATTTGTTGAAATGGGGCTGTATTTTTACACATGGGGCTGTATTTTTCATCGCCTGAGGCGAAAAATTTGAGAATTTTGTAAGGCCTTAGGAGAAAAAATTCAATTGTTAGAGCTGCCGGCGAAAAAATTTTTCGAAGTTTAGATGGTAATGAAGCCAGAACTCTTAAATTTTCTGCGCACAGGCGAAAATTTTGGAAAATTCATGATTAAATTAAAATTTCTAATATTTTTTCAAGTTTAAAATATTAAAAAAATAAATTTGCAAATTTAAAATCAAAATCAAAGACTAAAATTATTTTTTTTTAAAAGAAAATTTTCTCAGCCCCATTTCCATACATGTATTCGAACCCCATCCCTATAAATTGACCAAATGAGTGAAGTCAGTCAACTTAACCACTCAACTATCGACCAATTAAAGGAAATATTGTAAATTATAAATATTCCTTTCCCTTTTCCTTCAAAAATTTAATATCGAAGTACGCAAATATACTAAATATTTTTCCCGGTTTCCCGGTGAAAAAAAAGCCGGGACCGGGTCCGGGTAACGGGTTCTGAAAAATGGACCGGCCGGGTTCCGGGTCGGGAAACCGGGAAAACCCGTCCCCGGTTTCAACCCGGTTGCTTCAAAAAAACCGGGAAAACGGACCCGGAAACCGGGAAACGGGTCCGGGTCCCGATCCCGTTCCTAGCTCTAGCCAAAATCTTAAATTATTTGAAGACCGTACTTTTACAAAAATTAACATAATGCCAAATTTATAAATCAGAATGCCAAATTATTAATTTTCAAATATTTATGTGACTCGATTTCCATGTCGACTTTTTAATATTTTTTTGACTTTGTTGTATAACGGATAATGACATCTTGTGTTGGATATGCTTGGCGATATTTGGAACAACGTGCAGCACAAAATTCATCAACACAACCACCTAAACGTGAATATTCCTTTGTTGTTGAAAGTGATGAAGATGATGAATCTTTGTTAGGATTTATGAAAAATGTAGTGACACATAAAGAATTAATTCCTCCGCCTACATATTTATCAGACCATAGACAATTACAAATAAGAAGAAATCAAATTGCTGGAAGAATAAATGTTGGGGGTGTTTCTTCTGACCCTAACTCAACTGGACTTCCGAGACAAAAACAAAATACTGACGTTGCGATGACTGCAAATGCTTTTTCTGATTTGGTTTTTTTATTTCTAAATTTTCTAAATTATTTCTCTTAAATTTAGGATGCTATAGCTGAAATGGGTGCTGGTGCGGATGATCAAGATTCTCAGTCACAAATTAGTGGGCAGAATACTCCTTGCCTTCCACATTTTAATAGTGATTGTCCCCAAATAATGACGCAACAACCGCAGGCCGTAAATCAGTCAACAAAAGATTTTGACCAAAGATTGAGTCGAATAAATCAAATTAGTGGAATTCAGCAACAAAATTCCTTACTTCAACTTTCGCCTTTAGAGCAACAACGAATGTCGGCATATAGACAACAACAACAAAAACTTTTAGCTGGTGTTAGTTCTTATAGAATGATGGTAAAATATTTAAATTTTTGAATTTAATTGCTCTTTCAAAATTGAAAAAAACTGTTAGGGGTTCTTCAAAAAAATTTTTCCTTAAAACGTCCATTTAATTCAATTTAAAGCTTCAGGTTCCATTTTTATTTTTTAGCAACAAAATCAATCTATTTTGCCCCAATCTGGACCAGAAGTCTTTGATTTTGATGACTCTTCTAATTTTACGGGAGCTATTAATAGTCCATCCTATCAGTCTCCAGGTGGCCGCTGTCGTGGTAGAGGAAGACGTGGTGGTGGAAATGTTGGGGATAGACAACTTTCTTTTTCTTCATTAGAAACTGAAAGTACTCCAGCTTCTCCTTCAGATTTTCCCGGGAAAAAACGAGGTTTTTAAGAATTTTTTTAATTTTTGAATAAATTTTTAGGCGTTTCTGGACAAAGAAAACCAAGAAAACCAAGAACAAGAGAGATTGCTTTGGCTTCTGATGAAAAATTGGCATTTTCTTATCAACAGGTTCCTTTCCAAACTCCACCTTACCAACGACAACAATCAGTACTTCAGCAACAAGTTTCTATGTCTGGACATCTTAATTATAATATTTGTAAGCACAAATTTTTTTTAAATATTTGAAATATTGAAATTTGTTTTGTTCGTTTCTTATTTCAAGTTTTGACAATATTTAATTTTATTCCCTTTTAATTAAACCGCAAAGACAAAATAAGTAAGTTTTTTCCAAAAAAATAAACTCCTTAATCAGTATATTTTTGAGTTTTAATATAAGGAGTTGGCATAATCAAGTAATGTTTTTTAATTATTTGTTTATTAAATAGATTGCTTTAGCTTTGTTTGGGTTTTCATTTAGGTTCATATTTTGATCTCATCATGTTAAAAACAGCTTAAAAGGAAACTTTTTTTTATTTTTCTTTTATAATATTTTAATAAAAAAATTTTTTTAAGCTTCAAACGAAGAGGAAGTTCGTTCAAGAATGATGACTGAATATGAAATGGCTGCCTGTGAATCATTTTCCTCTGACGAAGAAATGGATCCTCCACCCCCGCCAAGAAATTTGCATCGAGAATCAACTGAAACAGAAAAGGACAATCAACAAGGAGAAAAATCAAAAATTAAAGCAAAACATTCTGGCTCTTGCGAGTCTCAAATGGATGAAACCAGTCAACGAAAAACTAATGAAGAGTTTTCTTTGGCAGAATTTTCGGTTTATTTTTATTTATCGGTGGAAAAATTTGTGATGCGTTTTTATTACATCACAATAATTTTTTCCGTAATTCCTAGAGATTTTCGATTTTACAATTAAGGGAATTTACAAAAAAAAATATAATTTTTGGATGTCAAAAATTTTTTTCGAAATTTTAGAAACAGCAAATACCGTCTTCATCAAATAATCAATCATACGAAAAACCGCAACAACAGAAACAACATTTAATTAATTCTCAATTAACTTCAACAACCTCTTCTTCCTCTTCAAATTCTGCTTCTGTTGCTTCTTCGCCGCCACAACAACGTCAATCAGAATTAAATAATTTACATAAAATTAGTGGAGATTTTTCAAAAGATTCGAGAAAAACTTCAAAAACTTCTTTAAAAGAAATTGAAGATTTAAAAGAGATTAAACAAGAAATCAAAATAAATTCGGCAAAAAGTTTTAGCCCTTTTCCTGAATATTATTTTGAAGATTCTTCTACGCAAAATATAAAGGTTTTTTAATTTAAAATTTTGAGGATATATTTTTGGGCAGTTTTCGGCTCCAAACTATACATTTGTTCGATTTTCAGAAAGTTGGTGATCGAGTCTGCCCATACGTCTTATTTCCTGTCAAAACTCTTTATCTTTTCGGCCTAATTTATACATCGAAAATAAACCAGAAGGGATGTAACACCTATTTTTGGTATTTCAAGGAAAGAAGCCCGGGGATGATATTAGGATCTTGCCAAGTTTCTAGGTTCCCTTTTCCCTTTTTTGGTTTTGTAACATTTGAAATTTTTCGAGTATTTAAAATTTTAAATAAACAAGGCTTATTTAGTTAATTTTTAGAAGGAATATCTAACAGAATCAAAAGAAGAAGAAAACAAAAATAAAATACTACAGCGACAACCATCAGTAACAACAATAAAGCCAGCAACAGAAGTAAAAACAAAAAATAAAAATTCGAAAATAAAAGAAAAAGAACCTAAAAAATTATCAAATCAATCATCAACGGAAGATTTAATAAATAAAAAAGCAAAAATTGTTTTAAAAATAAAACCACAAAGAGAGGGGGGAGGAGGAATACAACAACAGCAATCTAAAATAAATACAAATAATTCTTCATCTTCCCCTTCTTCCTCATCTTCGTCTTCAATTTCAACATCAATAAATATTTCACAACCAACAACAACAACATTTCAACAAGCAATAGAGCAACAACCAATAGCAAGACTTTCAAGTAGTGGAGCCCCTCCATCAAAATTTAAACAACAACAACAAAAAAGTGGAGGAATTAAAAGACCTGCAATTGAAGAAATTATTGAAAATGTTAAATTAAAGAAAAGTAAAAAAGAAGGAAAAAATTCCCCAACACAACAATTAAAACAACAACAACAATCAAATATAAAAAATGTAAAAGAAAATAATAAAAATAAAGAAGCTTTTCCACAAATAGCGGCAACTCCTTTTCCTAGTTTAAAAAATTTTAAGGTAAATTTAATGATTTTTGATTTTTTAAAGATTGATTTGAAATATAAGACAGTAATGCGAAAATAAGTTCTATTTTTTGGATGTTCTGTATAGAATTTTCTATTTACTTATTAAATTCTACTGTTTTATCTTTTTCTTTAGATACCAAAAGTAGTAGAAACAGACCCAGCCCCTCCTCCACCACCTCCTCAACAGCAACAAAACTTTTCACAACCAAAAACAGAACAACAACAAAATCAAAGAAATTTTTCTGGTGAAGGAGGGGGGAGAATAAATAAATATTCGACAGAATCTTCCTCAAATAATCCTTCTTCTTCATCATCATATGGAGGGGGAGCAGGAGATTATAATAGTAGAAAATATGGAGAAAAGAAAGGAACAACAACGGCTAATAATTGGGATACTAAAACACAACAACAAACTAATTATTTACCTCAACATATTAGACAACAAAAAGGGCCAGTAAAGCCTAGCAAACATCCAAATGTTAATGATTCTAATCGAAATAAAAAATTCACTGGAGGGCCACCAAACCCGCACAATGAAAGGTAAATGTATTAGAAAACTTGGTTTAAGATTAATTGTTTTAAATTTTAATTGGCTGATATTTGGGACAGCCTAAATGATACCCTTTATTTTAAAGGCCTCATTATAGAGTTTAAGGCCTCATATAGAAAGAGTGTATCTTCTGACTATATTTAAACAAAAACTTTAGAAGAGGCCATCCTCCTTCTGGCCCTACAATCAATAGAACCCAACAACAGCAACCTTCCCAACAACAAAAATATTACTCTTCTACTCCTCAACAACGTGATATACCTAATTCCGGTTTTTCTCAAAATTGGCAATCTTACACAAATCAGCAGCAGCAACAACAGTCACATATTCAACAAAATCCTCAAATACTAACATTTTCTTCACAAAGAAATTGGCCAACAAATCAAATCCCTCAAGGACGCCCTAAAACAAATATTTTGAGGTATGAAGTTAATTTACCTCAACAAGCTGGAAATTCTCCTCAAGTTGATGATGGACAACTCCAAATAGTTGATGAAGAATAAGAAAATAATTTTTTAAATTTTGGATTTTAAATTTGATAATTTTGTAATTTTTGGTAGTTTTCTATTAAATATCTATTTTTCCTATCAAAATATTTGGACATTGTATTAAAAAATTAAGTGGGGTTGATCAAAAGTGAGATTGTTAAAACTTTAACCCTCCGATACCCACTACACCAACGTGGAAACCCTTGAGGGGGTCATGAAATTGGTGTCTGAATGATTGTGAAGTCGAAAATTTTCGCCTGCTCTTTAGAAGTATGTCTAACGAAAAATATTGGTTGAATTTTTCCAAAAACTTGATTGGTAAAAGCATCAAATACAGGCATATCTGGCAGTATAATCTTAAATTAAAAATTTCCACGTTCGGAAAGAAACTATAATAAATACATATAATTTGAATTTTATTGCTTTTTTGTCTAGTAAATGTAGAATATTAATTAAAGAATAAAATGAGATATGGGAAATTAATTTTAAGATATTATACTTGTTATATTATAATAATAAAGGGCAGAGATCTATTTAAATTAATACATAGTACTTAGAGAGAATCCACCGGAAATTAAAAAAGCTCTTCTTGGTGGTGAGATATTTTTTTAGTCTAAATAAATTTTATTGAAAATCTTCCTCATTGTTTGTTATAATTCTGGCATTAATTGTAGCATTTATTAAAATAGCATCTTCATCTGGAAGAATAAATTCGTTGCTTAATCCTTTATCAGAATCTGTGAAAAATAATTTTTTTAATGTTTTATATGATTGGAATTTCAAAAAAGAGACCGAGAACCAAAAATATAGTAAAAACGGGGAAATTAACTGAAGAAATATTGAGTGGTCCGAATTAAAGCGAATATTTTGTGTTTATTTCCCTAAAACTAGACGCAATTTAACATAAAATCCCCTTCTACGAAGACGTAATTCTCCATGTCACCTACTACTACTAATGTAAATAAGTTAATTTTGGCACAAGGAAACGAGATATCCATCAAAAATATAAATTGTCAACCGACTCCTAACCCTCCGTTCATTTCCATTTCCCTAAATATTTTCTTATAAACTAACCATCTTCTTCATGTTCAAAATATTCTTCATCTTCATCATTATCCTCATCTTCAAAATATTTACTAAAATCGTCAAGGGATTTACAATGTTGTGAAGGAATTCTTGATATTTGTGCAGCCAAATCAGTAAAAGATCCTTTTCTAAAAGTATTTGGTGAATATCTCATTACAGAAAACTTTCCATGATTAATTAATGTTTTTAAATGATTATTCTTTGTTATTAATTCTGGTAATGTTTCACAACCATATTGATAACCAGCATTCTTTTTTAAATTTTAAATAATAAAATTTTAAAAAGAAAAGAAAACCTGTATAATATTAAATTTTGGAAAATCAAGTGTTTTAAATCTATCAATTGGTGGTCTAAGATACGTACAATAAGGAGCTTTTTTAACTAATTCTAATTGACGAACACTTGACACAAAAGAAAGACGATCCTAAAATAAACAAATTTACACTAAAAATATAATTACTGGCATAACCTAAAAGATTTGGTTATTTTAAAATATTACATAATTAACCCGCAAAAAATATCTTAATTGTAAGAATATTACATTCTAAATTAGTATACATAAAACCCAAAATTATTATGATGTAATTTTGAACGGAATTGCGGATTACATGCCTAGGAGTGGGGGCGGGATATGAATAAATTAAAATACACTAAAATCCCTTAACAGGAAAAATTTTAAGAAAAACCTGAATTTCTTGTGCAGTCAAAATCCTCATAGCATCTTTTTGCCAATTCAACAAAGAATGAAATTGAGCATAAAATCCATTTAAATAATCCCCATAATTATGAAAATCTTTTTCATCAGCAGAACTAACATCTATAGCAATTACTGTTCTAGCCCCCATTGTACGCATTACATCTGCAGGTAAATTATTTACATAACCACCATCCAATAAATAATGGCCTTTTTAAAAAAAAACAAACAAATTTTAATTTAAATTTAAAAAAATAACCATCTTCATCATCACAAATTGGCGGCAAATAAACAGCTAAAGTCATTGAAGCTCGAACATAACGCCATAATTGTCCTAAAATGTTGATTAAGAAGGAAAATTTTTAAAAATTAATTTTTTAAAGAAGATAAGCTTTATCAAAAATATCATATGGAAGAGAATGAAAGGGAACAGCAAGCTAATAATAATAATTTTCATTTTAAAGAATTTTATAAGAAAGATTTAGCAACTTTGAGGGAACCCAAAGAAATATAAAGGAGAAAAATAATTATTAAATATACCCTTCTATAAATGACTCGATTTTCTCGAAAATAAATTATTTAAAAGAACATGGAATCTCAATTTTAATTAAAAAAAATAGAAAAAACTAACCATTTCTATGCACTCTCATTTCAGAATTTCTAAAAAGAAATTAAATTAAAAAAAAATTATTTAAAAATATTTACGAAATATCTGTAGTAACACAAAAATAAGGTAACCACAAATCTTCAATACTTTTAAATCCAAAAACATTTTTTAAAAGTTTATTAAAATTATATCCAGTTAAACGAGCAGAAAAAGCCCAAGTTATATCTAATAATAAATTCCAGAATGAAGACATTCCCTTTAAAAAATTAATTTTAAATAAATAATTTAATTAAAAAAGAAAAATACCAAAAACCATTTAGAAACTTTCTCTTCCAAATTTTCCATATTATTTGGATTTGTAGCCAAAATACCACTAATTAATGACCCAATAGAAGTTCCTCCAACAATATCAACAGGAATTCCTTTTTCATGTAAAGCTTTAATTAATCCAACATGTGCGGCACCTCTTAAAAATAAATAAAATTTTTATAGATTTTTTTGTGTTCCTAAAAGTAGTGGGAAAACATTTAAATTTCAAGTAACTATTAGTTAAAGGTTCTATTCCTATGTGGAAATATTTTTTAAATTAAAGATAAATAAACCAAAAAATAGTTTAGGAAACAAGAAAAAATATTTTGTTAATGTAAAATTCAAAAAACCTTGCCCCTCCTCCACCCAAAACCAATCCAACAGCATTTGAAGAAAGTAAACGTCCTAGACGGGCAAAATCACTGTGAACATCTATAGTAAATGGGAATACATGGTGTTCATAAAAATTTAGAATTTCATTCTCATTTTTCTTTGAAAAATAAAAATTAATTAATTTATTTATTTATTTTTAATCTAAACCTCTACTTTACTTTCCCAACTAAACATTCTGTCTGGTGCATGAATATGATGATGAGCAGAAAACCAACTTCCTTTTAGCCATTCATAAGTACCTTAAAATTGTAAAATAAACAGATACTAGGCATTAGAGAGGATAACCAGAACGATTCCTCATTCCAATCCCAAATTGTAGGATAAAAAAATAGTGCAAGCTTTTTAAAAAAATTTCAAGAGGAGCTGGAAAATGGTCAGAAAATAATTCTTTATAGTAAAGTCTTTTCGGGAGTATGCCAAAAATCATTTTAAAAACGAAAGTCGAAAAGTGAAACACCAAAAAGATCAAAATCGGCTAAAGCGGCAAACACGTCCCGTTTGCCTCATTTTTATGTTAGAAATATATTAAAGAACAAAAATACCTTTAGGTACAGCATCAGCTCCGCGCCATAACAAAACCAATTCTTTTCTAGATCTAATTCCATCTTGATTCATTTTTAAATGTTCATCAATCTAATTTTAATTTAAATTATTTTTTTAATTAAAAATAAAATAAACAAAATGTTTTTCTGGGGGTTTTTGATCACCACAAGCAACAACAATAATTGCATCTGCTTGACTTAAACAACGTCTAGTCCAGTTTGTTGCTGTATAATCACATTCATAAATAACTAATTGATAAGTATCTTCTTGGGAATTTAGCCAATGCATAAGACGAAAATCTGCTTTCCTTCAAGAAAAATTCTCCTCAAAAAATTTTTTTAGACAAAAAACCTTTGCATTACAGCTTCAACCCCCAAACGTTCAACAACAAATTTACTACTTAAACGAATTATTTTTGTTGTAACACTCAGTGCATGATATAATTCACAAGTAAAAGCTACTAAAGGAACGTCAAAAGTTGCTGGGAAAATAGCAATTGTGTGGAGATTCTAAAAAAATTTTTTTAATAAATTCAAAGAAAACTTACTCGTTGAGTCATTGGATCAGGAATTGCTAAAGGAGACGAAGAAGAAACCCGTCCAGAATAATAACGTCCCAAAAGACGAACAAGTCGGAAGCCAACTTGAGGAAATTGCATTTTAACAAAATTAAGCAGGCCTTCAGGAATTTTTGAAAGTTGGGAATAACGAACAGCGAGGACTTGAAAAATAAGTTTAAAAATTAAATTTTAATAAAAACCTGTAGTAGTTCTTGGGTTTTGTTGAAGCACTTCAACAATTCCTAAAACATCACCTCTCCCAAATTCTTCAATCACAATTTTTTCTGAAACTGAACGTAAACGACCACTTAACGCAACAAAAACTGAATCAGAAAAATCATTTTTTCTAAAAATACAAAAAATGTAAATTAAAATAATTTTAAAAAACCTATAAAGTGCCTCGCCAGAATCAAGCAAAACCCAACCTAAAGCAAAATCAATAGCTCTAACAAAGGAAGAAAGTCTTTGCAGTACTGAATAAGCAATTGGGAAGACAAGAGAAGGTTTTTTCTCAATAAGTAAATCAGCATCTTTTTTGTCAATTAATGCAACAATACTTGGACATGCTGCTCGAAGTGTACAGAATGAAGGCTCGTCGGTAAGAAACTGAAATCTTACATTATTAAATGAAATAATGAAAGAAGAACAAATAGTTTACCCCCTATGTGAGTCCGAAGAGATTTAAAATATATATTACCCAGATCAACATTTTTAATAAATTAAAAGAAAACCTGTAATCCTCCAACCAATTCTCGTGTATTTACATAAGCACACCAAGAATCTTTATCTTCATATCCAAAAGTCGACATATCCGAATAAGCAGATTTTTGTGTAATTTTTAATAAACCAGAAACAACAACGCCAATAGAAGCCCCATCATTACTTCCCTCTTCATAAAGAGTTTGATTCTCCTCCAACTTCAAAAACCTCAAATATGGCTTAATCAGAATATTCCCCTCAGATTCAGAAATATTTAAAGCTTCACAAAAATAAGTTAAAGCAATTGAAATTTTGATTTCTTCATTTGAATTTTCAAATTCTGTTGACATTCGCTGAAGTTTTGGTTTCAATCCACCACCATAATTACGCAGAGAAAGGCCTCTTTGTTTAAGAGGTTTTTTGGTGGAAGAAGTAGAATGCTTTAAAAAATAGATTTAATTTATTGGGGGGTTTCGGTATCAAACTTCAAAAATTATTTAAAATGGAACCAAAATTAATCGAATACATATTTGAAAAAAACACTAACCCTTATTTAAGAAACCCGATTCTCTAAATTCGACAGATCCCTTGTCCCCAGGTAAACTTTAACAACTTTAAATTATTAAAAAAATGAAATAGAACCTTATTCACAAGTTCTTCACTCAACCCCAAATGTTGATGTAATGTTGTAAGTACAATATGTCTCAACCTTGTTGCTATTATTTGAATTCTTTAATTTAAAAAAATTTATTTTTAAAATTGAAATTAATTATAAACGTTCTAATCCAAGCTGATTGATCAGGATTTTCAATAAAAACATTATAAAAATTAACTAAAGAATATTTTGCTAAACGAGTTTTTAATGTTGCTTTTAAAGAAACTGTTTTAAGTAGAGAAGGTTTTCCCTTTAAAATAATTTTTAACTTTTAATTTTTAAAATTAAAAAAACCATAAAAATATCAAGTAAAGACAAAGGACTAAAAAAACAATCTGAAGGGCCTATTCTTCTAACCATCGATTTCTTTCCTTGTGTTGGCTAAAAAAACGCTGATTTATTTAAAATAAATTCGAAATTACAGATATATAAACAGCAAGGCTTCCTTCTAAAACGACATAAATTGAATCATCTAAATTTAAAAAATTATTAAAAATTTCAAGTAAAAAAACAAAGTAGAATCTGCCGTTTTTTGGAAAACTTATATTTATTTTTCAAAAAATTAAGGGAAAAAATGAAGAAAGAATTCAGAAAAAAGGCGAAAACTTCCTATATGACAATTTTATTTTTTCTTAGAACCTAAAAAATAATAAATAATTTACCAGCATCCCCAGGTTTAACAATAAATTCATTTGTATCAAAAACCATTAATTGAATATCTTCTTCTTTAATATTACAAAATGAAGGAAATTCTAAAAGCCTTTAAGAATTTTTTTTAATTTTTAATTAAATTAAAAAACTTTGTATTTTGTTTAAGGTAAAATAAAGGTTTTTGGCGATCAGGAACTTGTGGATTCTCTAAAGGTTCAAAAAATTCTGATGGTGGTTTGGGTAGAGCATCACGAGGAGAACTAACAGAGAATTTTTGTCGAAAGTCTGGAATGATTCTGAAAAGAAAATGTTATTAAAATTTTAAAAGGCTTTTTGTCCGCAAATTCAAATCCGCAAAAAATGAAAAACGAATTCCGAGATCCTATAAAGATTTTGCATTGTAATTTTGCAGTCTAGTCCATCAAAAAATAATTAAAAATAGAAAAGATGATATGTAGGTTAGGAAAGTCTTATTCTGACAAAAATTATTTTAGAAAAGAAAATCTGCTAAAAAATTATTTTCGCAATTTTTCAGATTGCGGACAATTTATCCAGAGAAAAAAAAATTCCCAACTTTTTTGCTGCTCTGATAACTTGTTTTGGAAATCCAGTCCCAACAGTTGAATGTCTTCTTCTCAAAAGTAAAGGTAAAGATGTCAGGCTTGCGCTCCTTTTGACCATAATATTCGAATAAATTGACTTAAAAATTAAAGAAAAATAATTTCCAAAAAATTAAAAAAAACCTTAAAAACATTCCTCCCTTCCCTTTTATTTTTTGTTGAATTATTTGAATTATTTTCTTGAGTTTCGTCAAAAATTTCTTCAGAAGATGAACAACGACCTAAAAAATTAAAAAAATTATTTTTTTAATTTAAATTTAAAAATATACTTATTCCACTGTTATAAATAAAAAGAAAATACAAAGTAGTCAATAAAATTAATAAAAGAATTAATAAAATCCACCAAAACATTTTTTATATGAATCTAAAAATTAAAAAAAGATTAAACTTGTCCATTTAAAAATTAAAAATAGAGAATAAATATTATTACAACACAACTTTTTCCGTGGAAAAATAATGCTTAAGATTTTGAAAAAAAAAATATTTTTGTTTACACTTTAAAGAAAGCAATATTGAAATAAAAAATAAGGTTGTTTTTTGTGTAATTTTATTAAATTAATTGAATAAAAAAAATAATTTCAAGGGAATTTTGAAGTTTTTGTGTCTAATTTTTATTTTCCCTCCAATTCCTCCCAAAATATAATTGAGGAGAAAAGTACGATAGACAAAGTTCAAAATTCTCTTAAATTTAATTCAGAATTTACTCCCCCCTCCCTCAATTATTTTTTTATCAAAAATAATTCAATAATTGTCTGTGAGGAGGAAAGTCCAAACAATTAAAATATTAAATTTTATTTTATGAGAGAATATTTAAAAAAAATTATTTTTTCCCTTTCTCAATTCATAACAACATCCCACTCAATTCATTTTATCCTCCCCTACTTTGTTACGTAATAACTTTTTCTATTCAAAGGAAATTCAATAATCTTATTTGTTTGAAAATGAAATGGAACTGAAAAAGAAAAAAAATTTTAAATTTACTCTAGGACATTTTACCGAAACAGACAATTCACCGAAAGAATAATCCCACAACCAGTTTTACTCTTCAACACTTATTAAAATTTTACAAAAACGAGTATTATTCATCTTACCCCCTACTAATCTATAAAAGAAACTTAAATAACAAGTCAATTTAAATAATCATCAAAAAAAGAAAAGTAAATTATATTTTTCGGTGAATCGTCCTTTACGGTGAATTGTCTTTAAGCGAACCCTGTGACACCACTCTATCAATCACTTTTAACATTTCTTTCAAATCAACAAATAAACTTTAAAAGTTCAGCAAAAAATGTTAAATAAATAAAAAGTAAAAAATAAATACTTTAAAAATAAGAAATAATTACTTAAAAAATTTATTTTCAAAAAATGTCAAATATTTTCTTTGGGGGGATATAAAAAGTATAAGAAAAAAACTAAATATATAGAAGGCAATTGATGATTTATACAATTGTTTTATATGAAAATTCAGAAGAAAATTCAGAAATAAATTTTTGAAGATTTTTAAAATTTAAGATTTTTTTAATTTTTTGAAGAAAATCGTTAAAATTTAAATTAAAATTATTTAAAAATATATACAAAAGAATATCACCAATCAAAATTTATTTCATTTGTTTGTAAACTGGCATGAGCAATGCATCAGACATGTTCTGAAATAAAATTAGAAATATGTATTTATTGAAACAGACAACCCCAATAATTATTTTAAAAAAGATAACATTTTTAAATTTAATTTGTTAAAAAATAACCCCGGAAAAAACAATTTTAATCGTTCAAATCTTCCAATAATAGAAATAGCTAAAATTACTTAACTCCTAAAATTTCTATGATTTTTAATAAGTAGAGGGAAAAAACACTTTGAAAAAGCCAAAAATATTATCTAAAAAAATTAAATTAATTTTTAACCTGGAAATCAATTCGTTCAATCCACATAAGTAAAGAATTTGTCAAAGCTTTATAATTAGACACATCAACATTTGCAAGAAAAGACTCAAAACATTTATCCAAAAAATTTTGTAACTTTAAGAAAAAATATTTTGTTAATTAAAAACACAAACAAACCATTTTTAACTGTATAACAGAGCTTGTTTGGGAATCAAAAGAAAAATTCTCGTATTGCTGTAAAATCATTTCTAAAGCAGCAAATTGTGTTTGTAATTTAGATAATTCTTCTTCATTTTTTTCAATTGAAGAATCCAAAGATTTGACATAATCGGCTGCCCTAAAAATTAAGGTAATTACTTGAAGGTTTTGTAAAGTAAAAAGGCCCCCAAAAAGATTTTTTTAATCTACAAATAATTAATAATATTCCCCCAAAAACATATAAATCCCCTAAAATTCTTAATCAAAAAATAGATGCCAATATGTCGATTTTTTGGACTACTTCAACAACATCATCTACCCAATTTTACATTACTCAAAAATCAATATAAACTATTCCAACCCTCAATTTACTTTTAATATTATCCAAATAAAAAAACCTAAAAAGAATTGCTGCATTTGTAGTTTTGCCTAAAAATATATTTTAATAAAAGAATATTTTTAATAAAATATACATCCAGTAAATGAAGCTGATGCTGGCAATAAATCTTTAAGTTCACTATATCCACTCTTAAATTAAAAAAAATTAATTAAATATATACAAACAAACATTAATAGCCTCACGACGTTGTCTAAAAACATTAAAAATTAAAAGTTTATTTTTATAAAAATTAACCTTTCACATCGTAAATGAGTTTGCTTTTTCCGTTCACTTGAATTCATTTAATTAAATAAAAACTGGAAATTAATTAAAAAAGAATTTAAATAAAAATTAACTTTTAAATCTAAAATAAGCGTGTATATTCTTTCTCTTTTTCTTCGTCATTGCCAACTAAATGCGGTAAATTGCGCGATCGTTATGGCCGAAAATATAGCGCAAATCTTTTATAAAACATTTACCGCATTTAGTTGGCAATGACATAGTCGAAAACATTAAAATATAAATGATTAAAATTTCTGCTAATCTTAACAATAAACAAAGAAAATTCGTGAAATTTAGCCTTACGCCATAGTGGCCTGCGCCATAACGGGTTCCCGTTCTCTAAATAAGCATGTGACAAGCAGATAAGCTTTTTTGAAATAGAGTAGAACGAGAAGAAAAGAAAAAAGAGAGAATTGGAAAAGAAACGAGAAAAATAAATTTGAAACGGGCGGGGGATCATTGTGTACCGGCCGTTTGTGTACCTGGCCATATTTTGGGCCATAACTTTTTCAATTCTTAATTGATTTAAATAAATAATATATCAATTGAAGGCCCTGGATGTGAGGATTATTTTCGCCAACAGGATTGATTTGATCAGATCATCATACAAAAAGTTACAGACAGATAAAGATCAAAATCACGATTGAGCGCATTTATCGAGATATAACTTTTTAAAACATGATCTGATCAAATCAATCCTGTTGGCGAAAATAATCCTCACATCCAGGGCTCTCAATTGATATAATAATAATTTAAGTCGGTTAAGAATCAAAAAAAGTTATGGCCCAAAATATGGCCAGGTACACAAACGGCCGGTACACAAGTGGGACGTTCCGATTTGAAACGGTTGCGGTCATTTGAGTGTGGCTGATTGAGCGTGAGGACAGTTGAACGTGGGAGGTTGCAATGTGGGCTGTTGTTTTATTAGCGTTGTCAAAGCAAGTAAAAAGTACACTTGCTAATATCTTTTATTTGTTTTTATTACAATTAGATTCTTAATTGTTTTTTTAAATATTTTAGCTGTTGTCTAAAAAAGCTTAAACTTCTTGTGAAAATAAATAACGACAACATGAATTTACCTACAAATAATGGAGAAAATTTACAAATATCAATTGAAGGTTAATTAATTAATTTAATTTGCTTTTTCTAAATATTTTCCTTCAGTTTCCATTGGGTGTTTTGTTTGGTTTTGTGATTCAAATGAAAGGAGAAGAGTGGCAATTAAATGTGAAAAAGTTGATGATCAGAGAAAATTGGTTTGATTTTATTAAAATTTTTATTTTTAATAGATTTACTTTTTTCTGTTTTTGGAAATTTTTTTGAAAAATAGAGATTGGCCCGAATAATGATCTAAAGATTGTTTTTCAGAGTTTTTCGGGGTATTTTGATTTTACCGGCCCGATTACTTGAAATTAAAGTTTTCAAATTCCTATCTACACTATTCATCCTTATATTAAAATTAAATTCTAGCTGAGTTTTTATGGTTGATATTAAATAGAGAGAAAGGGGGGGGGGGTGTTTACAAGTTTTTTTAAAATTTTCTATAAAAAGATTTCTTAATTTTTCCAAAATTTTTTTAAAGAATTCCTTTACAAATTTCCACCACAATTCAATAATTACATTTTCGAATATTTTCAAACAAAATGGTCAAATATTTCTGGCATCAACGTTAAAAATGGATTTGGGAACGTGTAAAAATCTCTTAAATTCAACATATATTGAAGGATTTCCTGAACCTGTTATCAAAATTATTGCTAAAAATGTTTTGAAAGGATTAATGTTTCTTCACTCTAATGGAATAATACATCGGTAAAATTATTGTGAAAATTTTAATATATAGCTAGGCGAGGCTTAAAAGGTATTAAAAGTAGTGGACATTAATGAGAATTAAAATTGTTTATATTTTAGGTTGGGGGAATTATTTCTTTTATCCAAAATTATCTTAAAATTTATTTTTAGTTTTTTTTTAAATTTTGTCGATAGGTGTAAGTTTAAACATAATTTTGAATATTCGGGAAAATTAAATTTAAGGCTTTTGGTAATTTTGGGGAAGGAACTAAAAAAACTTGTTTGCTTCCCCTAAATAATTTTAATTATTTGTCGACTACCAATTCACAGTCCAATTAAAATTATATTTGTATAAAATCCTAAAAATTAATTTGTTTATAGGGGAGTTTGTGCCCAAAATATTCTACTCGACTCTGAAGGAGAAATAAGATTAGCAATAACCCAAAATGCCATAAAAATCGCAGATTGCCCCAGATGGATTGGTCAATTAAATAGAGTCCACAGCTTTGCCGGACTTGAAGATTCTTTTGTTTGGTTGGCCCCAGAAGTTTTGAGACAAGATTTGAATGGATATGGAATTGAATCGGATATTTATAGTTTTGGAATTTTTATTTGTGAATTATCTAATGGAATTGCTCCTTTTGCTGAAATGGAACCTTTGAGAATTTTATATGAAAAATTACGAGGAACTACTCCCTTTTTGATGGATTCACAAACTTCAGAAAATGGTAAGGTTATGATAAACAAACCCTCCACTTAAAAATACATTCTAGGGGCTGTAAAAGTTTATCTTATAATGTAACCTAAAACTGGCTATTGCTTTCTTAAGCAGCTTTCGGTAATTCTTCGGCTGACGCCCCCCTTTTTTTATGTTTCCCTGACCTTTTTTTGCTTGGCATAAATATAATTTATTATATAGAATATCATTCAAAATAGCTGTCCGGGCTGGGTAGAGCTTTGTCAATTTTCAAAAATCTTTGGTTGCATCCAATCAATGTAACCAAGGATTAAAAATAACGGGTGTAGGTATTCCTAGTACTAATCGATATGTCCCGCTAATTAAGAAAATTTAATTAGTTTATAAAAAATATTTTTGGTTACATTGATTGGATGAAAAAACTTAAAACAACACCCATAACTCTTACTTATAGCAATCCTGATTTCTAAGTTTATTTTTTCAAAATTCAGAACTTTCTAATCGAGAATTTTCTCCCGATTTGCACGAACTTGTCAACGAGTCACTTATACACGATTATGAACAAAGGCCTTCTGCACACGAATTTTTAGAAAAATATAAAAATACTTTATTTATTGAACAAATTAATAAAGAAATAATTAAACAATATTTGCCTTTAACAAATATTTTGTTGTAAATTTGTTTTATTTTTTGTGAGAGAAATTAAAAAAATTTTTTTCTTTAATTTTAATCCCTTAACAGAATTATTGTTGATGTTGCAGAATCATCACCAAAACTTGAAAAATAAAATAAAAAAAATTATGTATTTTATTTAAAAAATCTAACCAATTCGAAGCTCTACATTGTAAAGTAAAAGAAGCGTGTTCTGTCATTTTTGTATCAACTAAAAGCTCTTCTCCATTATTTAATTCCTTTTAAAAATAATTTTTATTTTTAATAAATTGAAATTGTCAATAGGGGTTGGTTGGCGGTTTCGAATATCCGAAGAAAACCAAAAAAGTCCAGATATTAGCAAATTTTCTATTCGGATATCAGTTCAAGATCCGGGTTCCTAGGAACCGCCAACATTAATTGTCAAAAAATTAATTTGGGCAGAAAAAATTCAGAGATTGTGAAAAAAAATCCGGATTTGGCTACTACTACATAGTTTATAGTAAATATATGAATCCTCAAACTCGTAAAGGAAAAAGTTTGTCTATGTAAATGGAATAACGGAAGGAAGCCTTCTTTAAAATAGGCTTTTCCGATACCAGAAGATCACTCTATAGCCTCTTTCTCTCTGAATTTTGTCGATGGAATCGGGAAAAACAAGAGTTAATTAACAACTTAAAAATCCTCTCCTTTCAAAAAATCATCCTTTGAAAACTTTTACCTTAATAAAAGGTATTTCCTCAATTTGTTTAGGTATTAACAATTCATTTCCATCCACAGCCATTAAATTCCAATCAATTTTTGGTTCAGGTTCACCTTCAACTTTACAAATTAATTTAATTATTCCTCCAGCTATTTCCATTCTCGAAGAAGTAATTAAAGATATTGAAGGGGCTGACCGAAGTGAGCGACTTTTTCTTTTTCCTTCTTTCAAATCAATTATTTTTCTTGAAAGTAGAGGCGGTGGAGGAGGCGAAGATAATTCTAACAAATCGAAAGGGCCACTTTCAATTGAAATTAAAGGATTACAGGCCAATCTAACTTTACACCGAATATCTGCCCCTATTCCGTAAATTGATCTTTTCTTCTTTTTATTTCCTCCATTTGAATTTAATAAATCGTGAAAACAAATTCGGTGACTTGTTTCGCTTAAACCTAATTCTTTTTTATTATTTTGAGTGTTGGAAGAGGTAAATTCTTCTTCTTCTGCAGAGTTTGAGCGAACAACTTTTCCGTTATAAATCCATTCAATTATTGTCTAAAATTGATATAGTCAAACCTTAGCTTTAAATATACCCATCTGGGATTGAAAAATTGTATCTTATAATGAGGGGTACATTAAAGTGAATTTCCTGTATCAGGGGAAACTTAAACAGTTTCCCTTATCCAACTCCACCTCCATTTGTATTGCCTAACCCAAGTAGGAGCCCATTGACGGAGCTTAACCTAACACTAATATAAAAGATATACTCTTCGATACCTAGTTGATAATCTATTTACTTTAAATTAAGCTAAGATAATCCTTTTTCCTCCCTCTTCTTCTCCCCCCCCCCTCCCCTCCCTTACTTCAGAAGGTGCACTAAGAACATCACAAGTCAACATATTTAAACATCTTGCACTTTCTGACTTTAACAGACTAATTCCATTTGGATTTACAAAATTTAAGCTTATTCCATCAATTAAACCAGAACATTCAGCAGACAAATATTTTATTAAAGAAAAAAATAAAAATATTTTTAAAATCGTCATTATTATTAAAGAGAGTAAGTAATTTACAGACAAAAATGAGCTGAAAAAAATTTTTTAGAAAATAATTTATTAAAATAATATTTTTGTTTGACAGGTGGAAATAAGGGGGGAATATTCTAAACTTTTATATATGACATTTTTTGAGAAAAAAAGGGAGGAGGGGGGGGGGTTTGTCTTTAAAAAAGTAGTTTTTTGTCATTTATTATTATTTCCCCGTTTGCCATAAATAGAAGGAAAAGTGAAGGATTATTTAAATATAAATTGACATATCTCTAATTATTTTTGAGGTAAAAAAAGACGAAAAATCAAAGAAATGCCTAATTAAAGAGAGATATGTACGTAATAAAATATTTTTTAAAAATGTAACGGAAATATATATGGATGAATTGACCAAAATAATAAATACCTAAGTTAGTATGTATTTAATATAAAAACAGTGGGAGAGAGGCATGTGTTTATTTAATGCTTTACTTTTAAAATTAAAATAATTAACTATAGAGGCGTGAATTGTTTTAGTTTTTATATTTGACAGGTGAAAAAAAACAAAATAAAAAAGGACTTCATTATTAAGACGTAATCTTGGGGGTTGAATATATTAAGAGTTAAAATTAAGGGTATATACTTTGGGTGCTCTCCCCCATCCACATATTTTAATTAAGTGTTGAATGTACATATATTTACAACTGAGGTCCGAATTTATGTTAAAAATAATAAAAATAAATCTCAAAAAGCCTTTTGATTTTTGCTAATTTTGGAATTGAAGCCTAATTTAGTGAATGCAAGAGAAAAAACTGTCAAATACATTAGTATTGTTTTCACTAAATAATATAGCTTTAAATTTATAAAAGGAATTGTAAAATATTTATTTTCTTAGATTTTAAATATTCTTAAGGACAAAATATAAACATATAAAAATTATTTAATCTGTTAATAAATAAAAACTTAAAAACCGGAAGAAGTTTAAAAAAATAAAAAAAAAGGTTTCTTCTTCTTCTTCCCCCTCTTTTTCTTTTTTTTTTACAAAAAAGGCTTCTCTATATTTGCCAATATTTGTAATAAAGATATTATTTTTAAATAAATAAATATTTCTTTTTAATAAAAAAATAATGTAATTTGAGTAATAAAAGAAAAATCAAATTTTCTTTTTTCACTCTTAACATTACAGAAAAACTTTAAAAAGTTAATTAGAAAAAAAAGAAAAGGAAAACAAAAATATTCCCTTTTCTTTATCTGACTCAATAGCTTACAAATAAAAATACTATTATGTACTAGAAGCCCCTAATAAGTAAAAATATATAAATTTGTAAATGATGTCTTTGTTTATGTTAAGGAAGTTTTTATTTACGTAAATTCTTTTTTTAAAGTAATTTCTGTAGAAAATTAAAAATTAATTTTCTGCTAAATTTTGAATGATTTTTTAAAGATATTTTATTAAAATTTAGTTAAGTTTAAAATTTTTTAAATGCTGAAAAGAGAAGAATTGGGGGATGGAATTAAAAAATAATTTAAATTAATTCACAGCAGAGAGAGTTGTGATATCATCGAACGGAACAGTTGCCCATTGTAGAAAACGAAGTGTTGACGCTATTTATGAAGTCGAACAGAATTTGGCCCATTCACCTTCACAGGCCCGTAGCCAGGGGGGGGTGGGGGGGGGGGGAATTCCCCCCCCCCCCCCCCCCCGAAATGGGAAAATGGAAAAAATTTGGGGAAGGGCTGGGCAAAAAAAGTGAATTTTTTTGGCCTACGGCCTCTGAAATTTAAAAAATTTTCGCCTGCGGCGCTAAAAAAGGACGAAATCTGGCTTCTTGAGGTCCAAAATTCAAAAAATTTTCGCCTGCGGCGCTGAAAATCAAATTTTTGGCGCCTGCGGCGCCGAAAAAGTGAATTTTTTTGGCCTACGGCCTTCTAAAATTCTCAAAATTTTCGCCTGCGGCGCTGAAAATAAAAATTTTTGGCGCCTTCGGCGCCAAAAATTTGGCGCAAAAAAATTCCCCCCCCCCCCCCCCGAAAAAAAATCCTGGCTACGGGCCTGCACCTTCATCACATTTATAGAAAATTAAAAATTATTTCATTACCAAGAATCTTTAAATTTGTTAAAATACTTTTCTCTCTTGTTTTTTAATATAAGTCAAATAATTTTTACAAATATACTACCTACATATATTACAGGATTAATCTCAATTAAATATATATTTAATCTTTTTTATGGCTCATCATCTGAAGAAAGCGGTTCGTATAAACATCCTTCTCCTCCCCCTTCATTTGTTTTATTTTCAGATATTTTAGTTGTTGGAATTGTTTGAAAGAAATTAGAAATTGTTGGTTGTTGTTGAGATATTATTGTAGTAGTAGATTGAGGAGAAATATTGCTACAAGAAGTTCCAGCTATTTGTTGTTCATCTTCCTCTACTTTTTTCTCATTTCCTTCATACATAAGATCAAATAAAGACATAAAAGTAGGTAGAGGAGTTGAAATTGGTGTAGGTTTATCTGAAGATGTTGTTGATAATTGTTGAATTTGTTGCGTTGTGATTTTGATTGGATTTTTGGAAGCTAAAAAAAATTAGGTGTTTTGAAAGATAATTCTAACAATAAGAAAAATTTAAAAAATATCTAAAGAAAATTGGGGGATTTAAGCAGGTCCGTATACATAAGTTTCGAGAAAATTCAATTTTAAATGTTTAAATCGTGCTAATGTGGGAAAAAATAAAACAAATAATGTTTAGGAGTAAGGTCAAGGTACCCAACCGAAAACAAGGTCAAGGATCAAGGTTTTTTTTGAAAATCACGCTCTCTATTATTTAATATTAAAAAACTTTTTACCTTCCATACCATCATCTTGATTATTTTTCTGTTGTCGTTCTTGTTTCTGTTGTTGTTTCTGATTTTGCTTTTTTTCTCGTTCATCATCACTATCATCAGAAAGTGACTCGTAACAAGAGGATAGATGGTCTTGTGTAGATTCCGCCTTTGGTATATTTGGAAAGGATATTTCGTTTAAAGTTTTTATTGTTAAATTAGCCGTTTGTTGTTGTTCCAAAACTGGTTTTTCAATAATAGAAGGAATGGATGCAGTAAATGGTTGTTGTGGTAATTGTTGTTGTTGCTGTAGATTTTCAGTCTCTCCAGTTGGTAAAAAACGTGTTGTTGAAGATGAAAAACTATGAGAAATACCTCTTATATTTGCTGAAGTAACTGAAGATTCGGAGGAGGTAGCAACAGGAGATGGAAGAAGAACATTTGCCAGACCTTGAAAGTTAAAAATATTTCAATAAATTTAATTTTGGGATATTTTCTAAAGGATTTTTTAAATCAAGTTCTGTGAAGTTATAAAAACCCACTCACAAAATTAGATATTATACCTTAATTTAAGATAGGGAAGTGAAAGTTGCCCAATACTCTAATTTAATGTGGGAATCCAAAAACATTTCGACATCACCATTGGCCTCTCCCTGAAATTCCCCCGTTAAAAGGTACAAGTTTTCAGCTCTAAAGGAGTTCAGGTGTTTATCCAGATAATAAAAGAATTACCAGATTTTCGCCTCAAAATATCATTTCCTACAACTTTCTTTGGACGGATTTGTTGTTGTTGCTGTTGTAAATTAATAGAAGGTAATTCTTCTGGCTGTTTAACAATTTTTTCTTCTTTAACTTCAACAACTTCTTTAGGTAATTTAATTTCTTCAAAATTTTGTTGTTGTTGTACTTGTGTTTGTTGCTGAAGATTATCAAACAATAATTCAATTGGAAAAGTTTCTAGTAATTTATTTATTTGAAACCCTAATTCCGTTGCTGCAACTGTATCATTATTTGAATTTGCAATGGAAAATTTAGCCAAAAGATCTGTAAAAAATAAATTTAAATAAAATAATTAAAAATAAAAACCTTGAATTGTTTGTTGTTTTGAAGTGTCTAACAAATTTGTATTAGTAGCTTCAGTTGTTAAAGTAGTGGTGGAAGAAGATTGAGCTAAAGAAGCTAATGAAGTTTCAATTAATAAACTTCTCAAACGGTTAGGAGTACCTGATAAATAATTAATTTTAAAAAATGTTGGGGATTGAAAACTATAGTAAAATTGTTCTCAAATGCAAAATTAATTTGGATGGCAGATTTTTACAATAACTGGCCCCAAAAGCTCGAAAAAAATTTTCCGAGCTTTTCCCAAATATCACAAAAAATTAAAAAGTAAAGACCTTTTGTAATAGAACCAAGTGGAGGACGTTCACTTTGAATTTGTTCCTCTTGATCGTCCAATTCCTTTTTGAGTTTCATCAAACTTTAAAAAATTAATCAAAAATTACAAAAATATTTTTTTAAAAAACCTTTTAGTTTCTTCATCTATTTCTGTTTCTTCATCTAATTTTAATTCTTTAAAAGGTGGTTGGCCCTCTAATGGCCAAACAACTTCATTAATTCCAATCCCCTCTGGCACCTTTTGTTCGCCTAATAATTCTTCTTCCTCCACTAATCTTTCCTCTCCAACTGTTGAACGTTTTAGGAAAACATCAAATTCAGATTGAAGTTCACCAAGTAAAAGCTTAAAAGAAAAATTCAAAATAAATAAAAAATACAAACATCTTCAATATCTTTAGAAATCCTTTTGAAGCAATTTGTACAGCATTTGTTTGAAGTTGGGGGCATTTTCAGTCTTAAAAGAAAAATTATAAATTTAAAATAAGATTGAAAACAGAAAAAAGTAGAGGAAAACCCAAACAAAAAATAAAAAAATAGCTTAAACTCTAAAAAGGTAGCGTTTCTCTCAAAGTAGCACCTCATAATTAAAAATAAAAAAACCTGTTAATAAGAAATCGTTTTTGAACGGCATTGAGCGTTCCAAATTTGTCAGGAATATTTCTTGAAGGTTTCATCTTTCGTTTGCCCCCAACACAAACACAACTTATCAAAGGACATCTGTTAAGTGTTCTATTTCGTTGGGCTTGAGTTTGACATTTTGTACAAATAGGCATTTCTTGATGATGTTTTTCTTGCTGAAGTAAAAGATCGCCGCTGTCCATACTTCCTCCAAATGTAGCGCCTTGAGAAATATTGGTAGAAAATTCTTCAAATTGATGCGAGTGTCTTTGAGCTAAAGATTCCAATACAAGAATTCGAGAATCACAAAGGAGGCATTCAACAAATGTACAACTTCGGCCATCTTAATTTAAAAATATAACTATCATTGAGTAAAAAAATAATGTTAATCTTCAGAAAATAATGTTAACACAACTAAATCGAAGAACCGAAACAAAACCAGATTTTTCCATTCAATCTCTAACAACTCTGAAAGAGAAACAAAAAGCAACACTTTCAACATAACAAAAATACTCAAACTACAACAAAACGTTCATAACCACAAAATCAAACAAAATTCTAAAAACTAACAATTTTCCAAATTCTCGTTAGTGTCTCCAAAACGTGGCATAACCGGAGGGCGATATCTGTTTTAAAAAATATTAAATATAATTTAAAATTCCAACCCTTGTCTTCCCAATTTCTTTCGCCTTCTACCAAATTTTGCTTTATAATTATTTCGTTTTTTAGTCATATAATAAAAATAAACGCAGTCTTTTACACTTTTTAGTGGCAAAAATGCTGATATTGCGGCAAAATTTTTCTAAAAAATTTGTAATTTAAAAAATTATTTAAAAATAAAACCCCATAAACAGCAATCTTTTCATTAAAAACAGCCTTTTCAGAATCTGACCAAGCAATTTGAAAAGCTTCTAATTGGGCACGAGAGTCAGTAAGTGCATTTTCAACAATTCCATTCCTACAAAGACCACAGGTATCATAAAAAAATCTGCAAACTAAATTAACAAACCTGTTGTCAAAAAATCGTCTTGGACGATTTGTATAGACTGGAGGCACAACACAACTAGCAACCACTTTTTCATCAATTTCTGAAGGTTTATTGCTACATGTCTTAAAAAATAAAAAGTCAAAAAAAAAAATTTTAAAAAATTAAACTTCTTGTTTATCTTCATCTTGATCAATCTCCATTTTCTCTTCCCCCATTTGTGAGACATCTTGTGTTTCAGCGAACAATGAAGAAGTTAATGGGGGGATATTTGCAATTCCTCCTTGAGTCAAAGAAAATCGAATACGTTCAACTCCGCGATTACTTCGCTCCTTTTCTTCACGCATTTTTCGAAGTTCAACAAACGTTTTTTCGAAAATCTTAAAAGATAAAAATCTTCCGTTTAGAATCTACCACGAATGGGCATTTCACCGAATTTAAAAACAACAAGAAATTAACTCTTTATAGTATAACCCCTAGATTGGATGGCCCTCGGTGAATAGAATAATATAGATAACAACAAAAAAGACAGCGGTTCACGGAGTAACAAATAAATAAACAATCAGCCCTTTTCATAAAACAATGTTAATTTCAGTTTTAAAATAAACTTCAAAACGAATAATAGGGTTTTAAGTAGATGAAATAACTCTTAAATCAACTAAAATATCAAAAATTAAAAACCTCACGATGTTTAGCGTCCCTAACCAATTTCTTTTTATTTTTTTCATGGGCATTCACTTTCTTCTCCCAAATAGTCAATTGTTCCTCGTAAACTATCTTTTTCTGTTCCACAATATCTTGACGTTCTTCTCTTCGAATTCGCATTGCTTTAATTAAATCAGGCAAAAGTTGAAGTCCCCGTTCATATTCCTCTTTTAAACGAATTGTGTCCTCTTTCATTAATTGACGATTCTGAAGTTTAAAGAATAAAAATTTTCTAATCTAAAAAGAAAAACTTCTTCTGCAGAAATTAATGGAGGAATTGGATTCGCCGCTGCCGCCTTTCTTCTATTTTCAGCATAAATTCGATTAATAAGAGCATCAGTAGAAGACTGCCCATCTCGACTTTCATCTTTAAAAAATTATAAAACTTTTGTAAATTATTTTTTAAAGTTTAAAAATTTATTGTTGGAGGAATATAACAAATAGAATAATTCACAATATAAAACCAGACCCTAACCTAGCCTTTGGGAAAAAATTTTAACCCCAAAATTTTTAAAATATTTTACGAAAAATAAAAACAAACAATTGTCATCATTCTCATCATTATCCATTGCAGCCATAAAAGAAGGTTCTTGAGAAGCTTTAGCCAACAATTTTTCACAAGCCTTTGCCTTTTTTTCAGCATTTTTCTGCATTGCAGCTGACTGGGTCTTTTCTTTATCAATTTTTTCAAGCTTATCAAATAAAAAACGTTTATATTTTTCTTCTTCTTCTGTCAAATACGAAGTATCAGAAGATGGAGAAACTCCAAGTTTGTTAGATTGAATTTGTGCTTGTTGAAGATGAGGTTGAATTAAAGAATAACGAGAATTTTGTGGCATATTACTTCCAAAATCTTGAATTAAGGACGGTCTTTTTGGTGTTAATTCACGCTAGAAAAAATTATTTTTTTGATTAAATTATCAATAAAAAAAGTTAATTTTAATACACTAATGGACAAAAAATTAAAAATAGAATTTTTAACCCAAAAATTTATAAGGTAGCCCAATAATAAAAAAACACGAAAAATAAAATTTGGGAACTTTCTAAATATTGTGAAAAATCAGAACTGCAACTATAAGCAAAACCTAAATTAAAACCACTAAAATAACCCGAACAGAAGTGGCTGCCTATGTAATCTGTAAAATAAAAAAAGAAACCTGTTGTTGCTGAATATTTGTTAAAGAAGTTTGTGGGACTTGTGGCTTTAAAAATTGTTTAACAAAATCTGACTGTTGCTGTTGGAAATTTCCACGACTAGTACTTTGTAGTAAAGATTGCACTGGCCAATTTAATCCCAATTCTCTAAGTAATAAAGCTTGTTGCTGTTCTTCTAATTGGGCTCTAGTCAATAAAGTATGTTGAGAGTTGTTTGGTGGTCCAGAACGCATAATTTATATTTGATAGAACCAAAATGAATTTAAAAAATATAAATGTAATTTTGACAGGTTTTTGTAAAAAATCAAAGTTTTCTTTTTTTCAGGTAGATGACCATCTGGCGCGGCCTAATGTGGCGTAAACCGATTTGGCGCACCAAAACGTGTCGGGATTCAGAGCAGGCTCTAATGAACTGCTCCGAACTGCGGTGGGTCGGTCTGGCTCTAATTTTCATCGATAAAATTTTTTTAAAGTTATAACAAAAACAAAATGGGCGGATAAGTTGCCGCAGTCTATACATATTTGATATTTTTTTAGGTTGGGCATTTTATTTTGATTCTACAAGAGAATTAATTAAAAATATCTTTTTAATTCTAAAAGAATTAATATATTAAAACAATTATTAGAATATAATTAATACATTATATGGTAAATGTCCAGCTGGTGAATGTCCACTATACAAAAATGCATTTTTCTGCATTCAACATCTTCCCCTCTCTTCTTTAATTTTCCTCATGTAATCAAATGATAGGTTGACAATCATTTCTTTTACTTGCTTTATTATTTGTGCCAAACTGTCAACCTATCATTTGATTACCCGAGGGAAACTAAAAGAGAGAGGGAAAGATGTTGAATGCAGAAAAAGATGCATTTTTGCAGAATGGTTTTTGCGGACATGTGTCCCTCGAGCCGGATATTTACTTTAATATATTTTTTGATATGATTAGAATAACAAGGGAATATAGTATGTATATGAACAAAAGATTTTGAGAAGTCTCACCCTACCCCGTGAAATTAAAAAAAACTTATTCTAAACTGAGATTATCTAATTTTAGTGGGTGTTCCTTATAGTGAGATTTAACTATACATAAATATATTCCTCTATGCATATTCCCCTTAAGTATATTAAAAACATAACAGTTAATAATAATCGTAATTAATTCTTTTTACAATTCATCAGAAGAAAATAGTTCTTCTAAATTTCCTTTCTCTCCTCCTCTTCCATTTTCCGTCAATTTAGTCGTTGGAATTTTTTGAAAAAAGTTGGAAAGCTTTGGTTGCTGTTGTGTTTGTAGTTTTTGTTGTTGAGAAGAATTTAATTGAGAAGTTGAAGGAGAAAATGTTGTTGAAGAAGGATAGGAAAGACTTAACACACTTGTGGCCACAGTAAAGGCAACATGGCTGGAAAAAAAGAAAATTTTAATTAAAAAAAAGTAAATATTTTTTCAAAAATAATTTTCACATCACAAGGAATATTAGCGAAAAAATATTTATTTATCTCTGATGCTTTTATTCGATACGAATAAAATATTTAGTAATTGTAATATTCGATACGAATATTAAAAAATTAATAAGAATAATAATATTATTTTTAAAAAAAGGTAAAAAAGATGTGTGACTAATATAAATAAGTATGGTGAGCTATGAGAGAAAAAAGGATAAATAAAAAAGAGGAATATATGTAGGTTAAAGTGGATATATATTTTATTTAAAAAAAAAGGAAAAAAAGAAATTGAAGATTAATTGTCTTCCATTGGAGACATTTTGTTGAGTCTGAAAACGAATTTTGTAAGTTTCTTTAAAAAATAGAATTACCATTCCGCGTTGTTGTCGTCATCGTCCAATGTATTAGAGATTGAGCGAGATGGATAGCGACGTCTTCTACAAAGAAAATTTATTTTTATTCTGAAGTTTTTACTTTATTTGTGAACAGGATTTCCGGGCAAGACATTTTTAAAGCTTGTTTGGTTACGTTTAGGCTACAAAATTTTGTAAAATGTTTTTAATCTATGCTCACATCAGATTAGAAATCAGTTATCCTTTTTGAAATTATAGTTGACGTAACCATGGGACTCGAAAGAGATAATCCAGGAAAGGACTATTTTTCAAGTACTTCTGAAGTGGGGTTCTAATCCAGCATGTGGCTCTATTTTATGTAGTTTTAATAATAATATTTTTTTCTAGTAATTTTGAGAGTAATACTTTTAAACTGGTTATTGTCAAAAACTTAATTTTAATTAATTCATAACTCCCTTCCTACCAGGCCCGTAGCCAGGATTTTTTTTCGGGGGGGGGGGGGGGCCAAGGGGGGAAAAATTTTTATTTTCAGCGCCGCAGGCGAAAATTTTGAGAATTTTAGAAGGCCGTAGGCCAAAAAAATTCACTTTTTCGGCGCCGCAGGCGCCAAAAACCTGATTTTCAGCGCCGCAGGCGAAAATTTTTTGAATTTTGGACCTCAAGAAGCCAGATTTCTTCCTTTTTTAGCGCCGCAGGCGAAAATTTTTTAAATTTCAGAGGCCGTAGGCCAAAAAAATTCACTTTTTTTGCCCCAGCCCTTCCCCAAATTTTTTCCTTTTTCCCATTTCGTGGGGGGGGGGAATTCCCCCCCTCACCCCCCCCCTGGCTACGGGCCTGCTTCCTACAATTATTTTTTCCTTTAAAATAAACAAACAAATTTACAATTTTTCATCAGAACTTTTACGGCTTCCTCCCTCTTCTAGCTCAAAAGGTTCATCCAATTGTTGACAATGTGCCGAAGTAATTCCAGCAGTATTTGTAGAATTATTATTGAAACTAAATAATCCAGTAATATTTCCATTTGTTGTTGTTCCCATTTGCATTGTTGTCCCCATTTGCATAACCCTTAAAAGATTTGTTTTCAACTATTTAAACAAAAAAACCAGTGTGGAAATAAAAGTGGCGGAGAGCCAAAAGCAGAAGGATTAGGTGGAGTTGACCCGTAAAGAATGAGCGATGATGGTTGTTGAATTGGAATAGAAAATTGTGCTGGAGGAGGAACTTGAACAAGATTATTTGAACCCAAATGATATGTTGGTGGAGATGAAGACAATAATACTCCTCCTCCATTAGTTCCATTGTTGTTAACTGTTTGATTGTTGTATGTTTGTGTTGAAGGATTATTATCAAGCTAAATAGTCAAAATTTTAATATACATAATTTGTGAATGATGGATTAATTTTTAAATTTAAAAATAATTCCAAACCGTGTATTCAGGATTTGAATTTCCGTTAAAGACAATAATTGACGGTCCACTCCCATTATACAATGTTGGACTGCTTGATTGGTTTAAAATGAATGGTGTATTAGAAACTGGTAGAGGCTCTGATGAATCAATCTAATTTTAAAAAATAAATTTAAATTGACAAAGAAAAATACTCTTTGCGGAACAGGCAACACAGGCAGAAATGTTGCTGGTAAATTTTCTTAAAAAAATAGAAAAGGATTATAAAGAAAATTATTATTATAAAATTATAAAAAAAATATTACCAATAGAATCCCGTTGTGGAGAACCAACCAAACAATTCCCTTCTCCACATCTCATTGCCCCAATCGGAAATAAACCATTTGGAGATAAATTAAGTGGAGGTGCCAACGGTGGAGAAATAAAATTTGGAGGTGATCCCATTGGCATTGCAAAAGCTGATTCAACCAAATAATTAGCCAAACTAGGTGGTTGTGACATAATTGGCATTGGTGGAGGTTGTGAGCGACAATCAACTTCAATCGATGCAGCAGGGCTCCAAAGCCGTGGAGGACGAAAATTCAAAAAAGGTTGCAAAGGACGATCGGTATTATCACCATTATATTGCCGATTTTCATTGCTGACCAATTCAAGTCGTCGTTCCCGTCCCAAATTTCGACTAAAATAATATCATAAAAAATTTTTAAAAAGAACCCAAGAAAGGACCCTAAACTTAAGTCCAAAAATCTACAAAATACTGAAATTTTTTAATTCTCAAAAAAGACAAACCAAGAGCTTGTACGCTCTATTAAATAACTTAAATAAAAAGTTCATGACAGATTTTTTTATTATTAGTAATTTTTAAAAAATAATTAAAAACTCAAAGAATAGTTTCAAATAAAAAAGGGTGGAAAAATTTGAGAACGCAAATCTAAATATAATAATTCAAACCTCTGAACAAATTTCGAATAAATCAATAGAATAGAATTTAAATGTCCTAGTGACTTTTCCATATTGCCAAAATCTGGACCTGTTAAGATTTCAATAAAAAATAAATTGTAAAATAAACAAACTTTTAATATCTAACAACGCAGACAACTCATCAAAATGCCCAAAAATATTTATAATATCAAATAAATCTTTTTCTTTCGGCTGTTGACTGACCAATTTTCGCAATTCGTCAACTGCATGAGTCAAAGAATTTTGACTTAAACGATCACAAATTGATTCTAAAAAATTTATTTTGAGCTAAAAAATAATTTTTAATAACATACGCATGTGGGCTCGATGTCGAGAATCGCCTAATTAAAAAAATAGTTTATCGAAAAATAATTAAATTAAAAATATAACCATAAAGTAAAGAAGACCATTGATCTGGAGAAATTCTTAAACCAGCCTCCATTGCGATTTGAACAATTTGAGCATCATGTTCAGCACGTAATGCATCATAATCACGAAATTGATCTTTAAGATTCATCAAAGAGGATTGACCATCTCTTTTAATTACATTGAAGCAACTAGCACGATAAAGAAGTTGAACAACTTAAATAATTTTTTTTTGTTAATTTGGAAAAAAGGATGTTTGTTTATTGAAATTTTATAAAAATAAATAAAAGAAATTTTCCTGCTCACCATGCCCAACACAAGTTTTGGAAATTGTTGGATATTCATGTATTAATGTATCAACAACAAAAAGAACAAGTCTGAAAGATTTTAAACATTAATTCTTCAAATACATTTCACACCAATTCAAATGCCAAAGGGGGAAAATTGTTTGGAAAGTTCGGAGAGAGAGAAATACAGGCAATGAGGTGAAAGTGTAATAAGTTTGATAAAACAACCCATCATTAAAAATAAATTTTCGTTATAGAACAAATCAACACGTAAAAACCAGAAATTTGAAGAAGTGACAGACATCAAATCAATTATAATAGATGATAACCATTACTCTAATCATTTTTATTAGTCATAAAAATTTTACGTTTTTCTTGCAATTTTCTCTCCATTCAACAATGCATGACGTACCAACTTCAAAACATCTTCCTGCAATCCTAAAATAAAAATATTTAGAAAAATAAACAAAATAAAAAAAACCTGGCCCAAGAAATTGACAACCTCTAGATCTAACAGCACTCCACAAACTTGAAGACAAATTTGAATTATTTTGAATATGCAAAACCAATTCAGAAATAATTCTTTCGCTCATAGAGCGAATTGTTTGGATTATTTGTTCTCTTCCTTCTTCTTTCAACAAATTTGCACAGAGAAGTGAAAGCAATTTTCTTTGAATAGTTCGCGATATTCGATTAGATGAAACTGTTGCCCCTTTCTCTGAATTGACTTTATACAAATATTCAGCCAACGAGTAAAGAATTATTTCAATTTCATTTAAATTGGTAAATCCTTTTTTGCCATTAAATGATTTTAAAGTATCATTTAGCCAATCAAAATCATTTCTTTTTAGACCGGAGATGATAGAAAGTATTGGACCATTTATGTAATGGAATTTTGCAGAAGAGGCTACCAAACTCTAAATTTTAAAGAAAATTAAACCCCGTTTTAAACAAAAACTTGATTGTTTGTTTGTTGTTTTTAGAAAAAATAATAGAAAATAATAAAAACAAACAATAAATCTAAAAAATAAAAAGTTAAACCTTATCTAGAGGACAGACGATATTTTTTGTTTTAGTGCATCTCAAACACATTAGATGGCCACAACCAAGATTGACCGGAAGAACATCATTAGAGAAAATCTGTAAATTTAGAATCGAGACTTGTATAAATCAAAGATTTTAATCATTAATAAATCTAAGCTAAACCTTACGACATAAAATCAAAAAAATTTTCAAACTTACAGTTTTACATTTTAAACAACAGAGCAATTCAGACCACTGAGGTTGACCGCATGCAGGATACATTTTTGCAAAACTAAAGACATTAAAGTAAAAGCGAAATTAAAATTAAAGAAAATATAAAAAATGAATTAAAAACATTTACAAAAAATTTGTTTGAAATTAATAAATTATTTATTCATTAAAAAATATTTTTCGATTCATAATTTAAAAAAATTGAAAAATCATTAGCTAAATTATTTTTATGTTCAGGTTTAAAATTATTTGCTTTTTTTAAATTAAAAAGTCTTTTCAATAAATCTTCCATAATTGTTCCCGTACAAAAAATTAATTTAGAATCTGGTTTTGCCAATTTTCGAATTGTTTGAGCAACTTTAATAAAACATTCATCTGAGAGAAATGGAGGATCGGCAATAATAAAATCAAAATATTCATTAAATTGATTGTCAATATTTAGAGGGTTTCTGTAATCATAGTGAATAAATGAAGTTGGATATTTTTGCTGGAAACGTTTATCGTATTCAAATAATTTAACTACAATCTGATCTTGTTTAAATTGCTATAAAATTTTAAAAAGTTATACTCTCCTTATATAACGTAAACATTACCTCGGCCTCCATAAAAGGTGCAATCAAAGAAGGGCATGAAATACAAGCAATTCTTTTTCCAATTTCAAATTCTAACGAATCAAGGCATTCACTGACAATATTAATGGATGTTTCATTTGTATACCAGAATTGGCTTAGCTGAATAAAAATTAACTTTAAAAATTGAAAACGATCTCTCCGGTCCAAAACCAAAATAAATTGTAAACATCTAGTTACTCAACTACCCTTCAGGTTTTTGGAAACATACACAAATCTTTTAATAAAAAAACTTAACAAACCTGCCAATCTTCGCTGATATTTACATCTACATCTTCCATCCTTTTCTTTGCAATAAATTCATTAAGGATTGCACATGTTTCAGGCGAAAGGGTTAAATCTTCTTCATTTTCTAAATTCATCTTAATTTGATTTTTAAACTAACAAATATTTAAAAAAAAGTTGTGAATATATTAAAAATTAAAAATAAATAAGTCTAATCAAAACAAATAAAAAAAATAAATTTATATTAAAAAGCATAATATACTAAAGTTTGGATGTAAGTATACAATAGAATATTTTTAAAGGTTTAAAGAGTAGTAGAAAAAATCCAAAGCTAAATAAAGTTTAGGAAACTTCTAATTGGTCTAATCCCTTCAGAAAATTTTATTAGTTTAATAGGAAAATGCTTAATCTATTTTAAAAAAAAGAGAGAAGGATGTTCATTTAGCATCAAGTAAACAATAAAAAAGGAAATTTAAGTCAAAATGAAAATATTTGAATGAAGACATTTTATCCCATAGGTTCACGCAGTTGTCAGTTAAAGGTAGAATTTTATTTAAAAATATTTCAAATTGTGTCATTATTGATCCACTGTACTTTGAGCAATACCTCTCAAAAATTCAGTAATATTCCTTGGATCAAACCTTTCAATTAAATTCATTATTCGTCTTTCTGTAATAATATATCTTTTCTTTTTTGGTGGAGGGTCTTCTCCCATTAAAGAACGTTCAAAATCAGCATCTCTTCCGCGCTGCTCAGTTCGAAGTACTTCAATAAATCGCCAAATATTTGGGTTTGCACAACTAAATATTGTATGTAAACGGCGATATGCTGATTCAACATTAATATATTCAACATCATAAATAAGTCTATCATAAACATTCCAAAATTCTATTGGAAATTTTGCACGAGTCAGAGTTCCATCAGGAAGTGGTACACCAGTATAATTGAGCAAAAACCTTTTTAAATAAATTTTATAACTTATAAAGAATTACAAAAAACAAAGGGATACAAGGTTTTTAGATATGTTTAGAAATCTTTCCATGCAAAAGTATAACAGTGGAATCGAGGGTTTTAAATGGAGTGAATAGATCAAACTCGGTTAACAAACTTGGTTCCAGTCGGAAATATAACGAAAATAATTTGAAACTTTTAAAGAACTACTAATAATGAAAAACAATTCCGCAAAAACCCCGTTTAGGAAAAAAAGTCAAAGAAGTTTATAAAGAATTTTTATTAAAAAATATTGAAATATACCATCCGATAAATTGGTCTAGCTCAGGCAATATAGCAGCATTCAAATGTTGAATTGCGTTAGTTAAATGTGGAACAGGAACAAAAGCAAGTCCAGTAAACATTCTTACACATTCAGCAAAAACAGGATCACTTCGATATTTCTTTAAAAACAATAATTAAAAAAAGAAAAAATTTTTTTTAAAAAACCTGAATTAAATCTTCCTCTGCAAGACGTTTTCGAATATTACGAAAAAGATGGAAAAGACATCCATTAAGTCGAATATTTGGAAAAATTGTTTTAACAGCATCAATAATTGGTTGATCAAAATCTAATGACATTAATGTTGGATTAAAATCAGGCCATTCAGTTATAATCATTTGAAACATTTTCTCATAAATACCACGAGTTTTGCCCGTCAGAAGACAATAGGCAATAGGAAATATCCATTTGCCTCTCCTTTAAAACAAATTTTTTAATATATAAGTATTGAAAAAGGATTTTGTAAAATTATGTTTGTTTAAACAAAAATTTGTGGAAATTGAAAGAAAAACAAATCACTTATTTCTAAAAATTTGCTTATTTGTGTCAATAAACCTATTTGAAAACAATCTAATACTTATTCCCATACAAATACTGTCACATCTCAATAGTATTAGATATAATCTTTAACTTGGGATACAATTTTACAATTAGATTTAACAATAATATATGGGAAGTTGCCTAACCGATACCCAAAAATAATGGATACAATCTGTTTTTCATGTAATTATGTACTTCAAAAACCCAAAGGTTTATACACAAGTAAGCTCCGATTGTAATTAATAAGCAATAGTTAATATATCCCAAACAGTTTCCCACCTAGTATTTAAACCATAATATAAAATATTAATGTCAAACTGCCAAATATTTTAAACTATGAATTTATTAAACAACCTTGTAAGTAAAGCATAAACTTGAACAAAAGGTGGAGGAACTACAGCAACAGCAAAAGAACCATCAGCAAATATTTCATACATTGAATTAGCCCAAGTTACATTAGAAGCTTTCGAAAATATTAAAATTCTAAAAAATTATTTTCAAAAATAATTTCTTAAAAGACACCTGTGTTCTTTTGTTTGATCATTTTCTAATTTAAACATTCCAGAATCAGCAAGAAGAAATTTTTCGAATTCACATCCTTCACCTCGAATATAAAATTGAAATTCTTTTGGAATTTCAAGCTCTTCAACAGCATTTGGAACAGGAGGGAGCGGTTTTGTCCGTTTACGAACTCTTTTAATTGACTAAAAATAAATAATTTATAAAACCAAAAAAGCATAATAAAAATATAGAAATGAAAAAAATCAAAGTTTCATTAAAATTCAACAAAATATTAACTACATAAAGGTTTCTTTCTCATTCCCTTTCAGTTCCCAGTTAGTATAGTGGTTAGTATCCGCGCCTGTCACGTGCGAGACCCGGGTTCGATTCCCGGACTGGGAGGCAAATTTTTTTCACGTTTGTAATTAAATATTCATTCAAAAAATTTAACTATTTTCAGTTTGGAACTTCATTTTGATTTTTTTGGAGGTGAATTTGTACCAAAAAAACAAAATTTTTACCTTCTTCTCTTCGGAATTATCAGCCATATCCCCAACTTCCAATTGATCATCAGAATCAGTTTTTATCTGTTTATTCCTTTTAGCTTCAACCATTGAAATAGCCTCATGTGTATGTTCTGTAACAATTTTTATAAAATTGTTGTCTGGATCAGTATGAATTCTTCCACGACATTCATTTTTCCTTTCACATCTCCAAAATTTAATTGTGTCGATTGCATTGTTTTTTTCGAAGATGTAAATAAATCCATTAATTTCTAATTTTTCTTTTTTACGTTTTGATAAAAGTTTAGAATCTGGCTCTGAAAAATATAAATATATTTAGTTAATATAAGTAAAAAATCTAAGCAATAAGGAGGGCAGATTTTATTTTTCAATAATTTTTTAATAAAAAATTTTTAGCGACTATTGAAAAATAAATCTTGCGATTCCGTCGCCATTCAAGTGGATTCCATATAGGAAAATGGGAAGTCAAAGGTTTACAAATTAAACAAGAAATTTCTTAGGATCCAAAAATTTAAAGTATTTAAAATTTTGATGTGTGGAAAAAGGCAAGGTAAATGTTGAACTTTAAGTACTCATTTTTGGTTGTCAGAGAAAACGGGTAATAATGAAAAAAGTGAAACGGGTTTTTTAAAGCTAAAAGTCCCTAGATAATCCCAATTTAAATAAAAGAATACCTTCCTCGAAACAATGACTCATAGAAAATTTCATCGAAAGTTTTTCCTTCTTTGGACGTTTTGGAGTTACTTTTAAAGTTGACGTAGCTGGATATGAATGATCTCTTTAAACAAAAATTTATTTTAAAAATTAATTTAAATTAAAAAACAAACAATTCTTGTGGTTGAGCATTATGATGAAAATTAGCATCGCCAATAAAATTATCTCCTTCAGAAGCACCTAATTGTTGATATGCTTGATATTCAGCATCAATTATCATTTCACTCATAGATTGTTTAATTACTGGTTTAGAAGGAAGTTCAGTTTTTTCTTTACGTGCGCGTTTGATTATCTGAAAAATATGAGATAATTTATATTGTGTTAAAATCATAGAAAATTTGAAGAAACCAATTTTCGGTTGGTAATAGTACAGTTTTGTCCCCTCTTTCTCTAATTTTACGGAAACTTTGGTTCTGTCGTTCCCGGTATTTTGGGATTGACAATAAGACAGTAAAAAATCTTTGTTATACCAAAATACTAGGAAACCTCTGGAGGTTTGGAGATGTTTTTTAAGTATTCTAAACAGGAAATCACAACCTTAATAGATCAAAACAAGGCTAGAACTTAAATAAAGTTATATTTAAGATCAGAGCTTGTTTGGATTTATCGATCATTAACAGATTTACTAGTTATTTGTGGTCGTTAACAATAAAAATTTTTCAGATTAAAAATATAAAAAAAACCTTTTTGATACTATTCGCACTCGGCAATTGTGCAAGAACCGGCGAAGATATACAAGAATTTGTAATAACATTAGCACGAATTTGTGCAGGAGGTTCTTGATAACCAATAGCACGTCTTCTTACCGCAGTAACAATTTTTAATGCTTCAACCTTTGAAATATTAGCTTCGTGTGTATGTTCAGTAATTATTTTAAGAAAATTATTTTCCATATCTGTATGAATTCTTCCTCTACATTCATCTTTTAATTCACATCTCCAAAATTTAATTGTTTTTGTTGCATTTACTCTGTCAAAAACATAAAGAAATCCGTCGTTTTTTAACTTTTCTCTTCGCCGATTTGATTCAATTATATTATTAGTATTAGTAGCCATTTCCTGAAAAACGGGGGCTGAAAAACTGAAAAAATAAAAAAAACGTTGGAAATTTTTCTGCAGGGTATACTGTGTACCTGGTGGTTAGTTCATCGCGAAATAACAAAAAGGGCACTTAGGCACGAATTTTTACCCAGAATTTAAGATACAGTAGATGGGAAAATGGAGCCGAAATTTTGTGTTTAATGATGATGGGAGGTAAGATGAAGTTATCTCAAAGTTAAAATGAGGAGAATGCCACTTTAGATTCATACTAAAAACACTTTACTATAAAAGCACTTAATGTATATCAAAACCTGTAACTTTATCCTTCGTTAAATCATCATCGTTTTACGCGCTTCTGCTAAATCAAAAATGAATGGTTAGTTATTTTACCTACTTTCTAATCGCTTTTTTATCTTTAAACGTTTTTACATCCATTTTTTATTTCAGGACTACAGGAAAAATGGGAAACTTTTATGGATCACTACGACGAATTCGTCAACAACAAATGCTTCTTTTGGCCAGTTTGGGCTTTGCTAGCAGGGATTGGTGTGCTTGCACTTTTCTTTTTCATTTTTCTCCTCAATTGTTGCATTGCTTGTTGCTGTATGAAGAAACGAGATGAAAAGAAGCCTGAAGTAACGGTGGAGAGCCCGAGGACAATTACAAAAATTGTATATGTCCCAACACCAGCATCTCCGCCATCAAAGACTTCATCTTCACTAAGGAGGAGTTGGCGAAAACCTTCTCCACCAGCACCACCACCTCCTCCGCCACCACCACCTCCTCCTCCTCCGCCTCCACCAGCTCCTGAGAAAAAGTTTGTTTCTCTAGAACTATTCTTAAAAATATTCCATTTTTCAGAGATAAAGTTGACAAAATGCTGTCACTTATGTTGCTGAAGGAGCTGAAGTCAACTCGTCGTAAAAAGGAAGAGATGGAAAAACAGAAGGAGCAGCCACCAGCGCCTCAACCACCGTATCCTGTTCAGCCGACGCCTTATCCTGTTCTTCAGCAAACGCCGCCATATCCTATTCAACAGCCGTCTGATCCGCTTCCACCACAGCTGCTTCCTGAGCCACCACCTCCTCCGATGACAATGCCACAGCCGACGCTTCCACCTCCTCAAGAGACAACACCGCCGCCTCCTCCTCCGCCAACATCTCCTGAACCTCCTCCACCACCACCTCCAACACCAGTTTCGGCGGAGACGGATTCAAAACCGTAAGTTTTCAAAATCTTAATTTGATTTCAAAAAATAATTCTTTTAAAATTTCAGTAATTCGCCACATATTCAAATTTTGCCAGTAATGATGGTTGGAGGCAAGAGCGAAAAAGAGGAAACGGAGTCGAGTAAGGAGGATAAGAAGAGTGAGAAAAAATCGAAGAGGAAGAAGAAAAGAAGTGGGAAGAAGTCTTCCAAAAAGTGAGTTTTTAATTTTTCTGGATAAAATTTTTGTGAAAAAATTATTTACAGGGAAAAAGACGCGACTGCCTCAACAGGAAGTGAAAGGAGCGGTTCAACAGTGGAATCGAAGGACGGAAAGGGTGATACGATCTATCAGGCAAGTTATTACACATTAAGGGCAGAATAATTAGTCGAGTACGATGAATTCGAAAGGGCTCTGTAGCCGAGTCGAAGGGGAGGGTAAAATAGATTCTATGTCATGGGACCGAGTTAGTCTTGGAAGCACACATGGCATAAAACTTGAATCTGAATAACTTAAATCTGAATATTTTTTAGGTTCGATTGGGAAATATGCCAGCTTTGCCAAAGTTTGAGTTCCTTACCGGTGCTAGCAGCAGCAAAGAAGGATCATCTAGTGCAACATCCACCCGAGGGACAACGAAAGATGACGATAGTGATGATGAAGATAGTAGCAGTGAATCACAATCGAAAGTTTCCTATCCTAGTAAAGGACAATTAGCTAGTAAAAGTGTGTTTACATCAAAGAAGTAAAAAGTGGTGAATAAAGAAATGAAAGAGGATAATTAAAAAATGTGCATAAGACACTTTTGTTTGTATATATGTAGATGTACATGTGTGTATTCTTGTTAATTTGTAATTAAATTGTGTATTAAAACTCCAATAGTGTAATAAAACTTTGTTTTGGAGTTGTTTTGTTTTAAAAAAAATTTTTGTGTGAGAGGCAGAACAAGGAATTCCAAAACATCGGATAAAACACGGAACAACAAAAACAAGAATTTTTAAAAATATTTAGCGCTCTATCGTTCTGTTAAAATTTTTTTGTAAAATTATTTTTAAACATCCAAACATAAAAAAACATTATTCCAAAATTTTATTTTTTATTAAACAAAAAAAACAAAGTCTTTTGGCTCCTCTAAATTAATTTTTCTAAACAAACTTTCAAATTAAAATTTTCACATTTCAAAACCATATTCTTTTAAACATTTTTTATGTGCCTCAATTAATGCCCCACAACTTTCCTCTCCATTTAATATTATACATTCATCACGTACCTTTAAATAATTATTTTTTTCAATTTTTCTATTTAAAATTAACCATTCTCGTTTCTTTACAAACACAACAAGGTCGTAATACTTTTTTGGTATTCTCTTCTTTACCGTTTTCTTTTGTTGTTGTTTGTGTTGTATTTTGATTAGAAGAAGACATTTTTTAATTAGGTAATTAAAATTTTATTTATTCACTATATTTTTTCTAATTTAAATTATAATTTCTTTTTCTCTGAAAAAAATAAAATTTAAAAATCTATTCTTTAATTTAAATAGGAACAAATATCCAATTTTTATTCATAAACCTCCTACAAATAATTGTGACATTTTCCATTTATGTCAGCTTTACAAGTTTAATAAAAAACCATCAAAAGTTTAACCTAACTCATTATAGCTTTTTTAACCAAAAATTAATTTATTTTAAGAAACTCTTAAATTTAAGAAATAATAAAATAATTAAAATTCCAATCCTTATTAATGATTCTGCCTAGGAAATCCTCAAAAATAGAAAATTCCCAACAATTTTGAGGATTGGAAATTCTCTGTTTGCTTAAATCGGAAATGGGAAGCTTTTGAGAATTTAATTTCGAAAAATCAAGAAAGGGCTTTGGAAGAACCCTTCCTTCGCAGATAAATGTAAAATTAAAAAGATATTATTATAAAATGTACAAAAAACCATTTTTAAAAAATCAAAAGAATTTTTTTAAATAAACGTTTAATTGTTACAGGAATTAAATTTCACATGTAAATTAATTTATATATTTAGAAAATCCCCATTTAATCAAAAATTGATTCTGTTGCCTTTGAAAGATTCCATTCATGACCGCTCAGCGAAGAAATTGAAAAATCCTTTTTTTAATTTTTAAATTTTTTTTGAATTAAACAAAAACCTGTGCTACACCCATTTCTTGCAATTTATTTACCAAATTAACCATTTCTTTGTCCTTTTCCCCAGGTGCATTAGCATAATGTTGTGTCCAATATCTTGCAGTTTTCTTAAAATGAGAAAAAAGAATTATTTTTAAATAAATTATTTTTAAAATTTTTATTATAATTTAATTAATTTTTGGAATTAAAAAAGGAAAAAAACTCGAAAATAAAAAGTAAATTGTAAGCTATTGACATCCTAAAAATAAAAGTTCATGTCAGTCGAACAAATTTTGGCCGTTAATACGTAATAAAATTTCATGTCAGAGGATTAACACTTCAATTAATATTCTGTATTTATTTTGTTAAAATCAAGACAAAAAAGGGAATAAAATAAAATAATACATTGTAAAGTTCAATATCGGACATATATTGCTTAGCCACAATAGCATCTTGCGGGTCTTTAGGTTCAGGAGAAGCCAACAAATTTTGAACACTCAGCAAAACTTTAAAAATAAAATAAACATTTAATGAATATCAGGGCTGGGGCCCGGTCCGGTCCGAAAGATCGAGTCTGGCATCGAACCTCGGCCTAAAAATGACTCGATCGGACCGGTCAAATAAAAATGAGGCCCGAAAAAATGACTCGAACTTCGGCCCGACTCGAAAACCCCAACCTTAATAAACACATAAAAACAAAAAACCTGTTCGAAGTGTTAATGAAGCGGCCCTTAAAATTAAAATAATTGCGAAAATTTAAGAAAATGGGTCAAAAGACATGAACAAGTCTGAACCGATAAATTGTCCCCAAAAAATAGAAAAATATCAAAAAATAAATTTACCATTGGTCTTTAAGAATGTCTAAACAAATAGCACCAGTTTGAGAACTAATATTTGGATGCCATATTCTTGTAATAAATTTAACCTAAAATTAAAAGAGAATTAAAGAAAATGACAAAGAATATGTACTTTTGGTGGTTGAAATGGATAATCATTAGGTAGCCGAATGTCCTTTAAAAATAAATTTATTTGTTTAAAAAAAAACTAAAAAATACCAAAACAAACGTCCCATCAGAGTAAGGACTATCTAAAAAAGCGAAAGAAATTTAGTCTAAAATAATTCCAAGAATGTGTCAAGTTTTGGAAAAAAATAAAGGAAAGATTGATTCATATTTATAAAAAAGAAGATTCATATAAATAAACAAAAAAACGAAATTTTGAACTTCCGCTTATTCATTTTCCCTTTTTTCCCATGAAAATAAAAAGAAGTATTGTAATGTTAAAAAAAGATAAACTATAACGTTCAAAGTTATGAAAAAAAGATGTTAAAAATAAAAATAACCTGGTGGCCCTCTAATCCTTCCAATAATTTCACTCATATTTTCATTAACAGGCTCGACAGTAATTCCCATATCTTGAAGCTAAAATATGAGAAAGTATAATTAAAAATAAAATTTATTAAATAAACCTCTTTACATAAAATAATTTCTTTAAATTCTTTTTGAACTCTTACAAAACTATTATATGCCGCCATTATATTAAAAGGATTATGAAAGATCTGAAAATTAAAAAATAAAATAAAATGAGTAAATAAAGAAATAATTAAAAAGAGTTCTTCCAGAATCATTCAGCAAAACTTTCAGACAATTCCATGACATTTAAGAAAATTACAAAATTTACCAGACTCAAAATTCTTTTTCAAAATTTTTTAGTTTATAATTAATTTTGGCGTTCTGTTTAATTTTATTAATCAGAGCAACAGAGTCATTTTTCCTTATATTTCTTCATTTCTTACAAATTTTAAGGGGTGTTTTTTAGACTATTTATATGAGAAATTCTCAGGCTACAACCCCATCGAGAGATTATGACTTTTTATTTAAGGTTTTCTTTTTTTTTTTTAAATTTAAATTACTTATAATAATTTTTAAAAATTAAGTTACTTATAATTGGTGACAGTGGTGTTGGCAAAAGTAGTTTATTATTGCGTTTCTCTGACAATACATTTTCCGGTAATTTTTGTTTATCTTTTATAAAAATTTAAAAATTTTTTGAGACTGGGTAGGAATTTTAATAATTTAAGTTTAAAAAATTTTTGTAATTTGCTGACAACTTTTGCGGACATTCTCATTTTTTTTATTTTTCAGTAAAGATTTTTTTGTTGACCAACCTACATAGGATTTCTTATCATTTTTATTTAATCTCCATAAAATTAATTTTCTTTAGCAAATTATATTACCACAATCGGAGTTGACTTTAAAATCCGGACAATTACTGTAAAAGGTTATAAAGTAAAATTACAAATTTGGGACACAGCTGGACAAGAAAGATTTAGAACAATTACTTCAACTTATTATAGAGGTTTTTTATTCGTAAAAAATTTTTTTTAATTTTTATTTTGAAGGGACTCATGGAGTTGTTGTTGTTTATGATGTAACCACACAAGACTCTTTTTCTAATGTAAAACGTTGGCTTCACGAAATTGAAACAAATTGTGAAAATGTTCAAAGAATTCTTGGTATTTTTTATAAAAATAATTTTTTTTAATTTTATTTATAGTAGGGAATAAATTGGACGAACCGACAAGGAGAGTTGTTTCTGAAGTGGATGCAAGACGTTTTGCTGATTCTATTAAGGTTTTTTTAATTGTTAAAAATTTTGATATTTTTAATTTTTAGATTAATTATTTTGAGACTTCAGCCAAAGAGAATTTAAATGTTGAACAGGTTTGTTGCATATAAATTATTTTGAGGGGGAAATGAATAACAAAATTACTGTTTTCTTTTTACCACATTCTTGTGCAATTGAATTTCGATAGCTCTTATTATGTCTGCAGAAGTCAGTGAGACTTCTTATCGAGATTTGCTTTGATTGACCATATCTCCTTGTACCGGAAGCCATTTACCGCGTTCTTGGGGTTTGGAGCCGAAGAATTTTGAATTGTTATTTGAGTACAAAAAACATTGGGACTTTCTACTTTTTTTTTTGTATTTTTTCCAAATTTATTTTTTTATAATTTTTTAGATGTTTCAATGTATAACAGAATTAGTTTTGGATACAAAATTGCGTTCAATTGCTCAAAATCCTGGGGGTGGAAATGACTCGCGTAGTGGAGCTATAACTGTTGACAGAAATGGGGGAAGGCAACAACAAAGAAAGAAATGTAAATGTGGTTAATTAATTAAATTAATTAAAAATTAAAAAAAATATTTGCCTTTTTAATTGACTTTTTTTAATTTAATAATTTTTGTAAAATTTTTCAAAAAAAATTTTAGACAAAACATTTAAAAATAAAAAAATAGCTTTTCTGGTTAAATTCTCAATTTTTTAATGATTTGTCCTAATTTTTGATTCGATTCCCAATTTTTTTAAAATTATTATTTTAGACAAAATACCATAGATATAAATTTTATAAAGGAAAAACTTTAAAAAATAATTTCTAAAAATATATAATTTTTGCCTATGTTCCAAATTTTTTCTGGAGATTGAACGTCCCGTCCCATACATATGTAGATATAATAATAATAATTGCTCAAAATCTCCCCTATTTTAATCCCTATTTTAATTTCTTCAAAAAATCCCTCTAATAAATGTTCTATTTTAATAAAAAATTGCTAATCAGATCTAATTTATGTTAAAACTCCCTTGGGGACGTAAACTTGCAATACTGATGGGTTTAAAAGAAATATTTTCCCTTTTTTTAAAAATTATTTTTTCAATAAAATTTCCCTTCCCCATTTAATACATTTGTTGTTGTTGTTCTCTTTTTTCTGCTACATTGAGAATTATTGGTTCCTCCTTCTTGTTCTTCAGTTTCTCTAATTTCTACTTGTTGTGAAATTACAATAATTTCGTTTTCATTTAATCCAGTTAGTAATTCTGGGTCCAAATTAATTTCCTAAAAATTGAAAAAATTTTAGAAGAAAATTTAAGGGGGACACGCCCAAAATGGCGGCGGCCATAACGACGCAAATCCATAATTAGCTGGAAAATTTCGGGCCCTTATCAATTTTGGTACCAATCTCTTTAACTCGATGAGTGGAATCGTTTGATTTGGAAATCTTTAAGCAAGTTATGGCTTTGCGCCGTTGTGTCCGCGTGCCTTTTGGGCTGCACCCCATTTAAGGAGGGAAGTGTTTGGGCGCTTAGAAATATTTTTTAATTAATATTAATTTTTATTGTTAAAAAATCTTGTAACTTCTGAACGTTTCTTGTCTTAATTTTCAAAATAATTTACTAAAATTTTGAAATTTATAAGGAACAAGTTCTGAGTTTAATATATAATGTTTAAATGGTTTTATTAATTATCAGATATATGTACATCAGCTCCCAAAAATCCCCGTTAGAGTTTTCCCGGTTCCAAGAATCGAATTGTTCCACTAATGATTCCAACTTTGACAAGTTCTTAAGTTCCGGGAACCAAGAGCCTGATGAGAAAAGTAGAAGGAAGGAGAAAAAGCTTCCTCCCTTCCTCTCCCCCCTACTTTCTCTTTCCTTTTACTTCTTTTATTAAATTTCCCTCATTTTGAACAATATCATTTTCTTCTTGGAATGGATCTGCTTTTCCAGTAACTTCTTCTGTTGATATTATTTCATTTCGTTTATAATTGAATTTTTTATTTTCATTTTTTGTTTGTTTAGTAATTATTGAATCTTCTTCTATTAATTGCGGAGGTGGTGGAAATGTTGTTGTTAATTCTTGGATATTTGATTTACTGAAATTTAAAGAGAAAAGTATGCTTGATGTGAGGGGATTTATAAATCCTCTCATTAGTTTATATTCGCGGCCCTTTTTTTCTATTTTTTTTTCAATGCTATTTTCTTCAGCAAAACGCAAGCACACGGCATTATAGAGTTAGTTCCAAAAGGATGGAAGCACCTAATGCAAAATTTTTTCTTGATGTTTTAACTTTAATCTCCCTTAGAAAAAAATATTAAATTTCCCAACTATTCCTCTCAGCCTAGTGGTAGGGCAAAAGGAACACAAACAAGCATTTTTACTTAAAACTTCTACCTATCTTTAATTAATTCATTAAAAGATGTTGATAAAGAAGTAGTTAAAGGTTTTGTTACTGTTGTTGTCTCTATTGTTGTTTCTAAACTATTTCGTTTTTTATTTTCTAACAAAGTTGTTTTAACTGTAGTTTCGAAGCTTTTTACAATTTTTTCTTTTTCATTTTTAATTAATTCGTCTTTTACTATAAAATTTCTTTTGTCAATTTGTGTGGGCCTTCTTCTTTTTGAAGATGATTCTAAAAATATTTTTAATACTATAAACACTTGTAGACCACATTTTCTGGTTTGGGATCATCACAATTTAAGGATTATACCCTTGGCTTTTAAATGGATTGTCGGGGTTATTTATTTATGTAGCTCCCCTCCTCTCCTCAACATCCAACCGTGGGTTTTTTTTAAAAGTGTTATTAAATAGAAGTTTTTAATAAACTTACTAGTAAACATAACTAGAGGAGGTGCAGGACCATCACCATTTAACGGTCTAATCAAAACTGGGAAGCCTGACTTAAAGAAAAATTTAATTAAAATAAAATACCATTTAAAGAATAATAATTTCAAGGGCTGACAATTAAGGTTTAAAAACTTTCATAAATTTAAGTCGGCGGCATTAAATGGAATGAATTCTGGCTTTCCGGCCTTATGAAATCTAATGATTTCTTTAAAGAATTCTTCCACTTATTGAAATTATGAAATAATTTTTCCGCCTTTTCCGCTTCCGAGTTCTGGATAATGTTTGGAATTTTTAAATTTGCTCGTACTCGTACTTGCTCTATTTTATTATCCCTCATACATAAATATATTTACTTTACCTGTTTTCTCCTTCTCCTTTTATTAATAACAGTATTATTATTCTCGTTACTATTTTTATTTTCTTCTCCTTCTTCTTTTGTACTATTTATTTGAGTAGTAGTTGTTATATCAAAATCCTCTTTTCCACATTTTGGTGGCTATAAAATTTACAAAAATTTAATCAAAAAATTTCTCTTTCCTTTTTACCAAAATTTCTTCACATTCCCCCATTAATCTATCACAAAATTTAAGACTACAACGCAACCTTAAAGTTGTTTCATTTCCAATACCTCTTATAGCTACTCCTCTTGCAAAAGCTTTTAACTGATTTACATATTGAGGGGTTTCTATTAATGTTGGCTCTGTTGAACATCTTTATTTGGGAAGGGAGGGGGATTTTTTTAAAGAAAATTCTTTTAATTTTTAAACCCATTTTTGTCTATCAGCATTTGTGTTGATATTTCATTATTCTTTGAAGGTTCCAAAAAACATGAATTGATCAAAAATGATTGGTAAACATCGAAATGATCTTTTCAGAAATAAAGAAAATTAAAAACTACATATTATAAATGTTCTGGGGGGGGGGGGTATCGTTAATTTTCTGGGAAGCCCTAGATATGTAAGTAAATGGGTCTACTTGAGAAGACTTCTAATAGAGCATGGGAGCTTCTAGTAGTACATTACATTTACGGTAATTACACTTCATTTTAAGATACACTTTTGGGGCTGAAAAATTGGGGCTTATAATGAGGGATAACGCCTTAAACAGGTTTCCCAACCAACTGGTTAATCAAAATTTACAAAACTCATCTTAATTCACGTTATCTAATTTTGGGTATTCGTAAGTGAAGTCTGTGACTGTAAAAAGGGCACTATAAATTACCAGAATTGCATTCCCAACTATGAATGACATTTTGTCCCAAAATTAGTGGAATTGTTCGAGTAAGGCACTCTGCTGCACCAGTTGCCGCATTGTTCCCCCAAGGTGGCCTTGACATTTGTTCCATATGTTCAGCAGCAAGTAAACGATAACTACAGGGCATTTGAGTGGGACGACGATCTTTACGTTGTGTGTGGTCTCTAATTAATTGCCATTCAATTTCTGAGTCTTCACTACGCACAGGTTCATTTGAGGAGTGATCTCGATAAAAACACAAAATCTGTTAAAAAATAAAATTATTTTGGGTTGCCTCTTTTTGGTGACTCTAAAACAGGGCTTCAATTAATCAAAAAGTTTTTTGGAGATGGCTAAGAACCCAAAATTTAATTTTTATTCCAGCATTTGTATTTTCAAGTATTTTAACGTCCAATTTAGATTTTAAAAGTACGCGAGGCTAACAAACAAAAACGACAAGAAACGACAAAAAAACTTCCTTTACCTTCCAAATTTTGTCTGTTCCAGTTCGAAAGTTTGGATGGAATTGAAGTATTGCAGTACCACGAAAGAAATAACCTTTTGGATTTGTAGAAAATTGTTTTTCTAAGCCACATTTCCCCAACGGAATTCGTAAAACTTTAAAGAAAAATATTCTTTTTCAAAACTTCAAACCCCCTCCCCTTCCTCCCCCTCCACTCCCATTCCCCTCACCCTCCCTCACCCCTCCCTCCCATTCCCCAACCTAATTCAGTTCCATTTCCTTCATTTTCGTCAATCATTCCAATACATTCAGGTTCTAACCAATGGCCTTGTACATAAAAAATTCCTCTAAATTTTGTTTTTGTTGTTGTTAAGACTTCAATTACTGAAGAACCACAACGAATATCTGCCCCATTACCTCCACGTACAAATTCACTAAAAAATTAAAAACTTAAACTCTTGCCTCGTGGTTACTACAATTATTTACTTACCAAGCTTCGGCAGTAGACAAACGTTTAAATAAATCTGTGAACTATTTAAAAAATTAATTTTCTTTTTAAAATCTCTTAAAAGCAACTCTTTCAACAGATTTATTTTCTGTTTGTTCATCAAAAACCATTTCAGAGTCCCCACTCATTTGTAAAAGTTCTGCCAAATTTACATGTGTCCCAATACCCAGAGAAATCAGAAATACGCCTTTTTAAAAGGAGAAAAAAATAAATTTAAAATTAATTTTACATTTTTACCAGTCTGACGTAGTCTTATTGCTGTAGGCACCTTTTAAATTTATTGAAAAATTTGTCTTTAATTTTGTGAACTCTCTCCTTCGATTTAAAAAACAATTACCCCTAAACAGACTTTAATCATCCTTCTTCCGGATCTAGCAGGGGTTTCCCACCTGCCCGGTACCCGACCCAGGCAGGATTAATCTCGAAAAATTTAAACAGTCTAGATCCAGCTTTAATGTCAAATTAGTGATTCGAATTCGGAAACTTAAAACGGACAGACATATTTATAAACTTCGGCTATAGCTTCCTTGCCATAAAAGAAAAGTTTAACTACAAATTTAAATGATCCACAAAACAGAAAACTAAAAACTTAAATTTTAGTTAACCCCCCCCCCAGTTCCTGTCAATCCGGGACCATTCATTCACTCCCCAAAAAAATACTTGAACAAAATCTACATAGGTATAACCAAATGTAATGTTCCCTCTTTTTTTTAATTTAATATAAGAAAATAATTACGGGATCATCTAAACTCCTTCCATCACTAACAACAACAACAACTTTAGCTACATTACCAAAACGTGCCCCAGAAGATTTGTCTTTATATAATTGAATTGCCTTTTCCAAAGCTTTCCCAGTTTTTGTTGTCCCAGATTTGTGTCTAATTCTTTGAAGTGCTTGGCGTAATTGGCTTTTATTCTTTTTTTTGGAAAATTAAATTTTAAAAAATAAAAACTTGCCCTGTGGGCACTAAAAGGAAATTCTACAAAACTGTAGGTGGCATATCTAAATTTGGTAATTAAAGGATAAAAAATAAATTTAAAAAAATTTGAATTCTAAAACAAAAAATTCAAAATTTTTAAAAATTTAAGAGAATACTAAAGCAACGTGAAACGATTTTAAAAAATAAATATATACATATGTACAAATATTTATTATCCTCAAGTGAGTAATTACATAATTAGACACAAAGAATACATTCTTACGATTTTTTGTGGGAGCAGGCCAACCTACCGCGAGCCCAACCTACCGTCGAGGCTATAACATCTTTCAGAATTGTCGAATCCGGGCGCCCTGGTATGGTTCGATGCGCCTTGTCAAACTAAATCCAACCATACCAAGTTGCACAGATTTGACAATTTTGAACGAAGTTACAGCCTCGGTGGTAGATTGGGTTGTACCCATTTTTTGATCTAAGGATCTCTAATATATATCCCAGAACCAATCAAGTACTCGATCATGCCTTTTCGAGTTTTTAAACTATAAAACTCGTCATTTCCGATCCTTATTTGGTACAGAGAAAATAAAATTGAAAGAAAAAAATCTCACTGCATAACAGCCAATTGTGATTGATTCTGTCCCGGCCCAATCTCCAAAATATCAATTAATTTATCTAAAATTTCCATTTGTGTTTGGAAAGTATTTCCTCCAACAGAACCAGAACCGTCCAACAAAAACTTTTTTTAATTTTAAATTTAATAATTAATTTTTACAAAAAAATAATTACCAATAAATCAATTGGCCTGTTAACTGGTCTACAAACTTTGAAAAAAAATTATTGGTTATTTAATTTAAAAAAACTTTTAGCTAAATCATTTTCTGGTATATATTCGAATGTTAATGATTTTTGTATTAAAATAATTAATTGAAAAATAAATAAAAGAAAATAATACATTTTTTAATTTAAACTAAAAAATAAAATAAAATTATAATTAAATATATACAATGACGCCCGATATAACGTGACTTCAATTCGATTTCGGGAAGAGTCGTTATATCGAGATTTTGTTGAATAAAGGCCCTGAGCGGTTATTTTTTCTAATAGGTCTCATTGAACCTCAATTCAACTCTTTGCATGAGCTTCTCTTCGGGATGAATTTCTATTAAAGGGAGGTTTCTACTAGGGAGATTTAAGGAATTTTGAAGATTCTGGAAAGTAAGGGAAATCCAAAAATATTTTATGAGTATACAGAAGGGATGTCCAGAATTTTAGAAAAAAGTTTTCTTCAAAGTTACAACTAACATATAAATATATTTTATTTTAATTGTTAGGGCATTTAAATATTTAATTAATTAATTAATGAAAATAAATAAATTTTTATTAATAAAATATTTTTTTGTTTAAAAAATGACAACAACTTTCTATTTTTCTTTTGCTGTGCTTTCCAGTTGCGTTCTCCTCTACATAAAATTATTTAGTATTTTCTCTCCGGTTAACAATAAAAAAATATGTAATGACCCATTTGGAGATATTAATTAATTAAATACGCGTGGATATGCCTAGAGGGGATTTTCTATTTGTTTTTACTTTTTTTAAATTTCTTAGCCAAAATTCCACAGAATTTATAATTATTTTATAAAAAATATTTTAGCCCCCCCTCCTAACTGTTTAAAAAAAGTACAAAAGTGGATTGTTAGGTATGTGTTAAATAAACCTTCAGTTCCTTCCTCCACCCAGTTGGCAATCAAAAATAAAAAGGGATGTAAAAATATTTTTTTAATTAAAAAATAAAATTAAAAATAAATATAAAAATAAATAAAAATTAAATTTTGTTTTAAAAGAGGAATTATTATTTAATAAAGGCAAATAAATTATTTGTTCTGATTTAATTATTCTGTCACCTTCACATTTGTATATTCCATTATCTTTTGAATTTAAATATTTAATTCTTAATGTATATATTGCCGAATTGTGGTTAGTGTTGATAAAGTTGATATTTGTTGAATATTCTTTTTTTAATTTAAATTTATAATTTTTAATTATAATTACATAAATAGACACAATTTTTTAATGAACTTTTGTGGGTAAAAAATTTGGTTTTTGGGTGTTGCAGTGGAAGAGCTCTCTACTAAATCCCCAAACTCTGTAACCGGCATTCTAAAGAAGCCTAGACTAGGAAGGTTAGGGCTAATTAAATACAGACATTAAACCATTAATTAAAAATGGGACAAAATGTCACTCCCCCTCCTCTCCCCCTCCTCCCCAAATTAATTAAAATTACTTTTATTTTCATTTTCCTCCAAATCCAACAATTTTTCATCTTTACTCCAAACAATATTTGGCCAGAAAAAAGAAGAATTTTCTTCTTCTTCTGTTGAATTAATTAAATTAAAATAATTTTCATTATTATTTTCTTTAATTCTTTCAATTGTACAATTTAATAATAAAATTGTTCCTTCTTTTTTTTAATTAAAAAATAATTTTTTAAATTTAAATTTAAATAAACCTTCTATTCTTGATTCTAATTTTGCCTTGTATTCTTTTAAATTAAAAAAAATTTTTGTAAGAATTATCAAAAATTTAGTCGCTAGATTACAAAATAAAACTTTCTAGCAAGTATTTTTGTTACCTCCCCACCGTTGGGGAGGAGGAGGAAGGAGGGGGAGGTTAACCAAATAAACTATCAGGAATATTAACTTTATTTTCCCCCCTAAACTACCGTCTAAACACCCCCCCCCCCTTTTACAAAATATTACCAGATAAACATAATAGGTTAACCAAAATATTTATTATTTTTGCTAGAGAAGTTAGACAATATTTTATTTTAAAATCTCTATTATCAGAATTAAGATTTGGCTCCTGTTCAGATTACGAATCCAATCAAAAGTTTATGTGTCCAAGCAAATTTTCACGCGTTTAATCTGCGTCTCTACTCGCCCAGAGAGTCTAACACAAAATCAGGTATTTATTATTATAGTTGAATAAAAATATGATTAGACGCATAAAGAGTTGTTTGGACGCATAAACTTTTTATTGGACGCGTAATCTGGACAAGAGCCCCACCCCCATATTTTCAAAATAACAATCTCGCATTTCCTCAAGTCTAATTTCTAAATTTTATTTGAAAATCTTTATTGGATTTTTTAAAAATATTTTTTTCTAAAGAAAAACTAATAATTCTTCTCTCTCTCTCTACTAATTTTTATTTAAATTTAATAAAATTACCTTTATTTTGTTTTTTAATTAATTTTTGTTTTTCTGTTCTTTTTTCTTCACCTTTTTAAAAAAATAAAAATATTTTTTAAATTTTAAAATTAAATTTTACCTAATTTAATAACTTTTAAATATATCGGAATAACAATACTGCTTGGCTCTGTATTTATTTCTTTTTTAAATTAATTTAAATTAATTTTTAAATAAGAAAATACCACAAATATAGCAACCTCTATCATCTAATCTTTAAAAAATAATCTTTTTAATTATTTAATTTAAAAATCTTCCTCCTATTTCGTCACTTCTCAAGCGGAATTTTGCCGGTGTAAGAGGAGAAGTGATAGGGGAAGGGGTGATATTATAGAGAAAATTTCGGTGTCCAATATTTGGGGGGTTATGCTGAAAAATAACAAAAAATAATTTAATTTTCAAAAAAGATGACAAACTTTTTATTCAGTATACATATTGGGAAAGGACTGTGCCGAGAAATATAAAAGGATGTAATTAGGGTTTGCGAATCAAGATCCAAAAAAAGTCAAGATATCCGGAACTCTCGGATCCGGAAATTTGTCATGATCCGCCAGCTTTAATATGGATGGACACCAACCTTATCTTTATGTATAAGGATTTTTTGTATATTTCAGGTCCACAAAATGGAGGGAGGGGAGGGGTTACAAACAAAAAAAATAAAGTACAAACTCAGTTCTTCTCAAAATCAGCACCCAATCCGAATATTTGTCACGAGGTTTGGATACTTGAAATCTAAAATCAGCAGTAAAACTACTAGCCCCAACAGCAAGTAAAGCCATATCTCTAATTCTTGTCCAAGCTATCTAAATTAATTTTAAAATATCAGAAGAAGAAAAAAAACTTTTAAATTATTTTCTTCTTTATTTTCTTTAAATAAACGGGGACAGTGAAAGTAAGCAGGCATTCCTTCAATTACTGAAATTATTTGAGATTTTTTATTTTTATTTTGTTGATTATTAGTAAATGTTTGTTCAAGACGAAGACATTCAGAAATTGACAATTGATGATTAATTGTTGTTGATGATGATGAAGAAGAAGAGATATTTACTTAAAAAGTAATTTGAATCGGAGAGAAAGGTATGTAAAAGTTAGCCACAGTCAACCAGAAATAGATCCTAGCAGTTCGCGTCAAATCCGTTATGTATATCACATTATCCTCAATCTTGTAAAAATCCCCTGATATTCTTCCAAATCCTATGATATCCTACAAAAGCCTTTTGAGACTGTGTGAGTAGGGTTGGCGGCTCCGCATATACGGAACATTTCCTCATTAGAATGCTGGACGGAGGAGCTAGCTCCGGAGTCGGCTCCGGCGGATTCGGAGCCGGGGCTAAGATTTTGAAAACTCCAGGCCGGAGCCGACAAAGGCCCAATACCCAACACTATTGCTAATGGTGCTGGATTTTTTGATGGTGGATTTCTTCTTGGATTGGATTGGATTGTTGGATTATTGGATTCTTGGATCTACGATGGTGCTGGATTTCTTCAAATTTTTAGCGCCTCAGTCGGACATTGTTTTATTATTTAAATTTAAAAATTTATTTATTTCTTTCTTTCTCTCATTTTTAAATTAATTTAGTACATAAATATTTACATTTTGGATTTTATATTTATTTTAGTCTTTTTTACAAGAATGATTGTAAATGTGTACTATTATTTGTTTTTGTCATTAAAAAAGAGGATATTAATTTCCCTCCGAATTTTTTTTTTGAAATTTTGAAAGACAATTAAATTTGCCCAAAATAAATTCTTTTTTTTTAATAATTCTCCTATTTCTTCCGCTTTGTCAAATTCAAAAAAAAATTAAAAATATTCAAAAACCTTCCCTTCCCTTCCCTCCCTCTCTCCTTTCCTCCTTCCAACCTCCATAAATGTTTATTTTCTTCTAAAAAATTGAATTATTTGCATAAATGCCTGACAATTTAAAGCATTTATAGCTTCTTCTTTTCTGCCAGAAGGTCCTTTCATTTTTGCAGATTTTTGGGGGGAAAATACGGAGGAAGGAAGTGGATATCTATTATTAAAGGCTATCCTACCCCCTTCCCCCTTTCCCTTCAAAATATTTCTCTCTAGGGGGTATTTCCCTCTAAAACCGTTTTATCCTTCCCTTTCCCTTTTCACAAATGATTTGCTTACCGCAAATGAGTTTTTAGCTTTTTTGGATATTTTTAAAATATTTTAGACGGCCATTCAGGAAGATTAAATTTTTGGAGAGAGAAGAGAAGAGATAAACATATTTTGGATAGTTCTCTCAAAATTTTATACAAAATGCTTGAGTGCATTAAATTATATTTATTTATTTATTAAAAGAGTAAAAATCAAAAAAGGTTTGAAAATAACTAAAATTTTACTAAAAGTACAGAGAAGATTTTCTCTCAAAAAATTAAAAGTTGTTTTTTTAATTTTTATTTAAACAATTTTAAATTTATTTTTATTTAAAAGAATCTAATTTTTACACTTAATAGAGAGTTTTGGGAGAGCTTTTTCCGAGATTTTTGGCTTGCCTAGCAATTTGTGAAAGTTTTCTTTTAGTTTTGAGATTCAGCTTTAATTTTTATTTCGAATTTTAAAAAATTTTCAGTTTCGGATATTTATATATTAAATCCCCCCTTCCACCTTCCATTTAAAAAAAATTCAAAAAATAATTAAAAACATTTTTACTTACCAAAAATATTTATTAAAAATCCAATTAAAAATAAATTAAAAATATTAAACATTTAAATAAATAAATATATTTTCTTTTAATATTCGAAAGTAATATTTTCTTTAAAAAGGAGGAGAAGGAGGAACGTTTATATGTAAAAATTAAATTTAAAAAAAAATATTTGGGAATAAATAAAATTTCTGGCCGAATGTGGGCGGCGGATTAAATAGAGAAAACAAAGTATTAAAAAAAAAGAAAATTAAATATTTGGAGGAAAAAATAAAATAAAAGAGAGAACTGACCAGCTGGAAAAAAATAAAGAAAAAATAAAAAGTTATTCAAAATTCACAGCTTTTCCCCCCTTTTTTTATTTATTTTCGTCCCGCCCAATTATAACACACAAACACATTTTTCGCTTTTGTTCTTTTGAATTTTTTAAACAAAAAAGAGAAAATATTTTCAAGGCTGTCAATTAATTAAGTTGTCGCTTTTTTTTAATTTTCTTTTTTTTAAATAAAATCTCTTGAGATTTAAATTTTTTGATTAAAAATTAAAAATAAGTTGAAACTCGTTAAGACATCAGGACCGAGAATTAAATCGACGTTTTAAAGGAAGAGAGGGGGAGATTTAACGGGGAGGGGGTGTTTTTAAATATCCCACACATACAATTCCTGTCATGATTATAGTATTTCGACTAGCCTGCTATAATTTAACTAAAGTTCTGTGCTACTCTATTTATGATAATCAATTAAAAATATTTATATACTATAAAAGAATGAGAATTAATTAATTAAAAATTAATGAGAATATAAAAAAATAAAAATATTTTCAAAAAAAATTTTTTTTTAGGATTTCTTTTCATTTTTCAATTTTCAAAACAACATAACTTTCCGAAATATAAACTGGCAAAAAAGAACCCAAAAGAGATTGATTAGAATTTATTATGCCATTCCATAATCTATTGAAAATTTAAAAAATTTCAAAAAAAAAAATAAAAATTAACTGATGACAGAGTGATGGACGTATTCTGAAAAAAAATTTTGTTTGAAAATTGTAATCGGACCCTGAAATACCCCAATGGTTTGGGAGAAATAATCCGCCCTAATCATCATATCCTCACAAAATCTTTTAATCTCTCAATATCCCTATTAGTCCTCCAAAATCTTTGATTTCCCCCTTTTGTGTTAAAAACGCAAAGTTTTGACGCAATTCCAAATAACTTATTAAATTATACACACAAGTAGGTCCTTATCTTATAATGCGCCCAACTAATTATTAAAATATTTTAAAAAATCAAATTTTAAAACAAAAATTTACCTATTTTTGGGGTCTTGTAAATCCCACATAGCCAAATAACTACATTCTTTCTTTGGGTGTTTTTGTAAACATTGTTGTGGTTGAAATACATAAAATTGAACACCCATTTTCTTTAAATCAAAATAAACCTATTTTTTAAAGAAACTTTTTTTAATTTAAAAAATTATTAAAAATACTTCTTCAACAGATTTTCTACTATAAAGAGAATAAACACGAAGAGTACGTCTTCTATAAAAAAATAAAATTAATTTAATATTTTTATCTAATATTTTTACCTAATTTCTTCATTTTCATAATGTGGATGATTAACAATAGGCCGAAGAGTACTTAATTTTAAATTTGCCATTAAAGCCATAGTTCCAGCAAAAACAGAATCTAAATACAAAAAAATACAATAGATACTCCAAAAACTAAATAGTAGATAACCTAAAGGATGTGACAAAACTAAAAGTGAAAGACAAAAAAAGGCGAAACTGGGCATTCTCGATACCCCATTTAAGAGGATCAGAAGGAGCCTACTAATAATAAGCATGCAATACTCCAATTTAATGTACACTCATTATAAGGTACAATTTTTTGGAGCCCTAAGAGAGTGTACTATTCAAAACTAGTTTTTTAACCTTTCAAAGTATTTTCATTAATCCAAATAAATAAATTTTCCTGTTCAGGATTATTATATTCTCCCCTCATTTCCAATTGATTTTGAATATTCTTAATTCCTTTATTTGCCATTCCAGCCAAAATAATTCCAACAAAAATTAATTTAATTAATTTAAAATTAGTTTCTATTTTTGTCCAAATTTTGTTAGAAGATAATAAAGATAAATAAAGACATAAATGGGGAGTTGCAAATAATTTTAGACGCATAAAAAGTAAAGCCAAAATTATAAAAATAAATAATTGAGTTGAATGATAGGCTATCTAAAAATTAAAAAGAAAAATGAATGGAAAGATGTTTTGAAATGGAGAAAAAAATAAGAAAAAATTAAGGATGTCTTAAAAAACTAAACACCCAAGAAATACAAATACCCATAATATGTATTAAATTGTAAGTTCAAAATTTATCGGTTTGTTTAGCCGAAGGATTTAATAGAGATAATAACTTTAAAATATTATAATTAGGGAGATTCTGAAGTTTTGTTCAAATTTTCTTCAAAACTATCAACATAATTATGCCCAACCAAATTATAAAATTAAAAAAAACCTCTGGACAAAATCTATCAATTTTATCAGACCGCCAAAGCCACTTTCCATTAGCCAATTCAAAACGATAAAATAAAACAAACAAAAAACAAATAACCAAACAGTTTAAAGGTAATAACCAAGTTGAAATTAATTTTGAAATTGTCTTTAAAAACAAAAAATAACCTTATTTTTAGGAGTAAACACTAGGAGTAAAAACTAAATTATGTTTGGACAACATCCTACCCAGTAGCCACTCAAAGTCAAAGATAAAATCTCTTAAATAGAGGTGTACCTAGTCAAGAATACCGCGGTATTCTTGATTGAGGCCGTATCGGTTTCGGTATTTCGGTAAGAATACCGCGGTAATACGGCATCGTGAATAACACTAGTACCTAGTATTAGGGGTATCTAAAAATGAGGGTTTAACTGTATGTGTTAAAATTAATTTAAAATATAACCTCAAATTGCAAAAAATCAAATTCTGGGGCACAAGTATATAAAAGAGTATGGAAATTTGCATAATTAGGAAATAATTTTGCTTTTAACAATTCGAAAACCTTTAAAAATGAAAAAGTTGAAGTGAAAAAATTATTTTTAGTTTAAAATTAATGAGATTTAATGGCCAACAAAAAAGGCTAAAAATTATTTTTAAATTGTTAAAATGCGACTGCCTCCAAAACTTGGAGAATATTAAAATACCGAAGCACAAACGACTGTGCCACCATCCAATCTAACGATGATGGGTTATTTGATGGGCATTTTTGAATGGCGGATTTCAAAATAAATGAAAAACTCTTTTTGAATAATAAATTTGAAACCCCCCCCCCTCCTCTCTAAATTAACAAAAAACAAACATACATTATTGTCATCCTTCAAATCAAATAATTTATTTAAAAACAATTTAATGCTTATTGCAGCAAAAAAATAAATAAATAAATGTAAAAATATAAATAATGGACGTAATTTTAAATAATTTAAAATTTTGTTGTGAATAATAAAAATAATTAAAATTGAAATAAGTGAACTTGAAAAGAAGGAATTTAAAATTAATAAATTGCCAAAAAGTAAAGAAATTGATAAACAATAAGAAATCTGAAAAATAAAAATTAATTAAAAATACAATCCCCCTCAATATCAGACCCACATTCATGGTTAAAAATTTAAATCTTATAATGAGGTATACCCTAAATAAAGTGTAACGGTTTGGCAGTCAACAATAAACTTATTGACAACTAAATTAAAAAAAATATTTTAAATAAAGGTCTAACAAAATCCTGATTTTCGAGATGATCCGGAAAAAAATTTCTATATCCCGAAACCAGATCCGTTATTTTCAAATTTCTAACTCTAATAGTAAGTAAAGAAACAAACCAAAAATAATTGCCATAAAGAAAATAATAATGGAAAAGAAATTAATTCACAAGAGAAAAGAAGAACAAGCTAAAATTAAATAAAAATTTATTTAGAAAATTTAAAAAAAACCGTTCCAAGTTGAGTACCGATTATAAATTGACTTAACTAAAATTTGAAAAAAATTAATTAATTTTAAAAATAGATAAAAAATAAAAGAAAGAGCACGTCCAGGTAAGAATTTTGGGCAAGAAAAATTTTAAAACAAAAAATATAGGACCCAAGCAACAAAACAAAGATTAAAATTGGAGGAACTAATGTGAGTACGGAGAGTTTGGAATCGATGTTACTCTCTATGGAACCAGAACTGTTCGATTTTTAAAAAGGAAAAACATTCTTAATAACATAATTTCCAAAATTCTATTTCGGAATTCATGTCCATCTAAATTAACAATAAAATCGGAAGATGAAAAATTTTAAAAAACCTTAAAATGAATAAAAAATAACAATAGAAAAAACCTGCCAAAAACAACAGAAAGCAACTGTCAGAAAAACATGTGAACCCCCAAAAATTAAATTAATTTTTCCTTTTCTCAAAATATAACCAGTCAAAATTGTTTGAAGTAAAAATATTGGGTAACCAAAAGATTCTCGTAAAGGAGGTGTCCATTGTGCTCTTGTTGCTTCTCCTAAAAAGAAATTAATTCTTTTTTATTTAAAATAAATAATAACCATGATTAAACATAAAAGAAATTGAAGCCAAAATTCCACCAAAAAAGCTTTGACTAAATTTATTTTTTTCAAATTAAAGAAAAATATTTTCATTAAAAATACCTTAAAGAAAATCCACCAATAAATAAAGAAAAAATAACACTACTTGCAACAAAAAATGCTCCATAAATATAAAAATAATGATAATTGCCTAAACCTAAAAATAAAAGGGAATTATTTTAAAATGTAGACAAATTTTGATTTTAACAAGATATAGAGAGATCAGCTAGGTGTGTCTGACATGAGAAGTTCAAGGACAACAGGTCGCTTAGGATCAACCCCAGAACAAAAGTCAATTTCGACATACATATAATATAGTCGGGTGTAAAAGTAATGCAAAAGTAATCCCGCTAATTGTAAGGAATTTAGTATTGGAAAAGTTTTTTAGAGTTTCAATTTTATTTCCATTTTACAAAATTCGATAATCGGAATCGCAACATCCAAAAAAAGATTGACTTCTTGTCAAGGTTAACGATTTTTAATTTTAGATTTTATTTTAAATTTTAACAGGCTAGTAAAATGAATTAAATAATGTTGCCTAATTTAGGATTTTAACTTTAAAAATTAATATAAAAAAGAAAAGAAAATGTAAACCTTCACAACTTTCAATTGGCGTCATTCCACCTCCTCTATTTACTCTCCAACAAACTAAAAATAATTTTAAAAAATTCACAAATTAAAAATCAACCGATAGTTTTCCATTCAAAATAATCTGAAAATCTTCGAAACACAGAAAAAAGTGAAGAAAGAATTAACTTTAAAAGAAAAAATTTAAAAAAATAAATTCAAAACAAACTTCTGGATAAAGATTAAATCGATGTAGAGCATTTATTGTATTGCCAAATTCAGTTGTATTGTCTTTCATTAATTGAACAAGGCCATCAGAAAAAGGCATAGAAACGAGAGTTTTGTAAAAAGAAAAGTAAAATCCCTTAAAATGAAAAAAAAAATAAAATTGAGATAAATAGAACGTTTTTCCCCCCAAAAGTCTGCAAGTAATGTCCATAAATCATTTAGGATTATTTTTGAAAAAATAAATTTTCCAAAAAATTACATTAAATGTTGATATAAAGTAATAAAATAGTACAAAATTTAGGATAAAATAACTTGAGTGATTTGCTGACTTTTAGTAGGATAAAGGAAATTAATTCAAAAAGTATCAAGTCCCCCTTAAAAACTGAAAGAAAAATCGTTTTTAGTCAAGCCTATAACAATTTGGAACCGCGAAGGTGAATGCATAAACTCATTAAAATGTTCAAGATAAATTTATTAATCAAAAATTACAAACCATTTCAGTTCTGTAAGTCATTTCACGTTCAAAATCGGAAAGATGAGAAAAGAAGCGAACATTTTCAAATAAATGCAAAATAAACCAAAAATGAAAAGCCCATAGAGAAAAAGCTAAAATTAAGTAATTACAAACAAAATCTTCAAAAACAAACCAGTCAACAAAACTAAACTATACAAATAATTGGGGGAAAATGCCATCAAGGAGAAAAAAATCTAAAAAGAAAAGTCCAAAAAAATTAAACACCTTCTTAACAATTTCTAATAAATTTAAAGTTAATAACTTTTTTTAAATATTTTCAAAGAAAAAAATAACAAAAAATATTTTTATTCTTTAACAAATAATCCAATTAACAAATTCAACTTTCAATTTTTTAAGCAATCGAACTAGCATTTGAAGCTATTCTCGGCCAAAGTTCCGCACATTCTTTAGCAACTGGACCGGTTATAGCAGAACCTTTCATTTCTCCTTTATTGTTAACTATAACCCCAGCATTATCTTCAAAATAAATAAAAGTCCCATCCTTTCGACGAAATTGTTTACGCTGTCGAACAACTACAGCTTGCAGAACTAAATTTTGTTTAAAGTTAAAATTGGGTAATAAAAAAGGAGGACCAGTAAAGCAGATAAACAAAATGAGGTTGAAGTTTTAATCCTCACAAAAATAATCTATTTTCCGTCAAGGTCTGATTGTTCAGAATAATTGGTTTATTTAAAATCGATACAATTTGGCAAGCCCCAACAACGATTCTTTACCGCGCCTAATGTAGAAATTATGCCAAGGACATATTTGAGAGTGATAAGAGGAAAACCTTATATATTAGGACAATATTATCAACTTCTCCAGATTACTCAAAGAATTTAAGGTCCCTAATGATTTAAAATACAAAAACCTTTCTTTCTCAGCTCCGGCTTTCCTTTCTTAACAGAACACACAAACATGTCGCCAACTGCAGCACTAGGCATACGATTGAGTCGACCACGAATTCCATAAACAGCAATAACAAAAAGATTTTTGGCTCCAGTATTGTCAGCACAATTAATTACCTAAAAAATGAAAAGTTAACAAAATATTTTCAAAAAAAACAAACAGCTCCAACTGGAAGACCCAAAGAAATACGAAACTTCGCGCCAGAAGCTCCTCCACGTCCTCTTTTTGACATTTCGAGAAAATAAAATTAGCTAAAAACTAAAAATAAGAGCAAAATTATTAAAAAATTTAAAGATTTCAAGGCTAAAAAATTTTAACGATTTTTTGAACGAAGTTTTAGTTGGCATTCTGTTTATTGAAATTTTTTGAAAAAGCGGAACGGGCCACTAGAGTGCTTCCATTAGAGAGCGGGGCCGTAGAGTGCCAACAATTTGAAATTTAAATTGCAACGTGGAAAATTGTTCCAAGAGAGGGGAATGTTAAGATGTTGTTCAGGTGACGGGGGAAGTTGATCCAACAATTCAGGCGCCGTACCGGAACCTAAAGCGCTGAAAAGAATGGATTCTTCTTTATTGGCATCCCATAATCAGGGGGGATGCGAACAAAGCCTACCCCCCTGGATACGGGCCTGCCCATAATCGTAGAAGTACATACATATCATATAACTGAGTCCTCATGATTGAGGATTAAATATCTAACAATTAAAAGAAAAACAATTTTACTTTATTCAAAATTTTTATGGAACAAATTTGATTTTATCAAATGGAAAATTAAAAATATTAAAAAGTTTTTCCAATTTATTTTCATTCATTTCATCTAACCTAAAATCTTGTTCAGTCAAATATTGAGCATCTCTAAATACTTTTCTGAGGAATCTAGTTATGTCCGGTCTCGAATCAATTTCTTTTTCAATATTCTCAAAAATGTCTAGAATTACTGCTTCATCTAACCTTGAATTTAATAATTAAAATGAGGAATTTGTGGAGAATTTAGATTAAGGACACTTCTAACTTCCCCAACACTTCCTTCTAAATTCATCTTTCCCCCTCCCTATAATTTAAAAATTTACATTCTAGCATTTTTCATAGAATATCCTTTGACAAGTTGTGAAAGACAAGAATAAATTCTTTTATAATTAGGCGCTCCGGGTAAGCTAGTCCCAGCTTCGTCAGAACATTCAGTTAAAAATATAGAAATTACATCTCCAGAACAATCTCCAACACCTCTAATTTTTTTCATTTTGTCGACTAAAGACACCCAATTTGAATAAACATTTGGATTTTGATTATTATTTATTAATTCAACTTCTGGTTTGCTCATTTCTTCTAAACGATATCTTCCCTGTTCTGCTAATTTATTAACTGATTTGCATTGATTTATACAATCAACAATCTTAAAATTTACTAAAATTATTATAAATTTATGAAAATTTATTAAAAAACATTTATGGAAGCCGGCTATTAAGTTTTGGTGTGTTTTGATCCTAGTTTCGGTTCTAGAGCCCTATTCTAAAAGGACCGGTAGTTTTAACCAAGAGACGATGTAGAGATTAATTCAGAATTTCAGGGAACTATAACTTATCTTAAGCTTTCAACCATTAATGAAAACCATTTCCTCCTCTCGTTTCCTTTTGTCATGATTTTGTTTGAAGGAATTTTTTTAAATTTTAATAAAATTAAAATTTCATTTTTCATCCTTTTGTCATTATAGGCGCGAAAAAACATGAAACAGTTATAATAGTTAATTACCCCCATCCTCGTCTAACTTGAATATTTGGACGATATCTTCCTTAACTTATGTTAGAAGTTGGAAAAACAAAACTCTTAATTCTCTATACAAGTCCAATTATCTCTAATTGAGTAAAAGGACAGAAAAAAAAAAGACGGAAAAAAAAGGTTACAGACAATAAAACCCCAATTTTACATCAATTATCAAACCCAAAATTAATTTTTTTTAAGAAAAACTACCTCTTCATGAGTTGTATCCTTAAAATGTTTTGCAATTTGTTTAACACCCTCATCATCTATATTATGCTTTGTTAATTGAATTATAACACCCATCAAGTCTTCATTACTCCAACCTTTTAAAAAATCATTTGGAGCAATTCCCTTCTCCAAAACATTAATTACAGCTTCTTCATGTGTCAAATAAGCTTTTTCATTTATTGGAATTTTATTTAAATTATTCATTTCTTCATTTCCTTCTTCCTCTTCCCCTTCTTCTCTTCCACTTTTTCCATCCTCTTCCATAGACGATTCTTCAGATACTTCATTTTCGTGTGGACTTGGTAAACATTGATCAATATCTTCATTCCCTTCTTTTCCAGTATTATTATGATTGTTGTTCTCCATTTTTCTTGAATCTCTTTGAAATTTATTTAAAAATTTAACAAAAATTTAAAAAAAAACCATTTAGATATTTATATTGTACAAAACACACAATTTTAGGCAATGCCAAGAAAAAATTTATTCAAAATTTTTATTAAATATTAAAAACACAGATGCAATCGGAACTCATTTTAAAGTACCCCCTGGTCTGAAAAAATTTATTTTTGAATCTTAAATTGGGGATATCGCTTAACAAATTAAAAAAAAGGTATCTCAAATTACAAGAAAATATGACAATAAATAAGGTAAAAGAATTTGTATTGTCTCATATAAATAACAAAAATATCGCAAAATTTAAACAATAAATCCAGCCTCAGATAAAGAATAATTAACACGACTTCCATGAATCTTTAAAAAAATTTTTAAATTTCTTTAAATTAAAAAATAAATATACTTTTCCATCAATTTTAGCTTCCACATAAAAACAATTATTTTCTTTTTGTAAAAATATTCTTTTGGAAATTCCTTTAATCCAAATTTTGCCTAAAGCAGGTTTTGAAATATTCCTCCAATTAACCAAATGATTTGTTATTATTATAGTTGCTCCAAATTTATGGCAAAATTCGTTTAATGTTGAAAGTATTTGTTTTTGGATTTGTCCTTTAAAAATTAAATTAAAAAATATTTCACTAAAAACTTTTTCCTTCCCCTGTTTCCGGGGATTTTTTAGAATCGGCAACCCCAACCCGAAAGTGTAACGCCCGCAAATAGAAGTAACGGAAAGCTTCAACTATTAATTATAATATAGTAAAATGAGCCATTTACTCCCACTCTCTGATTTAGTGAAAAAATGGAATATAGAAACACAATTTATTTTCGACATTAGAGTTAATTTATTATAGTTAAAGGGAAAGCAATACTTGGACAATAAAATTTTCAAAAATAAAAACCGTCATTGTTTTCCTTCGCTACAGCATCAAATAAAATAGAACCAATTTTATTAATAAAAATAACAGGAACAGAAGAAGAATTTTTTAATCCAAACTTTAAAAAATTTAATTAAAAAAATTACTAAAAATAAACCTCAATTTCAAGTAATCTAGATCTTAATTCTCCAGAATATTTAGCCATTCCATAACTTACTCTTTTTAATAAATCATTTATATTTAATTTAGTTGAGGTATTATTATTATTAGAAGATCTTAAAAAATAATAAAAGTTTCTATTATTTAAAAATTATTTTTCAAAAAAGATTTAAAATACAAGGAAAAATAAAGGAAAATGTTTAAATTACAGAAAATAAAACAAAAATCCTTAAAAATATTCCGTGAAAAGTCTTATATGTTCGGGACAGAATTCTTCCTTCACTTCTCTCTCTCCCAATTCCCAACCTAACTACTCTGGTACCCAGATATTTCTTATAAAAGAAAGGTAACCCCACTATAAGATACACCAAAATTAGATGCATTCCAATTTAAGATTCGTTTTTTAGAAATTTAGTTGACAGCGGAGCTGTACATTTAATTATCTCTCATAGTGAGTTTGACTATATTTGATTAAAATTATGTTTTTTTTTGAAAATAACCTCACATTTTATGCATCAAAATTCGTTCCAATCTTCCAATACGAAAAGATCCATTAAAATCAATAACAATCACTTGTCTATCCCTTTTTGCTTCTGACAATAATAATTCAGCAATTAAAGTCATTCCTAACTTGAATTATTTTTAAAAAAAAATTTAAAGTAAAAAAATACTTGCATTTTTCCCGAAGCATCACAGCCAACAATTTCAACAATTTCTCCGCTCGAAATCATTTTTAAATCATCAAACAATTTATGTCCTGTTTGAAAAAGTAATCCATCAAAATTTAATCTTTTAAACCAATTTAATGCTGTTTCTTCTAATAATTGTTCTTCTTCTTTTAAATTAGTTCTTGTTGAATTATTATACATTGATATATTAAAATTTTAATTACAGCCTGGTCTATTTATAAGATACACCTTTTATGTCAAAAAATTTTATATTTTATAATGAGGGCGGGCGCCAGGGGCGGGCGCATTGTGTTAAATTTTGGCCTTGCGTTTTGGAGATTGTTTGCGACTACCTCTCGGTATCTACCGGAAAGGGTAGAAACCTTACAATTAGTAGATACTTACAATTAGACAACTCCCTCACCCGTAAGTAAATTGAGAAAAAAGAATTAAATATAGAAAAATATTTTCAAAATTATATTTTTACTTTACAAAAAAACTTCAAAAAATTAAGGTTACAAACATATAAATGAGATATTTTAATTTAACATTAAAAAGCAAAGATTAATAATGATAATAAAAATATATGTATGCCCAATAAGAGTTTGGCAACAAGCCTTGAAAAAAGCTAAATTTCTGTGAAAAATTTACCAAAAATTGTAAAAAAATATTTTGGTAGATCTTTTGTCAAACTTAAATTTTAAATTCATTTCATATCTTGGCCCTCCGTATTTTCGAGTTTGGAAGACCAAAGTAACCTATTCCTGGTTTAATACAAATTTAGTCTAAATTTTAAAATTAACTCAAAACAATCACCAAACCCACTTCGTACATAAATTTAAAACTCAAAAGTATTAGATTTAAATTGTAAAAAAAAAAACAAAAAATTCCTCTCCTTCTTCTTCATTTTTCCTTCAAATTAATTTACTCAATTACGAAATCGGAACAATTAAATTGTCATTAGCCATCAATTGATATTTCAAAACAAATTTAGTAAATCGTTTACAAAGAAAAGTTTCTTCCTTAAGAAAAAATTATTTAAGAAAATTTTTTTAATTAAAAAAACCTCAAATAAGTCAAACAATGCCCGATGATGAAAATAAGCGTGAGAAAATATTCGATAAATTCTACGACAGACTGATCCAATTTTTGCTATTGAAGACTCTTTTATGGTAATTCTACTTGGAAAGTAACGATTGCTATTTAAAAGAGCAGCAGCCCCATCCAGTGTATGTCGAGTATAATCAATTGCAGAACACTTAAAATTTTTTGTAATTTTAAGAATTAAAAAAAGTCCAATCGTCCCACACTTTTTTTAATTTTCAATTAAAAAATTATCTTAAACGACCGTTCCATCAAAAAATATAGCCCAAATGCTCATGTCAGATTTAATGAATTAGGGCAAAACTCCCAAAAAAGTGTAAGTGCTTGGGCAAATGTTCCAGAATATAATTTGAGTGTGGGATTAAAGGTGGGATTAAAGGTGAACCAAAAATAAATTCTAAAGTATGAACCTCTTTTGGATTTTTATGAGCAGCACAAAGAAAAATCCATTGATCTGTAGCCGTCATTTGATTACAAGTTTCTGGTGTACATTCATCCTTAAAATTTATTTTAAAAAATATTTTATTAAGAGAAAACCTGTAAAAGCACAGCCAAACCATTCAAATCAGAACAAAATTGACGTAAATGTTCATATTTCCAAACACCTTCATCTACACCAGATGGGCAATCTAAAATTAAATCAACATCTCTAAAATCGGCAAAAATGCATTGTTGAATCCATTGTTGTATACAAAACGTTCCGTCCATTTCATTGAAGGATAATTTGTTCCATTTATTCCATTCCTAATTGAAAATAAAATAAAATTGGTTAAACAAAAGAAGTAAAAAGATTTTAAAATTTCCTCTTTAAGATATCTAATGGAGAATGAAAAGCTATTGATAACCATTTATGGGCGAAATGAGAAATTCATGTCTTAAGTAACAAACTCAACACAGCTACTACGATTAAGATGCTTGACTAGGGAACTTGGCTTTACTCCCGGGAACCTTATCAAATATTACTACAAAATAATTTTAAGAAAATACCTCACGAGTCGTACCAGGAGGGTTTCGAAATTGGCCTGAATTAACAACAGTTTCCATCTAAACTTTTAAAAGAAATTTTTAGGAATAGAATAAAGTTAAAAAAGTAAATTGATTTAAAACTAAAAATTTAAAACAAAAAGTAAATTTAATAAATTTTATTTAAAAGCTTTGGGATTTCAAATCATAAATTATGTGTATTAGTATATCGTCACATGTGTAACTTTAAAAGAAAAATAAGTATAACTATTTAAACAATATTTTTTCCTTCAAGTTACACATTTTTTAAGTCAAAAATTTCCATTTCGTACATTTTATATATAAAAATATTTTTTAATTAATTTATCTATTTATCAAGCATTGAACGTTCCAATGCTTCTTTATATTGCTCTTCTTCTTCCTCTAATTGTTTTGCTCTCAATTCTTCTTCTTCTTTAGAAAGTTTTAAAGCATTGAGTAATTCTGTATCAATCTTTAAAACAAAAATTACAAGAAATTGAAGCGGATTCAAGTTTAGCTATCAAACAGAAATGGAAACTGTGAATCTAACGACATTGCTTCCAAATCTAAACTTTTGACCTGAATTGTCACACAAATTACCAACAATATCCAAACCCAAATTTAAAAAATATTTTTTACCTCTTCTTCATTAATTTCATGAGCAATACTTTGTTGCCTACCAACTTCAGATATTTGAGGTTGATTATATTGCCTAGTTGCTTCCAAACTTTCCTCAATAGCTTGTTGTAAATGACGTTCATAAGTAGGGGTTTTAGAGGATTCCCCATCAATAAAGCGTTCAATTAAACAATAATATTCGTCTCCGTCTTCAATGTCTCTGGTCCATACATCTCTTGCTAGAAAATAAAAAAAAGTGAATGAATTCTGTATTTACAAAGGCTACAAAACACACTTTCGGTCTGCCACTTGTGAGGGTGACTTGGATCTTAAGGGGAGCACCAAGATTTAATGGGCTTGTTTTAGACCTGACATTGCGTAGAATATTAAAAATGAGTGTTTGTTCACATTATTTTCTCACAATAACGGGGTTTCCGTGTTTTTTGGTTATTAAATAGATTTTTAGTCATTTAATTCTAAAGGAATACACCCATCATCAATAAATAAAAATTCTCTCCCAAAAAACTCACATCCAAAATCTTGACCATGCCTAACATATTCAATTTCATCAAATCTATTAAAAAGCATATTCCCAGCCATTTTGTATATCTGATAACCGTCAGGAATTTGGAAAAGTGAGTCCTTTAGTCGGAATTCTGGACAATCGTCCTCATTAGCTGATTGATCGATATCTTCAGTTTCTGGTTCATTGATATTGTGAAAAGTGATTTGAGCGTTAATCAAGTGAAAAATCTAAAGAAAAAATTATACATTTGTCCCCGCGTGTCTCTGGGAAAGAAAGGAAATTTCTGAAAAAATAACCACAAACACTTCATTTGCTTAAAAGTAAAAATAATTTATTTCAAAAAATTTACAGGAATTTTAATTCTAATAGGAAATCCAGCAGGCATTTGTAGTTCAATAAATCGTTTCAAACGCAAAAATTTTGCGTTGCGAACAGCCAACTAAAAAATAAATACAAAATTTGTTAAAAGTTAAGAATGTGTCCCCTTTTTCTTATTTTTTCCGGAGGTATGGTAGTTCCAAAACTCCCAACTGGGTACAAAACGCCTAACCGGTTTTAACTTTACCCAAAATTTTTAAAATTAATTTAAAAGAAAAAACCAAGTCAATAACATTAAATATTTGTTCTCTCAAATTCAAAGGAAAACTTTCTGAAAGCCATAAACTTGCATTAAATGAATTTGATTTAAAATGTTCATCTCTAGATATTCCTTTAAAATTATTTTTGAAAAATTAAAAATTTAAAAGAAACCAATATTTGCCTTTCCATTTTCTGAAGGTTTTGTTAGATACTCAACAACATTTAATCCATTGTAAACATCAGTTTGGTTTGGACTTCCATTTACATCAACTTTACGTTTTTCAAAAAGACTTAATAGAAGGGCGACTGATTTGTTTGGATTCTTTAAAAATAAAACGGATTAAAATGACAGGTAAGATTTCAATAGAAATTTTTTAACAAATCCATATATTCACAGAGCCTAGTGAAACGCTTATAAATAAACACAAAATTCTAGATTGGAGCTATTTTTATAATTTTTATGCTCGATGAGAGTTAACAAAATTGTTTAGATCCGACTCTAAAAACAAAAGCTATAATCACTGCGGTAGACCGGGATGCGATAAATCGGGATTAATAAAACAAATAAATTTTTACGCAAACCTCTTTCATCGATAATTCCTTCTCCTCTTCTGATAAATGACAAAAACATGTTTTTGTAACAACCTCAACATTAGAAGCAGAAAAAACTCGACAAGTATAACCTTCAACTTCTTCCTCTTTATCACTAGAACCAATCCAAGAAAATAAACGAGAATTCTTTTTAGAAGGTTCAAAGCCAATATTATCGACATCAACATAAGTTACAGTTATTGGAGATTTTAATTTTTCTTCTACGGCAGCAGTTGAAGAAATAAATTTATCAATTTCTGGCAAAGAAGACAAATCGAAATTTTGCGAATAAGCCTAAAATATTGATATTTTAATGAACTTGTATGGATTGGTATGTTTTTATTTTAATGTTTTGTTTGAGAACTGGACTTTTTATAGTAAAAGGAAAACACAAGATTTTATTTTAAAAAATGGGCTTGCTAATCGTAATAGAAAATGGAAACTCAAATTAGTACAGAAATCCACTCAGTAAATAATCACAATCAAAAAGTATTGCGGTTTGCTTGCATATAAACTATGCTTATTTTTCATGTATAGATGGTTGACCCATCTAACGGACAAACAAGAAATATAGAAAAAAAAAACATAGCAAAATAATTTATGTACCAATTTTTAATTTAAAATCTTTTTACTATTTTCTCGTCCCTGTCAATAAATAATATTTCAGCAGATTCAGAATCTCCGAATCGAAAAATGAAAGATTGATTTCCTCTTGTTTTATTTAGAGTTTGATCATTCGATATTTCGAGAAGATTTGCATCAATTCTAATGCTATTTCCGTGTTTGTAAATCTGCAAAAGAAAAATTAGAAAATAAAAATTATTTAAAAAATTTACTTTATAAGTATCAGAAGGACACATATTCTTAACAAAGGGAAGCCATGAAGCGAACTCCCAAGTCCTTAATAGGACTAATTTTGACAAAAATATAAATTAGAGACTTACATCTCAACATAAAAGTCAGAGGAATCCTTTAAAAATAAAAATTCATTAATCATCTAAAGAAAGTTGGTAATTCGTTCGTGCCATTTATCATGGTAACTTAGATTTGTTAATATTGTATGGTTACAGGGCCTTAAGCAGCAGAATCTTTGACCATTCGTTAATTTACTGGTCTTTTTAGTCTATACATATGGGTTTCTTTGAATTTTAAAAATTTCAAATCAAAAAGCCACAGAAAGTTATCAAAGATCCTAGCTCTAGCTTTCAAAACTAAATAAAAAGCAATCCAAAAGTAACCAAAAATAAGAAATGACAAAATTGAATTATCCATTACTAAAAATTTAAAAAACCTCTTACCTTAAAACTATTACGTATTTGCTTCAAAATTCGACTAGTTTCAAGATACCGTTCATAATCACGAGCAGCAAGAACTTTCTGAAGAAAATTAACGTTTTTTAACAAAATTGCTTCGTGTGACAAATTCCACATTTCTGAAAAATTTATTTTAATTATTAAAAATTTTCTCATAAAATTTATACGCTTATTTTGTGTATTTGCCTCTGCTCCATTGTCTAAAAGTAATTCTGCACATTCAATATGTCCAAGCATTGTTGCAAGCATTAAAGGAGTCCGTCCATGAATATCTAATTTATTAATATATTCTTTTAAATCTAATTTTGATTTTAATGCTTCAATGTCATTATTAAAAATTAAATAATGAAGAGGATAAAGCTGAAATAATCTTTCATTTTCGTCTTCAACAGATGTTGATGTCATAACAAAATCTAAAAATGTTAAGAAAGTTAAGTGTTTAAGAATGCGTAATGGGATGGACCCAGTCTAATGTAAGTGCGGATTTAGTCTAAAATCCTGCACTTTTTCATTTAAGGGATTAAAAAATATGATTTTGCTGACGAAGAGATGAAATTTGAAACTCAAATCAATACTCAAGTAGACATAAATTTAAAAACTACTTTCAAATAATTCCGCAGCGAAATTCTGGATTTTTTCTATCAATTCTTACTGTAATTCGAAGAGCTAAAATTTTCTTGATCATTTCATTTTTTGTAAGAATTTTTAGGTTAACTAGCGCTTTAAATTGATAAAATTTATCTTAATTTGTTTCGAATAATTGTAATTTATTATTCTCGATTTTTTAGTTTAATTGTTTGTTTACCCAATATTTATTTTGAGCATTAATGGCTTCGCGGACTTTTGCAAGGATCGCAAGCAAACTTCGGTATATTGGTCACCGATCTTCAAATACGATTTTAGCAGGTTTTTAAACATTATTTTTATCCAAATTTACTAAAAATTTATTCTAAGCTCGAAATCATCACTGCGGTATTGTTAGGCCTCTTCATTCTTCAGCACGTAATTTAGCGGCTGCTGCAACTGCTGAAAAACCAGCAACTCCAACACTGACTACTAAAGGATCCAAAGGACGAATTGTAGCTGTAATTGGTGCTGTTGTGGACGTTCAATTTGATGAAGGGTTGCCACCAATTTTGAATTCTTTGGAAGTTCAGGGTCGAAAAGGATCTAAATTAATTTTAGAAGTTTCACAGCATTTGGGTATTTTTTAAAATTCTTTCATTAATTACTCGTAACTTTTTAAGGTGACAATGTTGTTCGTACCATTGCTATGGACGGGACAGAAGGACTCATTCGAGGGCAAGAAGTTATCGATACTGGTGATCCTATTAAGATTCCTGTTGGACCTGAAACTCTTGGTCGTATTATGAATGTTATTGGTGAGCCAATCGATGAGCGAGGTCCTATCGCTGCAAAGAACTTTGCTCCTATTCATGCTGAGGCTCCCGAATTTGTGGAAATGAACGTTGAACAGGAGATTTTGGTGACTGGCATTAAAGTTGTTGATCTTCTTGCTCCTTATTCCAAAGGAGGAAAAATTGGTCTAATTTACTTGTTCATTTCTTATGTTTTAATTTTTAAATATTTAGGACTTTTTGGTGGTGCTGGTGTCGGAAAAACTGTGCTTATTATGGAACTGATTAACAACGTTGCTAAGGCTCATGGTGGATTTTCTGTCTTTGCTGGTGTTGGAGAGAGAACTCGTGAGGGAAACGATCTTTATCACGAAATGATCGAGGGCGGTGTTATTGATTTGAAGGGAAACAATTCGAAGGTGTCGCTTGTATATGGACAAATGAACGAACCTCCAGGTTTTCTTTTTTTAACTAACAGAAGAGCTATACCGCTTATTTCTTAAGGTGCTCGCGCTCGTGTTTGTTTAACTGGTTTGACTGTTGCCGAGTATTTCCGTGACAAGGAGGGACAAGACGTGTTGCTTTTCATCGACAATATTTTCCGATTCACTCAAGCTGGTTCTGAGGTCTCGGCTTTGCTTGGACGTATTCCTTCTGCTGTTGGTTATCAACCTACTTTGGCTACCGACATGGGGAGTATGCAGGAGCGAATTACAACAACTAAAAAGGGTTCAATTACTTCTGTGCAAGCTATTTATGTCCCTGCTGATGACTTGACTGACCCTGCACCTGCAACAACCTTTGCTCACTTGGATGCTACAACTGTACTTTCTCGTGGTATTGCTGAATTGGGAATTTATCCGGCTGTTGACCCGTTGGACTCTACTTCGCGAATTATGGATCCTAATATTGTTGGAAATCGTCATTATGGTTAATTTTTGATTATTTGAATATTTTTAAATTTTATCCATTAGATGTTGCTCGTGGTGTTCAAAAAATTCTGCAAGACTACAAATCGCTTCAAGATATTATTGCCATCCTTGGGATGGATGAACTCTCCGAGGACGATAAATTGACTGTCTCGCGTGCTCGAAAGATTCAACGTTACCTTTCGCAGCCCTTCCAAGTTGCTGAAGTCTTTACTGGACATAAGGGTAAATTCGTCAGTCTTGAACAGACTATTGATGGATTTGAGAAGATTTTGAGAGGTTTTTTAAATTTTATTTATTTTAATTAAAACAAATTTTTAGGAGAGATGGATCACATCCCAGAGGTGGCATTTTATATGCAGGGAGATATAGATGATGTCCACAAAAAGGCAGAGGAACTGGCCAAGCAATAGAGAATAGATTTGTTAAATAAAATTTTGAAAAAAGAGGATAGGTTGAATTCCTCCAAAAAATATAGATTTAATTAAAAATTGTTTTTTGTTTGTTTTTATTATAAATTGTGTGTCTTTTTTCGTTAACTTTTTTGTTGACAAAATTTTTCATGCTCAAGTTTGAGATTTGAATTTTGTCTTTAGCTAATTTAGTATGTTTTTTTGAATATTCTTTTGCTTCAATCACTAATATAAGATTAAGCGATCGAAAGTATTGTAATAATGGCTAGTTGCATTTTACTAGGCCAAGTTTAGTTGTAAGCTTTTACGGAATAAGCAGAGGATGATTGGGGGGAGGATAATTATTTTGACAATTCACGTTTTCGAGATAAGGGCCTAAGTACACTTTACCGGGCGATTTTAGATTTTTATGATTTATATGTCAATCGAAAGAGCTCGGCGAGCTGAGTCAAATGACACCAAAATTAGCCCGCGGACTCAACTATGGACCGAGATATGGGTCCCCAAAAATCGAAAAACCATAGGGGGGACCAAGCTCTTTTTTGGGGGTAAAAAATTCGAATATGCAAATAATAGCTCATTCGAAAGAGCTCCTCGAGCTGAGTCGAATGACACCGAAATCACCGTGATTGAACAAGAATTGACAAAGTTACAACAAAAAAACAGAATCTAAACCTATGGAGCGTCGGCGAGGCGCTTGTGCAAAACCCCGCGCTTCGCGCGGGGTTTTGCGGCACGCGCCTCGCGGGGAGTCTACGGGCGCTGAGTCTGGGCTCGTAACATAAACCTATTCCTATCTCCCTTGCTCTGGACGTATTTGGGGCCTCCGTAGCAGCAAGAATCTTCACAGATGCCATAGGTAAGGAGCTAAAATAAAAGATCATAACTTTGTCCAATCAAGTCAGATTTCGTTGATTTTGGTGTCATTTGACTCAGCTCGACGAGCTCTTTCGAATGAGGTATAATTTGCATATTCGAATTTTTTACCCCCAAAAAAGAGCTTGGTCCCCCCTATGGTTTTTCGATTTTTGGGGACCCATATCTCGGTTCATAGTTGAGTCCGCGGGATAATTTTGGTGTCATTCGACTCAGCTCGTCGAGCTCTTTCGATTGACATATAAATCATAAAAATCTAAAATCGCCCGGTAAAGTGTACTTTAGCCGAGATAAGTATCGAAAAAAACATTAACTCGCAAAAATTTTCCCTTCTGTATGAAATGAAAATATTTTCACTGTGGACGAAGTGTAAAGATTTGAATTATTTGGCGAAGTATCGATTCGCCAAAGTTACCAAATTGAAGACCTTTCATTTGTTTTCTTATTATTTAAATGAAATTATTTTCATTTTTTTAAAACTCCGTTCAATAATGTTTAGTTCAAAAATCTTTTTATTATTTTCTAGTTATTCAATTGATTTTAATTTCTATTTTTGAAATGTTCAACATTTTAAAGAAAATTGCCCAAACTAAATTTCTTCCAAAAGTCTTCAATTCTTTTGCCATGGCTTACGATGTCAATATGCTCGTTCGGTATAGTTTAGATTTTAAAAAATTTTTAATTAAAATTATTTAGCCCGAACGTCCTTGGTGGTCTTGCTGGTCTTTCTACAAAGAACAATTTTTTGCTTTTTGCCGATGCAAATCCAACACCAGCGTCGAATGGGGGCACTTCTGTTCGATACGGCTATCCTTATTTGGACAAGGTTGTTTAGTTTTGAACTTTGAACGTCTTTATGGTAATATTCTATTTAATTTTTAGGGACACACTCCTGTAGTTCAATGGGCGCCGGTCATCTCTGCTTGGTCTTCTTTAGTTGGCATCGTGGTTTGCTGTTTGGTTGTTTTTTTGTCGGCTGCTATCTTCTTTTTAAAAACAATGGATAAGATCGCTAACCAGCAGGACGAAATGAAGTACGATATGAAGGAGGGCATGAAGAAGATTGATAATATTGAGAAAATGCTGAAAACGAAATTATAAATGACTATAGAAATTGCATTTTCTTATTTAGATAAATAGATTTGTTGTTTCCAATTTTGGATTAATCCATTTTTAGGGTTCTAAAGTTCTGCTTTGATTTGACTTAGGCCTTTCTTAGTTATCATTCAACTTGCACAAATTAGATTGAGTCCTTTCTCTTCTTTGTTTACTCCACCAGTTGAGGCATTTTCAAATATTTATTTGGATGCTTACTCCTCTTTCCTTTGCGTAGGAAAAGGTCAAGAATACGTACCACTCACCAATATGGACAAATCATATGTCATTTGAAAGAGCTCAATGAGAGGAGTCGAATGACACTAAAATCAATGGGCGGTCTCAACTCTGAGCTGAGATACAGGGGTTCAAAACGGTCAAAAATATCTATGAAATACTAGTAAAAATTATATTATACAAATGATAGCTCATTTGAAAGAGCTCCTCGAGCTGAGTCGAATGACACCAAAATCAGCTCGAAATCTTAATTTTGAGACGAGATAAACAGGCTCAAAATGGTCAACATAAACTTATGGAGCGTAGGCGAGGCGCTTGTGCAAAACCCCGCGCTGCGCGCGGGGTTTTGCGGCACGCGCCTCGCGGGGAGTCTACGGGCGCTGGATCTGGGCCCGTAACATAATCCTATTCCTGTCATCGATGAGGTGGGCATGCCCGGCTTCCTTCGCAGCAACAAAAATCTCCACGGAGATCATATGTAAGGAGCCAAAACAAACGGTCATAACTTTGTCAAATCAAGTCAAATTTCGTTGATCTTGGTGTCATTCGACTCAACTCGACGCGCTCTTACGAATGAGCTATTATTTGCATATTCGAAATTTTCACTTCAAAATTGAGCTTACTCCCCCCTATGGTTTTTCGATTTTCGGGGGCCTATATCTCAGCTCAGAGTTGAGACCGCCCGTTGATTTTGATGTCATTCGACTCCTCTCGCCGAGCTCTTTCAAATGACATATAATTCGTCCAGATTGGTGAGTGGTACGTATTCTTGACTTTTACCTTTGCGTATTTCGTCGTTTTATTCATTTCATCTCGTTTTTTGACTTGAGATTAGTGTTAGTTTATCTGGATTAGAGGTCGGCAAAATCGCACTTTCGGGATCCCGAGTCGGGATTTTTTTTCTTAACCGATGCCGGGACGGGATCCCGAGGGATAAATCCCGAAAAAATCCCGGATTCCGAACGATCCCGAAAATCAAAAAAATCCGGGATTTCGGGAGCGGGATCCCGGAAAATCCCGTCGGGATCCCGTCCCGCGCCGACCTCTAATCTGGATTTTGCTAGGAAAGGATGAGACTCAAGTCTGCCGTATTCATCATTGATCGATAAAAATAACATTTTCTTTTTATTTTTCACTCCCCCAAACATACAAATTTTTTTATAAATTTAAGGGAAATGAATTATGAAGAGTCAGATTTTGGCATAGAATATCCTTTTGAGGAAACTGGTGGATCTGGTGATGAAAATAGAATTAGAGGAAATTGGTCTTTAAAATTGGATTATTTATTCTCAATTTTTGGATATACTTTTGCATTAGGAAATTTATGGCGGTTTCCTTATCATTTTGGAATTAATGGAGGGTATTTTTTCTTTTATTAAAAAAAAGATTTTTTAATTTATTTTAGAATCGCTTATTTAATTCCTTACACAATTTTATTTTTTGTTGCCGCTCTTCCAATTCTTTTTATGGTTATTTAACATTTTATAAGTTTAAATTATTTTACATAATTTCAGGAGATTTCGCTGGGACAATTTGTCAGTTTGGGACCAGCTTCTGTTTGGAAATTGGCACCTCTTTTTAAAGGTTTTTAGGAACTTATTTACTTTAACTACTCACCCCAAAATTTTCCCGTATGTATTTTGTATATGGACAATTTATATATCATTCGATAGAGCTCGACGAGCTGAATCGAATGACACCAAAATAAGCCCACGGTCTCAAGTCTGAGTTGAGACAAATGGGCTCAAAATGGTCAAAGCAAACCTTGTCAAAACCCTGCGTTTCTCGATTGGTTTGGCAGCACCCGTTTCGCGGGGAGTTAACGGTCACTGAGTTCCACACCAGTAACATAAACCTATACCTTTTTGCCGATTTTCAGCCTTGAAATGCGAACCTACCCCTAGCTGCACAAAAGCAGTTATTCGAGCGAAAATTCAGTTGCTCGTAATTTTTTTCAAAATCATCAAATCAAGCTGATTTTGTTACCATTCGCTTCAGCTCGTTGAGCTTTTTCGATTGACGTATATATTGTCCAAATCTTACGAAAAATCCCTCGGTATAATTTTGGGGTGGGTAGTTAAAGTAAATAAGTTCCGGTTTTTATTTCTTGATTTATTGATCCATATTTTCTTATGCCCTGTATTTGAATTCAGGCTTTGCTTTCCCAGGATCCAGACATAATTTTTAGGTGCTCGATTTTTCCTTTACCATAATTTTTCTTTGATTCAAGATCAAAAATTTTTTCAAATTGTCTTGAATTCAAATATAAGGAATTTTAGTCTTTTTAATTTTCTGGCATTTTTCCATGACACATTCTTTTCAATCATTTAATCCTTTTTTAGGTATTGGAATTTCTATGCTTTTTGTCTCTACTTTAATTGCTATTTATTACAATTTAATTACTGCCTGGGCATTATATTATACGATTAATTCGCTTAAATTTTCTTTACCTTGGACAACATGTGGAAATGAATGGAATAGTGAAAGTATTTTTTAAAAATTTTTTAAAGTTAATTTTTTCTTTTAAAGATTGTTCTGTTTGGAATAAGGTGTCAATTAATGCTTGTCGACATTTAAACGGCTCTTTTCTTTCAAATGGAACTTGTGTTGATTTTAATAATAGTGATCCTAGCAATAATAGTTCAATTCTTGTTTTGGATTCAAATAACAAAACTATGACGGGAATTGAATATTTTCAGTTAAAAAATTTTTTTTGTATTTTTTATTTCAATTTTTAAGCAATCAAGTTTTGATGATCTCCTCGGGAATTCTTGATTTTGAAACGATTAATTGGCAATTGGCTATGTTAGTAATTTTATTTGTTTTTAAATGTTCTTGTATTTTTTCTCTAAATAGCTTTAAAATTTTAATTGAATTCTTTTTTTTAGTTGTTTACTCGTTGCCTGGTTATTTGTCTTTTTATGCTCTTTTAAGGGAATAAAAACAAGTGGAAAGGTTTTTTTAATTTAGAAATTTTATTTTTAACTTTTCTTTATTAGGCAGTTTATGTCACAGTTTTATTCCCCTATATTATTCTGATTGTTCTACTCATTCGTTTCTTTACGCTTCCTGGCTCTTTTAATGGATTTTTGTTTTTTATGAAGCCAAATATTGAAATTATTAGAGATTTAAAAGTTTGGGCTAATGCTGCTATTCAAGTGTTTTATTCACTTTCAACATGCACTGGAGGGTTAATTACTTTGTCTAGTTATAATAAATTTCACAATAATGTGTTTGCTGATATTTGGGTAATTTTGTAAATTTTTTGATTGTCCACGCCTACATCCAAAATTAAAGCTATGTTCCTTTTGAGGATTTATTTTTTTTAAATAAAATGTCAATTTTTAAGCTAATCAGTTTGTTCGACTTTCTTGCTTCTATTTTAATGTCTTCTCTATTATTTGCTGCTGTTGGCTTTGTTTGTCATGAAAGGGATATTGAACTAACTAAATTTCAACTTCAAGAGGGTCTTCAAATGATTTTTGTTTTTTTCTCGGATACTCTTTCTAAAGTCCCTGTTGCTCAAATTTATTCTCTTTTCTTTTTTACAATGGTTGCTTTAGTTATTTTTAATACAGAGGTTTTTTTTTAATTTATTTTGTTTATATTTTTCTATTTTTTAGTTATTTGTTGTTGAGACAATAGTAGGAATTTTTAGTTTAATTTTTTAAACTTTATTATAAAGGTCTCTTCAATTTGTGATTTGTTTCCTGAACGTTTAAGGTATTCTTATATTTAAAAATTTTTATAGGTAAATAAAAAAGGTCGGAGGATGTAGGGTGTCATTACTCCCGGAGAATCATTTGGTACAGCACGCTTAAATGTGGTTAACGAGACGATTTGCAATAACATTACATTAGAATGTTTCAGGTTCGATCCCTGTCTTTTAAATAAACTTTCGCACAATTTCGGAAGTGTATCTAAAAAATAATGGCTTAACCAAACAAATAAATACTTTTTTCATTCTACATCAGAGGCTTCAAAACCCAGAGGCTTCAAAAAATCAAATATTAATTAGGAATATTGTTATAAATTAATTTTCTAGGCGAAGTCACAGACATGTGCTTACATTTACAATTTTTACTTTTTTCGTTTTGGGTATTCCACTTTGTTCTGCCGTAATTTTTCTTTAATATTTTAAAATCATTTTTCATTAATTTATTTAGGCAGGTATTTATTGGATTATTTTATTTGAACATTTTGGTGTTACCTGGCCTTTAATTATTATTGGATTTTTTGAAGTTATGACTGTTTGTTGGATTTATGGTTTTTCTTTTAAATTTTTATAAAAAATATTGTAAATTATTTTTTAAAGGTGTTGACAATTTTTTGGATAATGTTAAATGGATGGTTAGGGTTTTTTGAATATCTTTTACGGACGACTTTTTTGTGGGCAATTTTCGACAAATTATCATTCAAATACCCAAAAAAAATTCCTTCGAAAATACTTTTTTTGGGCAGGTTAAACATATTAAATTGACACATTAATTGAAAATCTAGTTAAAAAATTTGAATTAGATTTTGTACTTGATTATTTAATAATTGTATATTCCCTATTTTTTCAATTCTTTATTTAATTAGGGTTTTTATATATAAATTCAATTATTTCTTAAGATATTTTGTGTAAATTGACCGCAAAAATCTATCACAAAAATTTCTTGGATTTAAAATAATTTTTATTTTTAGATTGGATTTTACCCTCCATTTTATTTGGCTTGGAAAATTCTTTGGAAATTTATTTGTCCCTTTATATTATTGGTAAAATAATTTTTAAATTTGAGAAAATTTTTCTTTTAAAGTTACTTCTTTCATTGATTTGGACTAATAATTATTCAATTGAATATAACTTTTTTGTTTTTCCTCAATGGTCAATAATTCTTGGTTGGACAATTTCTTTATCTCCAGTATTTATTATATTTACAACAATTTTCTTTTATTTTATACAAAGTAGTGGATCTTTTTCTCAGGTTTTTCTAATTTGAGAAAATTTAAATGGGATTTTTAATGTCATGCATACTGTTTGGATTTCTTAAACTTTATATTTGCTCTTAATTTTTTTAAATTTTTAACCGTCTTTTTTTAAATTTTACCGATTAGATTTTATGCATTTTTATGAAATGTAGAAGTACATCTAATTACCTAGTATTAAAAACGCATAGGTTTGGGTGTTGGATCTATAACGATAAAGTGAGCGAACGTAAGCGTTTCGCGAGAAATCGTAAGGTTCAATTTCTACTTAAATATTTTTCAATTTTTACTTCTTTTCATACATTTTTGCATCTTATTTATTTTAATATTTTTTGTAATCAATTTTTAGCGAATTCGTGAACTTTTGTGTCCAGCTGATGATTGGGGTCCAGCATTAGCTATTCACAGGGCTGAACTTTATCCATTACAAATTCCTGAAGCCAGAAAATTAATGATACCTCCATCTAGCAAAATTTATAAAAATGTTGGAGTATGTTTTTTTTATTTATTTTTAATTTTTTCAAAAATATTTTTAAGAATAATGGTTCTCTGGAGCAGTTTATTGACCGTTATAATAAACCTTTTGGTACAGGGATATATCCACAACATGAAGATTTTGACAGAATTATTTCTAAAAAATCATTTCCTGAAGAAAAGGAAACAATAATTTAGAAAAAGGAAAGAAAAGGGGATTTTTTTAATTTTTAAATGCTCAAAATTAGGACACAAAATAATATTTAATTTAATTATTATTCGATAGTAGGACAATTTACAGAAAAAATTTTTGGAATGAATTTTCGGAGATAGGTTGAAAATTTAAAACAAATTGATTTTCGAAATATTTTTAAAATTTTTTTAAATTCTAATTGTAAGTAATATTCCAACGTTTTCTGAAGAAAATTTTCTTTTTTTTTTTTTGAAAGTAAATTGTCCTGTCTTGCCTTATTCATTTTTTGCAACTTTAAAAAATTTTTCGATATTAATTAAACATCGATTTTGTAATTTTTTCCAATATATAATTCTCATCCCAGAAATAGCCTTTAACCTCAAGAATGTTTAAAAAACTTAAATTTAATAAATATAATTTTAAAAGAATTTTGTTTTATTAATTTTGTAAAATTTTTTATTTTATAAATACTTTTTTTGATTTTTTAATAAAGGTTTTATTAATCTCGGACAGATTTTTTGCATTTTATCTAATTAAATTGATATATTAATGGAGGAATTTAACAAGGATTATGGGACTTTTATTTCTGATTTTGAAAAGGCTGAGGTTTGTTTTTTAAATAGCTTAATTTTTGATTATATTTTTGCGGACATTTTTCGTAGTCGAGACGGTCAAATTATTTTCTTAATTTGACTGATATGAGCATTTTCGAAAAATTATTGGAAGTAAGCTAGTTAACGTAAAAATGTCTAGAGAGATTGTTTTATACTATCCATCGATGCTCATCGATTTGGATAAAAACATACAAAATTGACTTGATCTGATAAATATGATGATTTTTTTTTCGTTTTTTAGCAAGAACAATTAGAATATCTTCGACTTTATAAGCAAATGACTCAAAGCCAAGAAAATTGCGTCAAAAATCAAAAACATCTTTCCTATCTTTTTAAGCAACTGCGGAAAGACTTTAAAAGGTTTTTTTGTTATTTTTATTTTAAAAATGGTTATTTAATTTAGTTTACAAGAATCTAATTTGAATGAAGAGGAGAAAAAAATTTTGACTGAAAAGAGGGCGAGTATCGACCAATTTACTTCAAAATTAGCTGAAATGCAGAGGGAACTTCCGATACGGGAGAATGGGTATTTTTAAGTTTATTTGATATATTTACATTGTCTGTTTGTAATAAAAATATAACGTCCGTTTTCGATATCCAATTCTGAATCTCTCTTGAAAGTAAAAATATTTAACACGGAAGTTCTGTTCAATTTTTTTAATTTTTTGTATAATTAATTTTTTTGTTCAGTTATTTAAAAAAATTATTTTTAAAATTACCAAAACAAAAAAAAATTTAAATTTTAGTTTCTACCTTTCAACTATCCTTGGCAGCAATTTAAACATTTCTCTTTTAAATTCTGATGAAAGGTACAAATACAAAAAGGAATACGAATCTTTCAAATTATCTGTTACTTTTGTGGTAAATTTTTTTAAACTAAATTTAAAATTGTATTTAATATTTTAGATTCTTGCCATTTTTGTTTTGGCTTATATTCTGCCGCCGTTTAGGATAATTGATGCACTCTGTAATTTTCTCCTTGTTTGGTATTATTGCACTTTAGTTAGTTGATATTTTTTAAATTTTTTGTGATTATTTAATTGAGAATTATATTCTGGTACAATTTTCCTATGAAATTTCATTTTTTTTTAATTGGTCGCTATTATCAGAATATCCGCAAAAATAAATGTAAAACAAATTCAAAAATTATTTAACCTTTTGAAATAATTTGGATGTTACATATTTATTAAATTAATGCTCCCTTAAATATTCTTTTTATTTTAAATTTATTTTTTTAGACCATCCGTGAATCAATTCTTCGTCTAAATGGATCTCGTATTAAAGGTTGGTGGGTAAGTTTCTATTTTTAAATATCTAAATTTTAAAATTATTTTTTAAAAAGGTTTTGCATCATTACATTTCTTGTGTACTTTGTGGAATTACTTTAACTTGGAGAGATGGAGATTGTTATGATCAATTTAGACATGTTTTTATTTATTTTGTTTGTTATATTGGCTCTGTCCAAATAATTCAGTTTGTTTTTTTTAATTTTTTTAAAAATTGTAAATATGACATTCAAAATCAAAATTTCGCTTTTGCTTGTTCCCTATTATACAATTTATAATAAATATTAAAAATATTTTTTCTAGATATAAATACCAGACTGGCTGTTTGCGACGATTACGTAAGTTTATATATTAAATTATAATGAGAGGGGAGGGGGGGGAGGGATGGATGGATGGATGGATGGATGATTAGATTATTTTAAGGAATTTTATTTTTTTTAATTTAGATTTTATCCTTTTTGTGATTTGTATTTTTTCAATTAAAAAGGAAATAGGCTTTTTTGTTTTCTCATTCAACTGAAAAAATATAAAATACATCTTGATTAATAAAAACTTATTTTTCCAATCTTAAATTTTCTTAAATTAAATTTTCTTAATTTCTTAAATATATTGTCCCAAAATTTTAGATGCTTTGGGACAACGTCACTGTATGGATGTAACTTTAGAAGGTTTTAATAAAATAATTATTTTTTATATTTATATTTTTAGGATTTAGTAGTTGGATGTTTAAAGGATTGGTAATTTATAAAAAAAATTTTTTTGAATAATTTTTTAAAAATATTTTTAGACTTTCCTTCTACCTTTTTTAATTGTTGGATATGTTTGTTTTTTTATTTTTTAAAATATTTCAAAAAAAAATTTTTAAGGCTTTCCAAGGCTATTGTTCATACAGACTTTTTGACATTTATTTACATAAAGATTGTTCTCGTGAATGGCAAGTAATTGTTTTGGCTATTATGTTTGCAATTATTTTTATTGGAAATTCTGTTACTTTGGGTTAGTTTTTTTTGTTATATAATTTTTTTTTAAATATGATCCTTCTTAATTAAAAGGGGATAGGTTTATCTGGATGGGTTTTTTATTTTTTGTTTCCACTGTTCGTAAAAAATAACGTTATAATTTTCTGAACCCAAGTATTTTTAATTTAAATTTCAAGTAATGAGAAAAGCAGTTTCTTCCATTCAAGATACTTTCCAAAAATTATACATATTTTCAGGCCTAGTCATTATAAAGAAATATGCCAAATCGGACCTTTCAAAGCTTCCAAACAAATATCGAGATAAAACGTTATAAAGAGTTTTAAACTTTTAAAAAAGAAGTATAATTAATGCGTGCTTATATATTTAAATATATATTTTTTAAAAATAATTCATAGACTATATTTGACTTTTATATGTTTAAAAATTGAATTTTGTATAAATAAAATTAAAAAAAAAAATTTTTAATATTTTTTGTCTTATTATTTATTTGATTGAATATTTTTAAATTTATTTTTAAAATCCTTAAAAATATTTTTTGTTATTTTAAAAATGAATTCTTTATTTAAAAAACAACAGAAGAACTTTATTACATTTTTAATCAATTATTGTCAAAATGGAGTTAAACTTTGGAATTACAAAAGTAAGAATGGATTTTTTAATATAAAATTAATTGAGAGAAGAATTTGTGTTTTAATTTTTTAACTGTTTGTTGTAAATTCGGAAAAGAACTGAGGAGTCAAATTATTTTTCGGTTCGATTTCATATATTCGGAAGTTTCTTTGAATCTTAATTTTTCATATTCTCCTTTGAAAAAAAACTTGTGTAACTGAATCACCAAAAATGAATTTGATATTTTTACCACGGAGATAATATTTTGGCTCTATCTTAGGACATGCGTCCCATGAAAGTTTATGAGTCCCATGGAGGTTTATGCGTCCCAAAAATAGTATATGCGTCCACGGCCCAAGAATTTATATGCGTCCTAAAATTAATATAAGCGAAAGAGAATTTTGTAAACTTTTTTTAATTGATTAATGAAATTTAAATATTTTATTATGTATCGATGAAGGTTGTCTAAACCTGCTGAATGTTGTTTAATCCACCTTTGCTGAAGGTTATTTAAACCCCCATATGCTGCCCAGCCATCGCTAATCCAGGTTCAACATTTTCAGCATTTACATATTGTAAATGTTCTAATAATGGTCCATCTGTATTAAAATCAATCAAGAAGGACCTTTTGAAAAATATAAACCAAGGCCTCATTTTAAGTAAATTTGTAAAACGTAATTGTAAATTACCAGCAAAATTATTAACTCCAAGTTCAAGGACTAATATTTAATTGTCATTAATAAAATTAAAAAATGTTTTCGCAATTGTTTTACGCTTATATTAATTTTGGGACGCATATTTTGAAGGGACGCTTATACTATTTTTGGGACGCATATACTTTCATGGGACGCATAAACCTCCATGGGACGCATAAACTTTCATGGGACGCATAAAAGTTCATGGGACGCATGTCCTAAGATAGAGCCAATATTTGACCTCTACATTTATTTTGGACAAGTCCCAGCTCCTTAGCCTGAAAATAGCGAGGAAATAAAATATTGGGCCTCACAACAATTTTCAAAAAATGTTTCTTTTAAAAAATCATTTCTTTAGATCAATTTTATTCTACTCGAATAAGAACTAAAAATACTTCAAATTTTGATTATTTCAACACAAAATATTATCAAAGGTCAAAATTTAATTATTTTTTATTTGCTGCTTTTGGAGGAGGGATTTTTGGAATATTTAATTTCAATGATTATTTTCCCTTCAAAAAGTGTCTTTTGAAAGAAAATTTAAAGGAAAATCTTAAACCTCCAGAAAGGAAAGATTTGCCAATATTTACTTTTGATGAGGTTAAACAACACGGAAAAGATGCTAATCGAATTTGGGTTACTTACAAACAAGTTTTTTTAAAATTTTAGATTAATTTTTTTTATTTCTTTAAAAGGGTGTTTATGACATTACTGACTTTATTCAGTCCCATCCTGGAGGTGATAAAATACTTTTGGCTGCAGGAAATTCAATTGTAATTCTTTTTTAAAAATTTTGTTTTAAACAATTAAATTTATGGGAGCCATATTGGCTAATTTATGCCCAACACAAAACTGATGAAGTTTTGGAATTACTTGAAGAATTGAGGATTGGGAGTTTATCTAAAGATGAATTGAAGGATTCTGAATTGGGAAAGGTTTGATTAAAATTAAAATTTAATAGAATATTTTTGATAGATTGTTTAATTTAAAATATTATAATTTTGACTCTGGTCCAGTTTTTGATTATTTAAGGATAGTAGATTTCTCAAAAAATATGGTGACGCTATAAATCTTCGTTGGACCGTACCATTTGATTATATTTTCAGTATTCTAGAGAGCTTGATTAAATTTTCATTGTTTTTAGTCTTCACCCAATGATCCTTTTGGAATTGACCCTCCACGACATCCAGCACTTTTAATTTATTCTCAAAAACCTTTCAATGCAGAAACTCCATCTCAATTGCTTGTTGACAATTTTAAGACTCCGAATGATCTTTTCTTTGTTCGTAATCATATGCCTGTTCCTAATGTATTTAATTTGGGAAATTTTGGGAAAATTATTTTTTAAATTTAGTTGGATGAAAGAAAACATTTTTTAGAAGTTAATGGCCTTGGAATTAAAAAAGGAATTAATTTGTCTGTTAAGGATTTGAAAAATAAATATGAACCAGTTAAAATAACATCAACAATTCAATGGTTTTTTAAAAATATTTTTAAAAGAAATTTTTGTTCTAATTTTAGTGCAGGGAATCGACGTAATGATATGAATAAATTTAAAAAAGTTCAAGGATTGATGTGGACAGGAACGGCTATTTCAAATGCTGAATGGACTGGTTGTCGATTGAGGGTTTGTTTTTTTAATTTTTCAAGAGAAATAGGAGGGGGAGGGGGGGTGTTAGTGGAAATAAGTGCGTTTTGAAATTTCAATTTTTGAGGTTTTTAAACTTTCGATTTTCAATTTTCGAAATAGCTCTGATATAAGTATGTAAATTTACTTTCACTATCATGTTTTTAGCGAGTATACTAGATTTTGATATTTTCCTATTCCGTTTTTTCTCTATATATTTTCGAGCCTTTCCACCGGTTTTTAATTGGATAAATAGAAATTTGAAATTAATTAAAGAAAATTGTTTTAAGTTTTTAGGATGTTTTAATTAGTGCTGGAATTAACCCAAACAATAAAGAAATTAAACATGTTCAATTTGAGGGTGCTGATATGGACATGACTGGTTATTTATAATTTTAAGGTTTTTTCTTAAAATTTAATTTTAGGCAATAAATATGGAGCGTCTATTCCTTTTGATAAAGCAATGAGTCCAGAAGTATTAATTGGTTAGTTTAATAGTTATTTGAAATAATTGGGTTGTCTTGTAACAAGCACCACTCGTATGTTCAGTGAGGTAGTTCTTGATTTGAGCTGTAACCACCCAGGTTCGAATCCTTTCTTTGCTTCCTTTTACACTAGTTGATTTTTTGAATTGTTAATATTTATATTTTTGAGAATATTTTTTACCCGAAAAATTTTAGCTTACGAAATGAACGGTGAACCGCTACCTCGTGATCATGGATATCCTCTTAGAATAATTGCCCCTGGAATTGTTGGTGCCCGTCAAGTCAAATGGTTAACTTGTATCAAAACAAGTGAGGAAGAGAGTACAAGTCATTGGCAAAGGAAAGATTATAAAGTTTTTAAGAAATTAATTTTTAAAATTTTCTTTTAATTTTTAGGCAATGCCTTCAAATATAAATATTGGCGATCCTTTACCTTTTGATTCTGTTCCTTCTATTCAGGTTTTTTTTAATTTTTAACGAATATTAAAATATTATTTAAGGAATATCCTGTTCAAAGTGCTATTTGTGTTCCTACTCCAAATACAAAAATTTCTAAAGAAACCGAAAATATTGTGGTTGAAGGATATGCATGGAGTGGAGGAGGAAGAGGTTTTTTTTGTTAAATTTTTAAATTTTGAGATTTCTACTAATTTATGTTTCTTCTTTAAATTTAATCAAAAAGAATGGATTTGTGTGTAAAAATGAAAAGAAGTTTTAATTTTTCATTTAAATAAATTAGGCAAAAAGATTTAACAAATTCTCCGATCACATAAATAAAAGGATTAAATGTCTGGCTCATATCAGCTAGAACATGTCCTGGGAGATATATCTGTCAAAATTTTCTTTTAAACGTTAAATAACAATTTTTCGATTCCAATGACAAATAGGAAAATGAAAATTGAATGAGAAAAGGAGAACTTTTTCTTCTAAATTTAACTTTTAACGAATTTTTTGTTAATATTTAATTAAATAATTTAAGGAATTATTAGAGTTGAAGTATCAGCTGATGGTGGAAAAAACTGGAAATGTGCTGAATTGAAACAAGCTGAAGGTCAAGATTTTGAAAATATGTGGGCTTGGACACTTTGGAGATTGGAACTAGAAATTCCAGAGAAAGCAAAAGAGAATGGACATTTTGAATTAATTTGTAAAGCAACAGATAGAGGTTACAACACACAACCAGAAGATGCTTGTGGAATTTGGAATGTACGTGGACTTTTACATAATGCTTGGCATAGAGTTGATATCACAATTTTTTAATATCTATTGATATTAGAGATATGGAGGTAGGTAAAATTGCAGTCCTTGGATTCGAAACGGGGTTGGTTTAAAAATTTTGAACAAAATAGAATCCCGTTTGATTAATCTGGGAAAGTGAAAAAATCTGAATTTTGAGGCGGAATCCCGAAAAATCCTTTTGGGACCCGCTCCATGCCAATCTCTAATAGATGCTTTGAAAATTTTAGAATTTTATATCTTTTTTTACCTTAAAATTGTTTAAATATTTCTAATTTTTTAAATGTGATAAATATTATATTTAAATTATATAGATTATAATTTCGATTTGATTGTCTTGGAAAGTTTTTCAAATTTTTATTTTTTTTTTAATTTTATATTTTATCAGTTAATTTTTTAAAATTTTTATTTTCCATATAATTCCTCATTGTAATAAAATCAATTAAATGGATTGTTCTGCCGTGAATTCTGTTGATGATTTGAACTTTCTTTTATTACGAGCTGATTTAAAATGGTTAGAACCTTGTTGTAATATTGAGGAACATCTGGAAAAAGGTAAAATATTAAAATTTAAGGAGAAATTTTAATTTTATTTTCAGGTTTTTTGGTTGGTCATTGCTTGAAATTAATTTTGGATGAAGTTTGCCAGAGGTCCAATGATACTTTTAATTTAATTAAATGTTCAAAAATACTCTGCAGATTCTCAGCAATTTTGTGGTTATTTTTTTAAATTTAAATTATTGGAATATACTAGATGGACCTCATTATGGGGGATACAACTAAAAGGCTTGATAAATTTATCTTCAAATGCATCTTGCAAGGGACCCCTCCTTCCCCCTCCCACTCGAACTTTAACTATAAATTTTGTATTTTCTGGTGCATAGTCGATTATCTATTGCCATTTTTTAACTACGTAGCCATTTTTGGACAGATATGGGCCTTCAAAGTTTGGTATTTTTAGGTCTGACAATGAGTCCCTCTTATTAAAGAGGGGAATGAAAGTAAAGAGTGAAATTTTAAATTGAGGTATTGGGTGTATCTAAAAATATTTGTTTGTATCAAAATTTTCAGTGAATTTTCTATTTCATTGCCTTCCCATCATTTTCATCAACTTGTGGATTTTTGTTTTTACATTTTGGATTTTCCCTTTTGTGATGCAATTAATTTTCAAGCTATTTCAATTCTTCAAAATCTTTTGGAAATTCATAGAAATTTTTGTTGTTGTAAAGGTTTTCTTTTTCAAAATTTTTTTTCAATTTTTCTATATTTTAAAGATGTTTTTAATCTCACAGATCAAATTTTATGTTCAAAAAGAATTTTCATACCTTTTTGTGATTTTTTATTAAATTTTGGTCAAAGAATTGTTGGAGAATCTGATAATTCTAAAAATTATTCCTTTACCAAACAACGAGCTATGTTATTGGTATTTTTTATTTAAAAATTTATTAAAAGAAATTTTTGTGAATTGAGAAATCGAAAAACTAATTGAATTTTCTTCCTTTCCGATTCTTTTTTGCTTTCTCTAATCTTTAAAAATAAATTTTTATTTTTCTAGAATTGTTTACTTAAACTACATCCTGACTTGAGACAACAAATATTTTCTGACAACTTTTTAATTAAAATCTATAAACAAATGAGGAATGAGCCTCCAACTGTTCAGGTTTTTTAAAAAATTATTTTGCTTCCAACCTCACTTGTAGGTACTAGATTTACCTTAAAAGTACATTTATTTAAGTTTTGTTGACGATACTTCCTTAAGGTACACTCATCATAAGATAAACTTTTGTAAACTGTGAGGATGTAGTACCTAAAAGTGAGGAGGTCTAATTATAATTTAAATTTTTAGATTTGTAATTTAATTGTAGACGATATTTGTGCTTCACTTATTACGTCAAATAAATCTGAGGAAAAGGAAAGGCTAAAAACTCGTTTGGATTTGCATTTAAATTGGATCAAAATTCTTTTTATCAACGAAGATATTCACGTTTTTTAATTATTTTTATTCTTGAAAAAGTTATTTCAGCCCCGATCTCGGCAGTCAATGGAGAATAAATTGTTACCTAAATTATTACGCTCTCCGGAGACGAGGAAGTGGTTTTTTGATGAATTTTCAATGTTTATTGGTGAGGTTCTTTATACAATCAAAACTCACTTTTGGATACAGTCAAGATATATTTTTTCACTGATTGTGAGGAGTCCCAAGCGTCGCTCCCAATATAAAGTACCCCTCATTATTGGATCGTTTTCATTCACGGATTGAGTATCTAAAATTGTAGTCTCCCCCAGGTTGTGTGGAACTGACAAAACGACGTCCCCAATATAGAGTATTTTTTAAGCTACAAGTGGGGTGTATCTGAATTGTGGTTTTGATTGCAAGGGCGTATCCAGGGGGTCGGTTTCGAGGGGGGCTAACACTGGGTGGGCGCAAAAATTTTTGGCGTTTACCTTCACTTATTTAGCGCCGCAGGCAAAAATTTTGGAAAATTTCGGAGTCCTTAAGACAAATTTCTTCCTTTTTTAGCGCCGCAGGCAAAAATTTTTTGGAATTTGGAGCCCAAGAAGCCAGATTTCTTTCTTTTTTAGCGCCGCAGGCGAAAATTTTTTGGAATTTGGAGGGCCGTAGGCCAAAAAAGTTCACTCTTTAGCGCCGCAGGCAAAAATTTTGAGGATTTTGGAGCTCAAGAAGCCAGATTTCTTCCATTTTTTGCGCCGCAGGCGCAAAATTTTTTTAAATTTGAGGGTTGTAGGCGAAAAAATTTCACTTTTTCGACCATCCTTCTCCTAATTTTTTCCCCCTTTCCCCCATTTCGGGGGGGGGGGGCTCTAGCCCCCCCCCCAGCCCCCCCTGGATACGCCCTTGTTTGATTGTTTAACTAGTTTAACTAATTCTATACGAGGATATTTTCCAGATTTTTCACGTTCTTCTGCTCACTCAAAACGTGCACTTTGTGTTTTACTTCGATTGGCAATTGTTCATTTATATGAAATCCAAAATGGTCAGACTATGGATTGGAAAGAATTATTATTAAGACATGTTGGCGAAGAACAAGCAGACAAGGAAATGTTTGATGCATTAATGGATAAAGATTTTGAGGTTTTTTGGCGTTAAAAAATTTATTTTTTCAAATTTTTGGTGTAGACACGTCTAGCTGCTTGGTCATTGCTTTGTTTTCATCCAAAGGGCTCCCAGCCAGTTTCTCAAACAGGCAAGTTTGGGGATTAAAAAAATTTTCAAATTATTTTTTATTAGAAATTGAGTTGGCAAAGAAATTTTTGGTTTCGGGTGCTATGGATTTAAAAACGCCGGCTAAACGTCAGGCAATTTTTTGTCAATTGGGAAAGGTATCTATTTTAAAATTATTTAAAAAAAATTTTTTTTTATTTTTATTTAGCTTATTTCGCGTATTAGGGAACACTCAAAATCTTTACTAAAATTGCTACAAAATAATTCTGAAGCTGATATTCAACTTAAAATTTACAAAGAATTTTTGTTTTGGCTTTGTAAACTTGCTTTTGAATTTATATGTTTGTTTATTTAAACAATTTAAAAAATAATTTTATTTATTTTTTATAGCTAATCCTGATTGGCATAAAAAATTGATGGAAAGTTTAACTTTGGATTCGAATATAGAAATAAACGTGAAAAATGTTGGGGATGAACTTTCCGAATTTAGTTTAACAAATGGTGAGAAATTCATATATTAAATTCCATATTTAACTTTTATGAATTACTTCTGAACAGCATTTTTAGTTACCCCCATTTTTGGCTGTAAGAATTTGCTTTATAATTGTGTATAGCTTAAATTAGGGGGATAATTATTTATTTAGATATTTCTCCCACAGTAAAAAAACCAAATAAAAAAAGGGATGTATATTATTTTGAGAGAGTTTAATTTTATTTTAGGAAATAAAGATGAAAACTCGGAAGTGAATGAGATTGATGATGATTGTGATGAAGAAGAAAATGATGAAGAAAATAGCACTCCTTTTGCGACAAGAATATCAGCTTTAACTCTTATTTCGCTTATTTTCAATCCCTCTATTTCTCTTGAATCAGATCCATTTTCAACATTTTTGGATTTAAAACATTGGATTGGAAAGGAGGAAAAACAAAAATTATTTTATTCATTAGATGATCAATTCGAAGCTTGTCAGGTTTAAAAATAAAGTTTTCGAAAATTTAAAATTTCAATAATTTTTAGAAAATTGCTTTGAATTTGTTAAATCATTTTGAGACTATTGGTTGGTTTAAACAAAATTTTTATTCACAAATTTCTGACGAAGAATGGTTATTTTTAAGTGTGAGACCTAATATGCCTCGACATCAACAAGCAATAAAATATAGGTAGATTTTAATTATTTTCTCAAGTATTTTTTAAGAGCTTACCTAAGGGGGAAAGATTTTGAAAGACTATGTAAAATTTATAAATTTTAATTAAAAAATCATATTCGATAAAATTGTGATTTTTAAAAATCATTCTTCTCCATGCATTTCTTTTTTTTTCATTATTTTTTTTTGAGAGGACGGGTCTCCTAGCTCTTCCTATCCCTCCTCTAGAGATTGGGGAGGAAGACACATCATTTTGTTCCTCCACCTTTTGGTATTTTCTAATCTATTAATTTTTAAATTTTTTTTAACAGGCTACAATTTATTCTTCCTCGAATGGAGTTTAAATCCCAAATTAATTTTATCGAGACTTTATTAACTTTGTCTGAAAATAGTTGTTCTAATGTAACAAAGGCAAATAAAGGGAAAGAAAATTATTTTTTGGAAGCATTTTTGGATCCACCTCAATTACATGCTTTGATTAACGCTTTACACGTTTCGCTTCCATTTGTGAAGTTTGAAATTTTGGATAATGGTTTATTATAATTAAAATTTAATTTTTAATTTCAATTTTATTTTAAAGATTTATTATTGATAAAAAGAATTTATTCATTATGCCTTGATGTTGATAAAATCATCTCTCCCGTTGTTTATTCATTATCTCCTGAGGGATTTATGCCTAGCATAAATGATGCTTCTTTATGTGTAAAAGGTGTTAAATTATTTTATTATTTACAATTAGGTGGCTGTAAGTTTCAAACAAAGATTTTTTGGTTTGTTTCGATTAACCAATTTTCAGAGCTGCTTAACAACTCCAAGTTACAATTTGTTGTAGTGGGAGAGGTGTAATTCCTAAAGTGTCGAAGGTTCGAGTCCGTTGAGGGCACACGATTTTTAAGATATTGGAAAATAAATTAAGAACGAACCCCCCCCCCCTCCCCCCACAAAAAAATTCATTTTGGTTTTTTGCTAAGTTTCTGTGTATTTTTCGGACTAAAAAATTTCATCTTTTATCATTATCAGATTACAATATTTATGCTCAACAACTATCAAGAACTTGTTTTCGTGCACACAAATCAATTAGCGGAATTATTTCATATATTTTTATTCAATACTTAACTTCACCAATTTTTTCTTCACGTTTCTCAAAAAATGATTTTAATTTATTTCTTTCCCAAATTGCTTTTTATTTTTGGCAAAAATTGACAGAATGTAGACACCGTGGGGCTTTTGAAGCTGCTTATAATGAATTTACTACTGTTGTATGTCCTCGTCTTTGGGCACTCTGTGATGAGAAATATCAAATTGAAAGCTACGATAAAACAACATTTTTTCCTTATAGTCCAAGGCAGTGGTTAAAACAAATTTTGGATGCATTAACTGGGAAGGATGGTATGTCACAGTTTTCATTGAATAGAGTTGACTGTACCTTGCCCCCAGAACCGAAAAGTTCAGGCATCCGGAAGTTTTCAGGTCGGTTATGAGTTCCGGGTACCCGACGTTTTCTCAGGAACCGCCAATCCTAGTAAATACACCTCAGCAGCACCCCAATAATGGATACGTTCAATTTTGTATAATTTTTTATCCCAAAAGGTAGTATCTATAAACTGTATCTATTAACATGTTTTTTATATTTCTGTTAATTTTTCATTTTTTATTTAAAGCCAGCCAAAAACTTTGCGTAACAAGGAGAAGTGCTGGATTACCCCATTTAATCGCCTCACTTTTAGAAAATGCTCCAATAAATGAGTTGAATGATGAACATGGTTTATTTCATCAAACAATGAGGCAGCTTTTAGCTTGCAGTGAACGTCAAAATTCTGAATTAGAGTAAGGAGGGCAGAGACCTCATTATAAGATTCCAGGGATGTCACGGGTTGCCCCAAACCCGACTCGACTTTTTTCTCACTCCACAACATCCATATAAAATACACACTTGGAGCGCATCTTATATTGGGGTGTATCCGAGAGTATTAATATTTTAATCATTTTCCTCCCTTCAGAATCCATTGCATCAACGTTCTCCGCCTTCTTTTCATGCATTCAAAATTTGCTGAGCTTGTTCTTCCTCATATTGAATGCGCATTCCGTCTTACAATTAATGGATCATCTTCAGAAATTTGGCAGGTTAGAAATGCACACACTCAACTTTTTGCTGCCCTTATTAAACGTATTTTTGGAACACCATCAGTAGAGAGACGAACTTTACACATTGAAACTCGTTGTAAACAAACATCAAATGAATTTTTTAAAAGGTAGAGATTGAATGGAATAACGAACTTTGTTTTTTAGAGTCGGGTTTTGCTATAGGAGATACCCCAAATACTAGATAACATACCCCGTATTCAAGATACTTTTTAATTTGGGAACTACCAGTTAATTAAAACAAAAAAGATATTCAAAAATGTTCAGAAACTGAATCGAACTAGGGATGGTCGAAGTCGATCCAGTACCTAAGGATCTAGATTGGTCACTTGAAAATCGGAAAACCATATATAGTGGGGACCAAGCTCTTACCCCTCTTTATGAGACAAATTTCTACAACTAAGGTATTTAATTTTTTTAAAAAGATATCCATCTTTGTATGAATTTTTCCTTTCACAAATGTCTTATATATCTGATGGACTTGATGAGAAAAATAACAAAATTCCTCAATTTGGATGTAAACATTTATTTCTAGCATTTCCTTTACTCATTACTTTAACTCATCTTCGACCTCATATTTCAAGTTTAAATGATGATTTTCACTATTCATTGCAGCCATTTTTGCCTAATTTGGTAAAATTTAGAAAATAATTTTTTTAACTTTTTCTTCTTTTTTTAGTTAATATTACTTCTCTATATTCCTGCTTATTCAATTAAAGCTTTAGCATCTGCAGCAATTATGTCTATTTCAAAAGATTCAGAACTTGAACGAATTTGTAAATAATTTTTTTTATTTTTAAAGATTTTTTAAATTTTTTTAAAGTAAATTGGCTTTTTATTCAAACAACAAAACACTCAACATTCAACGGAACATCAAATATTAGTCAAAACTTTGTTTCTGCTATTCAACTTTTGGTAAGTGGAGGAAAGGGGGGGGGGTTTATTGTTGTTAATATTTTTTAATTTTAAGTTATTACACATAAATGAATTGAAATTATCGGTTAGTGAATCTGTTGAAAAATTATCTGTTTGGATTAATAAACAAAAATTGTTTCTAAATTGTTATGTTACTTAAATATATGTAAATAGAATTATGGGTTTAAATAAAAAGTTGTTACACATTTTTCTTCTAGATTGAGGTAATTGGGAGGAGTTAATGGTTCTTGCTTGAGTGACAAATTCTGATTTATTTTCTTGTAATAATAATTCTGAGCTAAAATTTTAATCTAGCTATGACCACACAGAAGCTAATAAAAAAGTTCTCGTAACGTTTGCTTGATGATGGTAAAAACTTAAAGGGATCCGGGTAGGACTTAAATCTCAGTGAGTGAATTTTCTAGGGCTTCTAGATTTTTGGATTCGATACCTGTCGATTTGGTCAGGGACCGTACATTCAATTTTAGAAGTCATTATTTAAGTTTAAGGAAATGTAAAGCTTTGATTTTTAATATAAATTTGTTATTTGCTTTATTTTCTAAATTTAATAAATTATTCCAATCTTTTTAAGTATTAGAAATCAAAAAAAGCATAATTGTTACATAAAAGTATCATAAAATTTTATAAAAAAATAATTGTTAAGACAAATTCATTGATTGACTCTCCCCATTTTCATTTTGCAATTCACTTTTAATTAATTCCCCATTTTCCTATTAAAGAATAATCTTTTAAAATTTTTTAAAATAATATTTCTCTTACCTCATATTCAATAAACCATTCATACCAAACTTTTTCTTTATCAAATTTTCTTTTTATATTAAATAAGATATTACATTCATTTGGACAAAATAAGAGTTTGCGAAGAGGAAAGAGACCGGGAAACCTTTAAAAAAATTAAATTTTAATCTTCCTTCATTCACTACATCCCATATCTACCGCAAGCCAACTTCATCACAAGGCTGTATATGTTCAAAATTATTGAATCTCAGACGCTTTATTATTAGATTCAGCTCTTGAAGTTGGTAGCGGCGGTAGGGATGTAAATAAACAGTTTAGAATATCAAAAAAAATTTAAATAAAACTGGAATTTATTTTTACGAAAATAGCAAACAGAAAAGGGGTCCCCATTTTGTTAAAAATAATTCTTTAAAAGTTAATCCTTCCCCTCATTTCTCCGAATTCTTTTTCTTTTACCATTATTTTTTTATTTTTTCCACAAAGAGGTGGGAATAATTAACTAATGATTAAAAAATTAAAGATGATATTTACCAAGAAAAAAGATTTTCTGTATGCCTTTCTGGATGAGTACTTAAAATAATATTTTTATACAAAACAACTTCAAAATGAGCAGCAAATCCCATTAACTAAATAAATTTTTTTTAATTTAATAATTTTTTAGCCAAAAACCTCTGAATTTTTAGGAATTCTAAAATTTAAAGAAGCTTCTCGAAAATTTGAAGAATTTGTTAAATTTGGATGTAAAAATTCAAAACAATGTTTTGTTTTGTCTAAATAACAGAATTGGCCTAAACAAACAACATATAAATGATCTGATAATTCTGAACATTCTTTTCTGAAAAAATAAATATTTTAAAGGAATTATTATGTATTATACAATAACTTTTCATTAAAAAAAGAGGAAAAGGGTTGGGGTTTCATTAAAAAAGAGGAAAAGGGTTGTCAGACAACTTTAATCAACTAGCAACTGGATGGATCAAATCTGATCGGCCATTAAAAGGTTACAAAACGATAAGTGTGAAAAACAACTATTTCTGGCATTCAAACCTTTTAACTTTTTAATGGGTGTTCAGACCTGATCCATCCAACTTGAATAAGAATAGCGCTTATCGAGAGCTTTCGAATGATATAAGATTCATCCGGATTGGATCAAGGCTAAAAAAGTTATAGCCGATTAAAGTCACCTGATACTCTAAAGGTTCATTCCGAAAATAAAAAGAGTGATGAAAAAACAATTGAAAATAATTCAAAATTAAATCAGAACCCCATCAAAAGCTTAATTTTAAAAAAAACTTAAATTGGTTTTTGTGTTTTTAGATAATAGTTCATTAATTTTAGCTGGCTAGAGTTAATTTTTAAAAATTTCAAAAACCCTTAAAAACTACTCAAAATCGATAGGGATAAACTAATCCAAAATTAACTGGATTCCGAGCTAAAAACTCGTTAAGAAACAGCCCAAATTAATATTTTAAATAAAATAAACTTGCATTTCGTTAACTCGATTACATTTATTGTTACTTTTCAAATCTCTAATATTTTGATGTAAACGTAAAGATTGAACTGGTGCTACAAAAAAATAAAATAACCAAAATAAAAAATCCCTTACTCAAAAAATTTCTATACGAAGAAGGTATACAAATAGTATTTTCTTTTAAAATATTATTAACTCCATCCAAACATTCAGGGCAAAGTTCATTATCTCCAAAAGATCCCAATAATTCACTAATAATCTTTTTTTAATTAATTTAATTAATTTAAAAAGTAAACTAACAATATCTGGATTTTCAATTTCTTTTGATTCTAAAAATGAAGTTAGGGAACGCATATCACTTTGAATTATGGAAACAGAATTCTTCCATCTAAAAATAGTAAAATATAGAAGAAGAGCAGATTGTTTAAGAGCAAGTTGTTGATCGAATAATTTTGGATCGAATACCAAACTCGCCTATATATCCAGATTCCCGAAGGTTTGACAACCAGAAAATAAAATAAACGAAAAATAGGAAAGGACCAAGATGGCGATGAATGGATATGGAAATGTTTTTTAGGGGTTTAGGAGAAATTATAACAAAAATAAATATTTTCAATCAAAAACTTAAAAAGTTCACCAATTAAATTTCCATTTAATAAAAATAAAAGAACTTTTCTTGATTAAATTTACTCCATCATCCCTCCCTCCTAAACCTATCATAAAAACAATTTAATTACCTTTCCTCATTGCAATATTGTAAAGAAATTACAGCATTTGGATTTTTCTCCACAGCATAAATTTTAACAGAAAATTCCTTTTGATATTTAAAAGTTTTTCTAGCTTCAGCTATAGCTGAAAGAGAAGCATTCACTAAAGGCCCTCTTCCAGCACCCAAAACAATTAAAATAATATTTTCAAAATTTTGTAATAAAAGGTCTTCTAAAGCCGTTTTGATTGCTTTTTGGTATTGCAAATATTTTGGTTTGTCTTGTTCAAAAGTATTATAAACAGAAGAATCGAGGCTATTAGATAATGGTTGAAGAGGAATCTGAAAAAGAGAATATTGAAATGGAATACTTCTACCACGTTCGGGTTCTTTCATATTTTCCAAGGGATGACGTATTAGAGAGATTCCTCGAACGAAAAAGTGACACCCGTGGCGAGTGCTGAACTGATACTCATGTTACGCGGTTACCACAATGACATCACTGTCGAATGTTTTCTCGAGTGTCAAGTATTATGAGTCCTTACCTAAATAAGATTATACACCGCGTAACATGAGTATCAGTTCAAAACATACCTGTAGAACATCCATATATTCATCCAAAAATTCTTCTTCAATTACTCTTTTACAATTATTTTCTTTTATATAATCAAGAGATCCATTTAACATTTCTTCAAAAACTAATTCATTTAATTCATCATAATTAAGTGAAGATAAAAGTAAATGTTGACATTGATTATTTAAAAATAAATTTTTGAGCAATTTTGAATGGACACTTTAAATTAATTTTTTAGATTTTTAAAATTAAATTTACTCTGTAAGTTTTAATTCTGATCCATTTCCTCGAACAAAAAGTGAGTAGTCAATTCGAATAAAAGAAAGCTTAAAAATTAGATTAAAACAATTATTATTTTAATTTTGGTTGTTAATAGAATATTTTGTGAAAAAAGGAAAAAAAATCAGCGGAAAAGCGAAAAATAAGACAATGGGAAGATGGATAATTTTGTTAGTCTCTAAAATTTTGAATTGTCTAAAAAAACATATTCTTAAAAGAGCTGACAAAAAGTAACATAAAAAAATTGAAAAGAAAATATAGGGAAATTACATAATAGGATTAGTATTTCAACTAATATTTCTAACCTCATACATTTATGAGGTTAGAAATATAGCAGAGAAGGCCTTAGAGGATTCCCCAAAAATAATCAATTGTTCTTTGAAGAATTAAAAAAATTTTTTAACCATAATTTTAAAAAAAACCTCACAAGCTCATCCATTATAAATTCCCCACTCATTTTAAAATACCGAAAAAAATATTTTTTACCGGTTCAGCTTTCCACCTTTGTATTTGTTTATAAGATGCAAATTCATCCCCCAAATCCTCAGTAAAAGCTAACCCAACAAATAAATGGTTACAATTATTACAAAGTGTTCGAAAATTTCTCCAAACAAGCCAACAATCTTCATTTTTAAAAAGATAAGAATTTGTTGGGAGAAGAATCCAAAAACTTTAAAAAATATAAAAATAAAAAATTAAAAGAAAATAACCTCAATTCACAATTAGAAGAATCCAAAAAATTGTTTATTAATTTTGCCAATTTTGGAGATTCTGAGTGTTTCAATTCAATCAAAACATTATTAATCCCTAAATATCTAGCATAATCCATCTCCTAAATTAATTTTTTTTCGAAAAAAATTTTGGAAAAAAAACTTTTTTAAATTCTTGTGCAGAAAAATCAGCAATCCATTCATCTGAAGAATCTGGATCCTAAAAGGAAATCAATTATCCCCAAGTCTTTTAAAATTAAATTTTTATGATAGGCGCGGAGAACTCCAAAAACTTATCGGTCATCCCCTGAAGTTTTTACTTCAGATCAACGCATTCTCTTCCTTAAATGTAGATAAAAAGGATTAAAATTTCTGACTGATTGTGAGGAAAAATAATTTAAAATGTCTAATCATTACAAATTCGTAAAATATTCCGAATTTCGGGCATAACCGATAAGTACATTGTTAACAAATAATTATACATAACAGACAAAAATGAAAACAAAATTCCTTCCCAATTTAAAAAATTTATTTTATTAAAAAACCTACAATCCAACTAGACAATGCACAATTAACATATTTTTGCCAAAATTGAATCCCCATTTGCAAATCTACAAAATAACATTATAAAATAATTGTTTTCTAAAAAACCTGGAAGGTGAATAGGCCGAGCATTTCTATTTTTATTAATTTGACAATTATACCGATAAATACCCCCAATTGGATAAGTAATAAAAGAAAATCCAATCTTTCCATAATTTGCACAAATTGTAGCTATTTGTTTATCAAATAAATAAGCATCGTTTTCAGTAATATATTTTCTTGAGAAAAACCATCCAACATTTGGCTGTTTAATGTTTTCGCCATTATAAGACATTTTTTCGGTCATAGAGCTAGATAAAAATGGTTTTGACCGTTTTGAGCTTTTTTAATAAAAAAGATATTTTTTTGTTTTAAATTACTTTCAATTTTAATAAATTTAAGAAAAAATAATTAAATAATATATTTACATAAACTATTAGGTGCGGACATAATTAGTGACACATTTTTTCAATCGCGGATAAAAATATTAAACTCTTATATTTTTCTCTTAATTTATATATCATTTTAAAGCTTAAAAAGTCCGCTTTCATATCATATATAACGCAAAGTTCGAAAACAAAACGAACGCAACGCAAAGTTCTACGCAAAGTTCGAAATTTTGGGTTTTTGGGGGTATCTCTACTCGTTTTTTCCTTTACTTGACATTAGGGTTTTTTGTAAATTTAATTCTTAATTTAAAAATTTTATAAAATTTTGTTAATACTACCTTGTGTAACTCAGAAAGAGCTTTTAAATGGTATATTACAAGTCATATTAAATTCAAAAATTTTTCAAGAAAATTTGAAATTTGTAAAAGATGTCTGAATCGACTTTTTCGACTATAACTTTAGAAATACCTAACCAAAAAATCTCAAAATTAATAATTTGATGGACTAACCCATGATGAACATATATGAAAAATTTCAAATGGATTGGTTTATTTCTGTTTATATTATAGAATTTTCCGCAAAAGCTTGTGAATTTCAGCTTGGGTTAGAGACATTCTTTAATTTATAATATTTGAAATTTAATTCAAAGTCTATCAAGTTATATATGAAATGAAAGCGGACTTTTTAAGCTTTAAAATGATATATAAATTAAGAGAAAAATTTAAGAGTTTAATATTTTTATCAGCGATTGAAAAAATGTGTCACTAATTATGTCCGCACCTAATAATAATAAACATATATTAGATATATATAAATTTCTTTCGAGGGCCTAAAAATATATAATTAATTTTTTAATAAACAAAAAACAAATGAGCGGTTAGAATTTTTTAAAATTAATTTAAGTCTCATTTCTTTGTTGATAGAAGAGAATATATGCAGATTCTGAATTCTTTTGTACATTTGATTCAGCTAATCCAAAAAAATCTTCAATTGAAGATTCCTCTAATTTCTAAAAAATAAAGAGTTTAATCTTTTTGATTTTAAAAATTCAGATTAAAATAACCATCTCAGAAAATTATTTTAAAAATTTCTTTGAGTAAACAAATTATGAGCCAAAAATTAACAAATTGATAAACTAATTTTTTAAAATATTAAAAAAAATTTACATCAACAATGTCGTCGTCGAAAAGTAACCAATAATAATGAGATTTAACCAAAGTTATATAATGTCCTCGATTTGGAGTTGAACCACAATGAACAACAACAGCAACCAAATCAAAAATTTTATCAGCATCGCCATTGGTGCTTTTCTTTAAAATAAATATACAAAAACCTAATTTTTAGATGCCTTCTCGAAAGTAAAAAAGACATGTTTTATGAGGGATAGTTTAAATAAAAGGTATCTATCGTTTATAAAGGAACTAATTTCGTATTTTTTGATATCATTCAACTTGCCACTATTTTTGGCAAGGGGCTATTTTTGGATAGTTATGGGCCTTCGAAGTTTGGTATTATTGTAATGACTGAATCCTCCTAGTTTTTATAATGAGGTTATTTTAAATGAAAAGTATCGCTTAGACATATCCCTTACCCAATGGCCATCCAAATTAAAAAAAACATTAAAAGCATAGTGTATCTAATATTGGGTTATTTAATAAAGAGATCCGACTTAAAAAATCAAAATTAATTTTAATTAAAAAAAACTTACAACATTAGGTAATCTAAGCTCCATAGGAAAAAGAACTCTATAAGAAAGCTTTGTGTGTCTATTCAAAGTCTCAACATATTTAAATCGTTTCAAATGCAATGCCAACAATTTTGGTAATTTTCCTATTCGCATTCGTTTTTGGGCTTCCTTAAAATTAATTTTATAAAAATTTAGAATTTATTTTCAATAATTAACCTGTTTACTTCCACAAGTTTCACATAAATATTTTTGATCACCGCAAAGGGTTTCCATATTAGAAAAATTGCGCAAACAATTACTAATAGAAACATCCTAAATTTAAAAAAATTACTAATTTAATTAAAATTCTATGTCAGTAATCATAAAATTTTTAATAAATGAATTGGTAAAAATTTTCGTTCGGTAAAGCTCAAATTTTTTAAAGTATTGCATAATTTTGCCGTTTTCAATAATAAGTAAAAAAAGAAAGTTTATAAAGTCCGTAGTCTCGTGGGAAAAGTCAACCAATTCCAGACAGTACCAAAAAAATAAAACTAATTTTGCTTACTTATCAATAAAAATATAATTAAAAAATTAAAAAAACCTGTTCAATATCAACACTCAAATCAAGAAAATCTTCATCTTTACTACTAACCGTCTCACAATTTAAACATCTAGTCTCATTTGTAAGTGTCCCTTGAAAGATTTCATGGATCCAAGTCAAGTCTTGTCTGACACCATCTGTGCTTCTAAAAATTAAATTTAAAAAATATTTTTAAAGAAAAAACCTAGCAGAGTAATCATGAACATTTGCCGTTACTAAATTTGATCGTTTTGTTAGTCCATTAGCAGTTCTGCTACTAATATTTCCATTAGTGTGCTCTTTCCTTTTTTCTTCTGCCAAAACTTCAGATATTGCATTTAACAAAAAATTAAAAAATTCGTGGGCGTCTTGCTGCATAAAATTGTCAAATAATTCTGTAAATAAAAAAATTTTCTTTTGGAAATTTTTAAACTTTATGGAGCTATTTTTAATTTTCTGCCTTATTTTCTAATTGTTTTATCTGTAACAACTGAATTGCTCAAAACGGATTAATTAATCTTTTTGATTTTCGTGAAAAGCTGTTTGAATAATAAGGATTTCGAAGCTTGGCTCGAACGGTTTGAAATCTTCACGGAAAAGAAACTGTCATAAATAAGCAAGTCCTGTAAGGACAAAAGAAGGATCGCATTTCAGGGGGCTTGCTATCCCCACTTGCTATCTGTGGAACAACCAAAGCTTTTTTGAAACTAAAAAAATCGTTGAAAATTGGAAATTTTGAACCAGCTCCGAGAACTACTCAAATTAATCGCTTTTGATTATTTAGTTTTCAGAGATAAAACGAAGGAAAATAAGATGAAGAGGTTACACAAAAAAGTAAAAAACCATTTTCTCGTTTCAATTTTGTCACAAATCTTTTTGGGGCAATTGTTCCAACTCGTCTCTTTTGACTAGAAATGTTAGAGAAAAGGTCGGCTAAACAAGTAAGTAAATTCTCTTTTTGAATTCCTTAAAAAAATATTTTATTAAAAATAATTTAAAAAATTAACCTGATTTTTTATGGGATTGTCTATAAGCTAAAATCTTTTCACGAAAAGGCTTGCAGAAATATAAAGCTTGGATAACAGAATTTGCATAGCAGGTATTGCCAAACTAAAAAATATTAACTTTTAATAAGCGCAATAAATACTTAATTTTATATTTAATTAATATCATTACTGCCCTTATTAACAGAACAGGACTAACTGGGTTCCGAAACAAGGTTAAAAGAATAATTTTACAAAGAGGTAGACGAAAAGTAATTTTATTGTAGTAGAAATTTTGACAAGGCAATCAACTGAATAAGGTAAATTTCTAAAATTCTCTCTTGAAAATTTGTTGAAGACCAGAGTCCATAATTTTATCGAAAAGGATCTATCGTTAAATTTGTCTATACACAAATATTTTCAAGAAAATCGCCGCAGATAACTACAGCTCACGTAAAAATTAAAGGGTTTAATATAAATGAGAAATGTTAAAAATAAACAAATACTAAAAAACAAACATTAACAAGTCCATAAAAATGTTCATTAGCTAAAGCCTGATCTGCCCCAAGGTCCTTTTCTAATTGCGAAGATGTAGTTGCTCCCTTGAAATAATAAATATAAAATAAATAATAAAATTAAATTAATTAACCATTTTATAATTTCTTTTTTTTTTGAAGTTTAATTACAATTAGTAAATAATTACAATCTAAAACAAATAAAATTAAAAATAACAATTAGCTAAAAAAAATTTAAAAAAAAAATCCTAAAATTACTCATTAAATTATTGGGTGGGATATTTTGTCATTTAATTTAAATAGCGACAAATTAAAAATGTTTGGGCGAAAATAGGGGACACGCCCAAGTAGGGCGAGCCATAACGGCGCAAGGCCATAACTTCTGGAAAATTTGTCTTTTATCAATTTGGTACCAATACCTTTAGCTCGATGAGAGGAATCGTTTAATATTAAATTTGGTGAGATTCGGAAATCTTGGAGCAAGTTATCGCTTTGCGCCGTTATGGCCGCGCGCCTACTTGGGCTGAAACCGAAAATGGATATGAGGGGTAGGGTATACTGGAATGATAATTTCCTTTTTAACTAAAAAAGGTTAAAGAAAATAATTTGTTAAAAAGTTCTTACTAATTATTTACTTGTTTTATATTATAATTAATTGCAAAAAATAGTTTAGGGAACTTCATCCCATACAAAAAAATTTATTTAATTATTTGAAATTTTATTCATTAAATATTTTAATAAAAATTACTATATTTGAGTTAATTAAACAAGAGTATCTACAATAAAAACATTTAAATTATATAGAAGCGTTGGAACTTTGTTGTGGCTATAATCTGAATTTTTTTTTAAATGAAGAATAAAATCCAACAAAATCTGTCTTATCTTCCAACTTATTTTATTTATCCACTTAAAGTTCCAGTGTTAATATCGAAAATTGGGGGACAATTAAAATACAATGAATAGATTTTTAATAGGACAAAACCAAAAAATACAAATTTTGACCAGAGTCCTGGCTTTTTTTTTTAAATTTAATACTTAAGAGGATGTGGTCATTTTCTGACTAAATTTTAGAATTTTTTAAACCTTTTTAAGTCTCTAAATAAAAAATATCAATTATAATTACAGTCAGAAAACTATTATTACAAATTTAAAGTAGCACCAAAAAAAATTAAAGGAGAAGGAATTTAGATTATTCAAAAAAAAATTGAATTTTTATTACTCTTTTTATAGTCTAGGCCCAAAATGGTGATGTGTTGTACCCGTCCAATCACCAATTAAAGGTCCACGTGTCAATTGCTGTTTAGAAGATGCCGAAAAGATGGGAAGTACTTCTTGTGCTTCTACAGAAACTGCTTTTAGATAGACACAAGCTAAAAATGGAAAAGTAAACAGGACAATTAGTTCCACAGATCCCAAGAATTTGGCAAAACCGGAACCAATAAATTCCCTTAGTTTCGAACGAGTGGTGGCTTTAACCTACGACAAAACACGAATGAAAGTCATTTTCTCAATTCCGAAATTTATTTTCGAAATTCCTAGATTAAATATTTTCTCCCTTGTTATTCATAATGTTTTAAGTAAAAAACCGTCAGTTCCATATCCTTCCATCGAAACGAGAAACATATCTCCATGAAAATATCGTGCATAAAGCCTAGACAAAGGCAATCCATACCCATAACCAGCCTAAAAAAATTAAATTAAAATACATATTCTTTAAAAGTAAAAAAAACATACAAGAGGTGCTTGACTTCCATCTCTTGGAGGGGGTGGTGCTGTGCTATACATATAATCAAATAATCGACTTATAATACTTCTAGGAACTCCACCACCTTTATCGCTTAACTTTAAAATAAAAAAAATTTTTTTTAGAAAATTCCATTTAAAAAACCTTTATTGAGAGATCCTCATTACCTCGAACTACTCTAACTTTTATAGGAGGTAAATCCTCATCCATTCCAACGTGTTCCACCGTTGCACGCATTGCATTCTTTAAAAATTAAAAAATATTTTTAATGGTAAAATTAATGGTAAAAATTCTAAGGAAATTACCATCCTCTTATTATTTCCCCTACTCTCCAATTTTGTCTTTCACTACTTTTATTTATTTATTTACTGAAAAATTCAATGTCAAAGACACAATAGTAAGCATTTTTAAATTTTTTCTATAAATGTTTGACTATTATAAGTCCTTGACATTTCTTTCAAAGGAGATAGCAAAAAGAAACAAAGAGAATGGGGGAGATTATTAGCTAATAGTGATGGTCGGGATTCCCGGTCTCGGTTCCCGAGTCGGGAAATTTCCCGGGTTTTTTGAGCTCTCGGTCTCGGTCTCAGTCTCGGAAAACGAGACTAAATTTACACCCCTAATGACGGAAATTTTTTGAACTTTTTGAAGGAAAGAGAAAAGGAATATATTTATAATTTCTCCCATTTGCTTTTGATGGTTGAGTGGTTAAGTTGACTGACTTCACTCACTTAAATATTTCGTAAGTGCTGGATTCGAATCCTAAGGTGGAAATAAGGTTGTGAAAATTTTTCTTTTCGGAAATAAACGTTTTTAAACTTTGATTTTGATTTTAAAATTTTTAATTTATTTTTTCTTAATTTTTTAAACTTGAAAAAAACATTAAAAATTTTAATTTAATCATGAATTTTTCAAAATTTCCTCCTGCGGCGCAGCGTTTTCTCCTCCGGCGGTAAAAAAGAAAGAAATCTGGCTATTGGCCTCCCAAATTTTTCAAAATTTTCGCCTGCGGCACAAAAAATGGAAGAAATCTGACTTAAGGACCTCCAAAATTCTCAAAATTTTCGCCTGTGGCGCAGGAAATGGATGAAATAGGAGGATTTATGGCTTCAAAGCCTTGCAACGTTTGTTGTGTGGTTTGTTGTGTCACATGTTTCGTGGGACATGTGAGACTGAGAGAGGGTATCCCTCCTAATCTCTTGGTCTCGACTCTCGGTCTCGACCCGGGACTCGGTCTCGGGGTCGATTCCCGGTCTCGGTCTCGACTCTCGGGTTTTTTTAACTCCCGCCATCACTATTAGCTAATATCAAAAAATTAAAGAAAAACCTCTTCATTAAATATAACAAACCTTAAATAATTCAAACATAATGTGGTAAAGATGTGATGGCACAATTACTACAGACAATTTTTTACCCGGCGAAAGAGCATTTAAACAATCCAGCTCCAATTGTGGTGCATTCAAATAATAACGATCACAAAGAAATCGAGCATTTTCATAGGCATCTTGAACAACGGAAGTTACATCACAAACTGGATCTATACATCCAACATGGTTAGGAGATTCTGGTAAAACTGAGCCAAAAACAACCAAATGTTGATATTGAAGCATTCGAATGGAGATTCGATTCAAATAGAAGCGATCAAGGAAATATTGAATACTTTGTTCACTTCCAATGTCTACACCACCAGATGATTTTAGTTCTATTAAACCCTCTGCCATTGTCTTTTTGATTGGAAAAAGGGTAAAAAACTTTTTTTGGAAAACTTGGGGGTAATTTTCAAAAATAAGCTGACTAGGACAATTGCCAGAATTTCACCAAGGAAACCCCAAAAGGAAGGAAAATTTGAATAAAAATTCGTCTCTAATTTCACGGAAATTATAAATTTATAATAGAAAAATTTCAATCGAAAAGTGAATTGTATAAGAAATTCTGGCAAGAATTTTGTCTTTCCTTGTCAGACTAAAAAAAGTAAGCGAAAACCCCTCAGGACCGAAAATATATTTTTGGCATTTAAACAAACCTGCACAACATTGCTGTGTCGCTTCAAAATGACTTGGAGTTGATCGTTGAATCTGCAACAATAATTGTAGTACCCCTTTATTAGGAGACCGCTTCACACTTAAATATATCCTGATCGTCCCCTTTTGAACTTTCAAAACAAAGCAATTCCTGAAAGGATCTCCTGTACCATTCTGACACTTGACGAGCACTGAAAAAGTTTGAAAAATAATGAATATTTTGGGGTTCTAAAACCTCGAAGTGTTAAGCAACGATGGGGGAAGCAACTCAATCTCCTGTAAAAGATGTACAAAGATGTACAAAAAGATGTACAAGAGGTAAAAGATGTACAAAAGGTAAATGTAGATGTACAAAAAAGATGTACAAAAGGTAAATTGTACTTTCTCCCAAAGGGTATACACTATCGTTTTATATTATCTTTAAAAATTTTCTCCAGTAAAATTTTGAATTTTGACAGCAAAAATTCACAAAAATTTCCAGTCTTCCCCGCACACAGTCGGGGAAGGAAGGACTATGTACTTACCTCCTCCCGTCAGGGAACAATATATCTCACACAAATAACAAAAATTTAAATACCCCCCAAATAGGCAAATAAGAACCAGTGTGAGCGTGTAAAGGAAGTCTCTTTACCTTCATAATGTTGGCGAGACGAACCAAAAGCTCTGTTTTTAGAAAAGAAAAAGACGTTTTTGCTGTCCCATGTAGTCCAAAATCGAGATACTTTAAAATAAAAAAAAATACTTTTTAAATTAAAACTAAACTTGTTGAATAGTTAGGGAAGAAGGTCTATATTGACTATATTGCTCTAATTTATTACATATTGCAGTACCAAAAATTGAAGAAAAACATTTCCTTGTAAAGCGCATTATTTATAAATAATTCATTTAATTTGTATAGATAAAATGTCCAAATCTTAAAAAAACAAATTTAATTTAGTAAATAATTAAATAGCCAGCTGATAATTAGCGAAAAAAGGTTATCACTGATATACGACGCCAAAGGAAGAAAAAATCAATTTCCCGTCTGTAACTTTTTTTATAATGATCGGATTAGCTTAAGAGTTGATAAGATTAATGACTTAACGATAAATCGGTGGCACTCGAACAGCGACATTCAATATCAAAAATTAAAAACATAATGCCAAATATTTTCAAGTTTAAATGTTTAATCGGTTAAACGACATTTGCACAATGGACAATTGCTTTAACCGACAATTAACACAAAATGTATTTATTTTCCTAGAAAAAGAGCTATAATTTCTTTAAATTAGCTGTTTCTTCTGACGAATATTAATTGTACATATTACTCATAAATTAAAAAAAATATTTTTATCGATAAATAAAAATAGATAAAGAAATTTATAAATATTAAGTGTTCTTTTTAAAAAAATTTCTGATGAAAATACATTAAATGATGTGAAGTTTATTATACACAATTCAATTTTAGTTTTTTTGATTTAGTATTCATTTATTTGCAGAATTTATCAATGGTAGAGTTATCAAATTGTTTTTAATTCCCGTCATTTTAAAGTTGACAATTCACCTAAAAAATATCTATCTACTAATAATTCAATTGAAATTAATATATTGCTCTCAATACTAAGTATAGCCCCCTTTATTTAAGATACGTTCATGAAAATTTGGTTAGCTATTGGATAATGAAAAACTTAAACCTCCTGTTTAAGTTATCTCGCATTTTTAATTATAACTGTTTTAGTCCCAAGTGTGAATTTTAAAGCAATCTTTGTCTGTAATGAACTTATGGCTATTTATTGTAAAAATTTGTTCAAAAATACCTAGCTTTTGTCGGTTAATTGTCTTTTCTGTGAATTGTCCCTAAATTTAAGCATGTTTCTTTAAATTAATTAGAAATTCTCTTTTAATTTATCACATTTATCACTTTTCTAATAAAAATAAAATTTACAGGGTGCGGCAAATTAAGCGCGCGTTTGTTTTTTGCCATAACTTTCTTTAATTTTAATGAAAATTGATAATTCTTTTTTTGTTTTATTCCCAACACTTTAGGAAACTTGCTGATACCAAAATTGCTTTTTAATTTTAAGTTTACTCTGAGTAAACTATCCTCAAAGTTTGAGCAGAATTTTTTGGATAAAAATTGGCCTAGATTCAAGGCTGAGATTTTAATATTGGAAATGTTTATATCATTCGAATCAGCTCTTCATTCTGATTCGAATGACATAAAAATCAGGGGGCTACGACAAAAATCGAATGAGATACGGTCCTCTGAATGATAAATTAAAATAATTTTGATAAAAATAAAATTTTTGTGTAAAATTTTCAAAAATGAGATTATAAGCTATTTCGATGCTCCTGAACGAGATGAGTCGTTTAGTACCAAAATCATTGGTATTGAACGATTTTGAACGAAGTTATGATCAATTAAACTTTGGCATAAAAAATGTTTTTAAATTTTCCAGACGTTCGAACTCGATTATCTTTGCCAACAGTGAACCAAATTTTTAATATTTGGTATCAGCAAGTTTCCTAAAGTGTTGGGAATAAAACAAAAAAAGAATTATCAATTTTCATTAAAATTAAAGAAAGTTATGGCAAAAAACAAACGCGCGCTTAATTTGCCGCACCCTGTATAAAAACAAAGAAAAGGTAAAATATGACTATTAGAAAAGACAGAAAAATAAAAGATAAATTAAATAAATGAGTTCATCTTTCCTCCCCCCTTCCTCCCCTTATTTTCACAAGGAGAGATTGTGTGTCCCTGTCATTATCAATTAAAAAAGAAAAAAAAATTTTTATTGGACCCAGATGAAAAAAAGAAAAGTAATAAAATAAATGGGAAAATCGAGAACATTTTTAGCATTCAATCCTCCTACCAATCACTCACTCCATTCAATTCCCCCCTTCTTTGCTTCCATTTATCGACTTGAAATTTGCACCTGTGTATGCTCTAGGCTTTTTAACAACATTTTAATTTGTTTAAAATAATGCAACTTTTTGAAGAACATTTAAATATTAGGTAAATTAATTAATTTTTTTGACAAGATCGAGAAAATAAAAGGAGGTTAGTTACTTTGTTCTTTCGTTTCTACAAACTTTTGTTTCTCAAAAGTTTGTAGCTTAATCTGTAAATAATTGTAGGATATTAACTTCCCCCACCCCCGTTCCTTCCCTAAATTTTGTTTTAATCCAGAGCCCCCCCCCCCCTTTATTTTCCCCCTTTATTCACTCCCCTTTTTTCCCTTCTCAAATGAATATTCCTCTTCCCATAGATTTTCAAGTTTATGTGATCTCCCTTTTATTTTCGATCTTGTTTTGAGTTAATAACTTTATTAAAAATAATTTCTAGAAGACTATTTTTATTTGCCTTTCTTTTGTTGTATATACCAAGCAATTCCTATTGTTGTCTTCTATGTCCTTTACATATCCCCGCTAGGCCTAAACCGTTGGATCAATTTCGTGTGCCATCCATTCAAAAATTAATTAGAACGTCGGAAACAATTGAGTGGCTTTGTCAAAATGGATCTAGGTTATTTTTGCTTTAAAAAAAATCAAAAAAATAATGTTTTCTTTCCCATATTTATGTATACCTCCGGAAAATCATACATATATCAAAGGGAGTGTAATATAAGAGACCGGACTTGGAGTATCGTACAAGAATCGAAATCTCGTCTCAGTCCGATCTCTAGTGTAATATATGTATTCTATAATTAATGGCATTCTTTCTCATCCCATTACCCAACTCGAATAATTTATTGCACTAATAATTGTTTCAACTTCTCGCTAGAAGAGGTAATTAATCGAGAGGGGGTAATTATTTGAGAGAGCAGGTACATAAATGGGAGGAATATATTTACATAAACGTCTTACTGTAGCTCTTAAGGTTATCCACAATATCACCAGAATGCCGGTCAGAAGTCGCTCATTTATTTTGTTCATTAACGGGCTTTGTAGCTTCCCTAAAGGCTGAGGAATGCCCTGGACAAGAAGATAAAGAACAATGTGTTAAATGTCGAAAAGAAAATGAACGTCTTTACAATGTTAATAAATGGATTATGACTTGGGTAGATTCTGTTGGGAAAATGCCGTCGGGAATTAGTGATGGAAATTATCATTGGCTAGGAGATTATGAACAGTGTCAAAGGCTTAAAAAGTATGTTGGGAATAATGGGGGTTTTCATTGGGGAGAGAGGAAGCAGTGGGTGTGGGAGACAAAAAAGATTAATCGGACCATTCCAGAAGATCAATAAATAATTCTTTGAATCAAATTTTAAGACATTAAAAATAATAAAACAAAAAAATGTTGCCCTATAGTGATGTTGATTGTCTAGGTTTACCTCTTCTGGATATTTCCTATTTTTGGGAATTCCTTGCTCTAAAATTTTTTTTTGTTTTTGGATATTTATGTCAGATTGTCTGAAAAAAGGGGAGAGAGGAAAACATTCCTGGTTCTGAGGAACGTACACAGCAGGGCTGGAGAATTTTCTATTTTAAAAAGCGGAAGGCGGAAGAGTCAAAAAAATCGAAATTCTTCGGAAGAAAATTCAGTCCTGGTACACAGCAAGAAAAATCTGTTATTTTGTTGCATACAAGGAGGGGGGGTCTTACTAAATTAGTTTTAAAGAAAAAGAATTAAAATTTAATTATAAGAATTTTTTTCTTTTTAGTCAGGGTTTGTTCAACGGTCGTTATTGCTTACTTGAATTCCACGTACCTGGAGTGGTTATTCGACCTGAACAATGTCCTGAAAAGGGAACAGATCCATTAGAAGTTGTGCTTGGAATTTGTTTACCTGCAAATTGTTCAACAGAAGAAACTCAAGGACTTGTTGAATGTTTTTAATTTTTTTAATATCAAAAATTATTATAAGAGAAAAGAGGAAACAAAATTGTCTCCCTAAAATAATTCAGTTTAAAATGTACACTAAATTGAGTTGTAAACTAAAAGTGGATGTATTAATAAAGCAAAATTTGGGCACCCCCCCCCCCCCCAACCACATTAAAAAACACACACTAAACGAAACAGAGGTCAGCTGTACATATTTTCCTCCATAGATGTTGCCGAGCATCACCCAATCCAAGTAAATTGCCAACCACCAGGACAATGGCCCCTTTTCGGTATTATTTTGGTTGGAATTTTACTTCTTTGGTTGTCTCTTTTGTTGTTTGTTTCTGCCTTTCGTTGGTTTCATCATTTACAATTTCCTCCGATATTTGACGCTTTTTGTCTTCAAATACATTTAAGGCATTCTCTTAGGACAACACAACCAAAAGACAATCAACGTTTTCAATCAATTCATGGAATTCAAGTAAAAAAAGTTTTTTAGAAATTTTTTAATTGAAAAAGACATATTTTTGTTAAGTAAAATTGTTTAAAAATTACCTCGCCCCTAAACGGACTCGAACCTCCTCCCTCAAAAATTAGTTATCTTAGCCTTTACCAACTACACCAAATAGGCACAATTAATACTTTTTATTTAAAGGTTATTGCTGCCTCTTTATTGGTTTTAGGCCAAGCTCAAGTACTTGTCCTTCCTTATTTGGGTAATTTAAAACTAGTTTAAATAATTATTTTTAAAAATTTTTTCAAAGAAAATACTGGCCATCATTATGCTTTATTGGAAAAATGGCCGGCACAAATTGCCTTAAACCCAACTTTATTAGCGGACACTCTTTTAGCTTTAGATTTATTTCAGTTAGCGGTAAATGAAAGTAAACGATGTCCTAAACGTTCATTAATTCAAATTGCTTGGAGAAGATTTCTTAGGTTGGTGAACAGAAGAGAAACAAAAGGGTGGAGGATTAAATTTGGATAACTTGTCAAAACCTCCCTTGTAAAATACCACCCCCAGGCACACCTCTATTTAATATACTTTTTTTAAACTTTGGATGTATCCACTGAATGTGGGAACTGATTAAACAAACCCTTAAATTCCTCGTTACTTACACCGACTACTATATATTTTTATAAAAATTTAATTTAATTTTAAAAAGAATCTGGCCAATATATGTATTAATAACGCTTTCAATGGCTTTTGTATTTGCCCATTTGGGTGAAGGGCCAATGTGGTCTAGAACTGATATTGCTAAAAGATGTTCAAATAATTGGCCAGAAAATATATTTTTTGTAAATATATTTTTTTAAATAATTTTCTTTAATTTTTAAGATTCAAAATTTGTTGGGATATTCCCATACTGTAAGTTTTTATTAAATATAAAGTTGAGGAAAGAAAAAATAAATTTCTTTTTTTTTTCCTCGACTAAATATTTCTTAAAAATAATTTTTTAAAAATTAATTTCTCAGTCCTTTTTATTAAATTTTTTGGACAATTTTTGGTCCAAAAATAAACTTTCTTGAAATTTGGGAAAATTATTAAAAGTACAAGAGAGACAGTTTAGTTATGTATTAGGTTTACTTCTTACTTTTAGCATCCATTGTTAAATATTTGATAAAAAATAAATAAAAACCATCCCTTAACTTTAACTGAAAATTATACATAGTATGTCGGCCTCGGTTTCAAATACCGGATGACGTTGAAATTGTATTTAGAAACAAAACGAAAGTTAATGTTTAATATTAATGTTTAAACAGCGCCCACACATTTTTTAGCCAAAAACAAATTTTATTTAAATTCCTATTTTATTTTTAAATTAATTTTTAGTGTTTAAATTTTGGCCATTTAATATCATTAGAAGCCCAATTTATTTTATTTTTATTTCTTCCAATTTTCTATTTAATTTCGAATGGATATAAACGTTCAATTTTAATTTTGTTAATTTCTGGATTAATTCTAAGCAATTTTTTATTTTTATTTTTTGGATTTTTATTTAAATTTCCCCCAACACTTATTCCACATTTGAGAATGGAAATTGAAGATTTTGCACCTTTTGCTAATTTTTTGGTAATTTTTTGAAATTAATTAAAACTTTAAATAAGGGGATTAGGATTGGGGGGGGGGGGTTAGATTCTTCGGATTGGGATTTCAATTGAAAAACTTTCGTCATTTGATAAAGTCTGCTTTGTTTTTTAGTCATTTTATAGCACTTTAAACAAAACAAAAAATTATTTTTAAAGATTACACCATTTGCCAGAGCTAGCTCTCCAATTATTGGCCTTCTATTTGCTTTATTTTTACTGCAAAAATGGGATGAATGGCAACATTTAGTTAAAGTATATTTTAACTAAATTAAATATATTTTCGAAAAAAGAATGTCAAACTTCACTATGAGATACCCCCTTGAGGCTTAAAATATTTTATCTTATAAAGAGAAATATAGGGGCTTCGCTTAGACCACCCAGTGACAAACCAACTTAAAAAATAATCTTAAATAAGATTTGTATCAAATATTTGGGTTTATCTTATAGTGAGGAACGACTGGTATTAAAAATTTAAATTTTTTCTTAAAAAAGGCTCTATCATTAATTGGTTTATTAACAACTTTATTTTTAATGATGTTTATATTGTGGGCGCCTTTTTGGATATTTAACGATTCAATTATTTCTTTAATTTATGGGACTATACACAGACCTTTTTGGTCGTTTTTGCTTTTTTGTTTTTTGGGGTTTTTGGAAGCTAATTTAAAAGGAAGTGGTAAGTTTTGTTTGTTTGTTGTTTTTCCCCTCTACAGTCTGTTTTTGGAATAAGGCAAAGTTAATTTTGTTGGGTGTTCTGTTACTTTAAAATACAAGAGTCAGATTTTCGGAATCATAAAGAATTGGAAAATATTGAGAATTTGCCCGACTTTCGTAGAAGATATACAGTGCCGGAAAAAAAGATAGGACCAGAGGCTGTTAAATTAGTTTTTTTCGCTTATCTCTTTTTTAATGGCATTTAGAAAATAAGTTTCAACACAAAAATTTTAGGCCATTAAGTGCTCTTTAAAATGAGTATAAATATCAGTATACTTTATCGACAGAATTTTATTAAAAAAATTTTAAGCAAATACTACTCAATTTTGGGGTGGAAAAAAAGATAGGACCAGGCTAGAAATATCGACTTTTGTGCGGTCAAAAATTCTATAAAAATTTCTATGAACATTTCCATCGATACTAAGTAGAAAATTAAAAAGAACAAAGTCTGTAACTTATTTCGTCATCGAGATCTCAAATCTCAAAAATCAACGAAAAATCGGGGTACAGTACTTCAAAAAATGTTTTAGCCCTCTAGATCCAAAATTAAAAATTTTATTTTATGCCTATCTGAAAGCCCATAAAATTTGCTACAAAATAGTCCGGAAATTAATTTTTCTAAAAAAATATCTGATTAATCCTAGTCCACTTTAAATTAAAAATGCTCAAAATTTCCCAAAATACCCCAAAAATGATCACTTAAAAAATTGCCTTACCTCCATCTCTATGAGTTTTTATTGGAAAAATAAAAACTTGGACCATTTTGTAGCAAATTTTATGGGCTTTTTAATGGGCCCAAAAGAAATTTTTTATAAAAGCTCCAGGGGGTTTAAATATTTTTTGAAGTACTGTACCCCGATTTTCCGTTGATATATGGGATTTGAAATCTCGATGAAGAAATAAGGTACAGACTCAGTTCTTTTTTCTTTTCTACTCAATATCGATGGAAATATTCACTGAAATTTTTATAGAATTTTTGACCGAACAAAAGTCGATATTTCTAGCCTGGTCCTATCTTTTTTTCCACCCCAAAATTGAGTAGTATTTGTTTTGAGATGTTTTGTAAAATTAATTGATAATCAAAAAGGTAATATTTGTACTCATTTGAAAGAGGATAGATTAATCAATATTTTATATTAAATTTTTTCTCTTAAAAGTCTAAAATTCTGAAGAAAATTTGCGGAAAGGAAAATGTGGGCGTCTGGTCCTATCTTTTTTTCCGGCACTGTACTTATATAAAATATATAATTTTACATACCAATACTTAAACAATAAACCCTTAACATTACCCAAATAGACTCCAAAAATCCAAAAATGTCCGCAAATATTCAAAAAATAATTTTTCTTTTTTTCCAAAGTTTTGGCAAAATTATTGTGTTGGCGTGTATTTCGTCCATTATCCAAATTAGTTTTGATAGTTTTATTATTATCAGAGCCAATAGCCTTATCTTTATTTGCTTCATTACATCGTCCAGTACACACAACCCCTTTATCTTCTTTGCTTTCTTTTATTGGAATTTTTGTTTGTTCTTTTTTATTTTCTTTTGTTTTGGATTGTTCAATAATTAGACCCGTCAGAAATTTATTTTTAAAAATTTATGGAGAAAAGGAAAAGGTACAAGAAGAGGAAAATAAAGAAGAAAATGTGGAAAAAGAAGGTGCAATAGAGGAAGAAACTGAAAATTTCTTAGGAAAATCAAAAAATGAAATTTAAAAAATATTTTGTATATTATTAAAAATTTATTTGAAGAAATTGTAATTATAGTTAATTTAGGGCTGATCAAGTATTAAGTCGATTAGGCATCCACTTTTTTATACCTCTTTAAGGCCTCGGGCTCCGAAGGTTTCTCAATGGGCTTTTCTATTGTTTGGGAAAATTTTTAACCAAATTAAAGACATTTATTTTACTTTTCAGACATATTTTCATACAAATACTTTTTAAAATAAAAACAAAAAATAATTAAGAGAAAAGGAATGTGTCAATTAATTCCAAAATAAATTTAAAAAAATAATTATTATATTTTAAATTATTCTTCTTCTGTAGATTTTAATTGTTCATTATTATTGTTGTCAATAGGAGATTGTGTAATTATTTCAAAAAGACATTGGGAAAGTGTTCTTGATGATTCCAATTTTGATAAAGATAACCAACTAAATTTAATGATTTTTGATATTTTAAATAATTAGTAAAAATAAATAAGGAAACTTGCCTATTTAAAAGAATGGGGAATAGATGGGGATGTGTGAGTGGAGTTAGTGGAAATTGGTCGATCGTTCGATCAAACACACAAGAATGGGAGAAAGTGATAAATTTCAAATTAAACATCAAATCTCCCTTAGTTTTACACGAATTTCACTTTAGTTTCAAAATATAATCGGACCTCACTCTTAGGGTTGAAAAAATCAAGTCTTACTGGGGGTATCGCTTAAACAGCTCCCCCCTCCTCCTCCCCATTGAATGGCTAATCAGATTTTAAAACAATTACCTTAAAAATCCTTCAAATCTTTGCAATTTTCTCCTCGCCAATGTTGAGTGTTTTGATAAATTTCGTAAAATTATTGCTGATGTGAGTCTGATGTTGCGAGTTACTGGGCCTTCATTGTCATCCTTTAAAATGAAAAATCGGTTTTTGGTTCAATCCAAGATGGACACCCTCCCCTAAAGGTAAAATTCTCTCAATAATTTCCCCTAATCACCAACAATAAATTAAAAAAAACCGTCAAATCTTTCTTCAAATTTGTAAGAGCATGCCGTCTAATTGCTTCATATGCAGCAAAAGGTGCATAACCTGGTTGTTGTCCTTGTTCTCTATTTTGTTTAAAAAGTTGTCTAATTTGATTTATATAATCTTTAAAAAACAATTATTTATTAAGAAAAAATAATTTTAAATAACCATCAAGTCCAAATTCATTTCTTTTTTGTAAATTTATTTCTAAACTCTGTTCTGTGCAGTGAACATCCTTTTAATAAAAATAAAATAATAATTTTAAATGCTTATTGTTAGAAGTAGAGGAATTTAATATTTAAAGACTTTAATAGAAACCCGGGGTTCCAATTTTTCAATTGGTCTCTGAGTCCTAGAGGGAGTTTAATTTCCAAGAGGTTTCCTCGAGTGGATTTCTAAAAGAGATGGGCCTAAATTAAAGTATTTAAAAATATAAGATCATCATCTAGGGTGGGATTCGAACCTAAAGTCAGTGAATACCAAGAATTAAAAGCTTTTTAACCACAATCGGGGGATATGTAATACCATAGTAAATATCATTTTGCTATTCAATTATTTTAGTATCAGATAGATATCCTTAAATAAAAGTTTTAAAAAACCTGTAAATGTGTAGTCATTGACCACAAAGTACGAGGTGTACTGTCGCACATAGGCCATCTACATCTAATCATGCAAACATTGTCTGGGTTTTTAGCAGCTGAACTTGCGTGCGATTGAACAAGTGCTTTGAGATGATCTTCGTAAATATGGAAAAGAAGTTGCGAGGGAGTAGAAAAGAATCTATAAAGAATTTTTTTAATTTAAATTTTTTTCCGATTATCCGCCCTCAATTTCCTTTATCCCCTGTACTTTCTTATCTCTATTTTTTTTACCTTTCACTTTTAAGTCAAAGGTACGTAAAGGTAAAGGAATCAGTAAAGTACGCTTCTCTCATACTGACAGCCTTTTTTAGAACAAATTTAACCCTTTACCATTATAACCATGGACCATTTAAAATATTTTAGAGAAGCAGATAAATGAAAAGTGCCTTGATTTTTAAAATAAAATAAACCTTGAACACGGTTCAATTTCTTCATTAGTATCATCTAAAGCCATCATCATCCATTCACACATATGTTGAGGCATTTGTGTTTCAACACATTTTTTATTAGAATTATTTTTTGATTTTGATGTTATTTTTGCTGTTGTTGCTATATTATTAATTGATTTGTCTAATTCAGAAAAATTATTATTTGTTATAGGAGGTAAATGATTATTTATTGGTGTTGTTGTATTAGTTATTATTTGTTGTTGTTGTTGCTGTGTTGTTGTTTTTGAATGTTGGCTGGATTGATTTAATGAATGAAGTTTCTTTTTGTTTGGCTAGAAAAGATTTAATTAATTAATAAACAAGGACCGAAATTAATTGTGGTGGTCAGTAGAATTTTGGTACCAAGGGAAAAGATAGCGAAAAAGATAGCGCTTATCGAGAGAGTTCGAATGATATGGTTCATTCGGATTGGATTATGGATAAAGTTATAGCCGATAAATTCGGAAAAAATGAAAATGTAAGCATGTAACACAAAAGAACCCAAAAAACTCCCGTCATTAAAAACTTTCATAATCGAAATTTTGGATAAACAATAATCTTAAAATTCCTAATTATCATTACTACCCAAAAGAAAAAATAATTTAAAAAATAGATATACATTAACATAAGGCTGTACATGGTGTCCATTAATTTCAACAACTTTAATCCCAGACAGTCCAGCCTGTCCAAAAGAAGCTGCATCTGTTGTTAACATTCCAATTAATTCTAAAAAATAAATTAACAAATTTTAAATTAAAAAAACAAACGTTCAACAAATTTATTACAACCACTAATTAATTCACAAGCATTTCTTCCCAATTCAGACAATTGCAAAATTGTTTCCAATGAAATAATACAAATCAAAATATCTTTGAGAGTTAAAAGAGTGAAAATACGAGGGAAAAAATTCTAAAAATTTTCTAAAAATATTTTTTTTGAAAAATTAAAAAAACCGTTTTATCAAGAAAATCACACAAAATAGGTTCGTTTAAAGTTGTTTGACATAATCCTCCTATTATTTCAATAAATCGAAGTATTTCAAATCGGTCATTGGAATTTAAACCATTTTGTATTGATTTGAAAAAAGCAGAACCAGTTAGAGGGTCTTCAATTGAAATTAAGTTTATCTGGAAATTCTCTATTTATACTCAAAATTAATTTCTAAAAAATCACATTTTTTGAAATATTGCTAAGTGTTTCACAAGCTATACGTTTAAGTA